ACAAAACAAATGACTTATGATTAGTGACAGGTGTTTTCGCATGCTGTCCAGGGACTTGGTGCAGGCGACAGACTGTTTGGGAAACATTATTGAGGTCGTTTCACACTCAAGGAAAAATACCCAGCGTGTGTCTGGGGAAATGAGTCGCAATGGAGGAAATCTTGTAAATGAGGAAAAGGCTGCTGCGCAGAAGAATAGAGAGACTCTTTCTCAGTAAAATTTAAAAAAGTCAAAGAGCTTAACAAAAGCCTGTTTCTCTTTGTTTCAGACTCTCTCTCTCTTCACCGCTTTTCCTTTTACCTTTCTTTCCTGGTCTCATGCTCTCCGGTCAGACTCAGGCTCCTCCTCCTATCTCCCTCTCCTTCTCCTTCAAAGGTATGATGTTTTTCCTCTCTCTTCCTCTCCATTTCTCCAGCACTCTTCCTTTTGTGAATTCAGTATTCTCACCCTGTGTCAAGTGGAAGGTAGGGGACATCCAGGTGTAAATTGCTCGGCCTGCAACGGCTAGAGAAAAGCAGAAAGCAATTTCCACACCATTTTTTAGACGGGTCCATTGCCACCATTGCTGAGCCCTGTAGGGACCTCAAACGAAAAGAGAAACCACCACTTAACTGCGAGCCAGTCAGCAAGGAGGGGATTAGGCGAGAGGGAGAGACTCACACTTGACTAGCAGTCAGAGGCACCAGATTACTGTTATTGCCCCGGATCGCAAACAGCTGCATCCACAGAAGTGCCCCCAATAAAGAGAAAAAACCTGCTGTGCATGGGTGGTCCCCATCCTGCAGCTCACGATATGATTGTGAACATGGTTGGGATTGTACCTGACTTTCATACATAAGAAAACACCCTGAGATTATTTGACAGTTTCACAGCTATCAGGTAATGTTATGCACAGTTCCTGAGATTAGATGAGAGGTGTGAGACACGAAAAAGAGTCAGTTATGCCTGGCCAGTTAAGATAAGATGAAAAATTAAAACTTTTAAGTGTACTTAAAGGGATATTCCGGTGTAAAATTAATTAAGGGTCAAACACATTGTAACACAGAGTTAGACACCCCACTCGAGAGATGAATGTTGCTGACCATTTACCATATATATATATATATATATATATATATATATATATATATATATATCGTTACTTTAGTAACGACCGCACGATAGCAATACACAGCGGCCAAAGGAGCCACACACAAACCTCAAACAAAAAGCCACTCTATAGCCACAAATAATGCTCAGAACAGCACCTAACTTCATCAACAGTACATATAGGGTCCCAGACAGCACTAGCCACCAAACATCTTTTTAGATTTCTGTGATTTCTTTAGCAAAGAGGCTAAACACAACTCACCCACTCTCTTCCAGCAGTCGCTTGTTTGCAGCGAGACCTTGGGCCAGTCCATTACGGACTACTGCGGCGTAACACAGCTCAAGGAAGAACATCCAAACAAAAATAGAAATGTTTTCCTTTATGATCTATTTCCCGTTTGTCAGCACTTGCAACATTTCCATTACTGGTCGGTAACTTACTTTTCTTTATCGTGTGAATATTGTTTATAACTTCTAATGTTTTCTTGAGCATTGTGCTTAGACTTTTTTATGCATCATAAGCCCCCTCTACTGGTTGAGGGGAGAGCGCTTATGTTGCAGGAGTGTGGCCCATTTTACGTTGAAATTATAATAAACACCCCGAAAAGACATTCAAGCTACAAAATGTTCCTGAGAGATCCTTATGGCTGAGGAACACAAGACTATGAGCATAACTGCTGTGTTGCTTTTCTAAATTTGACTATAGCTAATCAATAAATAATGAGGTAAATACAGGAACTATTCAACAACCAAAAATCTATAGTAAAAGGCTAACAAACAATATAACTCATTTAAAGAATCCATTGACTTTAGCAACTATAACTCAGAGGGAGAAATAGAGAACCCTTTTTAGCATGTAAAGAAAAAAAATAGACAAAATTAGAATGGATGTACAGAGATTCGAAATGAATAACAGGCAAGGTAACAGTGTGAGAAGCCAGTAACATCATTACCTGCACACTTGCAGCAACAATGGCCACAGTCAGGCAGGCTGCCTCCAGCTAATACAAATTGGCTTGAACACATGTGACTGCAGTGTTCTACCTGGAATACAGGTGTGCTGCCGCTTTTTGCTGCTCTCAGCTGCTGAGGTCAAATGACAACTGCATAAACTTTATCCAGAGATCAACTGAGTCCAGTCTGATAAATAATATGTAGTCTCCTAGTAAAACAACCCCATCCTGTTGAGCTAAAAGCTGGTCTGAGTAATGCCCAAGACTTTAATATTCTGTCTCTAATGATGTAACTCCTGTGAAGCTATTTCCCCCTGTTTTTTTTTTTTTCTTGCCTGCCTATTCTTCAGATTATGACATGAGTTGTTAGATTTATGTGTTGCTGTCTGAATCTGGGTCTTATATAACAGCCACAACACTGTGATACTGTAATAATGACAAGAAAAACTGTGCTGCATAGATTATATTCAATAGGCCTGAAGTAACTCAGTTAACCTTCTCTGGATAGAGGCTGCCTCTCAAATCTCTTCATACCTACATCCATCAGCACCATGGGGTGCTATTTGAAGATAACAGGCCACCGTGAGAAAGCTGTTCTCACAGACTTATTTGGGGTCCTGGTTCAACCTTCATGCAACCTCTTTTTTAGATACAATCTTTGAGAAATACTGTTTTGACAGCTGAGGAACATTTACAGCGTATCACACTGCTGGCTGTTAAAAGGACAACAGGTTTGAGGAGAGACATTATTGTGTATTTATGGGGGAACTGTCTCACAGAGCTGCTGGGTAATTCAGCAGAGTAATAACTTCCAATGGAGACCCAGTTACTCCATTAGACTACTGCACCTATTTAAAACATTTCCAGCCAGGCACTATTTGGCTATAATTCAGTACCAGCTGAGCTGATCTATTAAGATGTGTTACACCCACCAGAGAGCTACAGAGGGATGGCGAGGTCAGAGAAAAGTGAAGGCCTCACCTCAAGCTGCTGCCCGACATCCAAATCAGCATTTCAAAATCACTCAGCGAGATTAAAAAGGCAGGGATTGGAGTGGATGAGAGGGAGGTAGGCAGTCACGCTCTGTACAGGAGAAGCAATCTAGATGCTCCTGCTCGACTTGTGCTGTGATTAGATACATCTTGTTCTATTATGCGTTTTCCCTTTTCTATTGCATTTTCTCCAAGGAGATTTGAAACATTTCTAATAGCTTTTTAAACGACTTGCTGTCTGGATCACTTACTGCAAGGCCACTCATAGTCACTGAAACTGCAGTGCATGAAGAGGAATATATTCTCTGTCTGCTTCGCTTTGTCTTTTGATGTATTTCCCCCCTCACCTATCTTTTTATGTATCTCAATCATTTTACCTTTTCTCATTAATTTACATTTTCCCTGGTGATTCCCTGTTCAAAAGTCACGCTGTTCTCACAGATTTTTATTTTTCTCAAGCACAGCATTTAATAATTGAAAGGAGATTTAACATATATATTTATAGCTGTGTGACCCCAGTGGCACTGAGTGAAGTGCAGCTCTCTCTCTCTGTGGCTCATTATCACATTATCCATTATTTTAAAGCCATGGTGATTTGATACAGGAAAACAACATGGAAAATGGTTAGCTGTTGGAGAATGAACAAGAAGTGTGTGAGCAACCTCCCCCCTGTGGAAAATAAGAGCTGGCTGGAAATGACACAATGGGTAAATGCCATGTCAGCAGGTAGCAGGAATTCTTTTATTATGAGTGACCAGCTGATGATTGTTGTGTATTATGGCATGCTGTGTTGAATACTTGATTTAAAACCCCATAACAAAGGTGTTTTGCTTCGTTTCACCTCAGCTAATTTTGGCAGGGTTAAATTGATCCTTAGACATCCACATTTCATATCTGCCAGTGGACACTGTGGTAAAACACATATTTCTGTCAGCATTATGAATTAGTTGACAAGGTGGAGGCTATTTACACATGACTTTGACTGAATTCAAAATCAGCCACCAGATCAAGTGTGGTTTGCAGCATGGACCGTACACGGCACACAGCATACGGTGCTCAAATGTAGCATGACTGTTCTGTTCGTTCTGTTTTGCAGTCTGTTGGGCCAGCTTACTGGTTTTCGGTTGGAAAGTACAAGTAAATAACATCCCAGCTGGCAAAACGGCTGCACATGATATTCACTTGTGGTTTGAAACAAGAGTTAGGAGCAGGTTTATCAGGAATTTTACAGTTTTCACAGAAATGAACAGATACTAGTGAGATGGGTAACACTTCTGTTATATCTGGAAGTGATGATCCACCAGGTGATGATTCTTTTGCATCACCTCAGTGTGAGTGCAGCTGAATTAAATGTAGTTCTTCTAGTGTTTGTATATAATATGAACTTAGATTTTAATTCTTCCCTCAAAACCTACACACAGTGGTTGCTCTCCATCCGTTTTTTTGCCCTTGACTGTTAAGCATTAGTGCTATAACTCCATTATTTTGTTCAAACCAATAATCACTCTGGTCCACACTCCACCACTGCAGGTGTTGGTAAGAAATATAAAAGCTTTATCAATTTCTAACTCAGTAAAACATGCGGGTGTTTTGGGTATACTGCTGTTCTTTTGCTTCCTTACACACTGCAGACAACATACTAGATTGAGGTGAAATCGGTGCATACCACTGAGTAGGTAGTTTCAAATACAGCCTTTGCCATTTTTTTTTTTTTTAACAAAAAACCCTTTTGATTCCTGGGCAATGGCTGAGCAAAGAGAGAGAGAGAGTAAGAAAATAGCACTGAAACAGAATGAGGTTAGGAATAAAAGACAGAAAAGTAAAAATGAAACAAAACTGTCTTTAGTTGTTTGACAGATAATAAGCAGGATATGAATAGGAAGCAGATGGATTACATATTATCTCATATATCGTGTCAACGGCGCTGAATACACAGTTCTGATTGGTCAGCTGCTGCATTCACTGATTTTCTATTTCCCTATCACAGACAGTCGTTGGGATTAGGGTTTGTTCAGGCTTTAGGTTTGTTAGCACTCAGCGGGAATGCCACACACACACATACACACACACACACACACACACAAACACACACACACACACACACAAACACACACACAGTCATGCACATACTACCTCCAAGGGAAAATCAGAGGCCCCACTTACAATATGGGGGGGTGACACATGTGACTTTACTCAAAGACTAGAGAACTAACAGTAATCCTATTCAGTCTGCTCAGTTTACTGATGATATGATAGAGAAGACATAAGAAAGGAAATGAAATACAAAACAACCAAAACAGATATAACTACAGACTGCACATGAAATAAACTCAAAACTGTGCGTGGTCTTTGATAAAAAGTGTTCAAAGTCTGGTAGGTGAAAAAAAAAACTTTAACAGACTCCCACAGTGACAGAAAAAAAAATAACAACACAATCTTGTGCAGCACTGATTCATGGAGTCCTCTACACCTTGACTCTCTGTTAGTGGAATTTTGAGTCATTACAGGCTTAATTTTGCATTTCAGTGGAAGAAGAGAAAAGACAGAAATTTACTGAGGAGTTGGTAGACTTTAACATAGCTGGGAAAGGGGTGAGTTTGACTTCGATTCAGCAAGGAGCAGGTCTAAAGGTAGTGGTCAGTAAGTGGCTATAACACCTTTAAATGAACAACTTTCTGTAGTGTCAGCTTCTGTAGCAGAATTAGGCCATAGTGTGACAGAGTGCAGTGTTGACTTCTCTTTCTACCTGGGGCCTATTCTACGACGCAAGTTCGACCTAGCGAGGTAGCCTTGGAGCTACCTCGCTCAACTTAGCGCGGTAGCCAGCGGTCTCGCTTAACGGTCTTGCGACGCTGGTTATCAACCTCGTAAGTGCATCCAGCTTTGCTATGAGCGCGTGCACGCATGTAAGGCGGAGCCCGCCGCATCTGACCAATCACGAACATGGACCAGTCTGGAGTGTCAGAGCAGGCCGGAGAGCGAAAAACCACGTACTTTACAAACGAGGAGCAGGAGACGATCATGAGAAAGTATGGGGAATTCAAATCTATCATAAACCTCAAAGGCAACACGGTCGCCGCTGCAAAAGCATGGAAGGAATGCTGGCAGAAAATTGCAGACAGTCTCAATGTGTAAATATAGTGCACAAAAAATCTTTGATGCCTTTATCACCCTGAAATATCACTGTTCAACATGCGCTTTTAACATGCTCCAGACATGTCTAATTCATTCATTTGTTTATTCCTATCATGTTTACATTTTTTGTGTGATATGTAGGCCATATGAGCCTTTCATAAAGGTGGTCATCCGGTAAGTGGGTCCGTGCAGTCCCTGAAAACTCTCGCACGCCGGAGTGCTCCTCGGACAATGCAAGCACCGAGGTCTATGGGATCCTCCAAGAACGGACAAGCCATTTTTTGAGAGAGCTCATTGGTCAGTGGGCGGGGTTTTTATACTGAGTTCAATCCGGAACCTAACCTGCCCCGGAGCTCTGCTTCGCTCCGTTTGTCCGCTAGCTCGCAAGTCACGTGACCAGATCACATAACCAGTCAAAATCGCAGCCTTTGCAGTTAGAAAATAATGTTTTATCATAGCCCTGATTCAAGCTTAAACTCAATTCAGTGTTCAAAAAAGCTGGTTATTTATTCAAAAAAAGGTTTGGTACACAAAAAGTCAGAGGGATCAGGCAAACTATTAAGAGAGAAGAGGCAGAAGGCAGAGTCGAGGAACAGGCAGAAGTCAAGAACACACACAGTCAAACACTAGAGAAATGCTGGAACAAAGGTAACACAAGGGAAAACACAATGAACTGGCAACAGGAGGGAAAACACAGAGGAATTAGATACACAGACAATCAGGGGAGAATGAGATGCAGGTGAGGGTAATCAGGGAGGAGCAAACACAAGAGGCAGGATCTGAAAAGACAGAGACGAGTGTGAGTAAAATCACAACATAAAACAAGAATAAGACTGCGTTTAGATGTGCCTGACTATTTTCATAAACGGACATTTCACCCTCTCCATTTACAAAAAAAACTGTGTACACACCACTACGTTTTCAGAAAAGTTTTCGTTTACACTAACCCGTGTATATATGCCATCAAGAGCATATCAAACATGTGGGTGGCAGTGTAACAAGAACCTCAAGCCCACATTAGCCAATCAGAATCCCACATAGCAGCAACAACAACAACAACAACAACAACAACAACAACATCCCTTCCTTCTATCCTACACACAATCTGCCATTGGCTACCCAAATCTCAGTTTTTCTCTGTTTACATGCAAATGTGCAAACAGTTTTCAAAATGTTTCCAAAATTTCCACTCTGGCTGGAGTTTTCAAAAAGCATCGTCAAATTCTCTGTGTGTATCAAACGGAGGGTGCAAACAATGGTCAGTGTCACAGTTTTGTAAAATAACTGGGTACATATAAACGGGGCCTAAATCACAAAAATTGCAAGAAAACCAAACACATCAACTTATTCAGGAATTGATTGTGGCAAAATGTAAATAGACAAATCGGTCTCTTTAATATGTCTCTACCATGTGAATACACTATGGTCATGTTGTTACGATATGTTCTTGCAAATGTAGTTTTTCCTGGTTTGGTAATTTAGTTGTATTTTCTGTGTGTTTCTGTTCCTGTTTCCTCAGTGTGCGTCATTCTTTTGTTCCTGTTCACGTTTTGGTTTGGTTTCTCTGTTCAGTTTTCAGTGTTTCCTGTCTACCTTTGTAGAAGTCAATCCCTGTGTGTCAAGTCCAGTTTTACTTCCTCAGTTTTCCCTCCTTTGTTAATTACTAATGAGTCTCACCTGTGTCTGGTCTGTTTCACCTGTTGCTCGTTAGGGTTAGGGTTGAAGCCTGTCCTTGTGTTGCTGCTCCCTACCTCACTTCCACCATGTTTGTTTGCTCCTGGTGTTTTTGAATTTTGATTTTTTTTTTTAATTGGACATTTTCTCAATGTTTTTTAATGTTTCGTTCTGACATGACAAGTGTAGGCAGATGACCTTTGACTTTACTTCCTTAACTTCAATCCTCAACTGCTCATGTTTTCAAGAGGAAAAATAACAAAATATGAAGATTTAGCACTTCTGCACATGTGTGAAAACACCAGATGTGCTCGGGTACATGTACAAATACAAATGCAGCACTTTTCAGAGAGGAAGCGACATAACAAGCCCAAGTCTCACCACACAGTGATCGATGAGTTCAGGCGTCCCAAAGCAAGTTTGAGGTGTTTCACTGACAGAGAGGGAGAGAGACAAGCATTTTGAGTGTGTGTGTGAGAGAGAAAGAGAGAGAGAGAGAGAGACAGAAGGATGACTGGGAGAAACAAAATAATAGTGTGTGTGTGTGTGTGTGTGTGTGTGTGTGTGTGTGTGTGTGTGTGTGTGTGTGTGTGTGTGTGTGTGTGTGTGTGTGTGTAGTTGATGGCTGTTGTCCAGCCAAGTAGAGCGGAGGGTGACAGTGATGGAGGGGTTCGAGGGAGGAAGGGAGATGGAGATGAGTGGCGAGAAAGAAAACTTGGAGCAGTCGGTTGTTGATGGCTTGAGGGAAAAAAATATAGAAAAGAGAGACATCATCAGAAAACTGGAAGAGAGGGAGGGTCAGGACTTTCAGAGAGTCAGAAAGATTCCATTACTAGAGAAAAAGATTCGCCAGTCTAGTCTGTCCTCGAGGAACAGAAGAGAAAAGGAGTTCACAGGCTTGGAAAATTTGAGTCCTGCTAGAAATAAATTGCATTTCAAAAAGAGAGTGAAGTTCGATGGGTCAACAGACATGAGCAACACGTGGAGACAGATCAGAAGGACTGTTTGATCTGCAAATACCACTGTTGTCATGATAGTATGTCTATCGGTTTCACTAATCCTCAAGAGTCTTGAGGATCACATTAATGATTTCATAGCATTTCATATGAGGAACTTCTTACAGTCCTCCGCTCTACCAACTGAGCAATCAAGGTGTTCTCTGGTCACAACTGCAGAAAACATATTGGTTGAATAGTTGTGTTGGCAAAGTGTGTCGTCTCAGCCAATATGGTCAATGAAAAGCCCAGCCCTACCTGCAGAACAAAGCTTTGCAGTTTGTACCCAACAGTCATTGCCAGGGACCTAAAACTGATAATCAGGACTTTTGATTGACATGGCCGATATAAAGCCCAGTCCTACCTTCAGAACAGAGCTTCACAGTTTGTAACCAACAGTCATTGCCAAGGACCCAGAACTGATCATCAGGACGTTAAGACTGGGTGAATAAAAAATTGATGGTTGGAAAATTAAGAAGGAGTTATATTGTTTGTGTTTTTACATTTTGGAGGAGTTGACAAATGAAGAAAAGGCTTGGCATTATTTAAATATGATCAGACCTAGAACATTGCTCACACCAATGAAATGCACATGCTTCGAGCTGGAGTTGAACCAGCGACCGTAGCATCACGGCATTGCATATGAGGAACTTCCTACAGTCCTCTGCTCTACCAACTGAGCTATCAAGGTGCTCTCTACTCACAACTGCAGAAAACATAGTGGCTTTGGAGACACACTATGCCCACAGAACTATTCCAACCCATGGTCAATGAATAGCCCAGCCCTACCTGCAGAACAAAGCCTCACAGTTTGTACCCAACAGTCATTGTCAGGGACCCAGAACTAATAATCAGGACTTTTAGGCTGGGTGAATAAAAAATTGTTGGTGGAAAATTTAAGAAAGAGTTATCTTGTTTGTGTTTTTTCATTTTGGAGGAGTTGACAGATAAAGACAAGGATTGGGGGTATTTCTAATGACAAGGAGGTGCTTGGAGCTGGAGTTGAACCAGCGACATTAGGATCACAGCGTTTCACACAAGGAGCATCTTACTGTCCACCGCTCTACCAACTGAGCTATGAAGGTGCGCTCTATTCACAACAGCAGATAACATAGTGGCTTTGGAGACACACTATGCCCACAGAACTATTCCAACCCATGGTCAATGAAAAGCCCAGCCCTACCTGTAGAACAAAGCTTTGCAGTTTGTACCCAACAGTCATTGTCAGGGACCCAGAACTAATAATCAGGACTTTTAGGCTGGGTGAATAAAAAATTGTTGGTGGAAAATTTAAGAAAGAGTTATCTTGTTTGTGTTTTTACATTTTGGAGGAGTTGACAGATAAAGACAAGGCTTGGGGGAATTTCCAATGACAAGGAGGTGCTTGGAGCTGGAGTTGAACCAGCGACCTTAGGATCAAAGCATTTCACACAAGGAGCATCTTACAGTCCACCGCTCTACCAACTGAGCTATCAAGGTGCTCTCTGGTCGCAACAGCAGAAAACATAGTGGCTTCGGAGACACACTATGCCCACAGAACTATTCCAACCCATGGTCAATGAAAAGTCCAGCCCTACCTGCAGAACAAAGCCTCACAGTTTGTACCCAACAGTCATTGTCAGGGACCCAGAGCTAATAATCAGGACTTTTAGGCTGGGTGAATAAAAAATTGATGGTTGAAAATTTAAGAAAGAGTTATCTTGTTTGTGTTTTTACATTTTGGAGGAGTTGACAGATAAAGACAAGGCTGGGGGTTTTTCCAATGACAAGGAGGTGCTTGGAGTTGGAGTTGAACCAGCGATGTTAGGATCACAGCGTTTCACACAAGGAGCATCTTACAGTCCACCGGTCTACCAACTGAGCTATGAAGGTGCTTTCTAGTCACAACAGCAGAAAACATAGTTGCTTTGGAGACACACTATGCCCACAGAACTATTCCAACCCATGGTCAATGAAAAGCCCAGCCCTATCTGTAGAACAAAGCTTTGCAGTTTGTACCCAACAGTCATTGCCAGGGACCCAGAACTAATAATCAGGACTTTTAGGCTGGGTGAATAAAAAATTGTTGGTGGAAAATTTAAGAAAGAGTTATATTTTTTGTGTTTTTACATTTTGGAGGAGTTGACAGATAAAGACAAGGCTTGGGGGTATTTCCAATGACAAGGAGGTGGTTGGAGCTGGAGTTGAACCAGCGACCTTAGGATCACAGCGTTTCACACAAGGAGCATGTTACAGTCCACCGCTCTACCAACTGAGCTATCAAGGTGCTGTCTAGTCACTACAGCAGAAAACATAGTGGCTTTGGAGACACACTATGCCCACAGAACTATTCCAACCCATGGTCAATGAAAAGCCCAGCCCTACCTGCAGAACAAAGCTTTGCAGTTTGTACCCAACAGTCATTGCCAGGGACCCAGAACTAATAATCAGGACTTTTAGGCTGGGTGAATAAAAAATTGTTGGTGGAAAATTTAAGAAAGAGTATTCTTGTTTGTGTTTTTACATTTTGGAGGAGTTGACAGATAAAGACAAGGCTTGGGGGAATTTCCAATGAGAAGGAGGTGCTTGGAGTTGGAGTTGAACCAGCGACCTTAGGATCGCAGCGTTTCACACAAGGAGCATCTTACTGTGCACCGCTCTACCAACTGAGCTATGAAGGTGCTCTCCAGTCACAACAGCACAAAACATAGTGGCTTTGGAGACACACTATGCCCACAGAACTATTCCAACCCATGGTCAATGAAAAGCCCAGCCCTACCTGCAGAACAAAGCCTCACAGTTTGTACCCAACAGTCATTGCCAGGGACCCAGAACTGATAATCAGGACTTTTGGGCTGGGTGAATAAAAAATTGATGGTTGAAAATTAAAGAAAGAATTATCTTGTTTGTGTTTTTACATTTTGGAGGAGTTGACAGATAAAGACAAGGCTTGGGGGTATTTTCAATCACAAGGAGGTGCTTGGAGCTGGAGTTGAACCAGCGACCTTAGGATCACAGCGTTTCACACAAGGAGCATCTTACAGTTCACCGCTCTACCAACTGAGCTATCAAGGTGCTCTATAGTCACAACAGCAGAAAACATAGTGGCTTTGGAGACACACTATGCCCACAGAACTATTCAAACCCATGGTCAATGAAAAGCCCAGCCCTACCTGCAGAACAAAGCCTCACAGTTTGTACCCAACAGTCATTGTCAGGGACCCAGAACTAATAATCAGGACTTTTAGGCTGGGTGAATAAAAAATTGATGGTTGAAAATTTAAGAAAGAGTTATCTTGTTTGTGTTTTTACATTTTGGAGGAGTTGACAGATAAAGACAAGGCTTGGGGGTATTTCCAATCACAAGGAGGTGCTTGGAGCTGGAGTTGAACCAGCGACCTTAGGATGACAGCTTTTCACACAAGGAGACTCTTACAGTCCACCGCTCTACCAACTGAGCTATGAAGGTGCTGTATAGTCACAACAGCAGAAAACATAGTGGCTTTGGAGACACACTATGCCCACAGAACTATTCCAACCCATGGTCAATGAAAAGCCCAGCCCTACCTGTAGAACAAAGCTTTGCAGTTTGTGACCAACAGTCATTGCCAGGGACCCAGAACTAATAATCAGGACTTTTAGGCTGGGTGAATAAAAAATTGATGGTTGAAAATTTAAGAAAGAGTTATCTTGTTTGTGTTTTTACATTTTGAAAGGGGTTGACAGATAAAGACAAGGCTTGGGGGTATTTCCAATGACAAGGAGGTGCTTGGAGCTGGAGTTGAACCAGCGACATTAGGATCACAGCATTTCACACAAGGAGCATCTTACTGTGCACCTCTCTACCAACTGAGCTATGAAGGTGCTCTCTGGTCACAACAGCAGAAAACATAGTGGCTTTGGAGACACACTATGCCCACAGAACTATTCCAACCCATGGTCAATGAAAAGCCCAGCCCTACCTGTAGAACAAAGCTTTGCAGTTTGTACCCAACAGTCATTGTCAGGGACCCAGAACTAATAATCAGGACTTTTAGGCTGGGTGAATAAAAAATTGATGGTTGAAAATTAAAGAAAGAGTTATCTTGTTTGTGTTTTTACATTTTGGAGGAGTTGACAGATAAAGACAAGGCTTGGGGGTATTTCCAACGACAAGGAGGTGCTTGGAGCTGGGGTTGAACCAGTGACCTTAGGATCACAGCGTCCACGAGCATCTTACAGTCCACCGCTGTACCAACTGAGCTATCAAGGCACTCTCTAATCACAACAGCAGAAAACATAGTGGCTTTGGAGACACACTATGCCCACAGAACTATTCCAACCCATGGTCAATGAAAAGCCCAGCCCTACCTGTAGAACAAAGCTTTGCAGTTTGTGACCAACAGTCATTGCCAGGGACCCAGAACTAATAATCAGGACTTTTAGGCTGGGTGAATAAAAAATTGATGGTTGAAAATTTAAGAAAGAGTTATCTTGTTTGTGTTTTTACATTTTGAAAGGGGTTGACAGATAAAGACAAGGCTTGGGGGTATTTCCAATGACAAGGAGGTGCTTGGAGCTGGAGTTGAACCAGCAACCTTAGGATCACAGCGTTTCACACAAGGAGCATCTTACAGTGCACCGCTCTACCAATTGAGCTATCAAGGTGCACTCTAGTCACAACAGCAGAAAACATAGTGGCTTTGGAGACACACTATGCCCACAGAACTATTCCAACCCATTGTCAATGAAAAGCCCAGCCCGACCTGCAGAACAAAGCCTTACAGTTTGTACCCAACAGTCATTGTCAGGGACCCAGAACTAATAATCAGGACTTTGAGGCTGGGTGAATAAAAAATTGATGGTTGAAAATTTAAGAAAGAGTTATCTTGTTTGTGTTTTTACATTTTGGAGGAGTTGACAGATAAAGACAAGGCTTGGGAGTATTTTCAATGACAAGGAGGTGCTTGGAGCTGGAGTTGAACCAGCGAGATTAGGATCACAGCTTTTCACACAAGGAGCATCTTACAGTCCACCACTCTACCAAGTGAGCTATGAAGGTGCTCTATAGTCATAACAGCAGAAAACATAGTGGCTTTGGAGACACACTATGCCCACAGAACTATTCCAACCCATGGTCAATGAAAAGCCCAGCCCTACCTGTAGAACAAAGCTTTGCAGTTTGTACCCAACAGTCATTGCCAGGGACCCAGAACTAATAATCAGGACTTTTAGGCTGGGTGAATAAAAAATTGATGGTTGAAAATTTAAGAAAGAGTTATCTTGTTTGTGTTTTTACATTTTGGAGGAGTTGACAGAACAAGCGAACAAGCGAGTTGAACAAGCGAACTTAGGATCACAGCGTTTCACACAAGGAGCATCTTACAGTCCACCGCTCTACCAACTGAGCTATCAAGGTGCTCTCTAGTCACAACAGCAGAAATTATAGTGGCTTTGGAGACACACTATGCCCACAGAACTATTCCAACCCATGTTCAATGAAAAGCCCAGCCCGACCTGCAGAACAAAGCCTTACAGTTTGTACCCAACAGTCATTGTCAGGGACCCAGAACTAATAATCAGGACTTTGAGGCTGGGTGAATAAAAAATTGATGGTTGAAAATTTAAGAAAGAGTTATCTTGTTTGTGTTTTTACATTTTGGAGGAGTTGACAGATAAAGACAAGGCTTGGGGGAATTTCCAATGACAAGGAGGTGCTTGGAGCTGGAGTTGAACCAGCGACCTTAGGATCACAGCGTTTCACACAAGGAGCATCTAACAGTCCACCGCTCTACCAACTGAGCTATCAAGGTGCTCTCTAGTCACAACAGCACAAAACATAGTGGCTTTGGAGACACACTATGCCCACAGAACTATTCCAACCCATGGTCAATGAAAAGCCCAGCCCGACCTGCAGAACAAAGCTTTGCAGTTTGTACCCAACAGTCATTGTCAGGGACCCAGAACTAATAATGAGAACTTTTAAGGCTGGGTGAAAAAAAAATTGTGGTTGAAAACTTAAGAAAGAGTTATCTTGTTTGTGTTTTTACATTTTGGAGGAGTTGACAGATAAAGACAAGGCTTGGGGGTATTTCCAATGACAAGGAGGTGCTTGGAGCTGGAGTTGAACCAGCGACCTTGGGATCACAGCGTTTCACACAAGGAGCATCTTACAGTCCACCGCTCTACCAACTGAGCTATCAAGGTGCTCTCTAGTCACAACAGCAGAAAACATAGTGGCTTTGGAGACACACTATGCCCACAGAACTATTCCAACCCATGGTCAATGAAAAGCCCAGCCCTACCTGTAGAACAAAGCTTTGCAGTTTGTACCCAACAGTCATAGCCAGGGACCCAGAACTAATAATCAGGACCTTTAGGCTGGGTGGATAAAAAATTGTTGGTGGAAAATTTAAGAAAGAGTTATCTTGTTTGTGTTTTTACATTTTGGAGGAGTTGACAGATAAAGACAAGGCTTGGGGGTATTTCCAATGACAAGGAGGTGCTTGGAGCTAGAGTTGAACCAGCGACGTTGGGATCACAGCGTTTCACACAAGGAGCATCTTACAGTCCACCGCTCTACCAACTGAGCTATCAAGGTGCTCTATAGTCACAACAGCACAAAACATAGTGGCTTTGGAGACACACTTTGCCCACAGAACTATTCCAACCCATGGTCAATGAAAAGCCCAGCCCTACCTGTAGAACAAAGCTTTGCAGTTTGTACCCAACAGTCATTGTCAGGGACCCAGAACTAATAATCAGGACTTTTAGGCTGGGTGAATAAAAAATTGATGGTTGAAAATTTAAGAAAGAGTTATCTTGTTTGTGTTTTTACATTTTGGAGGAGTTGACAGATAAAGACAAGGCTTGGGGGTATTTCCAATGACAAGGAGATGCTTGGAGCTGGAGTTGAACCAGCGACCTTAGAATCACAGCGTTTCATACAAGGAGCATCTTACAGTCCACCGCTCTACCAACTGAGCTATCAAGGTGCTCTCTAGTCACAACAGCACAAAACATAGTGGCTTTGGAGACACACTATGCCCACAGAACTATTCCAACCCATGGTCAATGAAAAGCCAAGCCCTACCTTTAGAACAAAGCTTTGCAGTTTGTACCCAACAGTCATTGCCAGGGACCCAGAACTAATAATCAGGACTTTTGGGCTGGGTGGATAAAAAATTGATGGTTGAAAATTTAAGAATGAGTTAACTTGTTTGTGTTTTTACATTTTGGAGGAGTTAATTGATAAAGACATGGCTTGGGGGTATTTCAAATCACAAGGAGGTGCTTGGAGCTGGAGTTGAACAAGCAACATTAGGATCACAGTGTTTCACACAAGGAGCATCTTACAGTCCACTGCTCTACCAACTGAGCTTATCAAGATGCTCTCTAGTCACAACAGCAGAAAACATAGTGGCTTTGGAGACACACTATGCCCACAGAACTATTCCAACCCATGGTCAATGAAAAGCCCAGCCCTACCTGTAGAACAAAGCTTTGCAGTTTGTACCCAACAGTCATAGCCAGGGACCCAGAACTAATAATCAGGACTTTTAGGCTGGGTGAATAAAAAATTGATGGTTGAAAATTTAAGAAAGAGTTATCTTGTTTGTGTTTTTACATTTTGGAGGAGTTGACAGATAAAGACAAGGCTTTGGGGTATTTCCAATCACAAGGAGGTGCTTGGAGCTGGAGTTGAACCAGCGACCTTGGGATCACAGCGTTTCACACAAGGAGCATCTTACAGTCCACCGCTCTACCAACTGAGCTATCAAGGTGCTCTGTAGTCACAACAGCAGAAAACATAGTGGCTTTGGAGACACACTTTGCCCACAGAACTATTCCAACCCATGGTCAATGAAAAGCCCAGCCCTACCTGTAGAACAAAGCTTTGCAGTTTGTAACCAACAGTCATTGCCAGGGACCCAGAACTAATAATCAGGACTTTTAGGCTGGGTGAATAGAAAATTGATGGTTGAAAATTTAAGAAAGAGTTATCTTGTTTGTGTTTTTACATTTTGAAAGGGGTTGACAGATAAAGACAAGGCTTGGGGGTATTTCCAATGACAAGGAGGTGCTTGGAGCTGGAGTTGAACAAGCAACCTTAGGATCACAGCATTTCACACAAGGAGGATCTTACAGTCCACCGCTCTACCAACTGAGCTATCAAGGTGCTCTCTAGTCACAACAGCAGAAAACATAGTGGCTTTGGAGACACACTATGCCCACAGAACTATTCCAACCCATGGTCAATGAAAAGCCCAGCCCTACCTGTAGAACAAAGCTTTGCAGTTTGTACCCAACAGTCATAGCCAGGGACCCAGAACTAATAATCAGGACTTTTAGGCTGGGTGAATAAAAAATTGATGGTTGAAAATTTAAGAAAGAGTTATCTTGTTTGTGTTTTTACATTTTGGAGGAGTTGACAGATAAAGACAAGGCTTTGGGGTATTTCCAATCACAAGGAGGTGCTTGGAGCTGGAGTTGAACCAGCGACCTTGGGATCACAGCGTTTCACACAAGGAGCATCTTACAGTCCACCGCTCTACCAACTGAGCTATCAAGGTGCTCTGTAGTCACAACAGCAGAAAACATAGTGGCTTTGGAGACACACTTTGCCCACAGAACTATTCCAACCCATGGTCAATGAAAAGCCCAGCCCTACCTGTAGAACAAAGCTTTGCAGTTTGTAACCAACAGTCATTGCCAGGGACCCAGAACTAATAATCAGGACTTTTAGGCTGGGTGAATAGAAAATTGATGGTTGAAAATTTAAGAAAGAGTTATCTTGTTTGTGTTTTTACATTTTGAAAGGGGTTGACAGATAAAGACAAGGCTTGGGGGTATTTCCAATGACAAGGAGGTGCTTGGAGCTGGAGTTGAACAAGCAACCTTAGGATCACAGCATTTCACACAAGGAGGATCTTACAGTCCACCGCTCTACCAACTGAGCTATCAAGGTGCTCTCTAGTCACAACAGCACAAAACATAGTGGCTTTGGAGACACACTATGCCCACAGAACTATTCCAACCCATGGTCAATGAAAAGCCCAGTCCGACCTGCAGAACAAAGCTTTGCAGTTTGTACCCAACAGTCATTGTCAGTGACCCAGAACTAATAATGAGAACTTTTAAGGCTGGGTGAAAAAAAAATTGTGGTTGAAAATTTAAGAAAGAGTTATCTTGTTTGTGTTTTTACATTTTGGAGGAGTTGACAGATAAAGACAAGGCTTGGGGGTATTTCCAATGACAAGGAGGTGCTTGGAGCTGGAGTTGAACCAGCGAACTTAGGATCACATCGTTTCACACAAGGAGCATCTTACAGTCCACCGCTCTACCAACTGAGCTATCAAGGTGCTCTATAGTCACAACAGCAGAAAACATAGTGGCTTTGGAGACACACTTTGCCCACAGAACTATTCCAACCCATGGTCAGTGAAAAGCCCAGCCCTACCTGTAGAACAAAGCTTTGCAGTTTGTACCCAACAGTCATTGCCAGGGACCCAGAACTAATAATCAGCACTTTTAGGCTGGGTGAATAAAAAATTGATGGTTGAAAATTTAAGAAAGAGTTATCTTGTTTGTGTTTTTACATTTTGGAGGAGTTGACAGATAAAGACAAGGCTTGGGGGTATTTCCAATGACAAGGAGGTGCTTGGAGCTGGAGTTGAACCAGCGACCTTGGGATCACAGCGTTTCACACAAGGAGCATCTTACAGTCCACTGCTCTACCAACTGAGCTATCAAGGTGCTCTCTAGTCACAACAGCAGAAAACATAGTGGCTTTGGAGACACACTTTGCCCACAGAACTATTCCAACCCATGGTCAATGAAAGGCCCAGCCCTACCTGTAGAACAAAGCTTTGCAGTTTGTACCCAACAGTCATTGCCAGGGACCCAGAACTAATAATCAGGACTTTTAGGCTGGGTGAATAAAAAATTGATGGTTGAAAATTAAAGAAAGAGTTATCTTGTTTGTGTTTTTACATTTTGGAGGAGTTGACAGATAAAGACAAGGCTTTGGGGTATTTCCAATCACAAGGAGGTGCTTGGAGCTGGAGATGAACCAGCTACCTTAGGATCACAGTGTTTCACACAAGGAGCATCTTACAGTGCACCGCTCTACCAACTGAGCTATCAAGGTGCTCTCTAGTCACAACAGCAGAAAACATAGTGGCTTTGGAGACACACTATGCCCACAGAACTATTCCAACCCATGGTCAATGAAAAGCCCAGCCCTACCTGTAGAACAAAGCTTTGCAGTTTGTACCCAACAGTCATTGTCAGGGACCCAGAACTAATAATCAGGACTTTTAGGCTGGGTGGATAAAAAATTGTTGGTTGAAAATTTAAGAAAGAGTTATCTTGTTTGTGTTTTTACATTTTGGAGGAGTTGACAGATAAAGACAAGGCTTGGGGGTATTTCCAATGACAAGGAGGTGCTTGGAGCTGGAGTTGAACCAGCGACCTTAGGTTCACAGTGTTTCATACAAGGAGCATCTTACAGTCCACCGCTATACCAACTGAGCTATCAAGGTGCTCTGTAGTCACAACAGCAGAAAACATAGTGGCTTTGGAGACACACTTTGCCCACAGAACTATTCAGACCCATGGTCAATGAAAAGCCCAGCCCTACCTGTAGAACAAAGCTTTGCAGTTTGTAACCAACAGTCATTGCCAGGGACCCAGAACTAATAATCAGGACTTTTAGGCTGGGTGAATAAAAAATTGATGATTGAAAATTTAAGAAAGAGTTATCTTGTTTGTGTTTTTACATTTTGAAAGGGGTTGACAGATAAAGACAAGGCTTGGGGGTATTTCCAATGACAAGGAGGTGCTTTGAGCTGGAGTTGAACCAGCGACCTTAGGATCAGAGCGTTTCACACAAGGAGCATCTTACAGTCCACCGCTCTACCAACTGAGCTATCAAGGTGCTCTATAGTCACAACAGCACAAAACATAGTGGCTTTGGAGACACACTATACCCACAGAACTATTCCAACCCATGGTCAATGAAAAGCCCAGCCCTACCTGTAGAACAAAGCTTTGCAGTTTGTACCCAACCGTCATTGCCAGGGACCCAGAACAAATAATCAGGACTTTTAGGCTGGGTGGATAAAAAATTGTTGGTGGAAAATTTAAGAAAGAGTTATCTTGTTTGTGTTTTTACATTTTGGAGGAGTTGACAGATAAAGACAAGGCTTGGGGGTATTTCCAATGACAAGGAGGTGCTTGAAGCTGGAGTTGAACCAGCGACCTTGGGATCACAGCGTTTCACACAAGGAGCATCTTACAGTCCACTGCTCTACCAACTGAGCTATCAAGGTGCTCTCTAGTCACAACAGCAGAAAACATAGTGGCTTTGGAGACACACTTTGCCCACAGAACTATTCCAACCCATGGTCAATGAAAGGCCCAGCCCTACCTGTAGAACAAAGCTTTGCAGTTTGTACCCAACAGTCATTGCCAGGGACCCAGAACTAATAATCAGGACTTTTAGGCTGGGTGGATAAAAAATTGTTGGTGGAAAATTTAAGAAAGAGTTATCTTGTTTGTGTTTTTACATTTTGGAGGAGTTGACAGATAAAGACAAGGCTTGGGGGTATTTCCAATGACAAGGAGGTGCTTGGAGCTGGAGTTGAACCAGCGACCTTGGGATCACAGCGTTTCACACAAGGAGCATCTTACAGTCCACTGCTCTACCAACTGAGCTATCAAGGTGCTCTATAGTCACAACAGCAGAAAACATAGTGGCTTTGGAGACACACTTTGCCCACAGAACTATTCCAACCCATGGTCAATGAAAGGCCCAGCCCTACCTGTAGAACAAAGCTTTGCAGTTTGTACCCAACGTTCATTGCCAGGGACCCAGAACTAATAATCAGGACTTTTAGGCTGGGTGAATAAAAAATTGATGGTTGAAAATTTAAGAAAGAGTTATCTTGTTTGTGATTTTACATTTTGGAGGAGTTGACAGATAAAGACAAGGCTTGGGGGTATTTCCAATGACAAGGAGGTGCTTGGAGCTGGAGTTGAACCAGCGACCTTAGGATCACAGCGTTTCACACAAGGAGCATCTAACAGTCCACCGCTCTACCAACTGAGCTATCAAGGTGCTCTCTAGTAACAACAGCACAAAACATAGTGGCTTTGGAGACACACTATGCCCACAGAACTATTCCAACCCATGGTCAATGAAAAGCCCAGCCCTACCTGTAGAACAAAGCTTTGCATTTTTTACCCAACAGTCATTGTCAGGGACCCAGAACTAATAATCAGGACTTTTAGGCTGGGTGAATAAAAAATTGATGGTTGAAAATTTAAGAAAGAGTTATCTTGTTTGTGTTTTTACATTTTGGAGGGGTTGACAGATAAAGACAAGGCTTGGGGGTATTTCCAATGACAAGGAGGTGCTTGGAGCTGGAGTTGAACCAGCGACCTTAGATTCACAGCTTTTCATACAAGGAGCATCTTACAGTCCACCGCTCTACCAACTGAGCTATCAAGGTGCTCTCTAGTCACAACAGCACAAAACATAGTGGCTTTGGAGACACACTTTGCCCACAGAACTATTCCAACCCATGGTCAATGAAAGGCCCAGCCCTACCTGTAGAACAAAGCTTTGCAGTTTGTACCCAACAGTCATTGCCAGGGACCCAGAACTAATAATCAGGACTTTTAGGCTGGGTGGATAAAAAATTGATGGTTGAAAATTTAAGAAAGAGTTATCTTGTTTGTGTTTTTACATTTTGGAGGAGTTGACAGATAAAGACAAGGCTTTGGGGTATTTCCAATCACAAGGAGGTGCTTGGAGCTGGAGTTGAACCAGCGACCTTAGGATCACAGCGTTTCACACAAGGAGCATCTTACAGTGCACTGCTCTACCAACTGAGCTATCAAGGTGCTCTCTAGTCAAAACAGCAGAAAACATAGTGGCTTTGGAGACACACTATGCCCACAGAACTATTCCAACCCATGGTCAATGAAAAGCCCAGCCCTACCTGTAGAACAAAGCTTTGCAGTTTGTACCCAACAGTCATTGTCAGGGACCCAGAACTAATAATCAGGACTTTTAGGCTGGGTGGATAAAAAATTGTTGGTTGAAAATTTAAGAGAGAGTTATCTTGTTTGTGTTTTTACATTTTGGAGGAGTTGACAGATAAAGACAAGGCTTGGGGGTATTTCCAATCACAAGGAGGTGCTTGGAGCTGGAGTTGAACCAGCGACCTTAGATTCACAGCTTTTCATACAAGGAGCATCTTACAGTCCACCGCTCTACCAACTGAGCTATCAAGGTGCTCTCTAGTCACAACAGCACAAAACATAGTGGCTTTGGAGACACACTTTGCCCACAGAACTATTCCAACCCATGGTCAATGAAAGGCCCAGCCCTACCTGTAGAACAAAGCTTTGCAGTTTGTAACCAACAGTCATTGCCAGGGACCCAGAACTAATAATCAGGACTTTTAGGCTGGGTGGATAAAAAATTGATGGTTGAAAATTTAAGAAAGAGTTATCTTGTTTGTGTTTTTACATTTTGGAGGAGTTGACAGATAAAGACAAGGCTTTGGGGTATTTCCAATCACAAGGAGGTGCTTGGAGCTGGAGTTGAACCAGCGACCTTAGGATCACAGCGTTTCACACAAGGAGCATCTTACAGTGCACTGCTCTACCAACTGAGCTATCAAGGTGCTCTCTAGTCAAAACAGCAGAAAACATAGTGGCTTTGGAGACACACTATGCCCACAGAACTATTCCAACCCATGGTCAATGAAAAGCCCAGCCCTACCTGTAGAACAAAGCTTTGCAGTTTGTACCCAACAGTCATTGTCAGGGACCCAGAACTAATAATCAGGACTTTTAGGCTGGGTGGATAAAAAATTGTTGGTTGAAAATTTAAGAGAGAGTTATCTTGTTTGTGTTTTTACATTTTGGAGGAGTTGACAGATAAAGACAAGGCTTGGGGGTATTTCCAATCACAAGGAGGTGCTTGGAGCTGGAGTTGAACCAGCGACCTTAGGATGACAGCTTTTCACACAAGGAGACTCTTACAGTCCACCGCTCTACCAACTGAGCTATGAAGGTGCTGTATAGTCACAACAGCAGAAAACATAGTGGCTTTGGAGACACACTATGCCCACAGAACTATTCCAACCCATGGTCAATGAAAAGCCCAGCCCTACCTGTAGAACAAAGCTTTGCAGTTTGTAACCAACAGTCATTGCCAGGGACCCAGAACTAATAATCAGGACTTTTAGGCTGGGTGAATAAAAAATTGATGGTTGAAAATTTAAGAAAGAGTTATCTTGTTTGTGTTTTTACATTTTGAAAGGGGTTGACAGATAAAGACAAGGCTTGGGGGTATTTCCAATGACAAGGAGGTGCTTGGAGCTGGAGTTGAACCAGCGACCTTAGGATCACAGCTTTTGCACACAAGGAGCATCTTACAGTCCACCGCTCTACCAACTGAGCTATCAAGGTGCTCTATAGTCACAACAGCAGAAAACATAGTGGCTTTGGAGACACACTATGCCCACAGAACTATTCCAACCCATGGTCAATGAAAAGCCCAGCCCTACCTGTAGAACAAAGCTTTGCAGTTTGTACCCAACAGTCATAGCCAGGGACCCAGAACTAATAATCAGGACGTTTAGGCTGGGTGGATAAAAAATTGTTGGTTGAAAATTTAAGAAAGAGTTATCTTGTTTGTGATTTTACATTTTGGAGGAGTTGACAGATAAAGACAAGGCTTGGGGGTATTTCCAATGACAAGGAGGTGCTTGGAGCTGGAGTTGAACCAGCGACCTTAGGATCACAGCGTTTCACACAAGGAGCATCTAACAGTCCACCGCTCTACCAACTGAGCTATCAAGGTGCTCTCTAGTAACAACAGCACAAAACATAGTGGCTTTGGAGACACACTATGCCCACAGAACTATTCCAACCCATGGTCAATGAAAAGCCCAGCCCTACCTGTAGAACAAAGCTTTGCATTTTTTACCCAACAGTCATTGTCAGGGACCCAGAACTAATAATCAGGACTTTTAGGCTGGGTGAATAAAAAATTGATGGTTGAAAATTTAAGAAAGAGTTATCTTGTTTGTGTTTTTACATTTTGGAGGGGTTGACAGATAAAGACAAGGCTTGGGGGTATTTCCAATGACAAGGAGGTGCTTGGAGCTGGAGTTGAACCAGCGACCTTAGATTCACAGCTTTTCATACAAGGAGCATCTTACAGTCCACCGCTCTACCAACTGAGCTATCAAGGTGCTCTCTAGTCACAACAGCACAAAACATAGTGGCTTTGGAGACACACTTTGCCCACAGAACTATTCCAACCCATGGTCAATGAAAGGCCCAGCCCTACCTGTAGAACAAAGCTTTGCAGTTTGTACCCAACAGTCATTGCCAGGGACCCAGAACTAATAATCAGGACTTTTAGGCTGGGTGGATAAAAAATTGATGGTTGAAAATTTAAGAAAGAGTTATCTTGTTTGTGTTTTTACATTTTGGAGGAGTTGACAGATAAAGACAAGGCTTTGGGGTATTTCCAATCACAAGGAGGTGCTTGGAGCTGGAGTTGAACCAGCGACCTTAGGATCACAGCGTTTCACACAAGGAGCATCTTACAGTGCACTGCTCTACCAACTGAGCTATCAAGGTGCTCTCTAGTCAAAACAGCAGAAAACATAGTGGCTTTGGAGACACACTATGCCCACAGAACTATTCCAACCCATGGTCAATGAAAAGCCCAGCCCTACCTGTAGAACAAAGCTTTGCAGTTTGTACCCAACAGTCATTGTCAGGGACCCAGAACTAATAATCAGGACTTTTAGGCTGGGTGGATAAAAAATTGTTGGTTGAAAATTTAAGAGAGAGTTATCTTGTTTGTGTTTTTACATTTTGGAGGAGTTGACAGATAAAGACAAGGCTTGGGGGTATTTCCAATCACAAGGAGGTGCTTGGAGCTGGAGTTGAACCAGCGACCTTAGGATGACAGCTTTTCACACAAGGAGACTCTTACAGTCCACCGCTCTACCAACTGAGCTATGAAGGTGCTGTATAGTCACAACAGCAGAAAACATAGTGGCTTTGGAGACACACTATGCCCACAGAACTATTCCAACCCATGGTCAATGAAAAGCCCAGCCCTACCTGTAGAACAAAGCTTTGCAGTTTGTAACCAACAGTCATTGCCAGGGACCCAGAACTAATAATCAGGACTTTTAGGCTGGGTGAATAAAAAATTGATGGTTGAAAATTTAAGAAAGAGTTATCTTGTTTGTGTTTTTACATTTTGAAAGGGGTTGACAGATAAAGACAAGGCTTGGGGGTATTTCCAATGACAAGGAGGTGCTTGGAGCTGGAGTTGAACCAGCGACCTTAGGATCACAGCTTTTGCACACAAGGAGCATCTTACAGTCCACCGCTGTACCAACTGAGCTATCAAGGTGCTCTATAGTCACAACAGCAGAAAACATAGTGGCTTTGGAGACACACTATGCCCACAGAACTATTCCAACCCATGGTCAATGAAAAGCCCAGCCCTACCTGTAGAACAAAGCTTTGCAGTTTGTACCCAACAGTCATAGCCAGGGACCCAGAACTAATAATCAGGACGTTTAGGCTGGGTGGATAAAAAATTGTTGGTGGAAAATTTAAGAAAGAGTTATCTTTTTTGTGTTTTTACATTTTGAAAGGGGTTGACAGATAAAGACAAGGCTTGGGGGTATTTCCAATGACAAGGAGGTGCTTGGAGCTGGAGTTGAACCAGCGACCTTAGGATGACAGCTTTTGCACACAAGGAGCATCTTACAGTCCACCGCTGTACCAACTGAGCTATCAAGGTGCTCTATAGTCACAACAGCAGAAAACATAGTGGCTTTGGAGACACACTATGCCCACAGAACTATTCCAACCTATGGTCAATGAAAAGCCCAGCCCTACCTGTAGAACAAAGCTTTGCAGTTTGTACCCAACAGTCATAGCCAGGGACCCAGAACTAATAATCAGGACGTTTAGGCTGGGTGGATAAAAAATTGTTGGTGGAAAATTTAAGAAAGAGTTATCTTGTTTTTGTTTTTACATTTTGGAGGAGTTGACAGATAAAGACAAGGCTTGGGGGTATTTCCAATGACAAGGAGGTGCTTGGAGCTGGAGTTGAACCAGCGACCTTGGGATCACAGTGTTTCACACAAGGAGCATCTTACAGTCCACCGCTCTACCAACTGAGCTATCAAGGTGCTCTATAGTCACAACAGCACAAAACATAGTGGCTTTGGAGACACACTTTGCCCACAGAACTATTCCAACCCATGGTCAATGAAAAGCCCAGCCCTACCTGTAGAACAAAGCTTTGCAGTTTGTACCCAACAGTCATAGCCAGGGACCCAGAACTAATAATCAGGACGTTTAGGCTGGGTGAATAAAAAATTGATGGTTGAAAATTTAAGAAAGAGTTATCTTTGTGTTTTTACATTTTGGAGGAGTTGACAGATAAAGACAAGGCTTGGGGGTATTTCCAATGACAAGGAGGTGCTTGGAGCTGGAGTTGAACCAGCAAACTTAGAAACACAGCGTTTCATACAAGGAGCATCTTACAGTCCACCGCTCTACCAACTGAGCTATCAAGGTGCTCTTTAGTCACAACAGCACAAAACATAGTGGCTTTGGAGACACACTTTGCCCACAGAACTATTCCAACCCATGGTCAATGAAAAGCCCAGCCCGACCTACAGAACAAAGCTTTGCAGTTTGTACCCAACAGTCATTGTCAGGGACCCAGAACTAATAATGAGAACTTTTAAGGCTGGGTGAAAAAAAAATTGTGGTTGAAAATTTAAGAAAGAGTTATCTTGTTTGTGTTTTTACATTTTGGAGGAGTTGATTGATAAAGACAAGGCTTGGGGGTATTTCCAATCACAAGGAGGTGCTTGGAGCTGGAGTTGAACCAGCAACATTAGGATCACAGTGTTTCACACAAGGAGCATCTTACAGTCCACTGCTCTACCAACTGAGCTTATCAAGGTGCTCTATAGTCACAACAGCAGAAAACATAGTGGCTTTGGAGACACACTATGCCCACAGAACTATTCCAACCCATGGTCAATGAAAAGCCAAGCCCTACCTGTAGAACAAAGCTTTGCAGTTTGTACCCAACAGTCATAGCCAGGGACCCAGAACTAATAATCAGGACGTTTAGGCTGGGTGGATAAAAAATTGTTGGTGGAAAATTTAAGAAAGAGTTATCTTGTTTGTGTTTTTACATTTTGGAGGAGTTGACAGATAAAGACAAGGCTTGGGGGTATTTCCAATGACAAGGAGGTGCTTGGAGCTGGAGTTGAACCAGCGACCTTGGGATCACAGCGTTTCACACAAGGAGCATCTTACAGTCCACCGCTCTACCAACTGAGCTATCAAGGTGCTCTATAGTCACAACAGCACAAAACATAGTGGCTTTGGAGACACACTTTGCCCACAGAACTATTCCAACCCATGGTCAATGAAAAGCCCAGCCCTACCTGTAGAACAAAGCTTTGCAGTTTGTACCCAACAGTCATAGCCAGGGACCCAGAACTAATAATCAGGACGTTTAGGCTGGGTGAATAAAAAATTGATGGTTGAAAATTTAAGAAAGAGTTATCTTTGTGTTTTTACATTTTGGAGGAGTTGACAGATAAAGACAAGGCTTGGGGGTATTTCCAATGACAAGGAGGTGCTTGGAGCTGGAGTTGAACCAGCAAACTTAGAAACACAGCGTTTCATACAAGGAGCATCTTACAGTCCACCGCTCTACCAACTGAGCTATCAAGGTGCTCTTTAGTCACAACAGCACAAAACATAGTGGCTTTGGAGACACACTTTGCCCACAGAACTATTCCAACCCATGGTCAATGAAAAGCCCAGCCCGACCTACAGAACAAAGCTTTGCAGTTTGTACCCAACAGTCATTGTCAGGGACCCAGAACTAATAATGAGAACTTTTAAGGCTGGGTGAAAAAAAAATTGTGGTTGAAAATTTAAGAAAGAGTTATCTTGTTTGTGTTTTTACATTTTGGAGGAGTTGATTGATAAAGACAAGGCTTGGGGATATTTCCAATCACAAGGAGGTGCTTGGAGCTGGAGTTGAACCAGCAACATTAGGATCACAGTGTTTCACACAAGGAGCATCTTACAGTCCACTGCTCTACCAACTGAGCTTATCAAGGTGCTCTATAGTCACAACAGCAGAAAACATAGTGGCTTTGGAGACACACTATGCCCACAGAACTATTCCAACCCATGGTCAATGAAAAGCCAAGCCCTACCTGTAGAACAAAGCTTTGCAGTTTGTACCCAACAGTCATAGCCAGGGACCCAGAACTAATAATCAGGACGTTTAGGCTGGGTGGATAAAAAATTGTTGGTGGAAAATTTAAGAAAGAGTTATCTTGTTTGTGTTTTTACATTTTGGAGGAGTTGACAGATAAAGACAAGGCTTGGGGGTATTTCCAATGACAAGGAGGTGCTTGGAGCTGGAGTTGAACCAGCGACCTTGGGATCACAGCGTTTCACACAAGGAGCATCTTACAGTCCACCGCTCTACCAACTGAGCTATCAAGGTGCTCTCTAGTCACAACAGCAGAAAACATAGTGGCTTTGGAGACACACTTTGCCCACAGAACTATTCCAACCCATGGTCAATAAAAAGCCCAGCCCTACCTGTAGAACAAAGCTTTGCAGTTTGTAACCAACAGTCATTGCCAGGGACCCAGAACTAATAATCAGGACTTTTAGGCTGGGTGAATAAAAAATTGATGGTTGAAAATTTAAGAAAGAGTTATCTTGTTTGTGTTTTTACATTTTGAAAGGGGTTGACAGATAAAGACAAGGCTTGGGGGTATTTCCAATGACAAGGAGGTGCTTGGAGCTGGAGTTGAACCAGCGACCTTAGGATCAGAGCGTTTCACACAAGGAGCATCTTACAGTCCACTGCTCTACCAACTGAGCTTATCAAGGTGCTCTCTAGTCACAACAGCAGAAAACATAGTGGCTTTGGAGACACACTTTGCCCACAGAACTATTCCAACCCATGGTCAATGAAAAGCCCAGCCCTACCTGTAGAACAAAGCTTTGCAGTTTGTACCCAACAGTCATTGCCAGGGACCCAGAACTAATAATCAGGACTTTTAGGCTGGGTGGATAAAAAATTGTTGGTGGAAAATTTAAGAAAGAGTTATCTTGTTTGTGTTTTTACATTTTGGAGGAGTTGACAGATAAAGACAAGGCTTGGGGGTATTTCTAATCACAAGGAGGTGCTTGGAGCTGGAGTTGAACCAGCGACCTTGGGATCACAGCGTTTCACACAAGGAGCATCTTACAGTCCACTGCTCTACCAACTGAGCTTATCAAGGTGCTCTCTAGTCACAACAGCAGAAAACATAGTGGCTTTGGAGACACACTTTGCCCACAGAACTATTCCAACCCATGGTCAATGAAAAGCCCAGCCCTACCTGTAGAACAAAGCTTTGCAGTTTGTACCCAACAGTCATTGCCAGGGACCCAGAACAAATAATCAGGACTTTTAGGCTGGGTGGATAAAAAATTGTTGGTGGAAAATTTAAGAAAGAGTTATCTTGTTTGTGTTTTTACATTTTGGAGGAGTTGACAGATAAAGACAAGGCTTGGGGGTATTTCCAATCACAAGGAGGTGCTTGGAGCTGGAGTTGAACCAGCGACCTTAGGATCACAGCGTTTCACACAAGGAGCATCTAACAGTCCACCGCTCTACCAACTGAGCTATCAAGGTGCTCTCTAGTCACAACAGCACAAAACATAGTGGCTTTGGAGACACACTATGCCCACAGAACTATTCCAACCCATGGTCAATGAAAAGCCCAGCCCGACCTGCAGAACAAAGCTTTGCAGTTTGTACCCAACAGTCATTGTCAGGGACCCAGAACTAATAATGAGAACTTTTAAGGCTGGGTGAAAAAAAAATTGATGGTTGAAAATTTAAGAAAGAGTTATCTTGTTTGTGTTTTTACATTTTGGAGGAGTTGACAGATAAAGACAAGGCTTGGGGGTATTTACAATGACAAGGAGGTGCTTGGAGCTGGAGTTGAACCAGCGACCTTAGAATCACAGCGTTTCATACAAGGAGCATCTTACAGTCCACTGCTCTACCAACTGAGCTATCAAGGTGCTCTCTAGTCACAACAGCACAAAACATAGTGGCTTTGGAGACACACTATGCCCACAGAACTATTCCAACCCATGGTCAATGAAAAGCCAAGCCCTACCTGTAGAACAAAGCTTTGCAGTTTGTACCCAACAGTCATTGCCAGGGACCCAGAACTAATAATCAGGACTTTTAGTCTGGGTGGATAAAAAATTGATGGTTGAAAATTTAAGAATGAGTTAACTTGTTTGTGTTTTTACATTTTGGAGGAGTTAATTGATAAACACATGGCTTGGGGGTATTTCCAATCACAAGGAGGTGCTTGGAGCTGGAGTTGAACCAGCAACATTAGGATCACAGTGTTTCACACAAGGAGCATCTTACAGTCCACCGCTCTACCAACTGAGCTTATCAAGGTGCTCTCTAATCACAACAGCAGAAAACATAGTGGCTTTGGAGACACACTATGCCCACAGAACTATTCCAACCCATGGTCAATGAAAAGCCCAGCCCTACCTGTAGAACAAAGCTTTGCAGTTTGTACCCAACAGTCATAGCCAGGGACCCAGAACTAATAATCAGGACTTTTAGGCTGGGTGAATAAAAAATTGATGGTTGAAAATTTAAGAAAGAGTTATCTTGTTTGTGTTTTTACATTTTGGAGGAGTTGACAGATAAAGACAAGGCTTGGGGGTATTTCCAATGACAAGGAGGTGCTTGGAGCTGGAGTTGAACCAGCGACCTTGGGATCACAGCGTTTCACACAAGGAGCATCTTACAGTCCACTGCTCTACCAACTGAGCTATCAAGGTGCTCTCTAGTCACAACAGCAGAAAACATAGTGGCTTTGGAGACACACTTTGCCCACAGAACTATTCCAACCCATGGTCAATGAAAGGCCCAGCCCTATCTGTAGAACAAAGCTTTGCAGTTTGTACCCAACAGTCATAGCCAGGGACCCAGAACTAATAATCAGGACGTTTAGGCTGGGTGGATAAAAAATTGTTGGTGGAAAATTTAAGAAAGAGTTATCTTGTTTGTGTTTTTACATTTTGGAGGAGTTGACAGATAAAGACAAGGCTTGGGGGTATTTCCAATCACAAGGAGGTGCTTGGAGCTGGAGTTGAACCAGCGACCTTAGGATCACAGCGTTTCACACAAGGAGCATCTAACAGTCCACCGCTGTACCAACTGAGCTATCAAGGTGCTCTATAGTCACAACAGCAGAAAACATAGTGACTTTGGAGACACACTTTGCCCACAGAACTATTCCAACCCATGGTCAATGAAAAGCCCAGCCCTACCTGTAGAACAAAGCTTTGCAGTTTGTAACCAACAGTCATTGCCAGGGACCCAGAACTAATAATCAGGACTTTTAGGCTGGGTGAATAAAAAATTGATGGTTGAAAATTTAAGAAAGAGTTATCTTGTTTGTGTTTTTACATTTTGAAAGGGGTTGACAGATAAAGACAAGGCTTGGGGGTATTTCCAATGACAAGGAGGTGCTTGGAGCTGGAGTTGAACCAGCGACCTTAGGATCAGAGCGTTTCACACAAGGAGCATCTTACAGTCCACTGCTCTACCAACTGAGCTTATCAAGGTGCTCTCTAGTCACAACAGCAGAAAACATAGTGGCTTTGGAGACACACTTTGCCCACAGAACTATTCCAACCCATGGTCAATGAAAAGCCCAGCCCTACCTGTAGAACAAAGCTTTGCAGTTTGTACCCAACAGTCATTGCCAGGGACCCAGAACTAATAATCAGGACTTTTAGGCTGGGTGGATAAAAAATTGTTGGTGGAAAATTTAAGAAAGAGTTATCTTTTTTGTGTTTTTACATTTTGGAGGAGTTGACAGATAAAGACAAGGCTTGGGGGTATTTCTAATCACAAGGAGGTGCTTGGAGCTGGAGTTGAACCAGCGACCTTGGGATCACAGCGTTTCACACAAGGAGCATCTTACAGTCCACTGCTCTACCAACTGAGCTTATCAAGGTGCTCTCTAGTCACAACAGCAGAAAACATAGTGGCTTTGGAGACACACTTTGCCCACAGAACTATTCCAACCCATGGTCAATGAAAAGCCCAGCCCTACCTGTAGAACAAAGCTTTGCAGTTTGTACCCAACAGTCATTGCCAGGGACCCAGAACAAATAATCAGGACTTTTAGGCTGGGTGGATAAAAAATTGTTGGTGGAAAATTTAAGAAAGAGTTATCTTGTTTGTGTTTTTACATTTTGGAGGAGTTGACAGATAAAGACAAGGCTTGGGGGTATTTCCAATCACAAGGAGGTGCTTGGAGCTGGAGTTGAACCAGCGACCTTAGGATCACAGCGTTTCACACAAGGAGCATCTAACAGTCCACCGCTCTACCAACTGAGCTATCAAGGTGCTCTGTAGTCACAACAGCACAAAACATAGTGGCTTTGGAGACACACTATGCCCACAGAACTATTCCAACCCATGGTCAATGAAAAGCCCAGCCCGACCTGCAGAACAAAGCTTTGCAGTTTGTACCCAACAGTCATTGTCAGGGACCCAGAACTAATAATGAGAACTTTTAAGGCTGGGTGAAAAAAAAATTGTGGTGGAAAATTTAAGAAAGAGTTATCTTGTTTGTGTTTTTACATTTTGGAGGAGTTGACAGATAAAGACAAGGCTTGGGGGTATTTCCAATGACAAGGAGGTGCTTGGAGCTGGAGTTGAACCAGCGACCTTGGGATCACAGCGTTTCACACAAGGACCATCTTACAGTCCACCGCTCTACCAACTGAGCTATCAAGGTGCTCTATAGTCACAACAGCACAAAACATAGTGGCTTTGGAGACACACTTTGCCCACAGAACTATTCCAACCCATGGTCAATGAAAAGCCCAGCCCTACCTGTAGAACAAAGCTTTGCAGTTTGTACCCAACAGTCATTGTCAGGGACCCAGAACTAATAATCAGGACTTTTAGGCTGGGTGAATAAAAAATTGATGGTTGAAAATTTAAGAAAGAGTTATCTTGTTTGTGTTTTTACATTTTGGAGGAGTTGACAGATAAAGACAAGGCTTGGGGGTATTTACAATGACAAGGAGGTGCTTGGAGCTGGAGTTGAACCAGCGACCTTAGAATCACAGCGTTTCATACAAGGAGCATCTTACAGTCCACTGCTCTACCAACTGAGCTATCAAGGTGCTCTCTAGTCACAACAGCACAAAACATAGTGGCTTTGGAGACACACTATGCCCACAGAACTATTCCAACCCATGGTCAATGAAAAGCCAAGCCCTACCTGTAGAACAAAGCTTTGCAGTTTGTACCCAACAGTCATTGCCAGGGACCCAGAACTAATAATCAGGACTTTTAGGCTGGGTGGATAAAAAATTGATGGTTGAAAATTTAAGAATGAGTTAACTTGTTTGTGTTTTTACATTTTGGAGGAGTTAATTGATAAACACATGGCTTGGGGGTATTTCCAATCACAAGGAGGTGCTTGGAGCTGGAGTTGAACCAGCAACATTAGGATCACAGTGTTTCACACAAGGAGCATCTTACAGTCCACCGCTCTACCAACTGAGCTTATCAAGGTGCTCTCTAATCACAACAGCAGAAAACATAGTGGCTTTGGAGACACACTATGCCCACAGAACTATTCCAACCCATGGTCAATGAAAAGCCCAGCCCTACCTGTAGAACAAAGCTTTGCAGTTTGTACCCAACAGTCATAGCCAGGGACCCAGAACTAATAATCAGGACTTTTAGGCTGGGTGAATAAAAAATTGATGGTTGAAAATTTAAGAAAGAGTTATCTTGTTTGTGTTTTTACATTTTGGAGGAGTTGACAGATAAAGACAAGGCTTGGGGGTATTTCCAATGACAAGGAGGTGCTTGGAGCTGGAGTTGAACCAGCGACCTTGGGATCACAGCGTTTCACACAAGGAGCATCTTACAGTCCACTGCTCTACCAACTGAGCTATCAAGGTGCTCTCTAGTCACAACAGCAGAAAACATAGTGGCTTTGGAGACACACTTTGCCCACAGAACTATTCCAACCCATGGTCAATGAAAGGCCCAGCCCTATCTGTAGAACAAAGCTTTGCAGTTTGTACCCAACAGTCATAGCCAGGGACCCAGAACTAATAATCAGGACGTTTAGGCTGGGTGGATAAAAAATTGTTGGTGGAAAATTTAAGAAAGAGTTATCTTGTTTGTGTTTTTACATTTTGGAGGAGTTGACAGATAAAGACAAGGCTTGGGGGTATTTCCAATCACAAGGAGGTGCTTGGAGCTGGAGTTGAACCAGCGACCTTAGGATCACAGCGTTTCACACAAGGAGCATCTAACAGTCCACCGCTGTACCAACTGAGCTATCAAGGTGCTCTATAGTCACAACAGCAGAAAACATAGTGGCTTTGGAGACACACTTTGCCCACAGAACTATTCCAACCCATGGTCAATGAAAAGCCCAGCCCTACCTGTAGAACAAAGCTTTGCAGTTTGTAACCAACAGTCATTGCCAGGGACCCAGAACTAATAATCAGGACTTTTAGGCTGGGTGGATAAAAAATTGTTGGTGGAAAATTTAAGAAAGAGTTATCTTGTTTGTGTTTTTACATTTTGGAGGAGTTGACAGATAAAGACAAGGCTTGGGGGTATTTCTAATCACAAGGAGGTGCTTGGAGCTGGAGTTGAACCAGCGACCTTGGGATCACAGCGTTTCACACAAGGAGCATCTTACAGTCCACTGCTCTACCAACTGAGCTTATCAAGGTGCTCTCTAGTCACAACAGCAGAAAACATAGTGGCTTTGGAGACACACTTTGCCCACAGAACTATTCCAACCCATGGTCAATGAAAAGCCCAGCCCTACCTGTAGAACAAAGCTTTGCAGTTTGTACCCAACAGTCATTGCCAGGGACCCAGAACAAATAATCAGGACTTTTAGGCTGGGTGGATAAAAAATTGTTGGTGGAAAATTTAAGAAAGAGTTATCTTGTTTGTGTTTTTACATTTTGGAGGAGTTGACAGATAAAGACAAGGCTTGGGGGTATTTCCAATCACAAGGAGGTGCTTGGAGCTGGAGTTGAACCAGCGACCTTAGGATCACAGCGTTTCACACAAGGAGCATCTAACAGTCCACCGCTGTACCAACTGAGCTATCAAGGTGCTCTCTAGTCACAACAGCACAAAACATAGTGGCTTTGGAGACACACTATGCCCACAGAACTATTCCAACCCATGGTCAATGAAAAGCCCAGCCCGACCTGCAGAACAAAGCTTTGCAGTTTGTACCCAACAGTCATTGTCAGGGACCCAGAACTAATAATGAGAACTTTTAAGGCTGGGTGAAAAAAAAATTGTGGTGGAAAATTTAAGAAAGAGTTATCTTGTTTGTGTTTTTACATTTTGGAGGAGTTGACAGATAAAGACAAGGCTTGGGGGTATTTCCAATGACAAGGAGGTGCTTGGAGCTGGAGTTGAACCAGCGACCTTGGGATCACAGCGTTTCACACAAGGACCATCTTACAGTCCACCGCTCTACCAACTGAGCTATCAAGGTGCTCTATAGTCACAACAGCACAAAACATAGTGGCTTTGGAGACACACTTTGCCCACAGAACTATTCCAACCCATGGTCAATGAAAAGCCCAGCCCTACCTGTAGAACAAAGCTTTGCAGTTTGTACCCAACAGTCATTGTCAGGGACCCAGAACTAATAATCAGGACTTTTAGGCTGGGTGAATAAAAAATTGATGGTTGAAAATTTAAGAAAGAGTTATCTTGTTTGTGTTTTTACATTTTGGAGGAGTTGACAGATAAAGACAAGGCTTGGGGGTATTTACAATGACAAGGAGGTGCTTGGAGCTGGAGTTGAACCAGCGACCTTAGAATCACAGCGTTTCATACAAGGAGCATCTTACAGTCCACTGCTCTACCAACTGAGCTATCAAGGTGCTCTCTAGTCACAACAGCACAAAACATAGTGGCTTTGGAGACACACTATGCCCACAGAACTATTCCAACCCATGGTCAATGAAAAGCCAAGCCCTACCTGTAGAACAAAGCTTTGCAGTTTGTACCCAACAGTCATTGCCAGGGACCCAGAACTAATAATCAGGACTTTTAGGCTGGGTGGATAAAAAATTGATGGTTGAAAATTTAAGAATGAGTTAACTTGTTTGTGTTTTTACATTTTGGAGGAGTTAATTGATAAACACATGGCTTGGGGGTATTTCCAATCACAAGGAGGTGCTTGGAGCTGGAGTTGAACCAGCAACATTAGGATCACAGTGTTTCACACAAGGAGCATCTTACAGTCCACCGCTCTACCAACTGAGCTTATCAAGGTGCTCTCTAATCACAACAGCAGAAAACATAGTGGCTTTGGAGACACACTATGCCCACAGAACTATTCCAACCCATGGTCAATGAAAAGCCCAGCCCTACCTGTAGAACAAAGCTTTGCAGTTTGTACCCAACAGTCATAGCCAGGGACCCAGAACTAATAATCAGGACTTTTAGGCTGGGTGAATAAAAAATTGATGGTTGAAAATTTAAGAAAGAGTTATCTTGTTTGTGTTTTTACATTTTGGAGGAGTTGACAGATAAAGACAAGGCTTGGGGGTATTTCCAATGACAAGGAGGTGCTTGGAGCTGGAGTTGAACCAGCGACCTTGGGATCACAGCGTTTCACACAAGGAGCATCTTACAGTCCACTGCTCTACCAACTGAGCTATCAAGGTGCTCTCTAGTCACAACAGCAGAAAACATAGTGGCTTTGGAGACACACTTTGCCCACAGAACTATTCCAACCCATGGTCAATGAAAGGCCCAGCCCTATCTGTAGAACAAAGCTTTGCAGTTTGTACCCAACAGTCATAGCCAGGGACCCAGAACTAATAATCAGGACGTTTAGGCTGGGTGGATAAAAAATTGTTGGTGGAAAATTTAAGAAAGAGTTATCTTGTTTGTGTTTTTACATTTTGGAGGAGTTGACAGATAAAGACAAGGCTTGGGGGTATTTCCAATCACAAGGAGGTGCTTGGAGCTGGAGTTGAACCAGCGACCTTAGGATCACAGCGTTTCACACAAGGAGCATCTAACAGTCCACCGCTGTACCAACTGAGCTATCAAGGTGCTCTATAGTCACAACAGCAGAAAACATAGTGACTTTGGAGACACACTTTGCCCACAGAACTATTCCAACCCATGGTCAATGAAAAGCCCAGCCCTACCTGTAGAACAAAGCTTTGCAGTTTGTAACCAACAGTCATTGCCAGGGACCCAGAACTAATAATCAGGACTTTTAGGCTGGGTGAATAAAAAATTGATGGTTGAAAATTTAAGAAAGAGTTATCTTGTTTGTGTTTTTACATTTTGAAAGGGGTTGACAGATAAAGACAAGGCTTGGGGGTATTTCCAATGACAAGGAGGTGCTTGGAGCTGGAGTTGAACCAGCGACCTTAGGATCAGAGCGTTTCACACAAGGAGCATCTTACAGTCCACCGCTCTACCAACTGAGCTATCAAGGTGCTCTATAGTCACAACAGCAGAAAACATAGTGGCTTTGGAGACACACTATGCCCACAGAACTATTCCAACCCATGGTCAATGAAAAGCCCAGCCCTACCTGTAGAACAAAGCTTTGCAGTTTGTACCCAACAGTCATTGCCAGGGACCCAGAACTAATAATCAGGACGTTTAGGCTGGGTGGATAAAAAATTGTTGGTGGAAAATTTAAGAAAGAGTTATCTTGTTTGTGTTTTTACATTTTGGAGGAGTTGACAGATAAAGACAAGGCTTGGGGGTATTTCCAATGACAAGGAGGTGCTTGGAGCTGGAGTTGAACCAGCGACCTTGGGATCACAGCGTTTCACACAAGGAGCATCTTACAGTCCACCGCTCTACCAACTGAGCTATCAAGGTGCTCTATAGTCACAACAGCACAAAACATAGTGGCTTTGGAGACACACTTTGCCCACAGAACTATTCCAACCCATGGTCAATGAAAAGCCCAGCCCTACCTGTAGAACAAAGCTTTGCAGTTTGTACCCAACAGTCATTGTCAGGTACCCAGAACTAATAATCAGGACTTTTAGGCTGGGTGAATAAAAAATTGATGGTTGAAAATTTAAGAAAGAGTTATCTTGTTTGTGTTTTTACATTTTGGAGGAGTTGACAGATAAAGACAAGGCTTGGGGGTATTTCCAATGACAAGGAGGTGCTTGGAGCTGGAGTTGAACCAGCGACCTTAGAATCACAGCGTTTCATACAAGGAGCATCTTACAGTCCACCGCTCTACCAACTGAGCTATCAAGGTGCTCTATAGTCACAACAGCACAAAACATAGTGGCTTTGGAGACACACTATGCCCACAGAACTATTCCAACCCATGGTCAATGAAAAGCCAAGCCCTACCTGTAGAACAAAGCTTTGCAGTTTGTACCCAAAAGTCATTGCCAGGGACCCAGAACTAATAATCAGGACTTTTAGGCTGGGTGAATAAAAAATTGATGGTTGAAAATTTAAGAAAGAGTTATCTTGTTTGTGTTTTTAGATTTTGGAGAAGTTAATTGATAAACACATGGCTAGGGGGTATTTCCAATCACAAGGAGGTGCTTGGAGCTGGAGTTGAACCAGCAACATTAGGATCACAGTGTTTCACACAAGGAGCATCTTACAGTCCACTGCTCTACCAACTGAGCTTATCAAGGTGCTCTATAGTCACAACAGCAGAAAACATAGTGGCTTTGGAGACACACTATGCCCACAGAACTATTCCAACCCATGGTCAATGAAAAGCCCAGCCCTACCTGTAGAACAAAGCTTTGCAGTTTGTACCCAACAGTCATAGCCAGGGACCCAGAACTAATAATCAGGACTTTTAGGCTGGGTGAATAAAAAATTGATGGTTGAAAATTTAAGAAAGAGTTATCTTGTTTGTGTTTTTACATTTTGGAGGAGTTGACAGATAAAGACAAGGCTTGGGGGTATTTCCAATGACAAGGAGGTGCTTGGAGCTGGAGTTGAACCAGCGACCTTAGAATCACAGCGTTTCATACAAGGAGCATCTTACAGTCCACCGCTCTACCAACTGAGCTATCAAGGTGCTCTCTAGTCACAACAGCACAAAACATAGTGGCTTTGGAGACACACTATGCCCACAGAACTATTCCAACCCATGGTCAATGAAAAGCCAAGCCCTACCTGTAGAACAAAGCTTTGCAGTTTGTACCCAAAAGTCATTGCCAGGGACCCAGAACTAATAATCAGGACTTTTAGGCTGGGTGAATAAAAAATTGATGGTTGAAAATTTAAGAAAGAGTTATCTTGTTTGTGTTTTTAGATTTTGGAGAAGTTAATTGATAAACACATGGCTAGGGGGTATTTCCAATCACAAGGAGGTGCTTGGAGCTGGAGTTGAACCAGCAACATTAGGATCACAGTGTTTCACACAAGGAGCATCTTACAGTCCACTGCTCTACCAACTGAGCTTATCAAGGTGCTCTATAGTCACAACAGCAGAAAACATAGTGGCTTTGGAGACACACTATGCCCACAGAACTATTCCAACCCATGGTCAATGAAAAGCCCAGCCCTACCTGTAGAACAAAGCTTTGCAGTTTGTACCCAACAGTCATAGCCAGGGACCCAGAACTAATAATCAGGACTTTTAGGCTGGGTGAATAAAAAATTGATGGTTGAAAATTTAAGAAAGAGTTATCTTGTTTGTGTTTTTACATTTTGGAGGAGTTGACAGATAAAGACAAGGCTTGGGGGTATTTCCAATGACAAGGAGGTGCTTGGAGCTGGAGTTGAACAAGCGACCTTGGGATCACAGCGTTTCACACAAGGAGCATCTTACAGTCCACCGCTCTACCAACTGAGCTATCAAGGTGCTCTGTAGTCACAACAGCAGAAAACATAGTGGCTTTGGAGACACACTTTGCCCACAGAACTATTCCAACCCATGGTCAATGAAAAGCCCAGCCCTACCTGTAGAACAAAGCTTTGCAGTTTGTAACCAACAGTCATTGCCAGGGACCCAGAACTAATAATCAGGACTTTTAGGCTGGGTGAATAAAAAATTGATGGTTGAAAATTTAAGAAAAAGTTATCTTGTTTGTGTTTTTACATTTTGAAAGGGGTTGACAGATAAAGACAAGGCTTGGGGGTATTTCCAATGACAAGGAGGTGCTTGGAGCTGGAGTTGAACCAGCGACCTTGGGATCACAGCGTTTCACACAAGGAGCATCTTACAGTCCACCGCTCTACCAACTGAGCTATCAAGGTGCTCTATAGTCACAACAGCACAAAACATAGTGGCTTTGGAGACACACTTTGCCCACAGAACTATTCCAACCCATGGTCAATGAAAAGCCCAGCCCTACCTGTAGAACAAAGCTTTGCAGTTTGTACCCAACAGTCATTGTCAGGGACCCAGAACTAATAATCAGGACTTTTAGGCTGGGTGAATAAAAAATTGATGGTTGAAAATTTAAGAAAGAGTTATCTTGTTTGTGTTTTTACATTTTGGAGGAGTTGACAGATAAAGACAAGGCTTGGGGGTTTTTCCAATGACAAGGAGGTGCTTGGAGCTGGAGTTGAACCAGCGACCTTAGAATCACAGCGTTTCATACAAGGAGCATCTTACAGTCCACCGCTCTACCAACTGAGCTTTCAAGGTGGTCTCTAGTCACAACAGCACAAAACATAGTGGCTTTGGAGACACACTATGCCCACAGAACTATTCCAACCCATGGTCAATGAAAAGCCCAGCCCGACCTGCAGAACAAAGCTTTGCAGTTTGTACCCAACAGTCATTGTCAGGGACCCAGAACTAATAATGAGAACTTTTAAGGCTGGGTGAAAAAAAAAAATTGTGTTTGAAAATTTAAGAAAGAGTTATCTTGTTTGTGTTTTTACATTTTGGAGGAGTTGACAGATAAAGACAAGGCTTGGGGGTATTTCCAATGACAAGGAGGTGCTTGGAGCTGGAGTTGAACCAGCGACCTTAGGATCACAGCGTTTCACACAAGGAGCATCTTACAGTCCACCGCTCTACCAACTGAGCTATCAAGGTGCTCTCTAGTCACAACAGCAGAAAACATAGTGGCTTTGGAGACACACTATGCCCACAGAACTATTCCAACCCATGGTCAATGAAAAGCCCAGCCCTACCTGTAGAACAAAGCTTTGCAGTTTGTACCCAACAGTCATAGCCAGGGACCCAGAACTAATAATCAGGACGTTTAGGCTGGGTGGATAAAAAATTGTTGGTGGAAAATTTAAGAAAGAGTTATCTTGTTTGTGTTTTTACATTTTGGAGGAGTTGACAGATAAAGACAAGGCTTGGGGTATTTCCAATGACAAGGAGGTGCTTGGAGCTGGAGTTGAACCAGCGACCTTGGGATCACAGCGTTTCACACAAGGAGCATCTTACAGTCCACCGCTCTACCAACTGAGCTATCAAGGTGCTCTATAGTCACAACAGCACAAAACATAGTGGCTTTGGAGACACACTTTGCCCACAGAACTATTCCAACCCATGGTCAATGAAAAGCCCAGCCCTACCTGTAGAACAAAGCTTTGCAGTTTGTACCCAACAGTCATTGTCAGGGACCCAGAACTAATAATCAGGACTTTTAGGCTGGGTGAATAAAAAATTGATGGTTGAAAATTTAAGAAAGAGTTATCTTGTTTGTGTTTTTACATTTTGGAGGAGTTGACAGATAAAGACAAGGCTTGGGGGTATTTCCAATGACAAGGAGGTGCTTGGAGCTGGAGTTGAACCAGCGACCTTAGGATCACAGCGTTTCATACAAGGAGCATCTTACAGTTCACTGCTCTACCAACTGAGCTATCAAGGTGTTCTCTAGTCACAACAGCACAAAACATAGTGGCTTTGGAGACACACTATGCCCACAGAACTATTCCAACCCATGGTCAATGAAAAGCCAAGCCCTACCTGTAGAACAAAGCTTTGCAGTTTGTACCCAACAGTCATTGCCAGGGACCCAGAACTAATAATCAGGACTTTTAGGCTGGGTGGATAAAAAATTGATGGTTGAAAATTTAAGAATGAGTTAACTTGTTTGTGTTTTTACATTTTGGAGGAGTTAATTGATAAACACATGGCTTGGGGGTATTTCCAATCACAAGGAGGTGCTTGGAGCTGGAGTTGAACCAGCAACATTAGGATCACAGTGTTTCACACAAGGAGCATCTTACAGTCCACTGCTCTACCAACTGAGCTTATCAAGGTGCTCTCTAATCACAACAGCAGAAAACATAGTGGCTTTGGAGACACACTATGCCCACAGAACTATTCCAACCCATGGTCAATGAAAAGCCCAGCCCTACCTGTAGAACAAAGCTTTGCAGTTTGTACCCAACAGTCATAGCCAGGGACCCAGAACTAATAATCAGGACTTTTAGGCTGGGTGAATAAAAAATTGATGGTTGAAAATTTAAGAAAGAGTTATCTTGTTTGTGTTTTTACATTTTGGAGGAGTTGACAGATAAAGACAAGGCTTGGGGGTATTTCCAATGACAAGGAGGTGCATGGAGCTGGAGTTGAACCAGCGACCTTGGGATCACAGCGTTTCACACAAGGAGCATCTTACAGTCCACCGCTCTACCAACTGAGCTATCAAGGTGCTCTGTAGTCACAACAGCAGAAAACATAGTGGCTTTGGAGACACACTTTGCCCACAGAACTATTGCAACCCATGGTCAATGAAAAGCCCAGCCCTACCTGTAGAACAAAGCTTTGCAGTTTGTAACCAACAGTCATTGCCAGGGACCCAGAACTAATAATCAGGACTTTTAGGCTGGGTGAATAAAAAATTGATGGTTGAAAATTTAAGAAAGAGTTATCTTGTTTGTGTTTTTACATTTTGAAAGGGGTTGACAGATAAAGACAAGGCTTGGGGGTATTTCCAATGACAAGGAGGTGCTTGGAGCTGGAGTTGAACCAGCGACCTTAGGATCAGAGCGTTTCACACAAGGAGCATCTTACAGTCCACTGCTCTACCAACTGAGCTATCAAGGTGCTCTATAGTCACAACAGCAGAAAACATAGTGGCTTTGGAGACACACTATGCCCACAGAACTATTCCAACCCATGGTCAATGAAAAGCCCAGCCCTACCTGTAGAACAAAGCTTTGCAGTTTGTACCCAACCGTCATTGCCAGGGACCCAGAACAAATAATCAGGACTTTTAGGCTGGGTGGATAAAAAATTGTTGGTGGAAAATTTAAGAAAGAGTTATCTTGTTTGTGTTTTTACATTTTGGAGGAGTTGACAGATAAAGACAAGGCTTGGGGGTATTTCCAATGACAAGGAGGTGCTTGAAGCTGGAGCTGAACCAGCGACCTTGGGATCACAGCGTTTCACACAAAGAGCATCTTACAGTCCACTGCTCTACCAACTGAGCTATCAAGGTGCTCTCTAGTCACAACAGCAGAAAACATAGTGGCTTTGGAGACACACTTTGCCCACAGAACTATTCCAACCCATGGTCAATGAAAGGCCCAGCCCTACCTGTAGAACAAAGCTTTGCAGTTTGTAACCAACAGTCATTGCCAGGGACCCAGAACTAATAATCAGGACTTTTAGGCTGGGTGAATAAAAAATTGATGGTTGAAAATTTAAGAAAGAGTTATCTTGTTTGTGTTTTTACATTTTGGAGGAGTTGACAGATAAAGACAAGGCTTGGGGGTATTTCCAATGACAAGGAGGTGCTTGGAGCTGGAGTTAAACCAGCGACCTTAGAATCACAGCGCTTCATACAAGGAGCATCTTACAGTCCACCGCTCTACCAACTGAGCTATCAAGGTGCTCTATAGTCACAACAGCAGAAAACATAGTGGCTTTGGAGACACACTTTGCCCACAGAACTATTCCAACCCATGGTCAATGAAAGGCCCAGCCCTACCTGTAGAACAAAGCTTTGCAGTTTGTACCCAACAGTCATTGCCAGGGACCCAGAACTAATAATCAGGACTTTTAGGCTGGGTGAATAAAAAATTGATGGTTGAAAATTAAAGAAAGAGTTATCTTGTTTGTGTTTTTACATTTTGGAGGAGTTGACAGATAAAGACAAGGCTTTGGGGTATTTCCAATCACAAGGAGGTGCTTGGAGCTGGAGTTGAACCAGCGACCTTGGGATCACAGCGTTTCACACAAGGAGCATCTTACAGTCCACTGCTCTACCAACTGAGCTTATCAAGGTGCTCTATAGTCACAACAGCAGAAAACATAGTGGCTTTGGAGAAACACTATTCCCACAGAACTATTCCAACCCATGGTCAATGAAAAGCCCAGCCCTACCTGTAGAACAAAGCTTTGCAGTTTGTACCCAACAGTCATAGCCAGGGACCCAGAACTAATAATCAGGACTTTTAGGCTGGGTGAATAAAAAATTGATGGTTGAAAATTTAAGAAAGAGTTATCTTGTTTGTGTTTTTACATTTTGGAGGAGTTGACAGATAAAGACAAGGCTTGGGGGTATTTCCAATGACAAGGAGGTGCTTGGAGCTGGAGTTGAACCAGCGACCTTAGGATCACAGCGTTTCACACAAGGAGCATCTAACAGTCCACCGCTCTACCAACTGAGCTATCAAGGTGGTCTCTAGTCACAACAGCACAAAACATAGTGGCTTTGGAGACACACTATGCCCACAGAACTATTCCAACCCATGGTCAATGAAAAGCCCAGCCCGACCTGCAGAACAAAGCTTTGCAGTTTGTACCCAACAGTCATTGTCAGGGACCCAGAACTAATAATGAGAACTTTTAAGGCTGGGTGAAAAAAAAATTGTGGTTGAAAATTTAAAGAAGAGTTATCTTGTTTGTGTTTTTACATTTTGGAGGAGTTGATTGATAAAGACAAGGCTTGGGGGTATTTCCAATCACAAGGAGGTGCTTGGAGCTGGAGTTGAACCAGCAACATTAGGATCACAGTGTTTCACACAAGGAGCATCTTACAGTCCACTGCTCTACCAACTGAGCTTATCAAGGTGCTCTATAGTCACAACAGCAGAAAACATAGTGGCTTTGGAGACACACTATGCCCACAGAACTATTCCAACCCATGGTCAATGAAAAGCCCAGCCCTACCTGTAGAACAAAGCTTTGCAGTTTGTACCCAACAGTCATAGCCAGGGACCCAGAACTAATAATCAGGACGTTTAGGCTGGGTGGATAAAAAATTGTTGGTGGAAAATTTAAGAAAGAGTTATCTTGTTTGTGTTTTTACATTTTGGAGGAGTTGACAGATAAAGACAAGGCTTGGGGGTATTTCCAATGACAAGGAGGTGCTTGGAGCTGGAGTTGAACCAGCGACCTTGGGATCACAGCGTTTCCCACAAGGAGCATCTTACAGTCCACCTCTCTACCAACTGAGCTATCAAGGTGCTCTCTAGTCGCAACAGCAGAAAACATAGTGGCTTTGGAGACACACTTTGCCCACAGAACTATTCCAACCCATGGTCAATGAAAAGCCCAGCCCTACCTGTAGAACAAAGCTTTGCAGTTTGTAACCAACAGTCATTGCCAGGGACCCAGAACTAATAATCAGGACTTTTAGGCTGGGTGAATAAAAAATTGATGGTTGAAAATTTAAGAAAGAGTTATCTTGTTTGTGTTTTTACATTTTGAAAGGGGTTGACAGATAAAGACAAGGCTTGGGGGTATTTCCAATGACAAGGAGGTGCTTGGAGCTGGAGTTGAACCAGCGACCTTAGGATCAGAGCGTTTCACACAAGGAGCATCTTACAGTCCACTGCTCTACCAACTGAGCTTATGAAGGTGCTCTCTAGTCACAACAGCAGAAAACATAGTGGCTTTGGAGACACACTTTGCCCACAGAACTATTCCAACCCATGGTCAATGAAAAGCCCAGCCCTACCTGTAGAACAAAGCTTTGCAGTTTGTACCCAACAGTCATTGCCAGGGACCCAGAACAAATAATCAGGACTTTTAGGCTGGGTGGATAAAAAATTGTTGGTGGAAAATTTAAGAAAGAGTTATCTTGTTTGTGTTTTTACATTTTGGAGGAGTTGACAGATAAAGACAAGGCTTGGGGGTATTTCCAATCACAAGGAGGTGCTTGGAGCTGGAGTTGAACCAGCGACCTTGGGATGACAGCGTTTCACACAAGGAGCATCTTACAGTCCACTGCTCTACCAACTGAGCTTATCAAGGTGCTCTCTAGTCACAACAGCAGAAAACATAGTGGCTTTGGAGACACACTTTGCCCACAAACTATTCCAACCCATGGTCAGTGAAAGGCCCAGCCCTACCTGTAGAACAAAGCTTTGCAGTTTGTACCCAACAGTCATAGCCAGGGACCCAGAACTAATAATCAGGACGTTTAGGCTGGGTGGATAAAAAATTGTTGGTGGAAAATTTAAGAAAGAGTTATCTTGTTTGTGTTTTTACATTTTGGAGGAGTTGACAGATAAAGACAAGGCTTGGGGGTATTTCCAATCACAAGGAGGTGCTTGGAGCTGGAGTTGAACCAGCGAACTTAGGATCACAGCGTTTCACACAAGGAGCATCTAACAGTCCACCGCTCTACCAACTGAGCTATCAAGGTGGTCTCTAGTCACAACAGCACAAAACATAGTGGCTTTGGAGACACACTATGCCCACAGAACTATTCCAACCCATGGTCAGTGAAAGGCCCAGCCCTACCTGTAGAACAAAGCTTTGCAGTTTGTACCCAACAGTCATAGCCAGGGACCCAGAACTAATAATCAGGACGTTTAGGCTGGGTGGATAAAAAATTGTTGGTGGAAAATTTAAGAAAGAGTTATCTTGTTTGTGTTTTTACATTTTGGAGGAGTTGACAGATAAAGACAAGGCTTGGGGGTATTTCCAATCACAAGGAGGTGCTTGGAGCTGGAGTTGAACCAGCGAACTTAGGATCACAGCGTTTCACACAAGGAGCATCTAACAGTCCACCGCTCTACCAACTGAGCTATCAAGGTGGTCTCTAGTCACAACAGCACAAAACATAGTGGCTTTGGAGACACACTATGCCCACAGAACTATTCCAACCCATGGTCAATGAAAAGCCCAGCCCGACCTGCAGAACAAAGCTTTGCAGTTTGTACCCAACAGTCATTGTCAGGGACCCAGAACTAATAATGAGTACTTTTAAGGCTGGGTGAAAAAAAAATTGTGGTTGAAAATTTAAGAAAGAGTTATGTTGTTTGTGTTTTTACATTTTGGAGGAGTTGACAGATAAAGACAAGGCTTGGGGGTATTTCCAATGACAAGGAGGTGCTTGGAGCTGGAGTTGAACCAGCGACCTTAGGATCACAGCGTTTCACACAAGGAGCATCTTACAGTCCACCGCTCTACCAACTGAGCTATCAAGGTGCTCTATAGTCACAACAGCAGAAAACATAGTGGCTTTGGAGACACACTATGCCCACAGAACTATTCCAACCCATGGTCAATGAAAAGCCCAGCCCTACCTGTAGAACAAAGCTTTGCAGTTTGTACCCAACAGTCATAGCCAGGGACCCAGAACTAATAATCAGGACGTTTAGGCTGGGTGGATAAAAAATTGTTGGTGGAAAATTTAAGAAAGAGTTATCTTGTTTGTGTTTTTACATTTTGGAGGAGTTGACAGATAAAGACAAGGCTTGGGGGTATTTCCAATGACAAGGAGGTGCTTGGAGCTGGAGTTGAACCAGCGACCTTGGGATCACAGCGTTTCACACAAGGAGCATCTTACAGTCCACCGCTCTACCAACTGAGCTATCAAGGTGCTCTATAGTCACAACAGCACAAAACATAGTGGCTTTGGAGACACACTTTGCCCACAGAACTATTCCAACCCATGGTCAATGAAAAGCCCAGCCCTACCTGTAGAACAAAGCTTTGCAGTTTGTACCCAACAGTCATAGCCAGGGACCCAGAACTAATAATCAGGACGTTTAGGCTGGGTGGATAAAAAATTGTTGGTGGAAAATTTAAGAAAGAGTTATCTTGTTTGTGTTTTTACATTTTGGAGGAGTTGACAGATAAAGACAAGGCTTGGGGGTATTTCCAATCACAAGGAGGTGCTTGGAGCTGGAGTTGAACCAGCGAACTTAGGATCACAGCGTTTCACACAAGGAGCATCTAACAGTCCACCGCTCTACCAACTGAGCTATCAAGGTGGTCTCTAGTCACAACAGCACAAAACATAGTGGCTTTGGAGACACACTATGCCCACAGAACTATTCCAACCCATGGTCAGTGAAAGGCCCAGCCCTACCTGTAGAACAAAGCTTTGCAGTTTGTACCCAACAGTCATAGCCAGGGACCCAGAACTAATAATCAGGACGTTTAGGCTGGGTGGATAAAAAATTGTTGGTGGAAAATTTAAGAAAGAGTTATCTTGTTTGTGTTTTTACATTTTGGAGGAGTTGACAGATAAAGACAAGGCTTGGGGGTATTTCCAATCACAAGGAGGTGCTTGGAGCTGGAGTTGAACCAGCGAACTTAGGATCACAGCGTTTCACACAAGGAGCATCTAACAGTCCACCGCTCTACCAACTGAGCTATCAAGGTGGTCTCTAGTCACAACAGCACAAAACATAGTGGCTTTGGAGACACACTATGCCCACAGAACTATTCCAACCCATGGTCAATGAAAAGCCCAGCCCGACCTGCAGAACAAAGCTTTGCAGTTTGTACCCAACAGTCATTGTCAGGGACCCAGAACTAATAATGAGAACTTTTAAGGCTGGGTGAAAAAAAAATTGTGGTTGAAAATTTAAGAAAGAGTTATGTTGTTTGTGTTTTTACATTTTGGAGGAGTTGACAGATAAAGACAAGGCTTGGGGGTATTTCCAATGACAAGGAGGTGCTTGGAGCTGGAGTTGAACCAGCGACCTTAGGATCACAGCGTTTCACACAAGGAGCATCTTACAGTCCACCGCTCTACCAACTGAGCTATCAAGGTGCTCTATAGTCACAACAGCAGAAAACATAGTGGCTTTGGAGACACACTATGCCCACAGAACTATTCCAACCCATGGTCAATGAAAAGCCCAGCCCTACCTGTAGAACAAAGCTTTGCAGTTTGTACCCAACAGTCATAGCCAGGGACCCAGAACTAATAATCAGGACGTTTAGGCTGGGTGGATAAAAAATTGCTGGTGGAAAATTTAAGAAAGAGTTATCTTGTTTGTGTTTTTACATTTTGGAGGAGTTGACAGATAAAGACAAGGCTTGGGGGTATTTCCAATGACAAGGAGGTGCTTGGAGCTGGAGTTGAACCAGCGACCTTGGGATCACAGCGTTTCACACAAGGAGCATCTTACAGTCCACCGCTCTACCAACTGAGCTATCAAGGTGCTCTATAGTCACAACAGCACAAAACATAGTGGCTTTGGAGACACACTTTGCCCACAGAACTATTCCAACCCATGGTCAATGAAAAGCCCAGCCCTACCTGTAGAACAAAGCTTTGCAGTTTGTACCCAACAGTCATTGTCAGGGACCCAGAACTAATAATCAGGACTTTTAGGCTGGGTGAATAAAAAATTGATGGTTGAAAATTTAAGAAAGAGTTATCTTGTTTGTGTTTTTACATTTTGGAGGAGTTGACAGATAAAGACAAGGCTTGGGGGTATTTCCAATGACAAGGAGGTGCTTGGAGCTGGAGTTGAACCAGCGACCTTAGAATCACAGCGTTTCATACAAGGAGCATCTTACAGTCCACTGCTCTACCAACTGAGCTATCAAGGTGCTCTCTAGTCACAACAGCACAAAACATAGTGGCTTTGGAGACACACTATGCCCACAGAACTATTCCAACCCATGGTCAATGAAAAGCCAAGCCCTACCTGTAGAACAAAGCTTTGCAGTTTGTACCCAACAGTCATTGCCAGGGACCCAGAACTAATAATCAGGACTTTTAGGCTGGGTGGATAAAAAATTGATGGTTGAAAATTTAAGAATGAGTTAACTTGTTTGTGTTTTTACATTTTGGAGGAGTTAATTGATAAACACATGGCTTGGGGGTATTTCCAATCACAAGGAGGTGCTTGGAGCTGGAGTTGAACCAGCAACATTAGGATCACAGTGTTTCACACAAGGAGCATCTTACAGTCCACTGCTCTACCAACTGAGCTTATCAAGGTGCTCTCTAATCACAACAGCAGAAAACATAGTGGCTTTGGAGACACACTATGCCCACAGAACTATTCCAACCCATGGTCAATGAAAAGCCCAGCCCTACCTGTAGAACAAAGCTTTGCAGTTTGTAACCAACAGTCATAGCCAGGGACCCAGAACTAATAATCAGGACTTTTAGGCTGGGTGAATAAAAAATTGATGGTTGAAAATTTAAGAAAGAGTTATCTTGTTTGTGTTTTTACATTTTGGAGGAGTTGACAGATAAAGACAAGGCTTGGGGGTATTTCCAATGACAAGGAGGTGCTTGGAGCTAGAGTTGAACCAGCGACCTTGGGATCACAGCGTTTCACACAAGGAGCATCTTACAGTCCACCGCTCTACCAACTGAGCTATCAAGGTGCTCTGTAGTCACAACAGCAGAAAACATAGTGGCTTTGGAGACACACTTTGCCCACAGAACTATTCCAACCCATGGTCAATGAAAAGCCCAGCCCTACCTGTAGAACAAAGCTTTGCAGTTTGTAACCAACAGTCATTGCCAGGGACCCAGAACTAATAATCAGGACTTTTAGGCTGGGTGAATAAAAAATTGATGGTTGAAAATTTAAGAAAGAGTTATCTTGTTTGTGTTTTTACATTTTGAAAGGGGTTGACAGATAAAGACAAGGCTTGGGGGTATTTCCAATGACAAGGAGGTGCTTGGAGCTGGAGTTGAACCAGCGACCTTAGGATCAGAGCGTTTCACACAAGGAGCATCTTACAGTCCACCGCTCTACCAACTGAGCTATCAAGGTGCTCTATAGTCACAACAGCAGAAAACATAGTGGCTTTGGAGACACACTATGCCCACAGAACTATTCCAACCCATGGTCAATGAAAAGCCCAGCCCTACCTGTAGAACAAAGCTTTGCAGTTTGTACCCAACAGTCATTGCCAGGGACCCAGAACTAATAATCAGGACGTTTAGGCTGGGTGGATAAAAAATTGTTGGTGGAAAATTTAAGAAAGAGTTATCTTGTTTGTGTTTTTACATTTTGGAGGAGTTGACAGATAAAGACAAGGCTTGGGGGTATTTCCAATGACAAGGAGGTGCTTGGAGCTGGAGTTGAACCAGCGACCTTGGGATCACAGCGTTTCACAAAGGAGCATCTTACAGTCCACCGCTCTACCAACTGAGCTATCAAGGTGCTCTATAGTCACAACAGCACAAAACATAGTGGCTTTGGAGACACACTTTGCCCACAGAACTATTCCAACCCATGGTCAATGAAAAGCCCAGCCCTACCTGTAGAACAAAGCTTTGCAGTTTGTACCCAACAGTCATTGTCAGGTACCCAGAACTAATAATCAGGACTTTTAGGCTGGGTGAATAAAAAATTGATGGTTGAAAATTTAAGAAAGAGTTATCTTGTTTGTGTTTTTACATTTTGGAGGAGTTGACAGATAAAGACAAGGCTTGGGGGTATTTCCAATGACAAGGAGGTGCTTGGAGCTGGAGTTGAACCAGCGACCTTAGAATCTCAGCGTTTCATACAAGGAGCATCTTACAGTCCACCGCTCTACCAACTGAGCTATCAAGGTGCTCTCTAGTCACAACAGCACAAAACATAGTGGCTTTGGAGACACACTATGCCCACAGAACTATTCCAACCCATGGTCAATGTAAAGCCAAGCCCTACCTGTAGAACAAAGCTTTGCAGTTTGTACCCAACAGTCATTGCCAGGGACCCAGAACTAATAATCAGGACTTTTAGGCTGGGTGGATAAAAAATTGATGGTTGAAAATTTAAGAATGAGTTAACTTGTTTGTGTTTTTACATTTTGGAGAAGTTAATTGATAAACACATGGCTTGGGGGTATTTCCAATCACAAGGAGGTGCTTGGAGCTGGAGTTGAACCAGCAACATTAGGATCACAGTGTTTCACACAAGGAGCATTTTACAGTCCACTGCTCTACCAACTGAGCTTATCAAGGTGCTCTCTAGTCACAACAGCAGAAAACATAGTGGCTTTGGAGACACACTATGCCCACAGAACTATTCCAACTAGTGCTGGACGATAATTCGATAACAATATATATCGATCGATAGACGTGTGGTGCGATAGAAAAAAAACGGGTCGATAAAAAGTTCGATAGAAAAACACAGTTTCCCTTTCTTTTTCATCATAGCCTATCATGTAGCTTTTACTACAGTCATTGCTTCCTCCCAACCAATCACAAACGCAGACCCAGGTACGCTACGGCACCAAGCCCAGCCCCTATCAAACCACAACAGACAGCACGTGTATTAGAAAAAATGATACAGTAAGGAGAAGCGGAGGACATTGTCCCGAAAAAAGGTTTCAGTAGTTCACCAGCATGGCAGTGTTTTGGTTTTTAGAAGTCTGACAAAAAGCGAACAGCGGTCGTTTGCAAAATTTGCAGAGAATTAGTAAAAACCAAGTCTGGTAACACAACCAACTTGTTCTACCATCTAAACCGATCGCAGCCGCAGGAGTACGAGCTGTGTCGGCCCCGCCGCGGCTCCACGTCGTCGGAGGAGGAATCCTCTGGAACCGCTGCCAGCACCAGCACAAAGCATGTGAAGCAGACCAAACTGGACTTCGTTTCTTGCCAAAATACGACAAAGCGTCCAAGCGGCATAAGGACATCACCCATGCAGTAACATGCTCCATAGCGAGGGACATACTGCTAATAACTACCGTTGAAAAGCCTAGCTTCGACCAGCTTCTAGCCACTCTCGACCCGCGATATGAAGTGCCCGGCCGCAAGTGTTTCTCAAACACAGCGCTTCAGGCATGAAAACGGGTCAGGGGTTGAAAAGGTGAGAAGGGTGCGGAGGAAATACGTTCCGGTGTTTGGCGTAGGATGCACCCCTGCATCCCGTCCACTCATTCGCTTCTTAAAGTGGAAGAAAATGAGCTCATATTTTACAAAGACGCGAGTATTTGGATCATGGCTACTAGCAGGGGGTGCATTCGGCAGGGGTGCATTCTACGACACAACACCGGCGTGGATAAGTCCTGCTTCTCGTGCTTAGTTTGTGTATTAAGTCAATCACATGATAATTAAAAAAAATAAATCTCCCGACCCCGGGAGAAATATTTCAGTGTTCAGACACCAGGCTTTGGGCAGTTTCCCACACAGTTAAAACTGGTAGTATGCTATTCCCACCTAAAGCTATTCTGTTTATTTATATATTTGTTTGTTTTGTTTATTTTCATCAAAAGACTATTTAAATATTTATTTATCAGATTTTCTGGTCACTTAAGTCTTTATGTTTGTCAGTATTTACTGATGACACTCAGGCCACTTAAGTTGATTTCTTTTTTTTTTAGTTCTTTTTTAAAAAACTTTCAGTTGTGGTAAAATAAAAAAGGTGGTTGAATAAAGGTTTGAATTTGAATTCAGTGCTTGTGTGTTCTTTATTAAAAGTAGGTCATTAAGCAATAGCATAAAACATCCAGGGCTGCAATTAAAATATATGTTAAATAATTATAATAATTATATCGATAATTATCGATATCGATCAATATGATTTATTTTTTATCGATATGCTTTTTTTCTATATCGTCCAGGCCTAATTCCAACCCATGGTCAATGAAAAGCCCAGCCCTACCTGTAGAACAAAGCTTTGCAGTTTGTACCCAACAGTCATTGTCAGGGACCCAGAACTAATAATCAGGACTTTTAGGCTGGGTGAATAAAAAATTGATGGTTGAAAATTTAAGAATGAGTTAACTTGTTTGTGTTTTTACATTTTGGAGGAGTTGATTGATAAAGACAAGGCTTGGGGGTATTTCCAATCACAAGGAGGTGCTTGGAGCTGGAGTTGAACCAGCGACATTAGGATCACAGTTTTTCACACAAGGAGCATCTTACAGTCGACCGCTCTACCAACTGAGCTATCAAGGTGCTCTCTAGTCACAACAGCAGAAAACATAGTGGCTTTGGAGACACACTATGCCCACAGAACTATTCCAACCCATGGTCAATGAAAAGCCCAGCCCTACCTGTAGAACAAAGCTTTGCAGTTTGTACCCAACCGTCATTGCCAGGGACCCAGAACTAATAATCAGGACGTTTAGGCTGGGTGAATAAAAAATTGTTGATGGAAAATTTAAGAAAGAGTTATCTTGTTTGTGTTTTTACATTTTGGAGGAGTTGACAGATAAAGACAAGGCTTGGGGGTATTTCCAATGACAAGGAGGTGCTTGGAGCTGGAGTTGAAACAGCGACCTTAGGATCACAGCTTTTCACACAAGGAGCATCTTACAGTCCACTGCTCTACCAACTGAGCTATCAAGGTGCGCTCTAGTCAGAACAGCAGAAAACATAGTGGCTTTGGAGACACACTATGCCCACAGAACTATTCCAACCCATGGTCAATGAAAAGCCCAGCCCTACCTGTAGAACAAAGCTTTGCAGTTTGTAACCAACAGTCATTGCCAGGGACCCAGAACTAATAATCAGGAGTTTTAGGCTGGGTGAATAAAAAATTGATGGTTGAAAATTTAAGAAAGAGTTATCTTGTTTGTGTTTTTACATTTTGGAGGAGTTGACAGATAAAGACAAGGCTTGGGGGTATTTCCAATGACAAGGAGGTGCTTGGAGCTGGAGTTGAACAAGCGACCTTGGGATCACAGCGTTTCACACAAGGAGCATCTTACAGTCGACCGCTCTACCAACTGAGCTATCAAGGTGCTCTGTAGTCACAACAGCAGAAAACATAGTGGCTTTGGAGACACACTTTGCCCACAGAACTATTCCAACCCATGGTCAATGAAAAGCCCAGCCCTACCTGTAGAACAAAGCTTTGCAGTTTGTAACCAACAGTCATTGCCAGGGACCCAGAACTAATAATCAGGACTTTTAGGCTGGGTGAATAAAAAATTGATGGTTGAAAATTTAAGAAAGAGTTATCTTGTTTGTGTTTTTACATTTTGAAAGGGGTTGACAGATAAAGACAAGGCTTGGGGGTATTTCCAATGACAAGGAGGTGCTTGGAGCTGGAGTTGAACCAGCGACATTAGGATCACAGCGTTTCACACAAGGAGCATCTTACAGTGCACCGCTCTACCAACTGAGCTATCAAGGTGCTCTATAGTCACAACAGCAGAAAACATAGTGGCTTTGGAGACACACTATGCCCACAGAACTATTCCAACCCATGGTCAATGAAAAGCCCAGCCCTACCTGTAGAACAAAGCTTTGCAGTTTGTACCCAACAGTCATTGCCAGGGACCCAGAACTAATAATCAGGACTTTTAGGCTGGGTGAATAAAAAATTGATGGTTGAAAATTTAAGAAAGAGTTATCTTGTTTGTGTTTTTACATTTTGGAGGAGTTGACAGATAAAGACAAGGCTTGGGGGTATTTCCAATGACAAGGAGGTGCTTGGAGCTGGAGTTGAACAAGCGACCTTGGGATCACAGCGTTTCACACAAGGAGCATCTTACAGTCCACCGCTCTACCAACTGAGCTACCAAGGTGCTCTGTAGTCACAACAGCAGAAAACATAGTGGCTTTGGAGACACACTTTGCCCACAGAACTATTCCAACCCATGGTCAATGAAAAGCCCAGCCCTACCTGTAGAACAAAGCTTTGCAGTTTGTAACCAACAGTCATTGCCAGGGACCCAGAACTAATAATCAGGACTTTTAGGCTGGGTGAATAAAAAATTGATGGTTGAAAATTTAAGAAAGAGTTATCTTGTTTTTGTTTTTACATTTTGAAAGGGGTTGACAGATAAAGACAAGGCTTGGGGGTATTTCCAATGACAAGGAGGTGCTTGGAGCTGGAGTTGAAACAGCGACCTTAGGATCAGAGCGTTTCACACAAGGAGCATCTTACAGTCCACCGCTCTACCAACTGAGCTATCAAGGTGCTCTATAGTCACAACAGCAGAAAACATAGTGGCTTTGGAGACACACTATGCCCACAGAACTATTCCAACCCATGGTCAATGAAAAGCCCAGCCCTACCTGTAGAACAAAGCTTTGCAGTTTGTACCCAACCGTCATTGCCAGGGACCCAGAACAAATAATCAGGACTTTTAGGCTGGGTGGATAAAAAATTGTTGGTGGAAAATTTAAGAAAGAGTTATCTTGTTTGTGATTTTACATTTTGGAGGAGTTGACAGATAAAGACAAGGCTTTGCGGTATTTCCAATCACAAGGAGGTGCTTGGAGCTGGAGTTGAACCAGCGACCTTAGGATCACAGTGTTTCACACAAGGAGCATCTTACAGTCCACCGCTCTACCAACTGAGCTATCAAGGTGCTCTATAGTCACAACAGCAGAAAACATAGTGGCTTTGGAGACACACTATGCCCACAGAACTATTCCAACCCATGGTCAATGAAAAGCCCAGCCCTACCTGTAGAACAAAGCTTTGCAGTTTGTACCCAACCGTCATTGCCAGGGACCCAGAACAAATAATCAGGACTTTTAGGCTGGGTGGATAAAAAATTGTTGGTGGAAAATTTAAGAAAGAGTTATCTTGTTTGTGATTTTACATTTTGGAGGAGTTGACAGATAAAGACAAGGCTTGGGGGTATTTCCAATGACAAGGAGGTGCTTGGAGCTGGAGTTGAACCAGCGACCTTGGGATCACAGCGTTTCACACAAGGAGCATCTTACAGTCCACTGCTCTACCAACTGAGCTATCAAGGTGCTTTCTAGTCACAACAGCAGAAAACATAGTGGCTTTGGAGACACACTTTGCCCACAGAACTATTCCAACCCATGGTCAATGAAAGGCCCAGCCCTACCTGTAGAACAAAGCTTTGCAGTTTGTACCCAACAGTCATTGCCAGGGACCCAGAACTAATAATCAGGACTTTTAGGCTGGGTGAATAAAAAATTGATGGTTGAAAATTAAAGAAAGAGTTATCTTGTTTGTGTTTTTACATTTTGGAGGAGTTGACAGATAAAGACAAGGCTTTGGGGTATTTCCAATCACAAGGAGGTGCTTGGAGCTGGAGTTGAACCAGCGACCTTAGGATCACAGTGTTTCACACAAGGAGCATCTTACAGTGCACTGCTCTACCAACTGAGCTATCAAGGTGCTCTCTAGTCACAACAGCAGAAAACATAGTGGCTTTGGAGACACACTATGCCCACAGAACTATTCCAACCCATGGTCAATGAAAAGCCCAGCCCTACCTGTAGAACAAAGCTTTGCAGTTTGTACCCAACAGTCATTGTCAGGGACCCAGAACTAATAATCAGGACTTTTAGGCTGGGTGGATAAAAAATTGATGGTTGAAAATTTAAGAATGAGTTAACTTGTTTGTGTTTTTACATTTTGGAGGAGTTAATTGATAAACACATGGCTTGGGGGTATTTCCAATCACAAGGAGGTGCTTGGAGCTGGAGTTGAACCAGCAACATTAGGATCACAGTGTTTCACACAAGGAGCATCTTACAGTCCACTGCTCTACCAACTGAGCTTATCAAGGTGCTCTCTAGTCACAACAGCAGAAAACATAGTGGCTTTGGAGACACACTATGCCCACAGAACTATTCCAACCCATGGTCAATGAAAAGCCCAGCCCTACCTGTAGAACAAAGCTTTGCAGTTTGTACCCAACAGTCATAGCCAGGGACCCAGAACTAATAATCAGGACTTTTAGGCTGGGTGAATAAAAAATTGATGGTTGAAAATTTAAGAAAGAGTTATCTTGTTTGTGTTTTTACATTTTGGAGGAGTTGACAGATAAAGACAAGGCTTGGGGGTATTTCCAATGACAAGGAGGTGCTTGGAGCTGGAGTTGAACAAGCGACCTTGGGATCACAGCATTTCACACAAGGAGCATCTTACAGTCCACCGCTCTACCAACTGAGCTATCAAGGTGCTCTGTAGTCACAACAGCAGAAAACATAGTGGCTTTGGAGACACACTTTGCCCACAGAACTATTCCAACCCATGGTCAATGAAAAGCCCAGCCCTACCTGTAGAACAAAGCTTTGCAGTTTGTAACCAACAGTCATTGCCAGGGACCCAGAACTAATAATCAGGACTTTTAGGCTGGGTGAATAAAAAATTGATGGTTGAAAATTTAAGAAAGAGTTATCTTGTTTGTGTTTTTACATTTTGAAAGGGGTTGACAGATAAAGACAAGGCTTGGGGGTATTTCCAATGACAAGGAGGTGCTTGGAGCTGGAGTTGAACCAGCGACCTTAGGATCAGAGCGTTTCACACAAGGAGCATCTTACAGTCCACCGCTCTACCAACTGAGCTATCAAGGTGCTCTATAGTCACAACAGCAGAAAACATAGTGGCTTTGGAGACACACTATGCCCACAGAACTTTTCCAACCCATGGTCAATGAAAAGCCCAGCCCTACCTGTAGAACAAAGCTTTGCAGTTTGTACCCAACCGTCATTGCCAGGGACCCAGAACAAATAATCAGGACTTTTAGGCTGGGTGGATAAAAAATTGTTGGTGGAAAATTTAAGAAAGAGTTATCTTGTTTGTGATTTTACATTTTGGAGGAGTTGACAGATAAAGACAAGGCTTTGGGGTATTTCCAATCACAAGGAGGTGCTTGGAGCTGGAGTTGAACCAGCGACCTTAGGATCACAGTGTTTCACACAAGGAGCATCTTACAGTCCACCGCTCTACCAACTGAGCTATCAAGGTGCTCTATAGTCACAACAGCAGAAAACATAGTGGCTTTGGAGACACACTATGCCCACAGAACTATTCCAACCCATGGTCAATGAAAAGCCCAGCCCTACCTGTAGAACAAAGCTTTGCAGTTTGTACCCAACCGTCATTGCCAGGGACCCAGAACAAATAATCAGGACTTTTAGGCTGGGTGGATAAAAAATTGTTGGTGGAAAATTTAAGAAAGAGTTATCTTGTTTGTGATTTTACATTTTGGAGGAGTTGACAGATAAAGACAAGGCTTGGGGGTATTTCCAATGACAAGGAGGTGCTTGGAGCTGGAGTTGAACCAGCGACCTTGGGATCACAGCGTTTCACACAAGGAGCATCTTACAGTCCACTGCTCTACCAACTGAGCTATCAAGGTGCTTTCTAGTCACAACAGCAGAAAACATAGTGGCTTTGGAGACACACTTTGCCCACAGAACTATTCCAACCCATGGTCAATGAAAGGCCCAGCCCTACCTGTAGAACAAAGCTTTGCAGTTTGTACCCAACAGTCATTGCCAGGGACCCAGAACTAATAATCAGGACTTTTAGGCTGGGTGAATAAAAAATTGATGGTTGAAAATGTAAGAAAGAGTTATCTTGTTTGTGTTTTTACATTTTGGAGGAGTTGACAGATAAAGACAAGGCTTGGGGGTATTTCCAATCACAAGGAGGTGCTTGGAGCTGGAGTTGAACCAGCGACCTTAGGATCAGAGCGTTTCACACAAGGAGCATCTTACAGTCCACCGCTCTACCAACTGAGCTATCAAGGTGCTCTCTAGTCAAAACAGCAGAAAACATAGTGGCTTTGGAGACACACTATGCCCACAGAACTATTCCAACCCATGGTCAATGAAAAGCCCAGCCCTACCTGTAGAACAAAGCTTTGCAGTTTGTACCCAACAGTCATTGCCAGGTACCCAGAACTAATAATCAGGACTTTTAGGCTGGGTGAATAAAAAATTGATGGTTGAAAATTTAAGAAAGAGTTATCTTGTTTGTGTTTTTACATTTTGAAAGGGGTTGACAGATAAAGACAAGGCTTGGGGGTATTTCCAATGACAAGGAGGTGCTTGGAGCTGGAGTTGAACCAGCGACCTTAGGATCAGAGCGTTTCACACAAGGAGCATCTTACAGTCCACCGCTCTACCAACTGAGCTATCAAGGTGCTCTATAGTCACAACAGCAGAAAACATAGTGGCTTTGGAGACACACTATGCCCACAGAACTATTCCAACCCATGGTCAATGAAAAGCCCAGCCCTACCTGTAGAACAAAGCTTTGCAGTTTGTACCCAACCGTCATTGCCAGGGACCCAGAACAAATAATCAGGACTTTTAGGCTGGGTGGATAAAAAATTGTTGGTGGAAAATTTAAGAAAGAGTTATCTTGTTTGTGATTTTACATTTTGGAGGAGTTGACAGATAAAGACAAGGCTTTGGGGTATTTCCAATCACAAGGAGGTGCTTGGAGCTGGAGTTGAACCAGCGACCTTAGGATCACAGTGTTTCACACAAGGAGCATCTTACAGTCCACCGCTCTACCAACTGAGCTATCAAGGTGCTCTATAGTCACAACAGCAGAAAACATAGTGGCTTTGGAGACACACTATGCCCACAGAACTATTCCAACCCATGGTCAATGAAAAGCCCAGCCCTACCTGTAGAACAAAGCTTTGCAGTTTGTACCCAACCGTCATTGCCAGGGACCCAGAACAAATAATCAGGACTTTTAGGCTGGGTGGATAAAAAATTGTTGGTGGAAAATTTAAGAAAGAGTTATCTTGTTTGTGATTTTACATTTTGGAGGAGTTGACAGATAAAGACAAGGCTTGGGGGTATTTCCAATGACAAGGAGGTGCTTGGAGCTGGAGTTGAACCAGCGACCTTGGGATCACAGCGTTTCACACAAGGAGCATCTTACAGTCCACTGCTCTACCAACTGAGCTATCAAGGTGCTTTCTAGTCACAACAGCAGAAAACATAGTGGCTTTGGAGACACACTTTGCCCACAGAACTATTCCAACCCATGGTCAATGAAAGGCCCAGCCCTACCTGTAGAACAAAGCTTTGCAGTTTGTACCCAACAGTCATTGCCAGGGACCCAGAACTAATAATCAGGACTTTTAGGCTGGGTGAATAAAAAATTGATGGTTGAAAATTTAAGAAAGAGTTATCTTGTTTGTGTTTTTACATTTTGGAGGAGTTGACAGATAAAGACAAGGCTTGGGGGTATTTCCAATCACAAGGAGGTGCTTGGAGCTGGAGTTGAACCAGCGACCTTAGGATCAGAGCGTTTCACACAAGGAGCATCTTACAGTCCACCGCTCTACCAACTGAGCTATCAAGGTGCTCTCTAGTCAAAACAGCAGAAAACATAGTGGCTTTGGAGACACACTATGCCCACAGAACTATTCCAACCCATGGTCAATGAAAAGCCCAGCCCTACCTGTAGAACAAAGCTTTGCAGTTTGTACCCAACAGTCATTGCCAGGGACCCAGAACTAATAATCAGGACTTTTAGGCTGGGTGGATAAAAAATTGATGGTTGAAAATTTAAGAATGAGTTAACTTGTTTGTGTTTTTACATTTTGGAGGAGTTGATTGATAAAGACAAGGCTTGGGGGTATTTCCAATGACAAGGAGGTGCTTGGAGCTGGAGTTGAACCAGCGACCTTGGGATCACAGCGTTTCACACAAGGAGCATCTTACAGTCCACCGCTCTACCAACTGAGCTATCAAGGTGCTCTATAGTCACAACAGCACAAAACATAGTGGCTTTGGAGACACACTTTGCCCACAGAACTATTCCAACCCATGGTCAATGAAAGGCCCAGCCCTACCTGTAGAACAAAGCTTTGCAGTTTGTACCCAACAGTCATTGCCAGGGACCCAGAACTAATAATCAGGACTTTTAGGCTGGGTGAATAAAAAATTGATGGTTGAAAATTTAAGAAAGAGTTATCTTGTTTGTGTTTTTACATTTTGGAGGAGTTGACAGATAAAGACAAGGCTTGGGGGTATTTCCAATGACAAGGAGGTGCTTGGAGCTGGAGTTGAACCAGCGACCTTAGGATCACAGCGTTTCACACAAGGAGCATCTTACAGTCCACTGCTCTACCAACTGAGCTATCAAGGTGCTCTCTAGTCACAACAGCAGAAAACATAATGGCTTTGGAGACACACTATGCCCACAGAACTATTCCAACCCATGGTCAATGAAAAGCCCAGCCCTACCTGTAGAACAAAGCTTTGCAGTTTGTACCCAACAGTCATAGCCAGGGACCCAGAACTAATAATCAGGACGTTTAGGCTGGGTGGATAAAAAATTGTTGGTGGAAAATTTAAGAAAGAGTTATATTGTTTGTGTTTTTACATTTTGGAGGAGTTGACAGATAAAGACAAGGCTTGGGGGTATTTCCAATGACAAGGAGGTGCTTGGAGCTGGAGTTGAACCAGCGACCTTAGAATCACAGCGTTTCATACAAGGAGCATCTTACAGTCCACCGCTCTACCAACTGAGCTATCAAGGTGCTCTGTAGTCACAACAGCAGAAAACATAGTGGCTTTGGAGACACACTATGCCCACAGAACTATTCCAACCCATGGTCAATGAAAAGCCCAGCCCTACCTGTAGAACAAAGCTTTGCAGTTTGTACCCAACAGTCATTTCCAGGGACCCAGAACTAATAATCAGGACTTTTAGGCTGGGTGGATAAAAAATTGATGGTTGAAAATTTAAGAATGAGTTAACTTGTTTGTGTTTTTACATTTTGGAGGAGTTGACAGATAAAGACAAGGCTTGGGGGTATTTCCAATCACAAGGAGGTGCTTGGAGCTGGAGTTGAACCAGCAACATTAGGATCACAGTGTTTCACACAAGGAGCATCTTACAGTCCACTGCTCTACCAACTGAGCTTATCAAGGTGCTCTCTAGTCACAACAGCAGAAAACATAGTGGCTTTGGAGACACACTATGCCCACAGAACTATTCCAACCCATGGTCAATGAAAAGCCCAGCCCTACCTGTAGAACAAAGCTTTGCAGTTTGTACCCAACAGTCATAGCCAGGGACCCAGAACTAATAATCAGGACTTTTAGGCTGGGTGAATAAAAAATTGATGGTTGAAAATTTAAGAAAGAGTTATCTTGTTTGTGTTTTTACATTTTGGAGGAGTTGACAGATAAAGACAAGGCTTGGGGGTATTTCCAATGACAAGGAGGTGCTTGGAGCTGGAGTTGAACAAGCGACCTTGGGATCACAGCGTTTCACACAAGGAGCATCTTACAGTCCACCGCTCTACCAACTGAGCTACCAAGGTGCTCTGTAGTCACAACAGCAGAAAACATAGTGGCTTTGGAGACACACTTTGCCCACAGAACTATTCCAACCCATGGTCAATGAAAAGCCCAGCCCTACCTGTAGAACAAAGCTTTGCAGTTTGTAACCAACAGTCATTGCCAGGGACCCAGAACTAATAATCAGGACTTTTAGGCTGGGTGAATAAAAAATTGATGGTTGAAAATTTAAGAAAGAGTTATCTTGTTTGTGTTTTTACATTTTGAAAGGGGTTGACAGATAAAGACAAGGCTTGGGGGTATTTCCAATGACAAGGAGGTGCTTGGAGCTGGAGTTGAACCAGCGACCTTAGGATCAGAGCGTTTCACACAAGGAGCATCTTACAGTCCACCGCTCTACCAACTGAGCTATCAAGGTGCTCTCTAGTCACAACAGCAGAAAACATAGTGGCTTTGGAGACACACTATGCCCACAGAACTATTCCAACCCATGGTCAATGAAAAGCCCAGCCCTACCTGTAGAACAAAGCTTTGCAGTTTGTACCCAACCGTCATTGCCAGGGACCCAGAACAAATAATCAGGACTTTTAGGCTGGGTGGATAAAAAATTGTTGGTGGAAAATTTAAGAAAGAGTTATCTTGTTTGTGATTTTACATTTTGGAGGAGTTGACAGATAAAGACAAGGCTTTGGGGTATTTCCAATCACAAGGAGGTGCTTGGAGCTGGAGTTGAACCAGCGACCTTAGGATCACAGTGTTTCACACAAGGAGCATCTTACAGTCCACCGCTCTACCAACTGAGCTATCAAGGTGCTCTCTAGTCACAACAGCAGAAAACATAGTGGCTTTGGAGACACACTATGCCCACAGAACTATTCCAACCCATGGTCAATGAAAAGCCCAGCCCTACCTGTAGAACAAAGCTTTGCAGTTTGTACCCAACAGTCATTGTCAGGGACCCAGAACTAATAATCAGGACTTTTAGGCTGGGTGGATAAAAAATTGATGGTTGAAAATTTAAGAATGAGTTAACTTGTTTGTGTTTTTACATTTTGGAGGAGTTAATTGATAAACACATGGCTTGGGGGTATTTCCAATCACAAGGAGGTGCTTGGAGCTGGAGTTGAACCAGCAACATTAGGATCACAGTGTTTCACACAAGGAGCATCTTACAGTCCACTGCTCTACCAACTGAGCTTATCAAGGTGCTCTCTAGTCACAACAGCAGAAAACATAGTGGCTTTGGAGACACACTATGCCCACAGAACTATTCCAACCCATGGTCAATGAAAAGCCCAGCCCTACCTGTAGAACAAAGCTTTGCAGTTTGTACCCAACAGTCATAGCCAGGGACCCAGAACTAATAATCAGGACTTTTAGGCTGGGTGAATAAAAAATTGATGGTTGAAAATTTAAGAAAGAGTTATCTTGTTTGTGTTTTTACATTTTGGAGGAGTTGACAGATAAAGACAAGGCTTGGGGGTATTTCCAATGACAAGGAGGTGCTTGGAGCTGGAGTTGAACAAGCGACCTTGGGATCACAGCATTTCACACAAGGAGCATCTAACAGTCCAACGCTCTACCAACTGAGCTATCAAGGTGCTCTGTAGTCACAACAGCAGAAAACATAGTGGCTTTGGAGACACACTTTGCCCACAGAACTATTCCAACCCATGGTCAATGAAAAGCCCAGCCCTACCTGTAGAACAAAGCTTTGCAGTTTGTAACCAACAGTCATTGCCAGGGACCCAGAACTAATAATCAGGACTTTTAGGCTGGGTGAATAAAAAATTGATGGTTGAAAATTTAAGAAAGAGTTATCTTGTTTGTGTTTTTACATTTTGAAAGGGGTTGACAGATAAAGACAAGGCTTGGGGGTATTTCCAATGACAAGGAGGGGCTTGGAGCTGGAGTTGAACCAGCGACCTTAGGATCAGAGCGTTTCACACAAGGAGCATCTTACAGTCCACCGCTCTACCAACTGAGCTATCAAGGTGCTCTATAGTCACAACAGCAGAAAACATAGTGGCTTTGGAGACACACTATGCCCACAGAACTATTCCAACCCATGGTCAATGAAAAGCCCAGCCCTACCTGTAGAACAAAGCTTTGCAGTTTGTACCCAACCGTCATTGCCAGGGACCCAGAACAAATAATCAGGACTTTTAGGCTGGGTGGATAAAAAATTGTTGGTGGAAAATTTAAGAAAGAGTTATCTTGTTTGTGATTTTACATTTTGGAGGAGTTTACAGATAAAGACAAGGCTTGGGGGTATTTCCAATGACAAGGAGGTGCTTGGAGCTGGAGTTGAACCAGCGACCTTGGGATCACAGCGTTTCACACAAGGAGCATCTTACAGTCCACTGCTCTACCAACTGAGCTATCAAGGTGCTCTCTAGTCACAACAGCAGAAAACATAGTGGCTTTGGAGACACACTTTGCCCACAGAACTATTCCAACCCATGGTCAATGAAAGGCCCAGCCCTACCTGTAGAACAAAGCTTTGCAGTTTGTACCCAACAGTCATTGCCAGGGACCCAGAACTAATAATCAGGACTTTTAGGCTGGGTGAATAAAAAATTGATGGTTGAAAATTAAAGAAAGAGTTATCTTGTTTGTGTTTTTACATTTTGGAGGAGTTGACAGATAAAGACAAGGCTTTGGGGTATTTCCAATCACAAGGAGGTGCTTGGAGCTGGAGTTGAACCAGCGACCTTAGGATCACAGTGTTTCACACAAGGAGCATCTTACAGTGCACTGCTCTACCAACTGAGCTATCAAGGTGCTCTCTAGTCACAACAGCAGAAAACATAGTGGCTTTGGAGACACACTTTGCCCACAGAACTATTCCAACCCATGGTCAATGAAAAGCCCAGCCCTACCTGTAGAACAAAGCTTTGCAGTTTGTACCCAACAGTCATTGTCAGGGACCCAGAACTAATAATCAGGACTTTTAGGCTGGGTGGATAAAAAATTGTTGGTTGAAAATTTAAGAAAGAGTTATCTTGTTTGTGTTTTTACATTTTGGAGGAGTTGACAGATAAAGACAAGGCTTGGGGGTATTTCCAATCACAAGGAGGTGCTTGGAGCTGGAGTTGAACCAGCGACCTTAGGATCAGAGCGTTTCACACAAGGAGCATCTTACAGTCCACCGCTCTACCAACTGAGCTATCAAGGTGCTCTCTAGTCAAAACAGCAGAAAACATAGTGGCTTTGGAGACACACTATGCCCACAGAACTATTCCAACCCATGGTCAATGAAAAGCCCAGCCCTACCTGTAGAACAAAGCTTTGCAGTTTGTACCCAACAGTCATTGCCAGGGACCCAGAACTAATAATCAGGACTTTTAGGCTGGGTGGATAAAAAATTGATGGTTGAAAATTTAAGAATGAGTTAACTTGTTTGTGTTTTTACATTTTGGAGGAGTTGATTGATAAAGACAAGGCTTGGGGGTATTTCCAATGACAAGGAGGTGCTTGGAGCTGGAGTTGAACCAGCGACCTTGGGATGACAGCGTTTCACACAAGGAGCATCTTACAGTCCACCGCTCTACCAACTGAGCTATCAAGGTGCTCTATAGTCACAACAGCACAAAACATAGTGGCTTTGGAGACACACTTTGCCCACAGAACTATTCCAACCCATGGTCAATGAAAGGCCCAGCCCTACCTGTAGAACAAAGCTTTGCAGTTTGTACCCAACAGTCATTGCCAGGGACCCAGAACTAATAATCAGGACTTTTAGGCTGGGTGAATAAAAAATTGATGGTTGAAAATTTAAGAAAGAGTTATCTTGTTTGTGTTTTTACATTTTGGAGGAGTTGACAGATAAAGACAAGGCTTGGGGGTATTTCCAATGACAAGGAGGTGCTTGGAGCTGGAGTTGAACCAGCGACCTTAGGATCACAGCGTTTCACACAAGGAGCATCTTACAGTCCACTGCTCTACCAACTGAGCTATCAAGGTGCTCTCTAGTCACAACAGCAGAAAACATAATGGCTTTGGAGACACACTATGCCCACAGAACTATTCCAACCCATGGTCAATGAAAAGCCCAGCCCTACCTGTAGAACAAAGCTTTGCAGTTTGTACCCAACAGTCATAGCCAGGGACCCAGAACTTATAATCAGGACGTTTAGGCTGGGTGGATAAAAAATTGTTGGTGGAAAATTTAAGAAAGAGTTATCTTGTTTGTGTTTTTACATTTTGGAGGAGTTGACAGATAAAGACAAGGCTTGGGGGTATTTCCAATGACAAGGAGGTGCTTGGAGCTGGAGTTGAACCAGCGACCTTAGAATCACAGCGTTTCATACAAGGAGCATCTTACAGTCCACTGCTCTACCAACTGAGCTATCAAGGTGCTCTGTAGTCACAACAGCAGAAAACATAGTGGCTTTGGAGACACACTATGCCCACAGAACTATTCCAACCCATGGTCAATGAAAAGCCCAGCCCTACCTGTAGAACAAAGCTTTGCAGTTTGTACCCAACAGTCATTGCCAGGGACCCAGAACTAATAATCAGGACTTTTAGGCTGGGTGGATAAAAAATTGATGGTTGAAAATTTAAGAATGAGTTAACTTGTTTGTGTTTTTACATTTTGGAGGAGTTAATTGATAAACACATGGCTTGGGGGTATTTCCAATCACAAGGAGGTGCTTGGAGCTGGAGTTGAACCAGCAACATTAGGATCACAGTGTTTCACACAAGGAGCATCTTACAGTCCACTGCTCTACCAACTGAGCTTATCAAGGTGCTCTCTAGTCACAACAGCAGAAAACATAGTGGCTTTGGAGACACACTATGCCCACAGAACTATTCCAACCCATGGTCAATGAAAAGCCCAGCCCTACCTGTAGAACAAAGCTTTGCAGTTTGTACCCAACAGTCATAGCCAGGGACCCAGAACTAATAATCAGGACTTTTAGGCTGGGTGAATAAAAAATTGATGGTTGAAAATTTAAGAAAGAGTTATCTTGTTTGTGTTTTTACATTTTGGAGGAGTTGACAGATAAAGACAAGGCTTGGGGGTATTTCCAATGACAAGGAGGTGCTTGGAGCTGGAGTTGAACAAGCGACCTTGGGATCACAGCGTTTCACACAAGGAGCATCTTACAGTCCACCGCTCTACCAACTGAGCTACCAAGGTGCTCTGTAGTCACAACAGCAGAAAACATAGTGGCTTTGGAGACACACTTTGCCCACAGAACTATTCCAACCCATGGTCAATGAAAAGCCCAGCCCTACCTGTAGAACAAAGCTTTGCAGTTTGTAACCAACAGTCATTGCCAGGGACCCAGAACTAATAATCAGGACTTTTAGGCTGGGTGAATAAATAATTGATGGTTGAAAATTTAAGAAAGAGTTATCTTGTTTGTGTTTTTACATTTTGAAAGGGGTTGACAGATAAAGACAAGGCTTGGGGGTATTTCCAATGACAAGGAGGTGCTTGGAGCTGGAGTTGAACCAGCGACCTTAGGATCAGAGCGTTTCACACAAGGAGCATCTTACAGTCCACCGCTCTACCAACTGAGCTATCAAGGTGCTCTATAGTCACAACAGCAGAAAACATAGTGGCTTTGGAGACACACTATGCCCACAGAACTATTCCAACCCATGGTCAATGAAAAGCCCAGCCCTACCTGTAGAACAAAGCTTTGCAGTTTGTACCCAACCGTCATTGCCAGGGACCCAGAACAAATAATCAGGACTTTTAGGCTGGGTGGATAAAAAATTGTTGGTGGAAAATTTAAGAAAGAGTTATCTTGTTTGTGATTTTACATTTTGGAGGAGTTGACAGATAAAGACAAGGCTTTGGGGTATTTCCAATCACAAGGAGGTGCTTGGAGCTGGAGTTGAACCAGCGACCTTAGGATCACAGTGTTTCACACAAGGAGCATCTTACAGTCCACCGCTCTACCAACTGAGCTATCAAGGTGCTCTATAGTCACAACAGCAGAAAACATAGTGGCTTTGGAGACACACTATGCCCACAGAACTATTCCAACCCATGGTCAATGAAAAGCCCAGCCCTACCTGTAGAACAAAGCTTTGCAGTTTGTACCCAACCGTCATTGCCAGGGACCCAGAACAAATAATCAGGACTTTTAGGCTGGGTGGATAAAAAATTGTTGGTGGAAAATTTAAGAAAGAGTTATCTTGTTTGTGATTTTACATTTTGGAGGAGTTGACAGATAAAGACAAGGCTTGGGGGTATTTCCAATGACAAGGAGGTGCTTGGAGCTGGAGTTGAACCAGCGACCTTGGGATCACAGCGTTTCACACAAGGAGCATCTTACAGTCCACTGCTCTACCAACTGAGCTATCAAGGTGCTTTCTAGTCACAACAGCAGAAAACATAGTGGCTTTGGAGACACACTTTGCCCACAGAACTATTCCAACCCATGGTCAATGAAAAGCCCAGCCCTACCTGTAGAACAAAGCTTTGCAGTTTGTAACCAACAGTCATTGCCAGGGACCCAGAACTAATAATCAGGACTTTTAGGCTGGGTGAATAAAAAATTGATGGTTGAAAATTAAAGAAAGAGTTATCTTGTTTGTGTTTTTACATTTTGGAGGAGTTGACAGATAAAGACAAGGCTTTGGGGTATTTCCAATCACAAGGAGGTGCTTGGAGCTGGAGTTGAACCAGCGACCTTAGGATCACAGTGTTTCACACAAGGAGCATCTTACAGTGCACTGCTCTACCAACTGAGCTATCAAGGTGCTCTCTAGTCACAACAGCAGAAAACATAGTGGCTTTGGAGACACACTATGCCCACAGAACTATTCCAACCCATGGTCAATGAAAAGCCCAGCCCTACCTGTAGAACAAAGCTTTGCAGTTTGTACCCAACAGTCATTGTCAGGGACCCAGAACTAATAATCAGGACTTTTAGGCTGGGTGGATAAAAAATTGATGGTTGAAAATTTAAGAATGAGTTAACTTGTTTGTGTTTTTACATTTTGGAGGAGTTAATTGATAAACACATGGCTTGGGGGTATTTCCAATCACAAGGAGGTGCTTGGAGCTGGAGTTGAACCAGCAACATTAGGATCACAGTGTTTCACACAAGGAGCATCTTACAGTCCACTGCTCTACCAACTGAGCTTATCAAGGTGCTCTCTAGTCACAACAGCAGAAAACATAGTGGCTTTGGAGACACACTATGCCCACAGAACTATTCCAACCCATGGTCAATGAAAAGCCCAGCCCTACCTGTAGAACAAAGCTTTGCAGTTTGTACCCAACAGTCATAGCCAGGGACCCAGAACTAATAATCAGGACTTTTAGGCTGGGTGAATAAAAAATTGATGGTTGAAAATTTAAGAAAGAGTTATCTTGTTTGTGTTTTTACATTTTGGAGGAGTTGACAGATAAAGACAAGGCTTGGGGGTATTTCCAATGACAAGGAGGTGCTTGGAGCTGGAGTTGAACAAGCGACCTTGGGATCACAGCATTTCACACAAGGAGCATCTTACAGTCCACCGCTCTACCAACTGAGCTATCAAGGTGCTCTGTAGTCACAACAGCAGAAAACATAGTGGCTTTGGAGACACACTTTGCCCACAGAACTATTCCAACCCATGGTCAATGAAAAGCCCAGCCCTACCTGTAGAACAAAGCTTTGCAGTTTGTAACCAACAGTCATTGCCAGGGACCCAGAACTAATAATCAGGACTTTTAGGCTGGGTGAATAAAAAATTGATGGTTGAAAATTTAAGAAAGAGTTATCTTGTTTGTGTTTTTACATTTTGAAAGGGGTTGACAGATAAAGACAAGGCTTGGGGGTATTTCCAATGACAAGGAGGTGCTTGGAGCTGGAGTTGAACCAGCGACCTTAGGATCAGAGCGTTTCACACAAGGAGCATCTTACAGTCCACCGCTCTACCAACTGAGCTATCAAGGTGCTCTATAGTCACAACAGCAGAAAACATAGTGGCTTTGGAGACACACTATGCCCACAGAACTATTCCAACCCATGGTCAATGAAAAGCCCAGCCCTACCTGTAGAACAAAGCTTTGCAGTTTGTACCCAACCGTCATTGCCAGGGACCCAGAACAAATAATCAGGACTTTTAGGCTGGGTGGATAAAAAATTGTTGGTGGAAAATTTAAGAAAGAGTTATCTTGTTTGTGATTTTACATTTTGGAGGAGTTGACAGATAAAGACAAGGCTTTGGGGGTATTTCCAATCACAAGGAGGTGCTTGGAGCTGGAGTTGAACCAGCGACCTTAGGATCACAGTGTTTCACACAAGGAGCATCTTACAGTCCACTGCTCTACCAACTGAGCTATCAAGGTGCTCTATAGTCACAACAGCAGAAAACATAGTGGCTTTGGAGACACACTATGCCCACAGAACTATTCCAACCCATGGTCAATGAAAAGCCCAGCCCTACCTGTAGAACAAAGCTTTGCAGTTTGTACCCAACCGTCATTGCCAGGGACCCAGAACAAATAATCAGGACTTTTAGGCTGGGTGGATAAAAAATTGTTGGTGGAAAATTTAAGAAAGAGTTATCTTGTTTGTGATTTTACATTTTGGAGGAGTTTACAGATAAAGACAAGGCTTGGGGGTATTTCCAATGACAAGGAGGTGCTTGGAGCTGGAGTTGAACCAGCGACCTTGGGATCACAGCGTTTCACACAAGGAGCATCTTACAGTCCACTGCTCTACCAACTGAGCTATCAAGGTGCTCTGTAGTCACAACAGCAGAAAACATAGTGGCTTTGGAGACACACTTTGCCCACAGAAGTATTCCAACCCATGGTCAATGAAAGGCCCAGCCCTACCTGTAGAACAAAGCTTTGCAGTTTGTACCCAACAGTCATTGCCAGGGACCCAGAACTAATAATCAGGACTTTTAGGCTGGGTGGATAAAAAATTGATGGTTGAAAATTTAAGAATGAGTTAACTTGTTTGTGTTTTTACATTTTGGAGGAGTTAATTGATAAACACATGGCTTGGGGGTATTTCCAATCACAAGGAGGTGCTTGGAGCTGGAGTTGAACCAGCAACATTAGGATCACAGTGTTTCACACAAGGAGCATCTTACAGTCCACTGCTCTACCAACTGAGCTTATCAAGGTGCTCTCTAGTCACAACAGCAGAAAACATAGTGGCTTTGGAGACACACTATGCCCACAGAACTATTCCAACCCATGGTCAATGAAAAGCCCAGCCCTACCTGTAGAACAAAGCTTTGCAGTTTGTACCCAACAGTCATAGCCAGGGACCCAGAACTAATAATCAGGACTTTTAGGCTGGGTGAATAAAAAATTGATGGTTGAAAATTTAAGAAAGAGTTATCTTGTTTGTGTTTTTACATTTTGGAGGAGTTGACAGATAAAGACAAGGCTTGGGGGTATTTCCAATGACAAGGAGGTGCTTGGAGCTGGAGTTGAACAAGCGACCTTGGGATCACAGCGTTTCACACAAGGAGCATCTTACAGTCCACCGCTCTACCAACTGAGCTACCAAGGTGCTCTGTAGTCACAACAGCAGAAAACATAGTGGCTTTGGAGACACACTTTGCCCACAGAACTATTCCAACCCATGGTCAATGAAAAGCCCAGCCCTACCTGTAGAACAAAGCTTTGCAGTTTGTAACCAACAGTCATTGCCAGGGACCCAGAACTAATAATCAGGACTTTTAGGCTGGGTGAATAAATAATTGATGGTTGAAAATTTAAGAAAGAGTTATCTTGTTTGTGTTTTTACATTTTGAAAGGAGTTGACAGATAAAGACAAGGCTTGGGGGTATTTCCAATGACAAGGAGGTGCTTGGAGCTGGAGTTGAACCAGCGACCTTAGGATCAGAGCGTTTCACACAAGGAGCATCTTACAGTCCACCGCTCTACCAACTGAGCTATCAAGGTGCTCTATAGTCACAACAGCAGAAAACATAGTGGCTTTGGAGACACACTATGCCCACAGAACTATTCCAACCCATGGTCAATGAAAAGCCCAGCCCTACCTGTAGAACAAAGCTTTGCAGTTTGTACCCAACCGTCATTGCCAGGGACCCAGAACAAATAATCAGGACTTTTAGGCTGGGTGGATAAAAAATTGTTGGTGGAAAATTTAAGAAAGAGTTATCTTGTTTGTGATTTTACATTTTGGAGGAGTTGACAGATAAAGACAAGGCTTTGGGGTATTTCCAATCACAAGGAGGTGCTTGGAGCTGGAGTTGAACCAGCGACCTTAGGATCACAGTGTTTCACACAAGGAGCATCTTACAGTCCACCGCTCTACCAACTGAGCTATCAAGGTGCTCTATAGTCACAACAGCAGAAAACATAGTGGCTTTGGAGACACACTATGCCCACAGAACTATTCCAACCCATGGTCAATGAAAAGCCCAGCCCTACCTGTAGAACAAAGCTTTGCAGTTTGTACCCAACCGTCATTGCCAGGGACCCAGAACAAATAATCAGGACTTTTAGGCTGGGTGGATAAAAAATTGTTGGTGGAAAATTTAAGAAAGAGTTATCTTGTTTGTGATTTTACATTTTGGAGGAGTTGACAGATAAAGACAAGGCTTGGGGGTATTTCCAATGACAAGGAGGTGCTTGGAGCTGGAGTTGAACCAGCGACCTTGGGATCACAGCGTTTCACACAAGGAGCATCTTACAGTCCACTGCTCTACCAACTGAGCTATCAAGGTGCTTTCTAGTCACAACAGCAGAAAACATAGTGGCTTTGGAGACACACTATGCCCACAGAACTATTCCAACCCATGGTCAATGAAAAGCCCAGCCCTACCTGTAGAACAAAGCTTTGCAGTTTGTAACCAACAGTCATTGCCAGGGACCCAGAACTAATAATCAGGACTTTTAGGCTGGGTGAATAAAAAATTGATGGTTGAAAATTAAAGAAAGAGTTATCTTGTTTGTGTTTTTACATTTTGGAGGAGTTGACAGATAAAGACAAGGCTTTGGGGTATTTCCAATCACAAGGAGGTGCTTGGAGCTGGAGTTGAACCAGCGACCTTAGGATCACAGTGTTTCACACAAGGAGCATCTTACAGTGCACTGCTCTACCAACTGAGCTATCAAGGTGCTCTCTAGTCACAACAGCAGAAAACATAGTGGCTTTGGAGACACACTATGCCCACAGAACTATTCCAACCCATGGTCAATGAAAAGCCCAGCCCTACCTGTAGAACAAAGCTTTGCAGTTTGTACCCAACAGTCATTGTCAGGGACCCAGAACTAATAATCAGGACTTTTAGGCTGGGTGGATAAAAAATTGATGGTTGAAAATTTAAGAAAGAGTTAACTTGTTTGTGTTTTTACATTTTGGAGGAGTTGACATTGATAAAGACACATGGCTTGGGGGTATTTCCAATCACAAGGAGGTGCTTGGAGCTGGAGTTGAACCAGCAACCTTAGGATCACAGCGTTTCACACAAGGAGCATCTTACAGTCCACTGCTCTACCAACTGAGCTTATCAAGGTGCTCTCTAGTCACAACAGCAGAAAACATAGTGGCTTTGGAGACACACTATGCCCACAGAACTATTCCAACCCATGGTCAATGAAAAGCCCAGCCCTACCTGTAGAACAAAGCTTTGCAGTTTGTACCCAACAGTCATAGCCAGGGACCCACAACTAATAATCAGGACTTTTAGGCTGGTTGAATAAGAAATTGATGGTTGAAAATGTAAGAAAGAGTTATCTTGTTTGTGTTTTTACATTTTGGAGGAGTTGACAGATAAAGACAAGGCTTGGGGGTATTTCCAATGACAAGGAGGTGCTTGGAGCTGGAGTTGAACCAGCGACCTTGGGATCACAGCATTTCACACAAGGAGCATCTTACAGTCCACCGCTCTACCAACTGAGCTATCAAGGTGCTCTAGTAGTCACAACAGCAGAAAACATAGTGGCTTTGGAGACACACTGCCCACAGAACTATTCCAACCCATGGTCAATGAAAAGCCCAGCCCTACCTGTAGAACAAAGCTTTGCAGTTTGTACCCAACAGTCATTGCCAGGGACCCAGAACTAATAATCAGGACTTTTAGGCTGGGTGAATAAAAAATTGATGGTTGAAAATTTAAGAAAGAGTTATCTTGTTTGTGTTTTTACATTTTGAAAGGGGTTGACAGATAAAGACAAGGCTTGGGGGTATTTCCAATCACAAGGAGGTGCTTGGAGCTGGAGTTGAACCAGCGACCTTAGGATCACAGCGTTTCACACAAGGAGCATCTTACAGTCCACCGCTCTACCAACTGAGCTATCAAGGTGCTCTATAGTCACAACAGCAGAAAACATAGTGGCTTTGGAGACACACTATGCCCACAGAACTATTCCAACCCATGGTCAATGAAAAGCCCAGCCCTACCTGTAGAACAAAGCTTTGCAGTTTGTACCCAACAGTCATTGCCAGGGACCCAGAACAAATAATCAGGACTTTTAGGCTGGGTGGATAAAAAATTGATGGTGAAAATTTAAGAAAGAGTTATCTTGTTTGTGTTTTTACATTTTGGAGGAGTTGACAGATAAAGACAAGGCTTGGGGGTATTTCCAATCACAAGGAGGTGCTTGGAGCTGGAGTTGAACCAGCGACCTTAGGATCACAGCATTTCACACAAGGAGCATCTTACAGTCCACCGCTCTACCAACTGAGCTATAAAGGTGCTCTATAGTCATAACAGCAGAAAACATAGTGGCTTTGGAGACACACTATGCCCACAGAACTATTCCAACCCATGGTCAATGAAAAGCCCAGCCCTACCTGTAGAACAAAGCTTTGCAGTTTGTACCCAACAGTCATTGCCAGGGACCCAGAACTAATAATCAGGACTTTTAGGCTGGGTGTATAAAAAATTGATGGTTGAAAATTTAAGAAAGAGTTATCTTGTTTGTGTTTTTACATTTTGGAGGAGTTGACAGATAAAGACAAGGCTTGGGGGTATTTCCAATGACAAGGAGGTGCTTGGAGCTGGAGTTGAACCAGCGACCTTGGGATCACAGCGTTTCACACAAGGAGCATCTTACAGTCCACTGCTCTACCAACTGAGCTATCAAGGTGCTCTGTAGTCACAACAGCAGAAAACATAGTGGCTTTGGAGACACACTTTGCCCACAGAACTATTCCAACCCATGGTCAATGAAAGGCCCAGCCCTACCTGTAGAACAAAGCTTTGCAGTTTGTACCCAACAGTCATTGCCAGGGACCCAGAACTAATAATCAGGACTTTTAGGCTGGGTGAATAAAAAATTGATGGTTGAAAATTAAGAAAGAGTTATCTTGTTTGTGTTTTTACATTTTGGAGGAGTTGACAGATAAAGACAAGGCTTGGGGGTATTTCCAATCACAAGGAGGTGCTTGGAGCTGGAGTTGAACCAGCGACCTTAGGATCACAGTGTTTCACACAAGGAGCATCTTACAGTGCACTGCTCTACCAACTGAGCTATCAAGGTGGTCTCTAGTCACAACAGCAGAAAACATAGTGGCTTTGGAGACACACTTTGCCCACAGAACTATTCCAACCCATGGTCAATGAAAAGCCCAGCCCTACCTGTAGAACAAAGCTTTGCAGTTTGTACCCAACAGTCATTGTCAGGGACCCAGAACTAATAATCAGGACTTTTAGGCTGGGTGATAAAAAATTGATGGTTGAAAATTTAAGAAAGAGTTATCTTGTTTGTGTTTTTACATTTTGGAGGAGTTGACAGATAAAGACAAGGCTTGGGGGTATTTCCAATGACAAGGAGGTGCTTGGAGCTGGAGTTGAACCAGCGACCTTAGGATCAGAGCGTTTCACACAAGGAGCATCTTACAGTCCACCGCTCTACCAACTGAGCTATCAAGGTGCTCTCTAGTCAAAACAGCAGAAAACATAGTGGCTTTGGAGACACACTATGCCCACAGAACTATTCCAACCCATGGTCAATGAAAAGCCCAGCCCTACCTGTAGAACAAAGCTTTGCAGTTTGTACCCAACAGTCATTGCCAGGGACCCAGAACTAATAATCAGGACTTTTAGGCTGGGTGAATAAAAAATTGATGGTTGAAAATTTAAGAAAGAGTTATCTTGTTTGTGTTTTTACATTTTGGAGGAGTTGACAGATAAAGACAAGGCTTGGGGGTATTTCCAATGACAAGGAGGTGCTTGGAGCTGGAGTTGAACCAGCGACCTTAGGATCACAGCGTTTCACACAAGGAGCATCTTACAGTCCACCGCTCTACCAACTGAGCTATCAAGGTGCTCTATAGTCACAACAGCACAAAACATAGTGGCTTTGGAGACACACTATGCCCACAGAACTATTCCAACCCATGGTCAATGAAAAGCCCAGCCCTACCTGCAGAACAAAGCTTTGCAGTTTGTACCCAACAGTCATTGTCAGGGACCCAGAACTAATAATCAGGACTTTTAGGCTGGGTGAATAAAAAATTGATGGTTGAAAATTTAAGAAAGAGTTATCTTGTTTGTGTTTTTACATTTTGGAGGAGTTGACAGATAAAGACAAGGCTTGGGGGTATTTCCAATGACAAGGAGGTGCTTGGAGCTGGAGTTGAACCAGCGACCTTAGGATCACAGCGTTTCACACAAGGAGCATCTTACAGTCCACTGCTCTACCAACTGAGCTATCAAGGTGCTCTCTAGTCACAACAGCAGAAAACATAGTGGCTTTGGAGACACACTATGCCCACAGAACTATTCCAACCCATGGTCAATGAAAAGCCCAGCCCTACCTGTAGAACAAAGCTTTGCAGTTTGTACCCAACAGTCATTGCCAGGGACCCAGAACTAATAATCAGGACTTTTAGGCTGGGTGGATAAAAAATTGTTGGTGGAAAATTTAAGAAAGAGTTATCTTGTTTGTGTTTTTACATTTTGGAGGAGTTGACAGATAAAGACAAGGCTTGGGGGTATTTCCAATGACAAGGAGGTGCTTGGAGCTGGAGTTGAACCAGCGACCTTAGGATCACAGCGTTTCACACAAGGAGCATCTAACAGTCCACCGCTGTACTGTAATTGTAATTTTAATGTCTTTGTTAAGAATTGCTTGAAGTGCCCCTCACAACAGACTTTCCAATCAACATATCAGTTAATCAGCATGTCTAGACATCAACAGACAACATCCTGCAGGATGCTTCAGGTGTCACCACCACCCCAGGGGGGTGAAGTAACAGTCCCCACAGACAACAAAAGGTGCCAACACCTAAGCCCCATTCCTTGCCCTCTGGAAGGCGGTCCTAAGGTATAAATATTCTGTATTCCCCTAGATTCGGGGTCCTTTCTGATCTACCCGCTCGGATCCAGATCGACCTTTTCTTTGCAAAGAAAATAAAACCTTGTCGGCCGGCAGAAGTCTCTATTTCATTATTCACCAGCAGCAACGGAAGGAGAAAAACTTCCACGACACTACCAACTGAGCTATTAAGGTGCTCTATAGTCACAACAGCAGAAAACATAGTGGCTTTGGAGACACACTTTGCCCACAGAACTATTCCAACCCATGGTCAATGAAAAGCCCAGCCCTACCTGTAGAACAAAGCTTTGCAGTTTGTACCCAACAGTCATTGCCAGGGACCCAGAACAAATAATCAGGACTTTTAGGCTGGGTGGATAAAAAATTGTTGGTTGAAAATTTAAGAAAGAGTTATCTTGTTTGTGATTTTACATTTTGGAGGAGTTGACAGATAAAGACAAGGCTTGGGGGTATTTCCAATGACAAGGAGGTGCTTGGAGCTGGAGTTGAACCAGCGACCTTAGGATCACAGCGTTTCACACAAGGAGCATCTAACAGTCCACCGCTCTACCAACTGAGCTATCAAGGTGCTCTCTAGTCACAACAGCAGAAAACATAGTGGCTTTGGAGACACACTATGCCCACAGAACTATTCCAACCCATGGTCAATGAAAAGCCCAGCCCTACCTGTAGAACAAAGCTTTGCAGTTTGTAACCAACAGTCATTGCCAGGGACCCAGAACAAATAATCAGGACTTTTAGGCTGGGTGGATAAAAAATTGATGGTTGAAAATTTAAGAAAGAGTTATCTTGTTTGTGTTTTTACATTTTGGAGGAGTTGACAGATAAAGACAAGGCTTGGGGGTATTTCCAATGACAAGGAGGTGCTTGGAGCTGGAGTTGAACCAGCGACCTTAGGATCCCAGCATTTCACACAAGGAGCATCTTACAGTCCACCGCTCTACCAACTGAGCTATCAAGGTGCTCTATAGTCACAACAGCAGAAAACATAGTGGCTTTGGAGACACACTATGCCCACAGAACTATTCCAACCCATGGTCAATGAAAAGCCCAGCCCTACCTGTAGAACAAAGCTTTGCAGATTGTACCCACCAGTCATTGCCAGGGACCCAGAACTAATAATCAGGACTTTTAGGCTGGGTGAATAAAAAATTGATGGTTGAAAATTTAAGAAAGAGTTATCTTGTTTGTGTTTTTACATTTTGGAGGAGTTGACAGATAAAGACAAGGCTTGGGGGTATTTCCAATGACAAGGAGGTGCTTGGAGCTGGAGTTGAACCAGCGACCTTAGGATCACAGCGTTTCACACAAGGAGCATCTTACAGTCCACCGCTCTACCAACTGAGCTATCAAGGTGATCTATAGTCACAACAGCAGAAAACATAGTGGCTTTGGAGACACACTATGCCCACAGAACTATTCCAACCCATGGTCAATGAAAAGCCCAGCCCTACCTGTAGAACAAAGCTTTGCAGTTTGTACCCAACAGTCATTGCCAGGGACCCAGAACTAATAATCAGGACTTTTAGGCTGGGTGAATAAAAAATTGATGGTTGAAAATTTAAGAAAGAGTTATCTTGTTTGTGATTTTACATTTTGGAGGAGTTGACAGATAAAGACAAGGCTTGGGGGTATTTCCAATGACAAGGAGGTGCTTGGAGCTGGAGTTGAACCAGCGACCTTAGGATCACAGCGTTTCACACAAGGAGCATCTTACAGTCCACCGCTCTACCAACTGAGCTATCAAGGTGCTCTCTAGTCACAACAGCAGAAAACATAGTGGCTTTGGAGACACACTATGCCCACAGAACTATTCCAACCCATGGTCAATGAAAAGCCCAGCCCTACCTGTAGAACAAAGCTTTGCAGTTTGTACCCAACAGTCATTGCCAGGGACCCAGAACTAATAATCAGGACTTTTAGGCTGGGTGAATAAAAAATTGATGGTTGAAAATTTAAGAAAGAGTTATCTTGTTTGTGTTTTTACATTTTGGAGGAGTTGACAGATAAAGACAAGGCTTGGGGGTATTTCCAATGACAAGGAGCTGGAGTTGAACCAGCGACCTTAGGATCACAGCTTTTCACACAAGGAGCATCTTACAGTCCACCGCTGTACCAACTGAGCTATCAAGGTGCTCTATAGTCACAACAGCAGAAAACATAGTGGCTTTGGAGACACACTATGCCCACAGAACTATTCCAACCCATGGTCAATGAAAAGCCCAGCCCTACCTGTAGAACAAAGCTTTGCAGTTTGTACCCAACAGTCATTGCCAGGGACCCAGAACTAATAATCAGGACTTTTAGGCTGGGTGAATAAAAAATTGATGGTTGAAAATTTAAGAAAGAGTTATCTTGTTTGTGTTTTTACATTTTGGAGGAGTTGACAGATAAAGACAAGGCTTGGGGGTATTTCCAATCACAAGGAGGGGCTTGGAGCTGGAGTTGAACCAGCGACCTTAGGATCACAGCGTTTCACACAAGGAGCATCTTACAGTCCACCGCTCTACCAACTGAGCTATCAAGGTGCTCTCTAGTCACAACAGCAGAAAATATAGTGGCTTCGGAGACACACTATGCCCACAGAACTATTCCAACCCATGGTCAATGAAAAGCCCAGCCCTACCTGTAGAACAAAGCTTTGCAGTTTGTACCCAACAGTCATTGCCAGGGACCAAGAACTAATAATCAGGACTTTTAGGCTGGGTGTATAAAAAAATGATGGTGGAAAATTTAAGAAAGAGTTATCTTGTTTGTGTTTTTACATTTTCGAGGAGTTGACAGATGAAGACAAGGCTTGGGGGTATTTCCAATGACAAGGAGGTGCTTGGAGCTGGAGTTGAACCAGCTACCTTATGATCCCAGCGTTTCACACAAGGAGCATGTTACAGTCCACCGCTCTACCAAGTGAGCTATGGAGGTGGACTCTAGTCACAACTGCAGAAAACATAGTGGCTTTGGAGACACACTATGCCCACAGAACTATTCCAACCCATGGTCAATGAATAGCCCAGCCCTACCTGTAGAACAAAGCTTTGCAGTTTGTACCCAACAGTCATTGCCAGGGACCCACAACTAATAATCAGGACTTTTAGGCTGGGTGAATAAAAAATTGATGGTTGAAAATGTAAGAAAGAGTTATCTTGTTTGTGTTTTTACATTTTGAAGAGTTGACAGATAAAGACAAGGCTTGGGGGTATTTCCAATGACAAGGAGGTGCTTGGAGCTGGAGTTGAACCAGCGACCTTTGGATCCCAGCATTTCACACAAGGAGCATCTTACAGTGCATCGCTCTACCAACTGAGCTATCAAGGTGCTCTCTAGTAGCAACAGCAGAAAACATAGTGGCTTTGGAGACACACTATGCCCACAGAACGATTCCAACCCATGGTCAATGAAAAGCCCAGCCCGACCTGCAGAACAAAGCCTTACAGTTTGTACCCAACAGTCATTGTCAGGGACCCAGAACTAATAATCAGGACTTTTAGGCTGGGTGAATAAAAAATTGATGGTTGAAAATTTAAGAAAGAGTTATCTTGTTTGTTTTTTTACATTTTGGAGGAGTTGACACTTAAGACAAGGCTTGGGGGTATTTCCAATGACAAGGAGGTGCTTGGAGCTGGAGTTGAACCAGGGACCTTAGGATCACAGCGTTTCACACAAGGAGCATCTTACAGTCCACCGGTCTACCAACTGAGCTATCAAGGTGGTCTCTAGTCACAACTGCAGAAAACATAGTGGCTTTGGAGACACACTATGCCCACAGAACTATTCCAACCCATGGTCAATGAAAAGCCCAGCCCTACCTGTAGAACAAAGCTTTGCAGTTTGTACCCAACAGTCATTGCCAGGGACCCAGAACTAATAATCAGGACTTTTAGGCTGGGTGAATAAAAAATTGATGGTTGAAAATGTAAGAAAGAGTTATCTTGTTTGTGTTTTTACATTTTGGAGGAGTTGACAGATAAAGACAAGGCTTGGGGGTATTTCCAATCACAAGGAGGGGCTTGGAGCTGGAGTTGAACCAGCGACCTTAGGATCACAGCGTTTCACACAAGGAGCATCTTACAGTCCACCGGTCTACCAACTGAGCTATCAAGGTGCTCTCTAGTCACAACAGCAGAAAATATAGTGGCTTCGGAGACACACTATGCCCACAGAACTATTCCAACCCATGGTCAATGAAAAGCCCAGCCCTACCTGTAGAACAAAGCTTTGCAGTTTGTACCCAACAGTCATTGCCAGGGACCAAGAACTAATAATCAGGACTTTTAGGCTGGGTGTATAAAAAAATGATGGTTGAAAATGTAAGAAAGAGTTATCTGGTTTGTGTTTTTACATTTTGGAGGAGTTGACAGATAAAGCCAAGGCTTGGGGGTATTTCCAATGACAAGGAGGTGCTTGGAGCTGGAGTTGAACCAGCGACCTTAGGATCCCAGCATTTCACACAAGGAGCATCTTACAGTGGATCGATCTACCAACTGAGCTATGAAGGTGCTTACTAGCCATAACAGCAGAAAACATAGTGGCTTTGGAGACACACTATGCCCACAGAACTATTCCAACCCATGGTCAATGAAAAGCCCAGCCCTACCTGTAGAACAAAGCTTTGCAGTTTGTACCCAACAGTCATTGCCAGGGACCCAGAACTAATAATCAGGACTTTTAGGCTGGGTGAATAAAAAATTGTTGGTGGAAAATTTAAGAAAGAGTTATCTTGTTTGTGTTTTTACATTTTGGAGGAGTTGACAGATAAAGACAAGGCTTGGGGGTATTTCCAATCACAAGGAGGGGCTTGGAGGTGGAGTTGAACCAGCGACCTTAGGATCACAGCGTTTCACACAAGGAGCATCTTACAGTCCACCGCTCTACCAACTGAGCTATCAAGGTGCTCTATAGTCAAAACAGCAGAAAACATAGTGGCTTTGGAGACACACTATGCCCACAGAACTATTCCAACCCATGGTCAATGAAAAGCCCAGCCCTACCTGTAGAACAAAGCTTTGCAGTTTGTACCCAACAGTCATTGCCAGGGACCCAGAACTAATAATCAGGACTTTTAGGCTGGGTGAATAAAAAATTGATGGTGGAAAATTTAAGAAAGAGTTATCTTGTTTGTGGTTTTACATTTTGGAGTAGTTGACAGATAAAGACAAGGCTTGGGAGTATTTCCAATGACAAGGAGGTGCTTGGGGCTGGAGTTGAACCAGCAACCTTATGATCACAGCGTTTCACACAAGGAGCATCTTACTGTCCACCGCTCTACCAACTGAGCTATCAAGTTGCCCTATAGTCACAACAGCAGAAAACATAGTGGCTTTGGAGACACACTATGCCCACAGACCTATTCCAACCCATGGTCAATGAAAAGCCCAGCCCGACCTGCAGAACAAAGCCTTACAGTTTGTACCCAACAGTCATTGTCAGGGACCCAGAACTAATAATCAGGACTTTTAGGCTGGGTGAATAAAAAATTGATGGTTGAAAATTTAAGAAAGAGTTATCTTGTTTGTGGTTTTACATTTTGGAGGAGTTGACACATAAAGACAAGGCTTGGGGGTATTTCCAATGACAAGGAGGTGCTTGGAGCTGGAGTTGAACCAGCGACCTTAGGATCACAGCATTACACACAAGGAGCATCTTACAGTCCACTGCTCTACCAACTGAGCTATCAAGTTGCTCTATAGTCACAACAGCAGAAAACATAGTGGCTTTGGAGACACACCATGCCCACAGAACTATTCCAACCCATGGTCAATGAAAAGCCCAGCCCTACCTGTAGAACAAAGCTTCGCAGTTTGTACCCAACAGTCATTGCCAGGGACCCAGAACTAATAATCAGGACTTTTAGGCTGGGTGAATAAAAAATTGATGGTTGAAAATTTAAGAAAGAGTTATCTTGTTTGTGTTTTTACATTTTGGAGGAGTTGACAGATAAAGACAAGGCTTGGGGGTATTTCCAATCACAAGGAGGGGCTTGGAGCTGGAGTTGAACCAGGGACCTTAGGATCACAGCGTTTCACACAAGGAGCATCTTACAGTCCACCGGTCTACCAACTGAGCTATCAAGGTGCTCTCTAGTCACAACAGCAGAAAACATAGTGGCTTCGGAGACACACTATGCCCACAGAACTATTCCAACCCATGGTCAATGAAAAGCCCAGCCCTACCTGTAGAACAAAGCTTTGCAGTTTGTACCCAACAGTCATTGCCAGGGACCCAGAACTAATAATCAGGACTTTAAGGCTGGGTGAATAAAAAATTGTTGGTGGAAAATTTAAGAAAGAGTTATCTTGTTTGTGTTTTTACATTTTCGAGGAGTTGACAGATGAAGACAAGGCTTTGGGGTATTTCCAATGACAAGGAGGTGCTTGGGGCTGGAGTTGAACCAGCTACCTTATGATCACAGCGTTTCACACAAGGAGCATCTTACAGTCCACCGCTCTACCAACTGAGCTATCAAGGTGGACTCTAGTCACAACTGCAGAAAACATAGTGGCTTTGGAGACACACTATGCCCACAGAACTATTCCAATCCATGGTCAATGAAAAGCCCAGCCCTACCTGTAGAACAAAGCTTTGCAGTTTGTACCCAACAGTCATTGCCAGGGACCCAGAACTAATAATCAGGACTTTTAGACTGCGTGATTAAAATATTGATGGTTGAAAATGTAAGAAAGAGTTATCTTGTTTGTGTTTTTGCATTATGGAGGAGTTGACAGATAAAGCCAAGGCTTGGGGGTATTTCCAATGACAAGGAGGTGCTTGGAGCTGGAGTTGAACCAGCGACCTTTTCATCCCAGCATTTCACACAAGGAGCATCTTACAGTGCATCGCTCTACCAACTGAGCTATCAAGGTGCTCACTAGTCAAAAAATCAGAAAACATAGTGGCTTTGGAGACACACTATGCCCACAGAACTATTCCAACCCATGGTCAATGAATAGCCCAGCCCTAACTGCAGAACAAAGCCTTAAAGTTTGTACCCAACAATCATTGTCAGGGACCTAGAACTAATGATCAGGACTTTTAGGCTGGGTGAATAAAAAATTGATGGTTGAAAATTTAAGAAAGAGTTATCTTATTTGTGTTTTTACATTTTGGAGGAGTTGACAGATAAAGACAAGGCTTGGGGGTATTTCCAATGACAAGGAGGTGCTTGGAGCTGGAGTTGAACCAGCGACCTTAGGATCACAGCATTTCACACAAGGAGCATCTTACAGTGGATCGATCTACCAACTGAGCTATCAAGGTGCTCACTAGTCACAACGGCAGAAAACGTAGTGGCTTTGGAGACACACTATGCCCACAGAACTATTCCAACCCATGGTCAATGAATAGCCCAGCCCTCCCTGTAGAACAAAGCCTTAAAGTTTGTACCCAACAGTCATTGCCAGGGACCCAGAACTAATAATCAGGACTTTTAGGCTGGGTGAATAAAAGATTGTTGGTGGAAAATTTAAGAAAGAGTTATCTAGTTTGTGTTTTTACATTTTGGAGGAGTTGACACATAAAGACAAGGCTTGGGGGTATTTCCAATGACAAGGAGGTGCTTGGGGCTGGAGTTGAACCAGCGACCTTATGATCACAGCGTTTCACACAAGGAGCATCTTACAGTCCACCGCTCTACCAACTGAGCTATCAAGGTGCTCTCTAGTCACAACAGCAGAAAACATAGTGGCTTTGGAGACACACTATGCCCACAGAACTATTCCAACCCATGGTCAATGAAAAGCCCAGCCCTACCTGTAGAACAAAGCTTTGCAGTTTGTACCCAACAGTCATTGCCAGGGACCCAGAACTAATAATCAGGACTTTTAGGCTGGGTGAATAAAAAATTGATGGTGGAAAATTTAAGAAAGAGTTATCTTGTTTGTGTTTTTACATTTTGGAGGAGTTGACAGATAAAGACAAGGCTTGGGGGTATTTCCAATGACAAGGAGGTGCTTGGAGCTGGAGTTGAACCAGCGACCTTAGGATCACAGCGTTTCACACAAGGAGCAGCTTACAGTCAACCGCTCTACCAACTGAGCTATCATGGTGCTCTCTAGTCACAACAGCAGAAAACATAGTGGCTTTGGAGACACACTTTGCCCACAGAACTATTCCAACCCATGGTCAATGAAAAGCCCAGCCCGACCTGCAGAACAAAGCCTTACAGTTTGTACCCAACAGTCATTGTCAGGGACCCACAACTAATAATCAGGACTTTTAGGCTGGGTGAATAAAAAATTGATGGTTGAAAATTTAAGAAAGAGTTATCTTGTTTGTGTTTTTACATTTTGGAGGAGTTGACACATAAAGACAAGGCTTGGGGGTATTTCCAATGACAAGGAGGTGCTTGGGGCTGGAGTTGAACCAGCGACCTTATGATCACAGCGTTTCACACAAGGAGCATCTTACAGTCCACCGCTCTACCAACTGAGCTATCAAGGTGCTCTATAGTGACAACAGCAGAAAACATAGTGGCTTTGGAGACACACTATGCCCACAGAACTATTCCAACCCATGGTCAATGAATAGCCCAGCCCTACCTGCAGAACAAAGCCTTAAAGTTTGTACCCAACAGTCATTGTCAGGGACCTAGAACTAATAATCAGGACTTTTAGGCTTGGTGAATAAAAAATTGATGGTTGAAAATTTAAGAAAGAGTTATCTTGTTTGTGTTTTTACATTTTGGAGGAGTTGACAGATAAAGACAAGGCTTGGGGGTATTTCCAATGACAAGGAGGTGCTTGGGGCTGGAGTTGAACTAGCTACCTTATGATCACAGCGTTTCACACAAGGAGCATCTTACAGTCCACTGCTCTACCAACTGAGCTATCAAGGTGCTCTATAGTCACAACAGCAGAAAACATAGTGGCTTTGGAGACACACTATGCCCACAGAACTATTCCAACCCATGGTCAATGAAAAGCCCAGCCCTACCTGTAGAACCAAGCTTTGCAGTTTGTACCCAACAGTCATTGCCAGGGACCCAGAACTAATAATCAGGACTTTTAGGCTGGGTGAATAAAAAATTGATGGTTGAAAATTTAAGAAAGAGTTATCTTGTTTGTGTCTTTACATTTTGGAGGAGTTGACAGATAAAGACAAGGCTTGGGGGTATTTCCAATGACAAGGAGGTGCTTGGGGCTGGAGTTGAACCAGCGACCTTATGATCACAGCGTTTCACACAAGGAGCATCTTACAGTCGACTGCTCTACCAACTGAGCTATCAAGGTGCGCTCTAGTCACAACAGCAGAAAACATAGTGGCTTTGGAGACACACTATGCCCACAGAACTATTCCAACCCATGGTCAATGAAAAGCCCAGCCCTACCTGTAGAACAAAGCTTTGCAGTTTGTACCCAACAGTCATTGCCAGGGACCCAGAACTAATAATCAGGACTTTTAGGCTGGGTGAATAAAAAATTGTTGGTGGAAAATTTAAGAAAGAGATATCTTGTTTGTGTTTTTAGATTTTGGAGGAGTTGACAGATGAAGACAGGGCTTGGGGGTATTTCCAATGACAAGGAGGTGCTTGGAGCTGGAGTTGAACCAGCTACCTTATGATCACAGCGTTTCACACAAGGAGCATCTTACAGTCCACTGCTCTACCAACTGAGCTATCAAGGTGCTTTATAGTCACAACAGCAGAAAACATAGTGGCTTTGGAGACACACTATACCCACAGAACTATTCCAACCCATGGTCAATGAAAAGCCCAGCCCTACCTGTAGAACAAAGCTTTGCAGTTTGTACCCAACAGTCATTGCCAGGGACCCAGAACTAATAATCAGGACTTTTAGGCTGGGTGAATAAAAAATTGATGGTTGAAAATTTAAGAAAGAGTTATGTTGTTTGTGTTTTTACATTTTGGAGGAGTTGACAGATAAAGACAAGGCTTGGGGGTATTTCCAATGACAAGGAGGGGCTTGGGGCTGGAGTTGAACCAGCGACCTTAGGATCACAGCGTTTCACACAAGGAGCATCTTACAGTCGACTGCTCTACCAACTGAGCTATCAAGGTGCGCTCTAGTCACAACAGCAGAAAACATAGTGGCTTTGGAGACACACTATGCCCACAGAACTATTCCAACCCATGGTCAATGAAAAGCCCAGCCCTACCTGTAGAACAAAGCTTTGCAGTTTGTACCCAACAGTCATTGCCAGGGACCCAGAACTAATAATCAGGACTTTTAGGCTGGGTGAATAAAAAATTGTTGGTGGAAAATTTAAGAAAGAGATATCTTGTTTGTGTTTTTAGATTTTGGAGGAGTTGACAGATGAAGACAGGGCTTGGGGGTATTTCCAATGACAAGGAGGTGCTTGGAGCTGGAGTTGAACCAGCGACCTTAGCATCACGGCATTGCATTTGAGGAACTTCCTATAGTCCTCTGCTCTACCAACTGAGCAATCAATGTGCTCTCTACTCACAACTGCAGAAAACATAGTGGCTGAGACGACACACTATGCCCACACAACTATTCGACCCACATGATCAATGAAAAGCCCAGCCCAACCTGCAGAACAAAGCTTTGCTGTTTGAACCCAACAGTCATTGCCAGGGACCAAGAACTGGAGACTTTTAGGCTGGGTGAATAAAAAATTGATGGTTGGAAAATTAAGCAGAAGTTATCTTGTTTGTGTTTTTATATTTTGGAGGAGTTGAAAGATGAAGACCAGGCTTGGAGCTCGAGTTGAAGCAGCGACCTTCGCATCACAGCATTTCATATGGGGAACTTCCTACAGTCCTCTGCTCTTCCAACTTAGCTATCAAGGTGCTCTCTACTTGCACCTGCAGAAAACATACTGGCTGAGACGACACACTTTGCCCACACAACTATTCGACCCACATGGTCAATGAAAAGCCCAGCCCTACCTGCATAACAAAGCTTTGCAGTTTGTACCCAACAGTCATTGCCAGGGACCCAGAACTGATAATCAGGACCTTTAGGCTGGGTGAATAAAAAAGTCACGAAGTGAAAGGAGAAGCTGTGTAGCCATGTGTTTGTCAATGTCATGTTTCTGTAACCTCATCTGCAACTGCAGGCTTATGGCTCGGAACCACTGCAGTATTGTATCCCAAAAGTGTGCCATGAAAGCTATCTCTAGGGTTTCCAGCTTGCCACAGAGTGCAGAGGAAGCGAAATCTGCAAAGTGAAGCAGGGCAAAACTCAGTGTTCTAAAGGTGAATATCTACCAGTCTACTACTCTCCTTGAAGTAACTTTTCGTTATAATGACACGTGAATCTGCTGTGTATTGTGACTGGACCACTGTACAGCCCGCTCCTAAGTCTAGCTCGGCTATTGGACACTCGCTTCAGGATATGGTCCCAACGCATGATAAATTTGCATAGAGTTGGAGAATTTGGAACTTTTGGACGAGTCGCAATGACAGTTTCGATTCACTCCAAGGACCATGTCATATTGTGTACACACAATACTGTGCGGGAACGAAATCTCTTCTCATAGAAAATAGGTCCAGCTTCTACTCGCCGTCTACTGGGGCCAGCGTTAGGCCCAGGATATGCTTGCCGTGTGCACATTTCATGCCTGAATGCGTCGCCATGCATATTTTATGTCCATGTTACGCGTAATAGCACACCTGAACACAAGGTATGCAGACATGTGCGCATGTTGCGATATTGACACAACGCGAGGGGCGATCTTCCGATCTTCCATGTTTAGCTCGTCGTAGAGTCAATCAATGGTGGAAAATATTAATGAGAGCCTGGTTGGCTATCTGCCCCCTATATGATACCGCCAGTATCCAATGTTGCCAGTTTTAGCGACTTTGTCGCTAGATTTAGCGACTTTTGGCCATCTCTGGCAACTAAAACCTCATCTAGCGCAATAAGTTCCATGGATAAGGCAACATACCTGGTAAAGACTGTTTACAAATTACAAAAAGAGGAAGAGAAAGAAAGATCACATGCAAGTGGAATGCAAGGACACAAGTGAATACAGTCAGAGCTGAAAAGGACGGATCCAAAAGTTCAGTTTGACAGCTCACATGGAAATGGTTAAGACTTTACTGCAGCTGCAGGCATCTAGACTTTGACATTATTTCAGATTTATTTCACATGCAGAAATTAAGGAGTAATGACATAATTTCTGTAAGACTATAGTTGGAGTCTGCTGGCAGATGCTGGGGAAATGGCAAGGCTGTAAGTCTAAACTCAGCTCAGGTGCACAGCTGTAGTGGCAAAACAGAGGAAGTGACCTAAAATGTTGCAGCTTAAACAGACCACTGTGTTAAAACTGTGAGGTGATTGTGAGATAGATGTATGTCAAATGTAAAATACAGTGCAGCTCATGTTGCCTTCCTGAAGGCATCATTCCAGGCTCACCTTCTGTCCTATCAGCAAAGGGTTATGTTAAAATGTGCAGGTCTGGGGTACCATCCTAAGGTCCCAAGTTTTAGAAACCCTCTTTACTGATGAATGTTACAGAGGCCACTGGGACAATTGCAGGGGCAGAAGTCTGTCAGGTAAGACACACAAACTGTATGAGTTTGGTGTAGCAGGCATGTGAGCTGCATCCATAATCTTATTGCTCAGTGTGCTGCCTCAATGTGGCTGTACTGTTTACAATATATGCTTAACACTCTGTTATACCATATCCACACAGATGATTTTCAAGCTGTTGTAACTGTACGCCCACTGTTTCCCCTTCTTAGAAGGAAAACAGAAGCCTGATGCACCAGCTTTGAGTAAGCTCTATCTAAAGATAGGGTGCGTACTTAAACATATGCTGTAACTTAAGTGGTGTCTTTGTGTAGTAGCACCACGAAGATGTAATGTTCATCTTAACTAGTAGAGTGTAACATCAAAACTAATCCAAGTATTGTCAGAGCTATGACTTTGACACTTTTAGAAATCAATCACAGAGTGTTTCTCCCTCTGAGCGATATTTTAGGTGTTAACTCCAAAAGCCTAACTGTCTTTAAACAACTGAAAATAACAGTCATTTACTCCTGTTACTCAACAAAGGTACGTGCAAAATGACAGAGTATTATGATGAGGTAATAGTGACATCAAGTGGTGAATTTGCCATCTATGAAGTATTTTTGTATACAGTTTGGCGGTACGCTATGCAGGTCGAACATGGAAATCGGCAGCGGGTATATAGAACATCTTGTCTACATAAAACAGGTGGTAAAACTCTTACTGGCATCTTCTTCCAGGTTATCCCATCTCCAAACATTGTGTCATAAAAAGATTTATTTATGGTGGATTTGGACCTACTCAGAGCAAGGTGTAATATTGGAGTTGTAACTAAAACTTATGATGAAGCTTTCTATGCTGGTGCAACACCTAAAATGTTGATAAAGTCAAAACTTCATCCTAAATCAGAATTAGCATCCAAACTAGGAAACATCTGAACTTATATCAGGACCATAACTCAACTCCACTTCTTGATTTCCCATAAATTCATTCATAACCCCCTCCACCTCTTGCATTGTGCACCTCCTCATCTCATTTTACTTTTTCCAGTTTCATGTTTTTTGTCCTACTATCCATAGAGCCTAGTAGAAAGTACCCCTTAATAACAAGAACATGTACCAATAGTTCAGTTACAGCATATGGCTGTTGCTGTGGTCCTTGCTTGTATGTTCAAGTATTATAATGGACTCGAGATGAATAAGAGCAGATCTGTAATATCTGCCACTCTTGTTTTACATACTTTACAAGGTACATTTCTTTAACCGCATCATCTGTCTTTCATGAGCCTGAATAAAAGCTGTACCATGCATGCATTTAACCTGATATGATCTTAATAAATGGCTGACCACATGAAATCTGGCTGTAAACTCTGTAAACTTCTCTATAATAATCCCATTTTTCCTCACATAATATTACATTTAATCCTTTGGGGAAGAATGGAGCTGAGAGTCTTGGTGAGTCTAATTAGTTTAAGATTGCCAGCAGCAGGCTTACAGTGGAGAGCCCAACATCACATTGCTTTTCTCCTCTGGTTCCAAAGAATAAGTGCATCCTATAGATTTTTTTTCCTATACTGTGCCCCAGTTTTGCAAGAACAAGAGTATTGAGGAGAAGTGTCTCTTTGAGGTCCATGGTTGGCAGGAATTTTTGAGTTTACACAGATAAATGTTGCTGTAAAAAAATGAAAAAATACCTTGACAGTATTTATCTGTATATTTTGGAGAGGATATTTTTTACCCTTTACAATAACAGGTGTTACAGTGTTGGCCAAGCTTACCAAAAATACTTCTATTTATGTTAATGAAGACCTGTTTGATATCATCTTGTCATTGGCTGTACCATACAGTGGCTGACAATAGCATGTGATCTGCAACAGCCAAAATATCATTAAAGAAAAAAAAAAAACGTGCTGTTAATGCAGAAATGATGCAACTCCAAATCATATGCAGGAGTCCAAAGCAAATACAACAGCTGACACAAACTGTAAATGAAAAACAAGCTGCCAAAAGCCAAAATAGCTGCATCAAGAGAAAACACAGTGCAAATACCCAACTGATGCTCAGTCCAAAACACACAGAAGCAGAAATCAGCTGAAAAGATAAACAGTGAAAATCCAGACTCTTCAATGGAAGTGCTCTGAGGTCTGTGAAGGAGGCTCAGTGAAACAGTTTCATTATAAAGGGGATGAAAAGAGGTACAGACACTGAACTTGTTAAGTCTGAGAAGTAGCATAGCATGATATCAGGAAGTAATGTATAATTTACAATAGTAGAGTCTTACATAGACTCTGGCAACAATAATGGGAACAAGGCGGGGACATCAAGCACTGTATTTTCTTCATCTCAGGAGACCTGAACGGGGTTCTGTGAGACTCCTCTGAGACGACCTAACAATAACTGCTAATTGATAACAGACAGGACATACCTTTCTGTCCATGACATATATTTCCCAATAAAGTTGTCCAAATTCTACGATTCTGCATTTGCAACATGATGATCCTAATGATGATTGCTCAGACTGTTGTAGATCATCTGCTCTTGTTGACCACCACAGGATGATATAAAGACACAGTCGGTGTCATCACCCACAGGTTTCTAAAGAGGCGGAACAATGCCTAAGATAGGGTCATCAATTTAAAAAAATAAATAAATCCACTGGCATTTTGAAAGAATGATCACTACTTTGAATTTCTATCCTTTTTATGCAGACCAAAACCAGAGTTTGTACCAGGCCGTGAATCCATAAAATTCAGGTTGATAATTACAATATAGGCTGTAATGAAATCTCGCAGGTTTTTATGCTTGACAAAAAGTTGCTGCTTGCATCAAATTTGGTTTAGAAAATTCAATAAACCAATCCCATTTAGGCTAAAATATAGAGCACATTGCTGAGTCAGGAGCTGTGTTTACATGGGCACAAATAATCGGAATAAATCGCCGATCAGAAAAAAAAGCGTCATGTAAACATGTCGATCGGAAGATTCTGATCCAATTTGGCTCACTCAGAAAGAAATTGTATTCCGATTGAGTGGGGTGGTTTATGCCGATCGTTATTCCAAAACGCGTCCATGTAAACACTTATTTCGATTGCAACTCTCTTACCTGACTCTGTCTTCACTCTTTAGCCTTTGGTTTATTTATTGAGGCCAGTACAGGAGGTTTCATTATTAACACTCTGGCATGAAACACAACCGCAGGTGCCATGTCTGCTCCTCCAGTAACGTAATGCATACAGCATAATGATGTCACATCTGCACGCACAGTGCAACCTTTGATAGAACAGTAAAATAAGCACGCAAGAGTGTCATCTAGTGACAACATTTAACAGGGGAAAATACCTGAATTGGATGGAGTGAGCCACTACCGCGTTTGTTGGTTTGTTGACAGCACAGGCGTCAATACAACTCTTCTTTTGCAGTTGTTTTAGCAAAATCAGACAACTCTGCGCATGTTCAAATGCTTCTAATCTGAATAAAGCTTAGTACACACGTCATGATCAGATTATTTGATTTTGCACCCATATAAACAGTGGATATTAGATTATCCGATCCGAAATATTTAATTGGATCAAGAAATTTTGCACATGTAAACATGGCTCATGTTGCTGTATTGACTGTACAGGTGTACCTCATAAATCATGTCAAAGACCTGCTCCACTCCATTCCAGCCTCTTGTTCTGGGCAGAAATAGTATCCCTTCCCCTTATGTCAAAACATCAGTGTAACACTGAATGATGATCACACAACATCCCTCAGCTTCCTTCAGCTGCTCATAAGTTAAGCAATTAACAATGCATTACACGTGTTAGGGTTTTATTTATGACTAACAAGCAGTTAACAAATCATGATTTCCTCCATGACTGAGTGTAATGATCAGGTCTCCATGGAAATTCAGCTGAGTTACAGCAACATGACAGCTGCATTTCATAACCACCCGGCCACGTAAAGCACAATAACACTGATTTAGGTCCCCGACTGAAGCAGCCAACGAACACACTGCAGCACTGGATCACTTTATTACACCCTGTATCCATCTCCCACTACAAAACAAGCTGCAGAATAAGCACAATACCAGTTAAGTGGTGCTAAAGTTAAAGAGATGTTGATTTGTTGCCTGGCTGGCAGTTTGTGTCGAGGGAAGTAATAATGAATGAAAACAGTAGGAATGAGACAGTTAGGGGAGAGATAGAGAGAGGAACATGGGAGAGATGGGGAATAAATAAAGTTTTTAAAAAGTGCAAAGGAGCACAAAGAGAAACTAAAAGGGAAAAGGAAAAGAGGCAGACAGCAGAGAGGGAAGACGCAAGCAGAGAATGCAAATGAAGGGGGAGAGGATCGCAGAAATGATTGCTGCTATTACAATTATCATTAGCATGTGTTGTTGCCAATAAGTCGTCTCATTATGGTGGATCCTATCATCATGCTAATTGTGGAGGATGCCGGGTTTCGGCATGTGGGGTGTTCTCTGTTACGAGAAAGAGGTTTCACTACAAGGACACTCATGTTGAGCTTGACAGAAACAAGCAAAAGCTACCAGTCTGTTTTTGTTCATAGTCTGAAACATGTTTGCTTTTTTTTTTTTGGTTGTTTTTTTAGGCATTGAAAAGCTTCATCTGTGGGACTTTTGTCAATAAGTCTCAGAGCTTCCAATGAGCTCCATCAAAAAATACTTTACTGAAAGCAATCTCAGAACCAGTCAACAAACTTGTAATGGCAGTATAGCTGGTACAGGCAGCCACTTCTTTTGTGTGTCAAGTTATCCAGACTAGCTACCGAGGATTTCCAGGTGAAGACATACTTTTCTGCGTTCAAGTCACTGTTTACAGTCTGACTCACAAATTTACTGACAAGAGTTAACATTCAGTTGGTAGCCTAGATCCAAGAGTGGATTGCAATCTGGTTTGTAAGCAGATGTCTGTTTGAAGAGATTGATAAAAAGCCACATCCTCATCAGATGGTAGAGCTCCTCTTTTGCATCAGAGCTCTGCATCTTATGGGCCCCTCATGAACTGTTTTCCTGCATGCAGCCTAAGCTAAAACTGCAGTGCCACCTGGACTGCAAGTGGATCCCAAGACACTATAGACACCAGGAATCTCTTTGCTCTCATGCCTTCATTTACAACACCTGTTCAGCACTGTAAGTCTAACAGGAGAAAAGCAAAGACTAGATCATACACCATATAAACTGTTCAAGCATAACTAGATCCTTAATAATAGGGTCTCAGAGTGGCAGTATAGGTTTGTCAGTCCACTACCATTCAACAGCTTTGAATGTGATTCTGTTGCATTTTAACAAACATGGTATAAAGACTGCCTTTCCATACATTACATGGACACAAAGACAGCTAGTTTAAGCTGCCATGACTAATTCCAACCGTCTTGTTTAAGGCCTCAAAGTTCGGAAAGTAATTTGCCTCACAGCTGACATTCTCCCCGAGGGAGCAAAGAAGCATACTTTAAATGTTGAGTTTTCCAGTAGAAGATACAGTAAATGCTGCAGTAACTCACACAGAAGGAGCTCTGGATTTAACATCTTGATGAGCCTTTAGCTCTTTAGCCTCAAGCTCTGGCTGAAAGTTGTTCATGTTCAATGATATTAATTGGACAAATGTGGACCAAAAGAATAACTCATAGAGTTTATTAAATATGGAGGAATTGAAGTAAAATCACTGGATCTAAGAAGTAGATTTTTTAAACTCTGAAGTCTTTAAGAAGAAAGAGGGAAAAGGTCCAATAAGCGCACAGCTCTGCACATCTTATTACGAGGTGGAGTAAATCTGTAAAAACACCCTGATAGTGGGAGAGACCTACTTAACACTAATGCCGTCTAACACACTTCCTTGCTTCACACAGTTCAGACAGAATCTTATCAATAGTTGACAGTGGTGTATAAAAGAAAATACACAATTTAAACCACACTTACAAAGTTAAAGAAATTTGATAAAACTCGTGCCTGTACAGTAACACTCAGAACATGTTTTATTGCAGTAGTTTGACTGAATCTGGACTTGTATAATTCATGTTCACACATCAGTCTGACTAAAATTACACAAAGCCCAACTTCCCAAAGTCAGACTAATGTTCCAAGATAACTTTCTCTTGTATGTAAATGCCTCAATCAGACCATAGACTGTATATACTATGGACAACTTGGTTCCGCCTTTCTGTCAGTATACAGATTTGAAGCCCAAAAGCTCTCGGTAATTCTGTGTTTTTTCTCCATTTCCTGAAACCAACATTGCGCAGAAGCATTGTATGCACTACACCATTTGCGCAGAAGCATTGTACACGGAAAAGTCGCCGAGAGGACGCTTGGCTCACACAGCCTATCCTCCGGGTGAACTATGCAATTTTCCTACGCCCATAGGCTGTATCAAGTGTCAATCACTTGATACAGCTTTGATACAAGTTTGTCCACAGCCCCATAAGGATGGCTGGTGAAGGTGGGATTTATGACCTATACTGCAGCCAGTCACCAGGGTGTGCTTTTCTCAGAGTGACTTTACCCAGCAAGGAGGCAGACGCTGTCCATTCTATATACAGTCTATGGTCAGACCCATGCTAGCATAAGCGTCCTGCACATGCACCACAGCCCACAGTCCACATGTCAAGTTTTGACCCAGAAGTTGAACAGAGCTTGCAGTTAGCCTATATAGCATAGCACAAAGGTTCCTAACTTTATCTGACCGAACAGACCACACAGCCACCGTCACACTCTTTAGAGGCCAGTAGGATTGCTGAGAGCAATGCTTGAAACGTCAAAACCTTACTAATTACTTGTGTTAACCCCAAGTCCGTGCTCTTGCTGAGCCAAGGTGGTCATGGCATGGTGTTATGGTGTTATGTGAGTGAGTGACAGGCACAGTAACATCCAGTCTGCTGCAATGAAACCAAATTTACCAGGCCTCTGTGCACAGTTTTAGTGAAATTGTGCTCGATTTCCTTCATAGTGTCTCTCCTATACCTGTGGGATCTGATCTGCTGATGTTTTTATTCTCGTATTTAAATTTGTGCTACATTACATCACAGTGATAATAAATACTGTTGATATTAACTTGCCTAATGATATAGAATACAAATGATAGTCATTGAAAAAAAAGGCACACACACAACAAAACAAAGCAGTACATGTAGCAACTGCATCCACTTTCTTGGTTTATACAGACTTTTTGCAGGCTGGGTCTAAACAGCTTCAGGTCTGGGATCTGGTGGTTGCTAACCCCTAGTGTAGCACAACACCAAGCTGATTGATAGCCGAGCTTCCAGGCAGTTTCTCAACAAAAAGGCCAAGCAGGGTCCCTATGAATAACACACTCACTTTTAACAATTACCTCACACAACCCTGCTTAAAAATGAACCATAACTTTTAGTGTAACAAGTTTCTATTCATATTGAATTCCACTCTCAGTGACGGCAAGTTTAAAAAATGGCTGCTTGAACATTGTGGAAAGTTTCCAACTGACACAAGAGTGTCAGTATGGAGAACAGAGCCTCTATTCCTCTGAGGCTTTTTTCCCCCTTCACCACCTATCAATCTCCTCTGCTCAAAGTTTGACTCTCAGTATGCCTGATGCGAGTGATCAATCAAGCTAACGATGCACTGAATCATAGTTTGAGAAGGAGGGGTACAAAAACAGACAGGAACAGGAGAGATTTCCACTGAAAATTGAACATCCTTTTGTTTTACCGTCATATTCCCAAAGACTTTTTGTGTGTTCTGCACACACATTGTGGAAATGGCTCTTGAGACATTATCTACATGTATATATAGTCTAAGAGGGAGGGGTACAAATGCATGTAATTCAAATCAACATAGCATTACATGCATGGACGAAATTTTGATTTCAAAGGTGGGGGGACACATATGACTTGAGTACTGTTGGGATATATAAAGTGTAGCAGTGCCGACGTCAGCATGGGGGGCGTGGTGCGTAACGTGCCAGCGCAGCCATTTTGACAGACATAACTAAGCGCATTGGAATGAATGAAATTAGGATGATGTTAGGTCTTAAAACCAACTATTTATTAGCTAACTACACAGTAACGGAGAACGGAATGGAGAGAGCAAAACTTGGACTCAACATATCGTACAGGGACAAGCAGAACAATGAAGAAAGAGAGCATTATCTAAGCAAATTTGCGGACATTGCTGGACTCGACCCATATGAACACACTGTATGGTCAGAAGATGATTTCGAGATGCTACCACCACTTAACAGAGTGCATTTAATGCAGTACCTCATCAAAGGAACAAGCTATCATACATTTAATTCCTTCCATAATGAAAAGTCTCTCTCGGACCACGTTTTTTTCAACATTGTCAACAACAAAACTGTCGTTCGCACAATGGTAGGTGATCACACACAAACATGGCTGCCTTTCCCTTTCTCTCTCTCACACACACACACACACACGCACACACACATACACTGTACTGCATCAAATGCACTCGGTCAAGTGGTGGTAGCATCTCGAAATCATCTTCTGACCATACAGTGTGTTCATATGGGTCGAGTCCTGCAATGTCCACAATTTTGCTTGGGGAACGTTCTCTTTCTTCATTGTTGTTCAGCTTGTCCCTGTACAGTATGTTGAGTCCAAGTTTTGCTCACTCCATTCCATTCTCCATTACTGTGTAGTCAGCTAATAAATAGTTTGTTTTTAAAACCTAATGTCATCCTAATTTCATACATTCCAATGCACTTAGTGTTGTTATGTGTCAATATGGCCGTGCTGGCATGTTACGCACCACGCCCCCCGTGCTGACTTTATAGCCTGGCAAACAGCACATCTCGCACACAGTAACAGAGGAGGCAATACGGCCAGCGGGTGGATGGACGCACAAACCCGATACAGGGATGTAAATGAAACCTCTGATGAATGTGACATTACAGAGGGAAAATGAACGCTGGCCTCCTGTCAACTTACATCGGTGAACAGCAATGGAATGACTGACAGCAAAGATAGCCAATCACACACAAAAAGCGGCCATGCAGCAGAGCCAATCAAGGACCTTGTGGGTGGTCCAAACCAGAAGGAAAACAGTTTTCGGCTTGAGCGGTTGTTTGGTCCTAGTGCCTGACATGTATCTTGTTTTCAGACAGTAAAAACTGCAGGGGACTAAAACAGGCTTTTGAAAAAGTGGAGGGAATGTGTCCCTCCCACAAATTACGTCCATGATTGCGTGCATAACCAGAAAAACAGATAGTAAATGAAAAAATACATCTAATTAAATTAACATGTATAAGCTCTTTTATAACAATGTCAAACAAGAGGAAGTGCAATGTCAGCATGACTATTATACAGCTGTGATTGAACAGAGAAATACTCTTAGCTTGTTTATTTGAGTGTTGGAGACTTCCTCTTGTTATGTTTAGCAAATTTCACAGCAATAAGGCTGATTTCACTTTCACTGCCGAATGTCTTTGGCATAAAGCTGCACCATCCGTTTATATAATTCCTTGAAAGAACTACTTCATAGTGTGGGTTCAGATGTTATATGCAGGGGGGGAGAAGTTGGTGTGACTCACTGTTAGAAATGCACTAAACTGTGGGCAGGTGCTGCAGCACACAGAAAAGTGTGTTTGTGCTGTGAGGATATCTTCTATAGCTGCATTTAGATATAAGATTAAAGTGTGAGTGGGCTGTAGCATGTTTCCCTTTTTAACAGTAAAAACAAAAATGAAGAAAAACTCTGCAACAAGTCTCTGCACCTTACATAAGACACAAGTCCTGTTGTGCAATTATACCTCTGATTGCAGCCATGGTGGTTAGGCTGATGACTGAAGCAGCAGAGAAACTGCCTCCATTATCTCTGACATGCTGGTGCATTCATAAATACAGACGCAGACTCATTAATGAGCACGCAAAACACAATGAAGACACATGCGTACTTGCTATAAAATGAACCAAAGATGTCGCAGATGCACACTCCAGAGATCACTGACCCTGAAAGGATCGTAAAATTATCTCTAGCTATTCGTGGCCTCCAGATAAAGTTCCAGTAATTAGCCAAAATATGCTGGATACACTTGAGTGTGTGTTTGTGTGTGCATTTTTGCCTTCAAACATGTGTGAAGGGTATTTTATCAATATAAGTGCCTGTGACTGTGTGTGTCCAGAACCTCCTCATCACTATATAGACTCCTCTATAGTGTCTTCTTGAGGCATGTACTCCCTCTTGATGTGTGTCTGCTAACATGTCTGTGAGTGTGCTTGTTTGGAAATTACTGTACTTTTTCCTTGTTGTGTGTGACTTTAATTTCAAGGACCCCAGGGTTATTCAGATGCCACAGAGATATGCCCTATATCACAACACTGGCCCTAATGAAAGCCAAGAAGTCATTGTGGGACTAAAGGCCCCCTCCATTTCCCATTTTCTTCTCCAATCTTACCGCAATCAAGAAAAATCTCAGGTGGCAGTGGACTGGTCGGCGCCTGTAAATACGTCCCCCTCTAATTAAGTCTTCAGGTCCCTGACTTTATTGTGCAGCTTGGACTGTGCAGTGCCAGCAGTAATAATTAAAGCCAAGTTCTTTTCTATGGATGTGTTTTATTCCCTGATTTAATTACCTTTATTAATCAGAAGAAGATGCAGAAGGAGAGAGGAAAGGCAGTGCTGCTTACTTATTTGTTTTTCACTCACAGGTGCACTGTGCATTTGGTGGTACATAAATAGAAGTGATAACGATGAATTATGAGATTTTTCCTAAAAGATAAATATCACAGAGGTACTTATTCAGAGCTGAGGTCCTTATCATTTATTAAAGCTGCTGGTGTTAGGGTTTCGCTGTTTTGGGACTTCTCATTGACCTTTGACCATCAATTACTTTTATCCCTTTATGAAAAAAAAGCACAGCAATCAAACCAACAATACTGCGGAGGAGAAGATAAGCCATAACTGTGGACCATGTTTGATCCTGATACATAAAAGAGGAGCAGAGAGGCATGCTAGGACACACAGGAAGTTGTATTTCTGTATAATTGAGCCTTGCAGCTTGGAGTTTGTTCTTTGACTCTCTCATTGGGAAACAAACAGGACCACACAGCTCATCGTCATGCAAGAATCAAACTCTTTTAGAGGTTAGCCTCTTGTAGGAGATCTCTCCAATGCTTCTAGAAATTTAAAACATTTTCTGAAATGGGAAGTGAAAGATATAAAAGAGAAAAGGGTTGAGAGGCAACACAAGCATGAAACCCTCACTGCTCCTGTCAGTCAAAAATCCAGCGCGAGCACTTGGAGGAACCAGCCTGTCAGTATAGTTATTCTCAACATCTCAAATTTTCCTCATGTTCTGGTAGACTGGCAGACCACAAATAACTGAAAAGAAAGTTGAAAGGCTTGGAACTTATCTTTAAGTGAAAATAACACATAAATGCCACCAGAAGCCAGTTTTTCCATTGTGTGTTGATTCTGGCGCCTCCCTGTGGACAAAGCCAGACTACTTCTTAAATCCTGTTCTTGTTGTGTCTGTATATTGTTCTCTTACAAACCGCAGACCATCAACAGCTTCTTTATCATTACACCTTTTTACTTAGTCACTGCACCCTGATATAACATAATATTGGATTGGATTACGTCATTGAAGACGCTTGAGAGGCACCGCTTATTAACACACAGCAGGAGCTTCAGTATTTAATATTGGAGGCTGCTTATCCTGCTGTTTGATATTACTAGTATGGTAGCACAGGTTCCAACTTTAAAACTGCACCATTAACCAGTTCGTGTAACATTATTAATGTCTCAGGGTGCCCCAGTCTAATCTTTAAAACATTGTGGTTTCAAAGCAATTACAGATTGGTGAATCTTTACACCCTTATGTGCAGGTTAGGATAAGTAAAGGTCGTTTTCTTACCCTTGAAGTGGAATGGGGGTGATAAAACAGACAGATGTGTTGTCTCTAATAGCTAGTACAATATAATCCGCCTCAATGCTGCAATTCAAAACAAGTATTTAAAATGCAATAAATTAAAAAATTATTGCAACAGGACACTGGATGGATGACCTTCCTATCAATGTGGACCATAATTGTGCCTCTTTCATGCTCGTCCAATCTTTAAGTGTGTAAAATCAGAGTCTACAGGGGCCAAAAAGAAAAAAAGGGAAAAGAAGAAGAAAAAGAAGAGGACGACAGGGACGGTGGTTTCATAAGTCAGTAGTCGTCTGTCATTATTTCACCCAGAGGGAGTCAAAGGATGTATGGCAGAGACTGAGAGTGTTGCCGTTCCCTCTAGAGAGGAGGAGGACGGGCTCAGCATGAAATACATCATTTGTGAAAACATGCATGACACACCAGCCTGAAAATTCAAGCCACTGTGGGATTTTTTTAATTCAGCTTCCTTGTAGGCATCTTATTTTGCATTTGTTTACTTGGACATCTGCATGTTACAAAGGCCATCTCGTGTTTTACATGTGTATTTACAGAAGCTTCATGTGTGAAATCCCAGCGCACTTAACCAGTGAAAACCACCACATTCCCATGTTAAGACTGCAGCAAGACCAAAATCAGGCCAGACCCAGGATGAGCTGATGGCTTATTAATGCACAGGGACCCGGCTGCTATGTACCCAACACATTCTGATTGTGCATTTAGCTTTTTGCCCCATTACGGGCAATATTAAGCCGAGGGGTGCAGGACCCATTTCCAAAGAGCCAGCCTGTAATGAGAGATCAGAGGCGAGGTTTTATCATAGGCAATAAAACATGAGAACTGCGTGTCTGTTAATAAGACCCTGAGAGGATTGGAGAGAGGAGGGGGGTATAAGGCGTGGGAGCCGAGGATCAAAGAAATGTCTGCTTGGAGAGGAGAGGAGAGGAGAGGAGAAGAGGAATGGTAGGGAATGACTGAAAAAAAAATGACTGAAGGCAGCAGGATGAACTGAAGCTGGATACATAAGAATTCACAGAAGAAAAGTCACCAAACTGGAAGTGACTCGCACAGCTCATTTCTCTGTTAATGTATTGTATTCTTTCCATCAGCTTTTCTTGTCTTTTCTTTACAGCAGCATAGTGGTCTTTGTTCGGCTTAGTAAGTGTAAAACATCTGTTTCCATTTGGACTTCTCTTTATAATTCCTTGACTGACTCTACTGATGGATTTTTTTCCACATGCTGCAGAAGCCAAGAATTTGATCTCACTTGAAATAAAAATAATTTAGAAGTATGGTTAGACTTTTCATTTTGAAGCTGCTTTTACACTTAGCCTCAGAGGGCAGTTTGCGCTTCATTATTCCTTTATTTGACACTGTAGATTGCCTTCACTCCTGACATTAAATCTTTCACAGATCTAGTTTTTTTTTTTTTTTCAATATACTCTATGCTTCAAATGATAAATTGTGAATAGACTGTACAGGCTTATCACTTTCTCAAGACTTCTAATTTACTCATTCACTCTACATTCCCACACAGGTGGAAAAGCCTACCATACAAAGAGCTCAACTGACTTTCAGCCTTGTCTCTCCCACAAGTTGACCCAAAATAAGACCATAAACTATCTACTTTTAGAATGTCTCAGGTTTATAAATATCATCAGGATCAATCTTCACTGAAGAGAGTGAGGAGATGTGTGATCTACTGTAAATTATATCATAGCATAAATAAAAGTTGAAGGGGTTAAACTTCTAGAAAACGATCTTTTTTTTCTATAAGAATAAACAGATCCTTAATTTACATATAAATATTACAGTACACGGTATAACACACTCACACACACACACACACACACACACACAGGCAGGTAGAGGAAAAGTCCAGTATATATTCCATGTGACCTGATGTTATTTAACTAAAACTGGTGCCAGTTTAACTAACACTAAGACACACACTGAGCAAAGAAAGCTGCAGACAGGCAGAGGCTTTAAGACACTGCACAAGATCAACTCTCCTATAATAACCTGATGCTATTTGATAATTCAGCCCACCTGCTGCTGATGTGATTCGTGACAAGTGATTTCATTTACTTGCACAAACCTTCAGAATAAAGGCACAAAGTATAAATTGGAGTCTCTTTTGAAAATGCAACAGATTGGGCTTTTGTTTTGAAATGCAGTCCATAAGTTATGCTTCACTATTGATTTATGCTCATGAGACAAATATGGCAGATACACAGCCAACTAAGCCCTCTTCTTATTTTACTGGCTGACACAGCCAGGGTAAAGAGTAACCATAGACTGGAAACCAGAGACTTTCAGATGAATGCATGTCCTGCAAACCATCAACATTTGGTGAGTATGATAAAAACATAAACTCAAATCCATTTACCAGAACTGCTGCCCTGATCCTACTGTTGTGAACATGACAACCACTGTGACACACTTAGCTGAAAGTCACTGGATAACAGGATCTCTTTTTAAACCAAAACAGTCCTGATCCTGTCTTAATTCAGTAGAAATTGAATCCAGAGTTGGCTTATTGATTTGATCCGGTAACAGTTTTAATTTGGTGTATGAAGCATTCAGACTTATTAGTGTACATAGAGCAACACGCTGCTTCTTCATGTACATGGATATGATGTAGACTCTCGGTCTGTAACCATGATACTACACAAATAGAAATGCATGATATTTTCTTTGCATATTTTATGAATTATTTCACCTTTCATGTGAAGAAATTTTGTAAGTACTGCGATCATAGGATTGGCGTTAAGCTCAAGAACCTCTAACATGAGGTCTTAGATACTATAATTGCAGCTACTCTCCATTAGTTCCTTATCCATTTCCTACTACAACCAAGATGTCTTTTGCATTTCTATATATTTGTGGATGTATTTTCTTTCATATCAAACTCTATTTGGGTACATCAGTGTTTAAAAGAGATGCAGGGGCACTTTAGACGGGGGAAGTCCTGCATAAAGTCCTTTTTCATCTTTCGGCAGGGAGGTCAGAAACGAAAACATGACTGTGGAGCAGCTGCACTTGATGTGACAGGAACCTTCCCAATTTATTTTGATTGGCCTTGCTTTATGCAAGCTCGGGGTAGATTTCCCATGCGGGGAACTTCGCCTCCTCTCTAAGACTAGTAAATTCAAAAATGTGTGATGGCTACACGTAGAAACCAGATATGAAAGCAAAAGTGTTATCAGAGCAGACATGACAATTAGGGTGCAATCAGTACGTGTTTTTCAGGGGTTCACACCAGTAATGTTTGTTAGTTAGGAGTTTTTTGCCACAGGTGTATGTTCAATCATCTTTACGTGGCTCTTGAGTGCATTAAAACAGTGAAATAGCTAGCATTGAGGAGGTCAGGTTAATGATTGTGCCATTGAAGATGTTTAATTGGTGCATATAAACTGTACATACACTTTGTATACTGGAATCTAAACACAAACAAGTATTAAATATTGCATTTCGTCACAGCTAATTGCTCTCATCTGTTTATTTGTTTAAAATGGGCCAATTAGACAAGTAATAATTGTACCTACTTAATGTAAATCCAGAGAAACAGCAAATTCTGACTCTAACACAGTATTAAGAACCCAAATGGATTTATAATTGACTTCAACCTTCACAGCACACAACGTGTGGCAGTGTGCAGCACAGTGCGATCCTCAGCTGCAGCCTCAGCGGCACCCTGCTGTCTCTGCCAGGCATCACAGCCAGTCTTGGCACAAACCATCTGATCAGTTACAACTGTACACGGATGTAAAAACTCTCTGACACCCATAAAATCACCACTCAGTTGATTACATTTCCATAATTTATGATTTCTCTACAGCATCTCTGATGAAAAGTTGATGAAGATATGAGCTTAAATGTCAATACTTAAGTGATCCGTCACTGTCAGCTAAGAAGTTTTCCCAAAAGGGGGGCTGTAGTGTTATAAAAATACTAATGAGGGAGCCATGTCATTAAAAAAAAGTCTGGGGTATTGGAAGATAACATGAGTATACCATTACTTTTCAAAGTCCATTTTCAATAAAATGGACTTTAAAGAGTGAAAAAAAAAAGACTATTTCCATAACAACAAAAGTGAGAAAAATCAACCTTTAAATACAAAAATCCATACCAACCCAACTGCTCTGCTTCGATGATAGCCAATCAGGAAGCAAGTGACTGAAGACAAAGGCCCAACAAACATGGCCAATGATAACACGAAGCATAAGGTTAGTAGGCCATCAGAAAGTGAGTTTGTTGATTTGTAGCAACAACACGAGCATTTCCACAACAGGCAGACGAGTTCAACAGAAACTGCAACCACACTGGATCTACTGAGCAGCTGGAAACATTCAGAAAAAAGCTCCTTTGAGAAGTTTTTCATAAAACTTGACAAGATGAATGTTAGTGTTGTACCATTAGCTTAAAACATTCTGTCCATCAGCCTTTACTTAGTTTAGATTTTTGCTGTTGTGGAAATAATGATCATGACTGAATTCATGTGATTGGTCAAAGATGAAAGACTACTCTCACTCAAGCCTTCATACCTGCATTGGAGCAGAAGGAGGAAAAGTGCATATGGTCCACGTGACAGATTCTTTTGAGTTTTATGAGAAGAAGGGGAATTTTATGGCATGACCTTGTGTATTAAAACGTGCTCCAACATATAATAACCAAGGAAAGTACTTGTCTTCTGTTGAAATAAGAGGATGGATATGAGCATTTTCTACTGCTGGCAATAGCCTAACCCACATCCACAAACCTTCAAAAGCATGTGCACACACAAACAAGATCTTAGAGGAATGGTTGACGATTTGAGAAATTGGTAGTTAATATGAACCTCTTTTATATGGCGATCATGGTCCTATAGCGTGATCTCCACAAAGTGTAGAGAAAAACGAATGGAAAAAATCAGTTTACCCAAGCAGGTGCAGGGCTGCAAAAACATTGACCAATAGGGGCCATCCGTCCCGGACAGCTCATATTGGTTAACCTCCTGCTCCGCCTCTTCATCCAATCACCTCGCTGTATTCGACACACCCCTCTCCCATAGTTCCAACTCATCCCCTCCAACTCTCCTGGCCCTCCTCCGCGCTCTGAGCGGCTAAAACTAGCGTAGCAGCTTAGCTACAGGAGCTGTGATGGAGAACAAAAAAAACCACTTCTACTTGCCCCACCACAGCAGAGTTTTTGTTGAACAGGTAATTTTTGCATTTTACTCTTGTTAGTCTCTGCAATGTCAACATGGTAGTTGTCCAGGCAGCTGCGGACAGTGCTAGCTAGCAGAGCTGGCGTTTACTGCCGCTAGTCACGAGCAATCAGACATGGTGAATCCTATTCAAAGCTAGCGTAGGATCTTCTGCTGGCCGGCTTCTTGCTCTGCCTGAGGGGGTATATAAGGGGGAGGGCGATACAGGTTTGGGGGGAGTTATCGTGGAGCACAGAGGGGAGAGGTTTGTGTGTGGGGGGTGGGACGCTTTTTTCAAATCAGCCTCAACAGCTCAGTTTTTTTCAACTGTTTCTCAGATCAACAACCATGCCTTTAATAAATCATCCAACTTCCAGGAAGATGGTTTGTATCAATATCATTCATATCCTCAATTAATTCATATCCTTACAAAAAACAATACATCCGATAAAAAATTACAATCTCCTTTGTCATGATGCTTTCCTGTATCCATCTCCCATCAGTGAGAATTTAAAATTCATTAACAGGCCCGACTCCTCTGCCCACGTCGTCGAGCTGGAAGGCAAACTCTGTGTTCCTCTCACTTCCTATCCTGTGTGTCCTTAATGAAGCAGGATTGATGGCACGCCAGCGGAAACACGGCTCACCTCATCAGCGACCAGCCAGGGGAGTGACGCTCTCCAATAAATAGTGCAGTAAACACACAATTAAGGGCCCACATATCACTGTTCCGTTATTACATCCTACCAATTAAGCATCGAGGGCAACCTCCTCATTTGTACCGCTTTACGCCTGTAATCAGTGATTTAGTAATGATGTACTGACTCTCAGCCGTAGACTCAATAACCAGCAGTGAGAGTTTAAAAGTGGGTGGTGTGAATCTACTGCCTGTCTGTGTTGACAAATTTAAGGGGGAAGAGTTTAAGTTGCTGCTGCGTTCAAGCAGTCCTCTTATAAGACAGAAAAAAACAAAGTTCCTGTAGGGAGAGGCTGTACACGATGCCCTTGTATTTTTTGATCCAATTATTTTAAAACCTCTCCACTAATTCTAGGCAGCCAAAAGCAAACAATACATTCAACTAATACTCTGCAATATAGGCCAACAAAAGTAAACAGAAGCAGCGTGCTCTTCTGCACTGAAATTCACTTTAATATTGATAATGTTTCGAGCTCCAGGCTTTTTTCTCCTCTCATCAAGCCCAACTCCAGAGCCCTTGGGCTGCAGCAGTGTCAGAATGAAAGGTGCGCTGGAGCGAGTGAGCATGCATTTATGATCTGTTTTTAGCACAATGTCTCCAACAAAGAGACGTGCATATTCGCTCGAAACAAGCTTCCACCACCTGGAGTTCCCATCGTGTGTGGACATGTTGAACACTGTCAGAGCTTCATGTAGCAGCTGAAGAATTATGTTTTACTGCCATCTAGTGTGAGAGATTGGTAGGGCCAGATTTGCAAACAGAAGATTCCTCACATAGGGGGGATTTCTTTTTTTTTTTTTTAATTTTGGGAATTTTATCACTATACTTAATCATTCCAAAATGGACCACCATAAAATTGACTTTTTCTTTAGCTGTTCTAGTGCCTGTCGGTGTTTCACTGAGGATTTAACAGCACAGGAGGCTTTTGTTTGCACAGAAAAGATTCATGGGGGGAAAAGTTTGGGGGTTCTGCAATGTTTCTCTTTTTTTTTTTTAAGTCAAAGATTGTCTGGATCTAAAACTAAAACGTTATTTCTGAGCTTGTCTTTTCACTGTTTCATCTTTTATATATTTCTAATGTCTGATTGACATGACTGACATCAGTGTCTTTGTCATCAGTAGTATCTGGAAGTGCATTTGGATATATAACATATTTGTTCTGTCATACAACATAACAACAATAATAATAATAATAATAAATAATGAATCAGATTTTTATAGCACTTTTTATCAGTGACCTCAAAGCACTTTACATTGGATACATCATTCATTCACTCACACAGTCACACCCTGATGGTGGTAAACTACCTTAGTAGTCACAGCTGCCCTGGGGCAGACTGATGGAAACGTGGCTGCCAGTTTGCACCTACAGCCTCTGCGACCACCGCCACACAACACTCACAGTCATACACCAGTGAAGGACACACACTGCGAGTAAGGTGAGTTAAGTGTCTTGCCCAAGGACACAAAGGACAGACTATAGGGATAGGGGGGGATCAAACCGCCAACCTTCCAGTTATTGGCCGACGACTTTACCTCCTGAGCTGCTGCGGCCCCAAACAATCTTTACTGTAAAACCTAACAAACAAATTGATATCTTATCCTGGTGAAAATAACAAACAAATAAAGGCTGAGAACAATAAATCAAACACACCCTTCTTTTTGGGGGGGAGGGGCTAACAGCTATCACTGGATCATTCTGAAACAAAGTCTATTTCCTGGCCATGGCTGGACCGATTATTAGCTTTGACCAGTTATCGGGGTGACATTCATCATCTGTATCAGGTTCTTATGTTACAGGTGGCCTATGAAATTATTAATTAAAAAGTGTACTACTTTGGCTCTGCTGCTGCTGTATCTGGCTCTCTGGGTCTTATTTCATGACCGACTAATAACCAGGAATCAGTATCTGCCCTGGAAAAACAATATCAATCAACCCTTATCTACGGCACTTTACTCTGTGGAGCTACAGCAATAATTAAGTTGGCAGACGTATAGTAATTAGCTTATGCTAATCAAACTACTCAGAACTGTGTTGTGTTTCTGGTGGCCTGAGTGTGTGCCACTGCTAGCTCACACTAGTGTTGGTTGTGTAGCACAAGCACAATAGCTTTGGCTTGTGGATGCTACACAACAATTTCCCCTATTTACTGCACACCTGCACTCATGTGTGAATGGGAGAGAGAGAGCAAGCTAAAGCAGAAGTTATCTAGACTCATGCGGCATCTTCAGCTGGTCCTTCCTGTGCACAGCTGCGCAAACATTCTCTGAGTGTCTCACAGGTTCACTGCTAAAAATAAATATTTAAACATGTGCTGCCTTATGGGGGCCAACCTTGCAGGAATTTTGTGGTGAAGAATACCCTCAATCCCTCCCTGAATATCAGACCCTGTCCGAGGAGTGGCACCAGCTTTACTCTTAAGGACAAGAAAACTCCTGCGGCCAGGTATTGTCAAATAATCTGCACCTCAACTATCTCCATGATTAGAGATCACCATGTATTACAAAGGGAATTGTTTGTAATTTTAAAGAAGAAATCCACCCCACCATATAGTGTTAAAACTACACAATCATCAGCTAAGTAGACAGCACTTGGTGGTACAGTTCTCCCAACCAAGACTACATGTTTTGTGAGTTGCGTTTATTTAGAATTGCATAGAAACCTGAGGAGTGGAAAGAGTCAGAGTATAAAGACGACATTCTGTACGTTTGGCCACTGCATTGATATGTCCATTTAAAGCCATGGATTAAAGCTGAATCATAGATAGTTGCAGATGGATCAGGATAACATTGGGGCTGATGCAGGCTGCCTCTTTTGCTGTCTATCCAACTATCTATCTTAAATGTATAGCAAAATACCACTCGACTAAAGTAATTCCTTCGACAAACAAAAGCCAACAAGCAAAATCCGACCGTACACCAACCTATTCTGCAGTTTTTTATCCTGTTTGTCATGGTGAAAGATCGTGTTTCAATGGATAGATCTAAACTCACAGAAACTCAAAGTGTTGTTTATGATTTCTAATCCAGCCAATCAGGAAAAAAACACAAAAATCCACCAATCAATCTCTGCGAATTTACTGATTCTTGACATAAACATCATTTAAACATCATGTTTTTGCGACTGTTTAGATTTTTTCTGTTTATTTTTGATCAGATCAATTTCTTCATGTTTATTCAGCTTTATTTTTAATAAATACTTTAATCATAGACCCACTGGTGTATGTGTGTTGGGGGGGGCTCAAGACCGGGATTCCTTTCTGATGCTATTTTACCCAAAGCAGTCATATTTCTAACTGCATACTCAGCAATGGGACCATTTTATCCTGAGTAAGAAAAGTTTATCTTCTCCAGCGCTGAAGGCATTTAATAGTCCAAGATGTAGATGTTTTAGTAGGGAGGGAGGAGGCTTTCAATATTCTCTATGGACTCTCATTTTTCTCCCAGAGAGATATGATGGTCTATGAATATGACTGATGCAAAATTATGCCACCCAGTAGAGGCCCCTTTAGGCACAGCATGCAAAAGCTAGAGACAGATATTCAGGTTGTTCTCTGCTTTACTTTCACTGAATCGCTGTAATGCTTCCAATGCTTCTGTTGGCTTCATTCATCATGTACAGTCGCTGCAGTATTACTGCTGCCTTAGCTTTATTGGCTGAAAAAATTATATCATGGATTTATCTGTAAGATATGAGAAAGTAATCAAAGTGTTGTTTGGAGAGAATTTCTGTGAGATTTTTTTTATCAACAAGCTACAAAGGTTTGTTCTTTGCAACTGGTCATTAATTTTTTATGATCCATTTAAATAATCAAATAAAATTATGTTTTTCTTGACACTAGCCAAGTCTAGACCTCATGTTTGTATCAATAATGACAAAGACCCAATTTAATCCACTATGACACCTCTAACAAGCAGAAACCTCATCATAGACAGACAGCATCTCCCTGAACCAACCCAGAAAATAAAGGCTGGGAGACTTTTGATTGACTTATTTTTGTGCAACATTGCCATAATGAAGCTTCAGTTTATGTCATCAGTGGTTATTCTTTATGATCCTGCGAGTAATGCCAGGCAGTTTAAGTTTGGATGTAATATCCTGTAAGTCCAGGTTTGTGGGAAAAGATAGAAAATAACACATAAACCATAAAAAGTTATTCAAATGCACCAGCTTGGTCTTTCAAATAGATTCACAAGGGATGAAACAAACAACTGTCACACATAGCATATGACAGTTATTGCCTCAATTTTACAAGTAAACATACATAAACTTACTTCGATATAAATATTGTGATGACAGATAATTTTATGGGTTTTTTTAATTTTCAAGAAACTTAGGTCCATTCTTTCATGAAAAATTGTAGTACAACTCCTCTCTGAGGACTAGTGAAAGAGTAGGGTTAGGGCCTGCAGTAGAGAAAGCACACATCCCCACTGATTCCTGTGCATACATGAAAAGTCAAGGAAGGGAGAGCAGCAGCAGCCGCAAAAAAACAGACATCAGTGAAAATACTCATGACACCGTTGAGATCAGACACAGCATAAAAGGAGGAGCTGGATAGAGGTGGGTTGCAAAGCAGTTGTGAAGGACACAGCATGAGAAGGCAGACTCAAGCCGTTTGAATTGAACAGACATTTTGACATTTGCAAACTGGATTCCAGAGAGTTCACTAGCTGAGGTTCAGCTGTTATGAGCTGGCCTTAAAATCAGCTGAGCCTCATGTTTGTGTCCTGCCTGAACTAATGCTGCGCTCAGTTCAATGACGACTCCTCTTTGTTGGAATTTTTTAGTTACAGCGACTTTTGGCGGAAAAAAAAAACCTTGGGGCAGTAACCAACAACTTAATAACATACCGCCATATGTTAAAGGCTAATCTTGTCGTCATCCATCTACTTTATGACAGTGAGCTGGACTTATTCCCATGAGCATTGTCTGTCATTTGATACATGTACGAGTTTCTGAGCAGAACAGAAAAAAAGTGTAGATCCATCAAAAGCTTGAGGGAGATCCTGATATAATTAACTACGCAGATGAAAACCACTGAGAGGTATATGAAGCCATGAATAATGCATCAGGGTCATCCCATCTAAATAATGTTTCTTGAATATTGCTCGTTGCCATCCTGAAGCTGTAAGTATGCCTTGGAGTAAAATTATAGGTATTTAAGGATTAGATTATGGAATCTGTCTGAAATAATAAAAATGAACTTAACTCCCCCTCTTTGCCTGTGGGTCCATTGATCAAAAACAAGGTTAGGTAGGTGTTTTCAATTTGGTAACCCCGTTTTTTTTTTTCACTTTAAAACACTTCTCTGGAAACTAATGGGTACCTCCTCTATCATCGACTGTCAGTGGATGAGATAAATATGTATGTGATTATTTTTTATTCATTAAACTGCTGTGTGCAGAAAAAAAAATCTTTTATATTTTTACATAATGCATGGTAAGTTTTTTTTTTTAAGAAGATTTTGGGGGTTAGTAATGCTTTGTTGTTCTATTTTGGTTGATCATTTTATGACCGCCATCCAGGTACATTTGTCAAAAATGAGGTTTGATTTCTCTCTTTGAAGGAAAGGAGTCCATCAAAGTGAGATTTTTAGTTGTCATGACTGCTGCTCTGTTTGAGGTGGAATTCTGGTCACCTGTTAAAGAGGAATTAGTTTTGTGTTTGAGATATTTTTGCAAAATGACAGTTTAATGTTGTTTCACATATCAAAGACTCACCACCTAATGCAAAAGTTTGACTGACTTTGTACTTGCAGAAGAATAGACAGTATTTCCATTGTGGCCAACTTTATGTGGCATAGGGCTCAGGGTAATAAGCTCACTTGCAAGTGTAGAATAATTGATTTAATCAACACCCCTGACGTAAATCAGTCATATTCTGACATCTATTATGGCATGGCCCCATTCATTATTCCTTTATTTCATGAATGGATTCAAAATATATTGGAAACACTTTTTAACCAGGATATATTCTTGATTTAATGTGCACAGAAAAGTGTTGAAGTTGGTATAACTTACAAAATACAAAAATCAAGAATGTGATTTCAGCATTAGATCGTTTGACCTGCTCTGTAAAAATCCACATCAGTACTGTTGAAAAAACATCAATAGTCCTTACTGGGTTTTTTTTAAGACTATAAAAAATTAAGTTGTTATTCTTTATCATAATTATAATTATTATGATTGCAGCACAGATACAAACTGACTCATACATATACCTCATTATGTCAATTGATCCTCTGGAGGTTTTGTATTTGCTTTTTGTCTTAAACACCTCTAAATGTGGGTAATGACAGTGAGGATGACAATGCTACTCTTCATCTGTCAGAGATTATTTTAAAATAAAGAGCATTCTCAGCTGACCCTGGATTAACTACAAAAAAGCAATAAATATATTTTCAGCATCGAAGTGCGGTATGGGGCATTGACAGGTCGAGCCCCTTCGGTCACACCATGTGCAGATGTTTTTTTGACAACTCTGACCAAAGTGTCTTGCAGCATACAAAAAAGTTTGTGGTGGAGGACTAGGAGTTTTAAAAAATGGACAACCTTACTGAGGACATTTTATCCTTTTTTCACAAAGGCAACACATTTCCTATTTCACAGAAATGTGTAGTTAACTCAGTGCTGCTGCTCATTGTAACCTACTGATTGGCTATTAAATTGTGTTTACACCTTTAATTTAGTTGAGTGCTGGAGCCCTCCAGGTGACATTCAAGAGTTGAATAAGAATGAGTGACTCTTTGAGAGTAATTGCCAGAAAAACAGCAGTTGTCACTCATCTCCCAGCAGAAACTGTTCAGCTTCAGCTTCTCTCACAACGTGTAAACTTGGGTGCAGACTTCCTCAGTTTATGAGAATAATTACAGTAAACACTTTTACTGGACAGTATTTACTTTATAAGCCTGTAACATCCTGCAGTGATGCAGATCCAGCTGTTCTGGCCTTTCCCACACTCTCAGGTATTTTATTTTCAGTGTGGATTTGTTCGATCATATCCCCCTATTTGTGAAGAATAGGATTATTGTATTCGTTTTCTGAGAATGCATAATGTAGCCAGGTTATGGTGAGAGCCCCCTCTGCTGGATCATACAGCAAGCTACTTCAGGAGGCTGTAGGCACTGATGTACTGTATTATCCTGAGTTTGAAAGGCTTATTACAGTTGGAACATTAACTTTTACCAAAAAGTTCAAATGATGGTTCAAATTTTGAATAAAAAAGGACAAGCCTATTAGCTGAGCAGCTAAGCTGAACATTAGCTGGATACCATGGGCCCTCATCTTCATCTTATTGCTCATTCACCACCAGAAGTCAGACATCAGTAGAAGTCATGACTGCCATCCTCAAGCTTGAAAAATCATAAGTTTTTCTCTTTCTTTTTTAGAGGAGTTTGAAAGAGAGCTATACAGAAAGATCACAATGTTGAATACACTTGTTTGGTTATCATTGTGTTTAAGTTTGAATAGGTGAGTTGATTTATGTGGCACCTAAGGCTTCTGAATTCATTTTCTGTGAGTGGCTTGTTATGCTACAAATGGAACAATAATGTGAGAAGACCCAGACACTCATACAAAGCCCATTAAATGCCCCCTCACTGATTAGCTTAAATTACTCAATTTAACATTTAAAGGCATGTTTGTCTCTGTAAATTAGTCAAACACCATCAAAGGCAATTTCTATTTCAAGTGGTAAAGACCGTCAGGACTTACAGATAAGGGCTAACAACACGGTTTTATTTGCATGCTAAACAAGTCTCGTAAAAAAAAAAGGAACAATAATTGTGTCAAATGTTTTTCCACAGTCAAAGCTTGTTAAAGCTAATTCCTCTGAGTCACAGAGCTCCAAGGTTGAGCAAAGACTATCAACTTGACATCATGCATAACCATGCAGATAATTGGATATATTTAGAAACATCAGTCAAATATGCAAAAGAAATATTAGTTATATAGTATAATAATGACAAGCCCTGAGTAAGTGTGTTTGTAATAAATATTAGTCTCTCACTGTAGATACTCATATATGTACTCAAAAAAGTATTCAAAAATCAGCCTATTTTCCTTCCCTCCTGTCTTGTCACTTCGAATACTCTTTTACTGATCTGACGATCAAAACCAATCACCAGAAGTTTCTTGCATCCGACCACCCCGCTGTTGTCCCATTTCCAGCTTATCTTTGTCCTTGGTCATTTTTGTTTTCCCCACATCTTTTGCCACAACATCGCTGCCAAAGAACTCTGGCACGCCTGCTAATTTCTGATTTGGCCTGGAACAACAAAATATCAAACATGTTGTTGCCAGGATGTCTGCACTACAGGGAAACCATCTCACAGGGGGGGACACAGTGTTCTGATATTTTCCTGCTGATTAAAAATAGCTAGAGGGGGGGAAATAAAGTTGAGAAAAGATAAGTGCATGTAATGGTCGATCTACAAAGCTCTATTTATAAGGTGTGAGTGAATTTTGAAGACCAACAGTAGGGGTATGTCTATGAGTATGCCTGATATGAAATAACCTTAATTGGCATGTTACTTGCTGACTAGTAGAGCTTTGAAGCTATGTGATGTTACTGAAATACATTAATATATGCACTAACAGAAAAACACCACACACACAGAAGCATTTGCCAACTGGAGCTGCTCTGCTTTGAGATTACATCTCTCTCTGATCTGGAAAAAAAAGTGGCATCCCCTCCCACGGGCCAGACGGTAAACACAACTCACAAATGCTACATCGTGACACAACGGAAAACACATTACACTTCTTAGAGACCAAACAAGCATCTACAGTTTCTTCGTGCTGAGATCAGGGATTTTTTTCTGTCATTACAAGTCATTGGTGAAGAAATAATAAAGCAGGGATGGACGACAGAAATAGGTTAGGACAGATGCAATAGAAGATTTGAGGAACTATACAGTTGATGAGGAAGAGTAGGAGGGGAAGAGGGAGGTGGAGGTAAGTGAGTGGGTGTAAATCTGCGTCTCACTGAAATCAGGCTGTGGTCATCTCTGATGTGAACTGACAATGGCTCGGATTAAAATGATAATATTTGAAAAAAGGAGCCGTTTGTGTGGAGCTAAACTTTGTCATAAGCATACCCACACACCAGGACTACACTTTATATGTAAAGAGTGTTTGAAAACAAAAATTATGTCAAGCGATCACAAAATTTCTTCAAGACAAATGTTCAACCAAAAACATTCGAATCACTCAAGCATGGCAGAAACTTGGCAATGACCCTTTCTTTTGTCAAATATTCCTATTGACAACCCCCAGAAAAAATAAATAAATAAATAAATAAAAATAAGTAATTTGGGTAACCCCTAAAAGTACAATGTAAGTGGATACATATCTGTGAGCAAAAGATATGTTTTTCAGCCAAATAGACTTTGGCTGTTAACATTTTATGTGACATCTTGACAAACAAGGTCTACATGTTTACTGTTAAGCTGAAGATCATGGTTAAAATACATTTCGAGGTACTTTTAGAGGTGCTGTTTGGCTAAATTTTGGAATGTGCAAGATATGGCCATCTTAAGAGTCTTGTCTGAGCAGTTTTAAAGTTGTTTTAGATGACAACAGGCCAGTGAGTGATCAGTGTACCATGGGTTGTCATAAAAAATTATGGACTCCATGAAAAGATTATTGCACCACCCAGGCAAAATTATAAACTGCATTGCTATTTTAAAATGAATAAAAAAATAGTTTAGCAAATTTGGCTTTTATACATTTTTTTCTTACATACAATGTACCTGATATACAGTATATAGGGGAGAGTGGGGTAAGTTCAGCCACCCCCATCTCCGTCATAATTTTTATTAGGATTGTGTTCATACCAAAAAAGATCATTTTAAATTTGTTTTATACATCAATCGTGGTATCTATGAGCGACAACATGAGGTCTAAAACCTAGCATAAAAGTCCACCATTTTAGCTTAGAGGACTAATAAAGTCACAATAGTAGTTCTGGGGTAAGTTGAGCCAGTGGCTCAACTGAGAAAGTAAAGGAGTCTGATGAGAGGATCATAGTTTCAGTTCAGATTGTTGAAATGTGTTACTTTTTCTTTTCAAAAATACAGCTGTGAATGTTCTGAATCACTCAAAGGCATTCTCATGTTAAAATGGCTTTTTTTTCTTACAAAACAGCTTTTTAGCAGTTATATGTGATCATAATAAAAAGAATTATTGCATCAGTTGAATAGCGTGTAATAGATAAAAATAGACATGAATGTGAAAAAGTGACTGTTATTTAGGGAGAGAGAAGGTGAGGGAGGGCTGGGGTAGGTAGTAGGGATACGGCTCAACTTACCCCATACACAGGTGTAACAGATTATGCTGAAGCTGATGCCGGCTCATTGAACATCTTCTACTGAGTGAACATTTAAACACAGGATCCAGGATTCAGCTCAGAGGGTTTTTTTTTCTTTTTTCTTCTGTGGATGATTTTCTCTGTTCAAACAATGAAAGAAATAGAAACAAGATGTATCAACATAACATATTTAAATAAATGGGGACTTATAAAGTCAAATGAACTTGTAAATTTGTTAACTTAGCTTACACCATCAATGCATCCACTTCAGGGCTTTAAATCATCACAAAATTTGGGCTTAGTTTGACAGCAATCTAATGAAATAATATTAAACAATAAACCATATTAGAAATAATACAAATCGGAAGAATCAAACAAAATTTAATTTGGCTTTGTCCATTTTCAACTCATATTCAGACTCTCTTTGTTCTCTGCTGATCCATGGTCAGGGTGCAAGAGGAAGAGAAGGCCTGAGGGCTGGCTTTTATGATGTTGGGGGTGTGGCTTGGCCTTAAGTGACAGGGGAGTCAGGTATGGCGATGGTGAGGTGAGAACTTGGGATTTAACAACAGGATAAGCTGACCATAGGAGACCACTTTTTTTTTTTTGGCATGCTATATTATCAAGACAGTTATGTTTACACTCATTCTGATGGTTTGCAGGGATGAACAACATCTCATCTTGAAATACATGCAGATACACTAGTTAGAGACAAAACTATCCAAAATATGAAAAATGACTCAACTTACCCCACTCTCCCCTACTGTATGTATGAACTGTGGGTAATTCATGAGGGTTTAATAATTATTTTTAATTTTTATGGTTGTCATTAGTCTTCGTAACGCTTCAACCCTTCTACAAAAATCTAATTATTTGATAAAATGAGTTATTTTTCGTATGTTTAGTTTATAGCTTTGAGTCAAACTTTCCACTACGGTGCCGGTGACCTGCTAAGCATGTAAGAAATATTTTGGAAATATATAGAGTCTCACATTTTTTAAATAAAGTTTTTGTTGAACCCTGCCATGTCCACGGCAGAGCAGTGGATTAAACAGGTTCAAATGTAATTCATAGGATTTTTTTTGGTTACTTAGGCCTATTAGAGCACTTATAAATAGGTCTAACTATTATGTCTTTTTAGTTTATTTCGTCTGTTTTTGTAACTTTTAAATAGGTTCAAATACAATTCATAGGATTTTTTTGGTTGCCTAGGCCTATTAGAGCACTTTCAAAATAGGTCTAACTATTATGTCTTTTTAGTTTATTCTGTTGAATTTTATGATGACTGACATTCTTTAAAGTTATGAAGGTGTCCCTTATTTTAACACTACATTTCACTCCTTTAATGCGCCTCTTTCGCTGTAATAAGAGTGAAAATAGCTTGTGTTTATAGTTTTCACCTGATAGCATTGGTTAGTATAAAAGAATCTGTCAAATAAGTTTCAGACTGACGGCTTTAAATAGCCCAGAAGACATAAAAAATCTCTTATAGAGATTTCTCACAATAACATGAGCTTTTACTGCTCTTAAGCACATATAGAGTCTTTGACATGGTGGGCAGGACTTTCATGTGATGTCAATGCATCACTTTTAAGCTAACCATTCGAACGTCTCGACAGAAACACACACAAAAAGACGCCTATGTTCACTTATTTTCGGTTAATTTTGATAATGCCTGTCACATTAAAGTCATAAACACTGTAAATATCCATGCACACATTTAATTCTTGTCGATGCATCGCTTAACCATCACGAAAGTCGCGACAGTAACACAAGTTTGTAGGATAATATTGTCATGAAATCTTACAGTCTCCATGTCGTAGATGTTGTCTTCTTTGTTCAGGTGTTGGTCGAAGGTGTTTGTCGGAGTCCTTAGTCGTCTGGTGAGGTTTTATTACCGATGAAGCCGTCAAAAGTTGTAAATTCGTGAGCCACAAGTTTTTCGTGCTGTTCTCTTCAGATTTGATCTTCAGAAATGACCGCTCTCTTTGGCTTGTAATGATTTAAAGTTTTAACATCGTGACAGGTTACCATGGAGATTTGAAATGCTGTTTACTTTAGAAAAACCCTTATACTGGTAGGTTATATCTAAAAGTTTAATATTATCTTTAATTTACTTTAATCTCAATGGAATATAAATATCTCTTGAAGTAAAGTGGAGGTTATTTTTCGTCAACTAGTTTAAGAGTTTAAAAAGCATTTTAATTTAAAAACCTTCCTTATTTCGGTACAAAACGACCCCTTTTTGAAAACAATAGCTTAGTAGGCCTATGTCTCTTAGGTAACCCAACAAAAACTGGAAACTTGATCATCATCAAAGTTGATCATTGTTATTTGACAAAGCCCATTATAAGGCATCAAAAAGGCCATAAAGATATCGAATTTTGAACTTTAAAAAATAAAAATATCACATCAGCTCTGAGCCAAAATACCTTTTCACTTGAGTAAAAAGAAGCCTATTTTCATGTGATGGTACTTTACACTAATTCACACATAGAGTGAAGTCATTACATGCTTTTATTAACTTGAAAAATCTTTCTAAATCAGCATAAATAATAAAAAAAGATGTTTGGCTGAAAAAGAGATTTAACAGAATGTGAAATATAGGCTAATCTTGAAATACTGGTTCTAAAAATAGAACCAAAGGGTGACAAGATACATCCTTGTTTCACACAGCCCAAGACTTCGACATATTTAGATTCTGAGATAAGAAAAAAAGAAATAAAAAATAACAAATGCATCTGTTTTTGGGTTTGAATCATAGACTGTATATAAGATGGACAGAGTCTGCCTCCTCGCTGGGTGAAGCCACTGCGAGAACAGCACCCTCTGTTGATGGGCTACAGTACAGGTCATAAATCCCGCCTCCGCCAGCAAAGCTTATGGGGCTGTGGACAAACTTTAGAAATTTATTACACAGAACAGAATTTTTTCTCCCCCCTGCTTGTGATGTTGACATGTAGTTATTGTAAGACTGGTTTGTGCCCAAGTCTACCGAGTACACTTCTAGACTCAGGTAAACTTCTATATACAGTCTATGTGTCCAACTAGCAGGCCGTGGCTAAAAAATCGATCCCAATTCCTAACTAAAAAAAACGTAATTATATTTGTAATTACAATTTGAGCATACTAAAATTAAAATCATTTTACATATAAAGGGGTCCCTTGATACTATTTACACACGTATTGGCATTAAACTTGTTGATATTTTATCATTAAATCTCGGTGAGTGCTTGCCTTGTAGCCATAGAAGCGAACGGCGTCCGACGTGACAGGCGGTCATGTTGGAACCAGAGTGGTCGATTAAACAGAGTGGCGACAACTTCAGATCTCGCCGCCGGAGCGGTCACGTGGTTCATGTACCCCTCCATAGTTCCAAACGCAGCCTGCACTGTGCATGCTCTGCAACGGGGCAGACTGCAGTGAGCGCGCATTTAAGAGGTAAATATTAAAATTAACCGTAAAAAGTCAACATTTGCAACTCTTATTGGATTACTGTGTACACGTCAAAGTCACGTACGTATATTTAGCGGCTGGATGACAAATAAAAGTGAAATAAGACAAGTTTGGTAACACGTGTTACTTTTTAATAAGAGAAAATAATACAATAAAGTGGTAAGTAACAGGTGTTACAAGCTGTTTAAACAATTGTGCAATGTTTTGGTCTTGCAGCATGGCCTGCATAACATTTTTCCATGTTAAACATACGCCTTAAATGCTGACAGGATTTAAAAAGTAGCGGCCCCTTAACTCTATCATCCCATAAGCAGAAATCAAATTACATAGCACTTATGTTAGTCTAAAAATAATAAATTGCATATAACATCGGGAACTGATAAAGGCTGAAATCTAAAATAAAGCCCATAAGTAACCATCTCAACATATGATTGATGATGATGATTCATCTGTGATTCATAACTCAGTCACACAATACATTTTGGCAGGCCTCTACAGCTGACGACGTCCAGCTAGCAGGCCGTGGCTAAAAAATCGATCCCAATTCCTTACTAAAAAAACGTAATTACATCTGTAATTACAATTTGAGCATACTAAAATTAAAATCATTTTACATATAAAGGGGTCCCTCAATACCATTTACACACGTATTGGCATTACATTCGTTGATACAATATTTTACTTTGGGGAGTGTGGGAGCAAACCGTGGCTAAAAAATCGATCCCAATTCCTGACTATAAAAACGTAATTACATTTGGGATATACATTTTTACATATAAAGGGGTCCCCTCGATATCAATAACACATGTATTGGCATTAAACTTGTTGATATTTTATCATTTAATCCGGTGAGTGCTTGCCTTGTGGCCATAGAAGCGAACGGCGTCCGACGTGACAGGCGGTCAGGTTGGAACTATTAAGAGTTCTATAACCCGGAAGTGGGGTCCGCCGGGCTGTTCAGCGTCTGTCTATGGGAGTGTCGCCACTCTGTTTAATCGACCACTCTGGTTGGAACTATTGAGAGTTCCATAACCCGGAAGTGGGGTCCGCCGGGCTGTACAGCGTATGCCTATGGGAGTGTCTCCACTCTGTTTAATCCACTGCTCTGGTCCACGGACAGCACATAAAACCCAAGTTTTACGAATCGACCGCGAGACGTCGCCCTCGCGCCGTTCCTTCCCTCCACGAGCCTGTTTGCCATCTGCCTCGCGGTCACGTGACACATCTGTCAGGGGACAGCATGGCGGACATGCATGTGGAGCCTCAAAACAAACTGCATCGAATGTCCAGCTAACCCCGCCGCGAAAACCATCGATACCGCGCGTCGAGGCGGGCCAGCGGTGCCCGACCAGATAGCAGGATGGACGAGGAGAACAAACTTCAGTTCCCGTCTCTGCCCGCGACCAAGGAGGAGCTCCTGGTGAGAGAGAGTGAGCCGCCTGTGCTAGCTGTCTGTGCTCGGTGTCTGTGAGGCTAACCTGAGCTAACCCCGGCTCCAGCCTCATTGTCTGGCCGTTAAAATAAGCGCTCAGCTGTTGTCTGCCTGTGTGGGGAGGATACTCACAAATGTGTATTTCCGAAACGTTTCATGCCCGTGACAAGACACCTAATTGGCAAATGATACCAGTCCTGTGTCAAGTCGCAACTCTCCAAACATTAGCCACGTATATACACAACCACAATGGCAACGATTCTTGTATCTTACTCTGGTTACTCTGGAAACATCCAGAATTGTCTTAACATCAGCTTTAGCAAGATTATAACTGAGTTAAATTGTTCATAGTTCTAACCATGGTTTTACATCTCCCCTTTTAAAGGACTGGGCTTATCCGATGAGACGGGAAATGCAGGTATGTAAGCTGGGTCCTTTAGCCAGAGCGAATGGGGTTGTCAGCAAATTGTCCTTATTTCTGTTCCTGCATTTGGCAGTGTGAGACTATGCACCAAATGTCTGGATATTCTGAAGGGGTTGTTTACACCGCATACTCAAAATGATGGTTTGAGTATCTGGTTAATCTCTACAAACAACAATAATGTTTAATTCTAGACGAATAGAAATCATCGTGAGATTTTGAGTTGAACCATCTAGACCAGTTCTAGTAGTGACAACCATTAACTATACACATGAAAGGACTAAACCAGTGGTTCTCAACTGGTGGGTCCCGACCCAAAAGTGGGTCGTGGACACGTTCTGGATGGGTAGCGAACAGCTGGTCAAAAAAGTAAATATTTAATGCACATCTGATGTTTGAAATGTCGTTTATTTTGAAAAATAGCTTCTTTTGAAAGGCGTTATGTTGTGGTCCTCCTCAGTTTCTTATTAATGTGGCCTGAATGTGATAAAGTTACACGTTTTTGATATTTATTAACTTTTGTCCATGCCTTGTTTCATGGTCCTCCTCAGGTTCTTCTGAATATGCTCTGAATGCAAAGATGCAAATAAGTCAAATTTTTCATTTTGCTGGTCTCTATTGTGTGCAATTTTACATTTTCTGTACACGAAACTTCAGTAGTTGTCGTCCTTAGTTCATGTGCTCTGAAGTGCACTTTACTCAATAAAATAGGTGTTTTTATGTCAAAGATTTGAGTCTTTAAAGTTTTTTTTTTTATAGGATATAAATTTCATTGGTTTGAATTTTATAAGAGTGGGTTGCGACTTAAGGACCATGGGAAAATGTGGGTCCCAGAGTGAGACCAGTTGAGAACCACTGAACTAAACACTTATGGGCTGAGATTACACGTGTTTTGGTGCAGATATAAACATATAAAGACATGTTTGTAGGGGTAGTTCAGATGGCTTCTATTGGTAAATTCAATGCTTCAATTCATTATGCATGTACATATTTGTGAAGACATCCTGTGGGTAAAAATTCTTGCTGTATCTTGGTCATCCTGTCTGAGTTTATCAGCCATAGGTTTGTGCGTGTCATAAAAATTTATAAATGTCACTGCTTGTGTTATTGGTAATGTTGTGGGTTATCTTGCTACAGGAGATATTACCAGGATTGTTTTTAGGTCCCTACTCTGCTGCAATGAAAAGCAAGGTAATTGGTATTTTTTTGCAGAATTTTTCCACTAAAACTGTAAGACAGTGCTACACATATGTTACTTGCTCTTGGTTCAGTAGCTTATGTCTCTACTATCTCTTTGTGTAGCTGCCAAGTCTGGAGAGACAGGGGATTACACATATTGTGTGTGTCCGCCAAGACATTGAAGCCAATTTTATCAAACCTAATTTCCCTCATTCATTTAGGTAAGTAAAATCTTGAGTCATTACGCAGAGCTGCTTTCTGCATCTTTGTATAAAATGTGGAAGTTTTGTAGTCCGATCCTAACACTGATTCTCCTGTCTTTGCAGATACCTTGTGTTAGATATTGCTGACAATCCAGTGGAAAATATAATAAGATTTTTCCCTTCAGTAAGTTGAAAAAAAGTCTGTTACCTCCTTTTATGGTATGCCTTTAATTGCCTAAAATATTTGTTATTCACAGTTTGTCTTTCACTCCTACCAGACTAAAGAGTTTATCGATAGCTGCTTAGCAACAGGAGGTAAGCATGAGCGCCATTTTCATCTTTCATATTCAGAATGTCATGTAGGAGGAAGAAAATTGGTTGTCAGAGCTCTTTTCTTTGCATCTTTAGGAAAGGTACTGGTTCATGGTAATGCAGGGATATCTAGAAGGTAAGAGTTCTTTTATATCATCATTTTATACAACCCCATGTCACCTTAGGTTGTATTTTATGCAATGACTTAGCATATTTATTTTAAATTGTTTAGATTAATCTCTTTTGCTATTGAGTTATGTGCTCGTTCTTAGATTAAAGAGTAGAATTTTAAACAACAGTTGTGGAAACTGTGTTTCTTTTTATTGTTTCTTTCAGCGCTGCCTTAGTGATTGCATACCTTATGGAAACATTTGGGATGAAATACAGGTTTGTTTTTCCCCCTAAATAAAACAATGGCTTTCCTTTTTTCGTACCTGGTAGATCAAAGCGTAATCTTTTTAAATAAGTTCATCACTGTTTTCAAAAAATGAATGCATTTGTGTGCATGTTTCATTTTTCAAGTAAACCACATTATCTTTACTTAGTGTTCCTGTAAAAAGGTAACATATTGCAGCAGTATTTTAAAAAGTAAAGATCAGCAAATGTAAGTGCGTACTATATTTGTGTCTTTCTCTTGTTGTGAGTAGCTGCAGTGTACTAAACCTGTTTTCAGAGGCTCTGATTGTAACATGGCTTTGTTCACTCTGCAGGGATGCATTCAGCCACGTCCAGGAGAGGAGGTTCTGCATTAACCCCAATGTGGGCTTTGTGCATCAGTTACAGGTGACGTTGGACTTCAAGATAAATTACTCCACACTAGACATATGTGAAAGTGCGCAATTCATTTCTTTAACTGATACATAAATGCAACACTGACTTAATAATCAACATGATATACTGTCTCAAACTCCTTAATGTTTAAAAGCCAGTCTGTCTTATTAGCTGCAGCAGCATTCTTCTAGACAAGTTAAGCAGCATGAAGAAATGGATATAAAAACTTAAACGCACTCTATGTTTGGACTTCATGTTCTGTTAAAGACTCATTAGGGTTAACCTGTCATCCTACAGGGACTCATCTACTTCTGGTGTGACTCTGCTTAAGTTACTTTGCTTTACAGTCTTACTTGACTCTACCTTTCACATTTAGAAAGTCATGTTATACTCTGACTCCTGGCCATCAAGAAAACCAGGATGGGTTGTATTTTAAATTGTTTAAATTTAGACAAAATGACTGTTAAGATTCATAGTTGTGTTGATCTTTAAAAAAAACAGCACATGGACATAAAAGCTGTGTCATGCTAGCAATCTCAACATGATACTTTCACCCCTTTAATTAAATGTAACATTCTTGCATATCATGAGCCAGTTTACAGGTTAGAAGTGTATCTGTGATGTTACTGGGTGTTATAAGAATGGAAAGCTAAAACCTTGTAAATGTAATGTGTGTCTTCCCTCAGGAATATGAAGCGATCTACCTAGCCAAATTGACCATTAAAATGATGTCGCCCATGCAGTTAGGCAGGTCCTTCTCCATACAAGCTGGAATGCCAGGTTGGTACATGATACACCCTGTTGTGTTGTGAAGCCACACACAAGTCTGGTTTCATCCTCTAATCAGAAGAGAAAGGTTTATTGAAGTTTTACAAAAAAAGGAAGTAGAAGTGTGAAATCAAGCGTCTTTACATTTTTCCCAAAGAAAAGTGTTTAAAGACTCAACTGTTGACACTAAGTTGTTTGTGCATGGTGGATCATTCATTATGCCTTGGGCACATCTTAAACAGTTATGGAAAATATGAATCACAAGCTTACAGTAATGAATGGTATTGAATAATATTCAAGAAGCACACTTGTGGCAGTCCTTTTTTTAGTAAATGTTGATCTGTTGCGGATTTCACGGCATCTGGATCATGGGGGATTCCATAACCTCATCTTTCCTTATCTCCCGTTCTTCAATGATGACCTCTTCAAAAATAGACCATAATGTGCTCAGGGTCTGAACAGACTTTTTGAACAGCAGCTTTCTTTAGCACATTGAACTAGTCTGAACTCGTTGTTTTTATGTTGTGTTTGTATGCAGTCTGTACAGATACTGTCATGGTTGCCTCCTGTGTTTAATAGGAAGCCGTAAACGCAGCCTGGAGGAGGACGAGGACTTCGGAGCAATGCAGGTCACAGCAGCACAGAATGGATGAGCTTTGCTGATATTTTGCCGTGTGGCAGCGCAGTGCACTCAATTTTTTTTTCCATTTCTTTTTTTTTTTTTTTTTTTTTTTACATTTTTAATGGGATTAAAAATGTACATATTTGAACTTTTTCTAAGGGGAAGGGACTAGGGTGGGAGCAGGACCACTCATGTCTGAGACATGGAGTAGTAATGGGGATTGGGTATATTTGATAACTCATTTTTTCTCAAGCTGTATGCACTGATGGGAGATTTTTTGCAGTTTTATAGTATTTAAAGCATTTTGCATTTGCAGCGGGACAGTATTGCAATAATGCACTTTCGATACTTGAATTTGTGTAGATGACCAGAGTGGGGCAGACGGCAAAAGGGAAAGTAGCCAGGATGCCGCCCCATGGAGGACATAAGAGAAGACTAGCTAATGCCTTTAACATGGGAGTCATAGGATTAAAGACTAATATCGGACTAAATGTGGGATAGTAAGGAATGGAAAATAACACTGCTTAATAAAAGAAGTCTGACTCAGCCTTCTTCTGCTTTTGTGTCATAATGTATTGATGTGCTTCTCAACTTAACACTGATTGCTTAAGTCTTATTTCCAGTGTTGTCACAAAACGATACTTTCAGCAGGTACATATGGGGGAAAAAAAGACCCTATAATGGTTTAGTGCTTTGACTTTTTTTTCTAACATACTTGACATTTTCGATAGTGATCTTGGGGACAAAGTGTCCACTGGGCTAAATTTAGTAAATGTAATTGTAAATTTGGAGTGTAACAAAACTGACAGCTGTAGAAAAGAATCTAAATTCAAGGTTTTAAAGTTAAATGAGCAGTATCTGCATTCTTGACCATAACTGGAAAGAGAGTAATGACAGCAAATCTAAGTAGTCACTCCAATTCAACAGTTTCCCCCTACAGCAAAGACTCATATTTACCATTTTGTACAGCCAGACAAAGAAAAGACACACAGTGAATCACAGAATATTTTATGTTTTTCTGTCATCACATATTTCAAAATAAATTAGATTAAATATTTCCCCTCGTCTCCAAAATACAATTAAAAAATTTAAATAACTATCCATGTTCAGAAATCATTTTTCTCCTTCTCTAACCATGTTTCAGTCCTTCTCACAGCTCAACCAAATACAAAACTTCAGGAAATGTAAGATAATTTGTCACTTCTGCCTTACAAAAATGTACAGCTTTTTGTACCTTAGCATTAATACAGTCTCCTTGATAGACATGCTTCACAATTTCAATGTTTAGTAATTTTTGAGCAGCCCCCATCACAGAGAGAACAAAGAGATCGATTTTACTAGAAAAATAGAAGAAACCCAGACCCTTAAAAAAAGAAAAGTAATTACATGTAAAGAAAAATGTTCAACCTCTTTGGTGATGTGCTTTTAGTGTTCAATATGACAAATCTATGAGAACATTTCAGCTGTGATCTAACATTCTGGTTTACTGATAAACTTCAGAGGTTGTCACCTGTAGTGGATTATTTCATAAATAACTGCTGTTGAAATAATTTCGTACCATTCGTTTACAAAGCAAATGTACCCAATTCCAGATTGTTCTATGACAGCTGCAGATATAATTAGTACTGGATCGCAGCAAATAATTTCACAACTTCAACACAGTAAGATATTCCAGTAACACACATTCATTCTTTAGATGGTGGAGGAGGATGACAACAGAGCTCCACCCTGCTGAGGTAGCCATAGTTACCAAAGGGGCATAATATGACGCAGAACTAAGTAGAAGGCCTCTACGTACACTTAACTGAACTGGGTATGCTGAAATCAGGATGAACGTCTGGTATGTGTCACAACCACAAACTGATCTTCATGCAGCTTCTAAGTCTCGAGAGAATTAGATTTGGAAGTTCAGATTTCAGTGGGTGTGTGAAGATTGTGGTCCATACCCCCAGAAACGGGGTTTACAGCTCCTGTTGTCCTCCGTCATGGAATCGAAACTGCATGTAAGTCTCATCTGAGGCGCAGTAGCCAAACTTTTCGTAAAATGTTACATTTTTGGGTTTGCATTCTAGTGTGATTTTATAACAGTTCAGTTTTTTGCTAAGAAGGGTCAGCGTTGAAACTAACCTGTGGGGACACACACAAAAAAAGGGTATAATTAAAAAAACAAAACAATTTTGGCTCTTATATAAAAAAAGCCAGAACAAAAAGTCTTTGTGTCAGGCTCCTGCAGGTCTACTCACAGTTTGCCCAGCTGCTTCCCTCTGCACACGTCACTAACTACGACCTCTTCCACTCGGCCCCTCTGCAAACACATCACATCAGAGAGGGTCTTTATTTCAGTCATATCTTTCAGTCCAGATCAATAAAGATGTGTCTTTGCTATACCATCATAAAGGTAACCTGATTTATGATGTCAAGCTTTTATCACCACCATTCTAGCTACTGCTACGCTAATAATTAACGTATTTATGGCATTAGTCTGTGAAGAATCCAGACCTAAGTTGAAGTTGTTTCCATTGTGAAATACTGTATGTACATGTAGATTACCTTAGCACAGGAGTGGATGAATTTGTGTTCTGTGATCAGTGTCGCTGTGGCAACAATCTGTCCCAGATTTTTGTCCTCCACAACAACAACATAGTAGTCTCCAGTTGCCTTCATGTGCTCAAACTTTTCTGGAAGCAAACAGACCACATATTTTATGCCATCAGTTTGTATTTAAAGATGATTCATGTGCTAGGAAGGGGGGGGGGCATTTCTCTTTTCAATGAGAGATTCGAGAAACTGGTTCAAATTAAATATGTAGTCACGGAAGGAGTTGTGTACAGTGTGATCAGGAAAAACATTTGTCATTTTTCAGCACATTAATAGACATGACTTACTTATGAACTGCTCTGGTGTGACTTCACCTGTCTTAGTGAGTTGAGATAAGACTTCAAAGAACCCTAAAACAAAAAGGAAAGGAGGCTCACTTCATCGATTAATATGTATTAAAATTCACTGTTTCTTTATTGAATTACCAAACCCCTTCATATTACCCACAATTTAACAGCATAAAAGGATATTCCAGCATAAAATTAATTTAGGGTCAAACACACCGTAACACAGAGTTAGACACTCCCTCGAGAGGTGAATGTTGCCAACCACTTGCTTCTCTAGTTATACCAACTTTGGTAACAACCACACGATAGCAATACACAGCAGTCTGAGGAGCCATAAACAAACCTCAGTGGGGTGACGCAGCTCATGGAAGAACATTTATGATCATTTCTTCATGGAAATGCAATCAGACCGAGACGCTAAGGCAGAAGAACTCCCACGTCTGCAGCGCGAAACGATTAATATGGTGATTATTACTTCAACGAAATGATAAAGTAATGATCATAAATGTTCTTCCTTGAGCTGCATCACCCCACTGCAGTCTGTAATGGACTGGCCTGAGGTCTCCCTACAAACCAGCACCTGCTGGAAGAGAGTAGGTGAGTTATGTTTAGTCTCTTTGCTAAAGAAATTAGGCAAAGCTATAAAGATGTTTGGTGGCTAGTGCTATGGCTAGGACCCTATATGTACTGTTGATGAAGTTAGGTGCTGTTCTGAGCATTATTTGTGGCTATAGAGTGGCTTTTTGGTTTAGTTTTGTTTATGGCTCCTCAGACCGCTGTGTATTGCTATCATGCGGTCGTTATTTAAGTTGGTATAACAAGAGAAGCAAGCAGTTGGCAACATTCATCTCTCAAGGGGATGTCTAACTTGGTGTTACGGTGTGTTTGACCCTAAATTAATTTTACGCCGGAATATCCCTTTAATAGCTTTGCTTTCAATGTAATCTACCACTAAGTGCTGATTAGATACAAAGCAGTTTAAGATTATTAAAACTAGAGGATGTCATTTGTTCCATCTCTGACTCACCCTTGTTATAGTCGGCCGTACAGAGCGGTCTGAGCTCCAGGCCTTCCCCTGGGCTGGATGGGGAGAGTGGAGGAGAGAAAGAGACGGTGTTACTACTCCAGTCTAACTCCTGAAGGAGGGAGGGCTCAAAAAGAGGAATCTCGTCCAGCAGCATTCCTTGATCTGTACGTAAGAAACACACACATGCAAACAGGTAAAACTGCTGACGTATACACACCCATAAATGAATGAAAGCAAGATACTTTAATTAGGCCGTACTGAATCAAAAAGCTAATTCTCATCCAACTTAAGTTCTGTTTAATCACAAATAGTTAACATGATGATCGCAGTGTCATCCTGGAGTTTTGTTTGATCTAGCACAGAACTTTGTCCTGACAAATAAACTTTTACTTGGATTAAATCTGCCTAAACTTTTCAAACTTTCATGGTGTTTGACAAGCGGGTGTAAAGTGTTAATTAAAACAATACACATTTATTACATGAGTCTCTCATTCAAATGGTGGAACCAAATGGTGATCCCTGTCCAGGATATAGTCCAGGATGTGTAACATGAGGAGATCTCATTCATGTGTCAGCTGTAACACTAACTTTCTTGTATATATTGTATATTTTATCTGTACTTATATATACTTATATATTATATATACACTTGTATATATTACTCGAACGCAACTCATCAAAAGCCATACTTTTTAACCAATAAACGAGTTAAAGAAGGCCTAACTCTTGTTACCATGGCAGCAAAATACAATGATCCTATACTGATGTCATTTCCCGACCTTTCTGTCTCAAACAACAAATTGTGTGTTTATGGTATCAATAAAAAGTTAGACGAATGTTTCCTTGTAGAAGGCACAGCTACATTTAACAAATTTCCTCATGGTGACAAAGTTAAACAAACCGTTCTACAAAGCTCACAATGTTCATGAAGGTTGGTGTTTAGCGTCCACAGCAAACTAATAGTACTCAAATGGCTAACGGAGAAAACAACATAACACCCGATACTATCTTTACCCAGGCAAACAATCCAGCCCTTGTTCCGCTTTGGTGCTGAAGCTCCACTTTACTTCAATAAGTATTAGCTTTACCTTTTAGGGGTTCACTTGCTGTGTTAAGCAGCTAGCTGGGGAGCTAGCTGTTAAATATTTTAACCACTTACCAGTAGGAAAAACGCACAAGAAGAGATGGTCTTATCGTATTCCCCCGACACAGGTAGTGTAAGGTGATAACCGGGAAGTCCTGCTAGTTTTGAATGAGGTTCATAATTACACCGATAAACGTGGGTGTTTCCGCCTGGCATGTGTGTACTCCTGTATGACGTGGCAGAAACGCTGGACGTAAGGGGCGCAGCCTAATGACGTCAATTGGGGGTTAAAATTTCACATCCTAATGTTTTAGGTTTTTTTTTCATACTATAATGAAAAACAAGAAGAATGAAATTCAAGGTTTTGGAGGGTCAAACTAGTTCTCATGATAATATCCAAGTACAAGTCTTTTATCTCTTATCTCTTTAACCTCTATCTTGTTTCAGCTTTACTCTCTTTTTAGTTTTTGTTTTACTTGTACTCTTTCTTTATTAACCTTTTAGGCCTTTTATTGTTTTATCTCTTGCTCATTTCTGTTGCTCTATTTTATCATTACTATTATCATCAGGATTACCTGTTATTATTTTTTATCATTGTTGATGTTGCCTTTTATATTTACTATGCTGTTTTCCCTTTCGTCTCCCCTTTTAATTGCATTTTCCTTTTTTCTTAACTATTTCATGTTTTTATTTTGGTCCTCATGGTCTCATTTCCTGTTGCATGGTTCTTGCATTGTCTGGGTTCCCTATGACATGAAAACGGCCTTTAATTCTGTTTTTACTGAGCCTTTTGTTTTTATCTGTCCTTTTCCATGTGCTCTATGACTATATGTCAAAGCACTTTGTAAGCCTCTGTTTTTTGAAAGTGCTATACAGATAAAGTTATTATTACATATAAGTGAAACTCATGTTTTATACTTAAATGAGTTTATCTTACATTTCAAGAAGTCATAAAAATGTGACAGATCAGACTCCTGTTTAACTTTATTTTTCATTAATAAAAATTAAATTGTTTTTCTTTTATTGTATGGCGTTTTTTTTTCTGCATATTTTAAAGATGTCAATGCAATTTTGTTTGTCAACGCACTTTTGAACAGGGGTAAAAGCCTTCTTTGCTCAGCCAGTTGATTGTTTTTGCTTCAGAAGGAGGATAAGTACTGTGTCTTGCCAAGAACAATTTCCTTTTAAGTCAGTCAAGCTCTCTCTGACACTAACACATATTTATTGGACTGATAAGTTGGTGGTTCGATTCCCCCATATCCCTAGTCTGTCCATTGTGTCCTTGGGAAAGACTTAACTCACCTTGCTCCCAGTGTGTGTCCTCCACTGGTGTACAATTGTGAGTGTTGTGTGGTGGTGGTCAGAGAGGCTGTAGGTGCAAACTGGCAGCCACGTTTCCGTCAGTCTGCCCCAGGGCAGCTGTGACTACTAAGGTAGTTTACCACCACCGAGGTGACTGTGTGAGCGAATGAATGATGTATCCAAGGTAAAGCGCTTTGAGGGTCTCTGATAAATAGCTTAATGAAATCTGATGCATTTTTATTTATTATTAATAATCTCAGAGGTCCAGTGTAAAGAATTGTGCATTACCCTTTAAACAGCAAAAGTTGACCCTCACAGAGGCAGGTTCACCTCAAAAAGAAAGACTCGAAAAAAAATAGAATTTTGTTAAAAAGCTGTAGAAGCTCTGTTTATTGGGTTGGTTTTATTAACATATTTTACAAAATCTAGATTTACAGAAATTATCCATAACTGAACCATTCTTGATTGAGGCACAAAATACAGAAAAGCTAAGTCAAAAAAAAATTCAGTTTTGATTAAATAAGTGATGGTTATGAAAGAGAACCCATGAAAAGTAAAGTTTATCGTGGAAGCCGAGTTGTTAAATAACTGATGAAAAATATAAAGAAAAATAGAGTTGTCCTATTATTTTTTTTGTATAATGACAAGATAGAATTTTCTATCGAAGTCCTATCATTTTCAAACATCATCAAAAAGAGTTTGAGCAATTGAATAAACACATGGTTAAGATCAAAAAACCTCAGCTTTTCGTGGAAGTTTGTGGGCTTCTCTTTGGGATAGAGGAATCAAAAGCACTTGTCTAGATACATGCATATCTCACCCATATTGTCCTTGCATTGAAGGACAAGTAATGCAACAATCTCTTATATAGTCTCCATATTTTGTATCAGTAGATATGTCTCAACTTATGGGTGCAGATTCAGTGAAATTTGGGATCCAGTCCACGTTTAACAATGGTTTAAAAACTTCATATAAGATATTCGGACATTGGGTGATTATTCCATCTCTTATCATCTTTAAATTAGTAGTCCTCAATGTGAGAGAGCAAAATAAGAGAAATATGATGGACAGGGATAACACAAACCATGGAGTTCGTTGTTTGTGGAAAAAATAAAAAATAGTACTCTTGATCGCTTCAATATGCTCATAAAAAAGGGCAGTTTAAGAAAGGCCGAGAGAGAGGATGATACCTGATTGTAACTGTATAAAATGTAATCCCTACCCTTTGTTTCATGTGCATCTCAAGGGAGCAGTATAAGAAAAAAAAGCTTGACATGCACTCTTCCCCTCTTGCTAAAAAAACAAAATGCAAACTGTTTACAGTGGGTGATATAACACGCTAAATACAGAACAACCCATGTGGGTCAAAAACACTTTGTTTGCAGCATTGCTTTGATAGACACATTCATATTTGACAGAAAGGCTGAACAATACTAAAGTGACATTCTCTTACTCCAAGGTAAGAAATAAAACCTGTTGTATTTTTGCCTACACTTACTTCACAGTTAAAACTCAGAGAATAATAACACACAGATACACCAGATGAGTTTCTTCATCCAAAATATGTAGCTTTCCATCATGACAAACACAAATGAGAGAAAAACATCTTGATAAAAGGAAAACAAAAAGGACCCAAAGTTTTACCTAATATTCAACCTTTCAAAACCCCTCACATAAAAGATGACTCTGGATGCAAAGCATGCTTTTTCAAAGCCAGTTCCGGTAATGGCAGATACTGACCCCCCACTGAAGCTGGTGGTTGCAATGTGTGGCACATGAACAAAAAGGGTACTGCAACCTTGCACTGCTTGACTTGCAGCCAACAAATTATATAATGTTCCAAATACTCCATTACCAATACCATTGGTAGTTGTCCCACTTTATTTAGGCAGCCCAAAACAGTCCAAAGGCCATGTTTGCTATGCATTTTAATATTGTTTTGAAGAGTTGATGACCACTGACTGTACACCAAATGGAAGAAGGGGGTTTGGGCAAATAGCTCTGTTGGTGCCTCTTGGCATAATGACTCTTGCTGAAGCCCATCTGTGTCTCAGGGTGCTGGGTCTTGTTGGTTCTGCATGCGTCTCTCTGCAGCTGCTGCCATGGTTCTACGTCTCAACATAGAAGAGTCCAATTCAGGAACATTGTCCTCCTCAAGTCCAGGCAAATCCTCATCCTGGTCCTCTGGACTCTTGTTCAGATATTTCCTACAGGACATGATAAACAACATACGATCATGGCTACAGACAATGCAAAGACAATGGGAAAAATAAGGCAACAAGGAAATTTTACTAAATTCATAAAATGCCCCAAAAAAAGTGATGTAATTCAAGTCTTGATATTTATGACAGTCTTGGAGCTGGTTTAGCAATCAAGCACACAAGGCCTTCAAACATTATATTTGTCCAGCTTTGATTCAAAAAAGATAACTGCGTGGAAGGGCTCCATTTTTATACAAAGCCAAGCTATGGTCTAAAATCAAACCAGGAGGGTCACACTTCAAGTCTATAGAATTTTGCTTTTATGAAAAATTATTCTCAATCTAATTTCTTTTCAAAATAAATCAAGCTTAACACAACTGCCTACGAGACAGAACACTCCAACAGCAGGGGACAAACCTGCGTGCCTGCAGCAGCATTTCTTCTTTTCTCTGTTTCAACATTTTTTGTCTCTCCTCGGCAGACTTAGAGAAGCGCCCTCCTCTGACCTCCATGTTGTCCAGCTCACTGAGGCTCTGCTCATCTGCCCCACTTGGCCCTGGCTGCTCATCTGGCGCAGGGCTCACTTGTAGAGGGGCACGTTCGATTGCCTTGGGAAGAACAAAAACATTATATGTAAAAAGATCAAAAAGATTAAGAGGATAATCATTGTTCAGTCAAAACAAAGTTTTTGAAGGTGCTGTAAGCCCCCAAGTTAGAGTACATACCTGCGTGGGGAAGGGCACCTGAATGCGTCCTTCTAGGATGTTGTCAGTGGTGACCTCAACTGAGCGGGTCAGCTGCAGGTCCTGCATTACCAAGTAGGAGGGCACCTGAGGGAACATCTCTTGAATCTGATGGGCCTGATGACCAAAGAGCAAGAGATGACCAAGAACAAAAAGAGAAATAGAAAAATTGTAAGGACTAAGGCTGTCAGGGGAATCTCTGAATGCTTTAATATCCTGTGCATCTATTATTAACCTGTAGGAGTTTCTACTTTATTAGATCACAGTGCAAAAAGATAACACTGCAGCAATCCAGTGTATCAGTATCCATCTTACAGCCCTAGAGCAAAACCAGTGACTTGTCTTGCCATTATGCACAACTAAGGCAAGACTGGATCTTCAGGAAAATGGGGAATGGTGGGTGCAGCCCACTGAGAGCTGCAACATGTGGTTTCATGCAAGTCAAATTGAAAGAGACTGCCACAACCCTAATGTAGTTAACATCAGAATGAAGCAGGACTTACCATGGCCATGAGCTGGGAGTTGTTAGCTTGTGCAATTCCCAAGATGTTGGTGGTGTGCATCACTTCCACTGAGAAACTAGGCAGCCAGCTGGCAATGCGGGATCCTGCAGTAAAATGTACAGATTTCATCATTTACTGCTCACCAAGCCTGTCTAATGTGATTTTACTCCTCAGTGATGTGGCAGACTTTCAGACGTACCATCAAAGTGGAAGAAGTGATTGTGTTGGTTGATATGAGGCCTTGCATCTGGAGCAGCTCCGGCTGCGCCGATGTTTTCTTCCCTGCCTTGCTCCTGGCCTCTTGCTTGGGCTCCATCCCCACTAATGTTCAGTGATTTCCTACATGTTGGACATGATGTGTCCTGCTCCAGCCATGAGCGCAAACAGGAGCTAAAAACACACAAAATCACACCATTTACAAATGTCATCATGGTACATCTCTGATTGTTCTGCTTTAACTCAAAGGAAGTTGTTAAATGTCAAACTAAGTTCTGCTGCCACATATAATACATAAGTCTTTAGGCACTGTCTAAATAAGGATATTGCACCAAAGGACCAACTATTCCTGAATTCTTTTATTCTTTTGGAAGAAAAAAAACTGTTATTCGGCTGTGTGTGGACACAAAGGACATCGACTGGGAAACAAACTCATGCAAGGGTAAATCTGGGGACATGTTTCGAGTCCTTGACCTGGACAAATAAACATTGTGTGATCCATACATAAGATTCCACTGAGCTGTCTGAAATAAGACATACGACAAACTTAGGATACAATAATGCAGCAATCCAACAGACCAAAACTGTCTGCCCCCAACTCACAAACCTTCTTCCATGAACCTTTTGCTCCACTCAGTACACTCCTTAAGCCAAGTCCCAACCCAAGTGGAGTGACTATTCTAACCTGATTTTCAGTCACTGTCTGATGTGCTTCTAAGAGTCCACATGTCCAATCCGAGGTTATTGTTTTTTTCTTTGCCATTTATTGATCCAAAGGAAAACAAAATAACAACAGGTACATACAATTTACTGTAATGGTGATATACGGGATGAAGGCAGGAGTAGTGTCTAAGATTCGCGGTAAAAACCGTGTCCACCCAAGATCACTGCTTCTCCTGTGTACTTTTTGCAGCATTTACCTACCCACTGACCGTAAGTGCCCCTAGTGGTGATTGTGCAAGTGACAAAACAAACCCACAAAACAACATGGGTAAAATAGCTCATACATTAAGTGCTTTAAGTCAAATAAAACATACAGAGTAACATGACCTATTGTCTAAAGAAAGTTAAAGAAAACGCCTAATATGGCACCAGTAATGTCTGGAGTAATGTAATCTGTTGAATGATAAAACACCTTACTTGTGGAAAAGATGGCCGCACGGTAATTTGCGTGCTGTCAACATGGTGTCCCAGCAGATGGCACAGTCATCATCATTGGCTGCCAGCTCCTCTGCTGTAGCAACAGCAAATCTGTACAGTGTTAAAAAAAGAAAGGAAAATCAAAGCTGCAATGAGGAACTTTTGGTTTGTGTTGACAATGGCAACGCAATGTTGGTGAATGAACATCCTCTGGTGATTGGTGATTCCATCATTTTTGCCAGGGGTTGTATACATGTGACAGCAGTGTAATCAGAAAAAAGGATCATTCTGTTGTCTTTTAAGAGAGAGTTATATCAACCACAGAGAGTATTTGAACAGAAAAAGTCAGAATAGGCTGTTTTTACTGTTCCTAGCCCCTCATGATGGTTTTTAAGCATTACCGCAGATTTACTATAAGCTCTCTTGAGGATGGTATCATGTACTTTTAATGGTCCTACAGAGGCATCATTATCAGTTTTGGTCTGTTTCTCAACCAGCTAAAAATTCATCACAGTGCCTCAAATTAGTAATATGGAAATAGTCCAAAATTGATGGTAAATAAAGCCTATGAAAAAACCATGAGGTCAGGAGAAAAATAAACAAATTAGGATATTTCATCACCTGGCCTCCATGTTGTTGATGACCCGGAGGTAGTTCTTGTGTCTGCGTACACGACGCTGGACCTCATGGAAGAGATACCGCAGCTGCATGAAGATGACTAAGCTTGCCATGGACAGCCAAATGTTGCCAAAGAGCTTATGAGACACACATGGAGAGGGAAAATTCAAGATCGGGTGAGTAAAAACACAGACACATTACATACTCTTGCATCCCGTGTGTCTTACCAGCATATGGATGTGGTGCATGAGGTCCAGGAAGAGCATAGCCAGCTCCATGATGAAGTCTGTGTAGTAGACATATGTTCCCTTACTCTCCCAAGTCCCTGGATGGTTCAGATCCCAAAGATGTATGGAGTAGCTAAGAGAGAAAGAGCATAGCAGCCCATAAAACTCCAGGTTAACGCTTAAGAGATAAAGATGATGATGTAGCTGCATTTTTTTTGTGAAACATTAGAGATTTTTGATAAGTGACAAAATCCATGTGTGGTATCTTTCCGCAAATGTGCTTGATTCAAAATAAAGTCATTAAAAGGAGAAAAAACAGTCATGCGGAGGACAATTCACTAAAATACAGAGGACAAGTTAACTTTGATACACTTTTAAGCACAACGGTTAAGAGTTGAAGTTCATGGCTAAAGCTGTATCTTACAAGAGCTTTTCCACTACTTGTGTAATTATACCCACCCTTCTTGAGACAAAGAAGCCTTTCATACGAGTGCTAATTTAACCATAGCCCCTGAGTCTAAATCTGAAATAGCAATGTCATCCAGACTGCTGCAGACTGTGCATGAGTGTGGGGAGGCTTTATGGGGACTTACCGCATGATGACATGCCCGGTGCGCACGGTTACCAGCAGACACTGAAGAGAAACAGACCAGGGGAAATGATATTACTCATGTATTCCGTTTTTAAAATTTTGGCACATAGTCATGGTCAAGACAATCTTCAGTTTAACTCTTGAATAAAAATGGGAAAGGGAGATGACTATGTGATTTCCAAAGTGTTATTGGTTGCTGTATTTCAGAATTGTTGATCATCTGGGATTGCCCAATCAACCATCACTAGAGTTTGAAGAAAACAGTCCAAAAAAAAGGAAATCTCCAGTGAGCAGCGTTCTCTGGGCATGAAATTCCTTGCCAACAGCAGAGGATAGTGGAGAATAACCAGACTGGTTTAAGCAGACAATAAAGCAGCAGTTACTCCAGTAACTATAATAATCATTAATGTATCCAAACAATAATAAATAATTTGCAGAAGAGCAAATCTGCATTGCAGCATTACGGTTGACAGTAAACAGGAAACAGAGGCTACAAATTACACAGAGGACTGCAAAAATGTTACATGGCCGGAGCTTTGATTTATGCACTGAGAAACATCAAGATGGTAGAGTCAGAAAACAACATGAAAGCATGGCTCCCTTTTGCCTTGTATCAGCAGTTCAGGCTTGTTGTGGTGGTGTAAAGGTGTGGGCCTCTTAGTGCTAAATGAAGATCTATTAAACCTCACGGCCTACCTGGGTAATATGGCAGACCCTTTGTGACCTCTACTACACTGTACCTATCCTTTACATTCTCCAGATCTTAATCCAGTAGAGCACTATTGGATGTGATAGGACAGCTGATTTACATCATGGATGTATAGTCGACAAATCCGCCACAACTGTGTAATACTATCATGTCAATATGGATCAAAATCTCTGAGGCAGGTTTCCAGTATCTTGTATAATCTATGCCACAAAGAATCAATGCAGTCCTTAGGCCGGAGAGGTCTAACCTTGTACAAGCTGGGTGCACCTGATGAAGTGGCTAGTGAGCGTATGTCAATCAAAAATAACAAAAGGCTTTATTCGAACTGCTGGCCTGCATTTTAACAAGGCTGTGGCTACAGGTTCTCACCTCTGCCGCCATAAAGGAGAGAGTGTGCATGCCATGGGAAGCTCCCAGCAGACCGCAGACCACAGCCAGGCCACAGCAATCCAAAAGCAGGGAGACCAGCAGACAAAGCACTCGCACATGGCTGTTCATTGGAGTGGAGGGCGAAAAAGACAGCTGTGGGGAATAAAATGTGCATCATCAGAGGGTTATGTATTTTGTTTTATTTGTAGAAAGGTAAGGTTACAGAAGGAATCTTTGTGTAAATGCTCATTTTATAGTACATATAACTCTGAAGTACATAGAACACTCTGAAGTTCAATACAGCATTCAAAGTTTCAGAGAAATGAAGACCGACAGAAAATCCCCCCAAAAAACTAATTTTCAAAACATCTACAATAACATTTTATGATTAAAATTATGATTGGCAACCAAGAATGGATCAGTGGTATCTGAAAAATAAGATTTTTCTTAGGGGAATTCTATCACAGGTATCTACATTTCTGGATAGGCAGAACTAAGTTATTGTGGTGAATATCTAAAGTGACGATTGTGGATAGGAAGATCGACAATGTGGATGTCACCTTATTGGAAAAAATACTGTTTTGACCTCGAAAAATGCTACACACTTTCTAAAAGGAGTAGAGCGCTTGTCATAATCCTTGTGTGTACAGTATTTGTCAATAATACAACGATGTAGCATATCACAGTAATACAAATTTTTGAGGACAGGGTGACATCAGCAATAACCAGCTGGATGACAGTAAAATCTCCCTCTCTGCAGAGCACATGTAAGGCAGGTTATCAGATTCAAGAGGCAGAGGGTGAGGGGGATTGTCTACTGGCAATATAGTACTGATTGAAAAAATAAAAATAGTAAGTATACTTGGGCAGCTGATTTTTTTTGCATTTGGATCAGTAGAGGAGTTAAAATACATTCTATCTGTTGTAATGAATAATAAAATCCAAATGACACTTTTCCTTCCCAACTAACACTACAGCTACCAGACTAATCTGCACATACAGCCTCTACAACATCTGTTTAACAATAAACTATGTAATTAACTGAACGCCAACTCTGTCTTTAGTGTAAAAGAGAAAAACTAGGACATCATTGCCGATAAAGAAGCAGTTTAGCAAAGGAAATGAGACGGATTTTACTCAAACTCTACAACCACAAGATTTCCTGGGCACCAACATGTTATTAACCTACAGTATCATCTTTACAAGTTTTCCCGTCATATGTATGTTCTTAACCTAAAAGCTAGAACCCACAGAAAAGGGGGACAGGAAGGAAGACAGCTGGGTTTAACAAACTGACAGACTTTACACTAGAACAAAGTCTCAAAATAAGGATATGCAGCAAACAGTTTAACACACTAAAACAAAGCCCCTTACAGTGTAGGACAGTCACACTAAGCGCTGTTTGCACTAATGACCCTCTGGAACACTTAACTAGTCTACATTACAACAAGGGCAACATACCAACTTAATGCCCGTTTTAAATTTCATTGCTTACATGGAGCTGTTTAAATCTGATATTCTGTTTACCCCAACAGGCAGAGCACTATCTGGGACGGGGTCATGTCAATGTTGCGGCTGAAACCGTATCAGTGGCCTAACTAGCCAGTACAAGGAACTATTAATAGGGCCAGAACCAAAAAGAGTAAAGTAGCACTCAGACTTAAGGGAACACTTAAACATCCTCTTAGAAAAAAAAGAACATATTTAGGGCCCATTTCTGATATGCTGGTATTGATCGTTCAAAATATGACACATGCTCACTGTTGGGCAACAAACTTGTGTTGTCATCTAATGGTTGGATTGAACATCAGCTAAAAGATGATAAGATGATGGAGCTGTTTTCACTGAGATTCAATAGGAAAATTGTGATAGGATTGCACAAACCAAGAAAGATTCACAAAGTCAAAGATCTTTATCATTCTAAACCCTTATGTGGCTCTGCCTACACACTCTAGCTCTGAATCTTGCTTCAGGGTGCTCAGGAGGTAGGAAAAAAAAGGGTGTATTTTTCCCCTTGATACTTACATATTCAAATCGATCTTTGCAGAGCTGTACCATGAGGTGGAGAAAGACCAGGGCAGAGAACCACAAACACCACATGACCACCTCCTCCACTGTTTGCACATTTAGTACTCCAAAGATGAAAATAAACTTGTAGAAAATGAAGTTCCAAAACTTATCCTTAAGATGCTAGGGAGTAAACACAACACAAGCAGATGCAAAATGAGAGGTAAATAACTCCAGGTGTACAGTCACAGTATTCTTCACTTTAAGAATAGGTAAATAAAGACTCACCTGCTTCTCGCTGACTCTCAGAGGGCCAAACACCACATACTGGATCATTTTAGCTATAAGCATCAAAGAGCAGCAGAAAGTGTTGACTAAGACCTAGAGGAGTAGAGACAGTAAAATGACAATTCGTTCTCAAAGAAACATCACAGTAGCAAGTAATGTTACTCTAGGGCTGGGCGATAAAACGATAACGATATATATTGAAAATAAATTTCCCTCAATATTAATATAAAACATGGTCAAAATGCTAGTCGCTATTCTGCCATGTTTTGTTGGACTATACCAGTGGTTGTCAAGTCCGGTCCTCGAGGCCCACTGTCCTGCATGTTTTGGATGTTTCCCTGCTCCAACACACCTGATTCAAATGATCAGCTCGTTATTAAGCCATTACAGAGCTTGATAACACGCTGATCATTTGAATCAGGTGTGTTGGAGCAGGGAAACATCCAAAACATGCAGGACAGTGGGCCTCGAGGACTGGACTTGAGAGCCACTGGACTATACGAATAGCCACTGAAAATGGGAGTTGCTCCAGGTTCACTTCACGCTGAACCAATCATGTGCTGAATTAGAACCAAGTAGCAAACAACTGCATAGTAGAAGACTGCAGATACACGCAACCATAGCACTTAAACACGTGAAGCTGACAGCACTGTCAAATGAGTGTTACCCCCGGCAGAAATGCAGATGAAGGCTCAACAGATGATGTTATCGTCGAACACGCTGGTATGAAAACGTCGGTGGTGTGGAGGTATTTTGGTTTTTTTGAGGTCGGACATGAAGCAGAGTAATGTGCACTGCAAATTATGTCGAGAACATGTACTCGTTAAATTTCATTCAGTCCGCTTTCTCAAAGAGACACAAAGACCTCACAGATGCAGTAGCTTATTGTATTGCAAAAGACATGCTACAAATAAGCACTGTTTAATTTCATTTTTATATCGTGATATATATCGATATTGGCTGTTATGACAATATATCGTGATAAACTTTTCCCATATCGCCCAGCCCTATGTTACTCTGAACTTTGCTGACACTCACCCATACAAACAGACTGTCAGTGACAAGATACCACAGGACAGTGGTCGCCAGTTCTGTGTTACTAATTTCATTGTTTAGATTTTCAAGATCTACATCAGTAGGGGTTGGTGTTTCATCGGTTTCCAGGGCCCCAAACCCCGGGTCTGTCACCGTGGTGTAGGCACTGAAGATGCTCCCGGCGAGCAAAGCCACACTCAGAGCTGTGTAGGTCTGCAGGCTGGGCCAAGGAAACCTCTCCAAAAACATCAGAGGCATTGCAGTTCGGATAGCACACTCCTCAACTTGTTAAATGTAGAGTTCAACAAAACCTGTAAGAGTAAAGATGGGTTAGCCAGAGATCACCAGACTGTGAGAGGCGGATTTCTTAAGCGTCGTTGGCCCTTTAATCTTAACGACCAACTAAAAATCAACAGAAATATTTACTTATATCTGCTTTGATTTGACATATCAACGGGATAAAATAGATCAGCTAGCCTATAGCTGAATTTGTTCTCAAGCAAGGCTAAGTCTCCACACTACCAAAAATTACGGTACACAATGTAACAAGGGTTGTCTTTTGAAAGAGTGCTATAACTTCAGCAAATAAACCCAACAACAAACATATCTAAAGAGTGACTAAAAAGACTAATAATATCTGTTGTGTGGTAGTGGCAGCGATGTTGGCAGTTCACGCCCCTAACATTAGCTGTTTACCTGGCTAACGTAGGTTACCTAATACTATTAAACGCTACGTAGCAAACCACAGTTAGCACGCACCAGATACTAACTCATACAAAATCTACTCACAGTTTAACACTTCTCTTGTTGATAATAGTATCCGGTCTCTGTTGTTGTATTTAGCGAATAACTTTTAATACAGCTGCCCTGGGAACATTATGGTTGTCAAGAGCGTCATGTTTACTTCACCGAGCAAACTGCTAGCTGAGGAAAGCTGCTCCTTCTTCTTCGCTGTTTTCCTGGAGGGTTACAATCCTGACCGCAAGAAGCACACTGCCACCTACTGGACCAGAGTACTTCACCCTAGAACACTATCGCTAAAATTAGTAACACCATCACTGTCGCAGGGGGGATTTTTACCCGAAATAATGTACCCAAGAAAAAGTACTTGTTATCAAAATATATCAAACTAGCACAATACATGACAAATTAAAGTCGTTTTCTTTTATTTTTAACTGTTTAATGTCCAAAGGGAGGGAAAAAAAGTGCCATGAGAGGACCATATAAAAATGCAGCAAAATAACTGAAATTAGGCATTCATGAACAAAAAATTCCTTAAAAAAAAAAAAATAATATATATATATATATATATATATATATATATATATATATATATATATATATGTATAAACTGTAAACTTAGTTTCTTTTCAACCCATTCCTGGGGCATGTGAGTCTTCCCTGGTAAAGACTCAGGGTTTCCCTCAGCACTGGATCTCCACAGGGCTGTGTACTTTCCCCTCTGCTCTTCTCCCTGTACACCAACTGCTGCACCTCCAACCATGACTCCATAAAGCTCATCAAGTTTGCGGGATGGAGGTGGACCGGCTGCTGACCTGGTGCTGCAGCAACAACTTAGAGCTCAACACCCAGAAGACAGTGGAGATGATTGTGGATTTCAGGAAAGCCACAGCCCCCCTGCCCTCCCTCGACCTCACCAACTCCACACATCACCACTGTGGACTGTTACCACTTCCTCGGCACCACCATTACCCAGGACCTCAAGTGGGAGCCAACCATCAGCTCCCTCATCAAGAAGGCCCAGCAGAGGATGTACTTCCTGCGGCAGCTGAGGAAAGCCAAGCTGCCGGTCCAGCTTATGGTGCAGTTCTATACGGCCATCATCAAGTCCATCCTCAGCTCCTCCATCATGATGTGGTATGCCGGGGCCACTGCCAATGACAGACACGGACTGCAGCGCATTGTGGGCTCTGCTGAGAAGGTGATCGGCTGTAGCCTTCCATCTCTCCATGACCTGTACGTCTCCAGGACTCGGGGCCGAGCAGGTCGGATCACAGCTGACCCTTCTCACCCTGCACATGGACTATTTGAGACACTCCCCTCAGGCAGGAGGCTACGGTCCATTCAGACCAGAACCTCCCACCATAAGAACAGTTTCTTCCCCTCTGCCGTTGGACTCATGAACACTTTATAACTCGGTCACTTTAACTCCGTCCTTTATCACTTGTCACTTTAGTTTAATGTACTTTGGATTTTTTAATTGCACTCCTTCCACTGCACTGTTGCTCTGGATTGTATAGTTGTACATAGCCTTTTATACTTATTGTACATAGCATTGTACATAACCTTTAATATTTTTATACTTTTATACTGTATATATTTCTTGCATGCTCTTATTAGTTTTTATACTAGTATTTTATATTACTCTCTGTTTATTGTTGCACCATCATGCCAAAACAAATTCCTGGTCTGTGAATCCTGCTCATCGGCAATGGCAATAAAACCCCTTCTGATTCTGGTTCTGATTCTGGGTTCTTGGAACAATAAGAGCTGCATGAGAGAGAACTAAATATGGCATATTTTGAGTGAGCAAAAATAAGAATAATAAGAAGAATAACTATTAAACCCCGAAGGGAAATTCAATTGTCTGTTGTCTCATATAATATGTCTCTAAATGTTGTCTACTATTTACACAAGAGTTGTAAAGTCTGATGGCTGTTGGTACAAAAGATCTTCTAAATCTTTCTGTCCTGCAGCGAAGAGAGAGGAGCCGTCCACCACCATTGGCCCTTTGGTCCATCAAGGTGTTGTGAAGTAGGTGATCCATGTTCTTGAGAATAGTCTCCACCTTCCTCAGTGTAGATCTCTCCACCACATCCTCCACTGAGTCCAGCTTGAGTCCGACCACAGAGCCAGCCTTTTTCACCAGTTTGTTCAGAAGTCTTGCATCTTTGTGTTTGATGCTTCCTCCCCAGCAGAATGCAGTGTAGAACAGAACACCTGCCACCACAGACTGATAAAACATCTGCAGCATCTTACTACAGATGTCTATTGATCGTAGTCTTCTCAGGCAAAAGAGGTGGCTCTGCCCCTTTCTGTAGATGAAGTCTATATTCTTAGACCAGTGCAACTTATTATCCAGCTGTACACCTAGATATTTATATGATGTCATCACTTCGATGTCCACTCCACAGGTGTTCACTGGCTGAAGAGGGGGTTTGGATCTACGGAAGTCTATGACCATCTCCTTTGTCTTTGACCAGCTGACTAAAATATTTTTCATCACAATATGAATTCCCTTAAAAGTCACTATTTTGTGATAGTTATTCATAACCACTGCGCTAAATAAAGATAGCATGCAAATTCCAGGACCACTCTTACTTAACCTTATTCCCTACATGCAACTATCAAATCCACCTAAACCGACTTACCCTCTGTCACAATTGCCGGGTGAAAATCACCCAAACACGCTTGTAGGAAAAAGCAGGTTTTGGATCAGGGAAACAAATCTGCCTTCAAAGATGTCAAAGGCAATGCTGAAGCTACCCAGGGACCCATGATACTCAGACAAACGCAACATAATGAAAATCACGTAAACATGTTTGGTCGAGTGAAAATCACCTGGTGATAGTGTTCTAGGGTTAAGGGTGATTAACCCAGATACTCATACAGTAAAATTACCAAAATGGACCAGTGCAAGTTAAAAGTTTGTTTCTAATGATGCTAATAATTTTAAAAAAGGTCTTTTTAGTAAAGTTTAACAAACTGCGTTCATAAAAAACAATCAATTTTAATGCCCAAATTGAAGCTAAAACCCCCTGTATAGATTTGTAGCTTTAATTGGTCTTCATGTTAATAGTCCTCTAAAGATTTATTCAAAAAGTAAAAACTACATTATATAGGTGAATTTGGGGAACAGTGACGTAACCATCTTTGAGACGCTAAACCCATGCTTTTTTTTTCATCCCCTATCAGCGCAAGGTGAGGTCAGGTAATAATTGACTACACTCAAATGGCTGCAATCCAGGCTATAGATAAAATTGACAGAGTCCAAAGTTAAGCTGTGTGGGAGTATTGACACAGATGTAAATTCAAAGGTTGTTAAAGCAGAATAAAGACAACACCTTTGAGTTTTATCGGCTCGGTCAGACATGTAGCAATGAATGAAAAGTGGATAGCTCAGACATACTCCAATAAGGAGGAACAAAATTCTGTGTTCCTTTCAGCTACCCAAGACTGTTGTAGTGAAGGTGACGTGATGAGTCCATGTTATGTGAAAGAATTTATATTACAATTAAAAGCTTTCATGGGTTAATCACTGCCTCTGACGCTGTGAAACTGAAAAAAACAAAACAATACTCTCACAGGGAACACAATGTAATTCATAGTTTCAGCCTACTGTCTGAAGAAGGCTTTGCATGTTGATCAGCAATCTCTGGACCTGTCTAATTTTTTAAATGACTTCCTTATCCAATCATCATGGTAGATGTGCAAAACAAACTAAAAAGCTGTAGTTATACGGTATAAACACCACTAAATAATAACCATCACAAATCTTCTGACAGTAGAGCAAGATTTCCTCAGAAAGCAGAAATTTGAGGTTTCTCTGTTGTTTGAAAAGAGGAAGAATAAAAGACCTTTGACCTGGACATGCAATGTAAATCAATATGCTCGTCAAACAAACATAAGATTATCAAGAGTTATAAAGTTGCTTATCAAAACACATAATGAAACAGAAAGTCTGAATAAAAATGGGCTTGTTTTTTTTCAATCAGGTTTATTGGCTCCAGATAACTTCTTGTCTGACTGGTTAGAAGAGTCTGTGATTCTCAAGTAGTCCTATCAGAAACCTTTTTCAATTTTCGCTTCCCTATAAAGGGAAGTGAAAACTTGCTTTTGAGGCTCTTTGCAGACTCCGTCAGCACGCGCTCACTTGAACCATGAACCATTCATCTGAGCAGTCTTCATCAGGCAGTATGGTCTCTGATGGATTTCAAGGTGGGTTGGCAGCTGCTTGTGTGATCCTGGGCCTGTCCTTCCTGGTAGGAGCTCCAGGAAACCTGCTGGTCATCTGGACTATTCTGAGATATGTCAAGCAGAGATCCCACACTGTGGTGCTCATCCTGCATTTAGCTGCTGCTGACCTGCTGGTCCTCATCACTCTGCCTCTTTGGATCTACTCCCTAACTTACTCCTGGGTGTTGGGGGAGGCTTCCTGCCAGATTTTGGTTTATGTTGTGAGTGTGTGTATGTTCAGTAGCATCTTCTTCATCACCCTGATGAGTGTAGAGCGCTTTTTAGCCATCTGTCATCCATTTGCGATGATGCGCTGGAAGACCAAGACCACCATGAACAGATGTCTAATATTTTTGTGGTTCCTTGCTCTGCTTCTGGGAGTACCTTCTCTACTGACCGAACCCTTGGATGGAAGCGAAGGAACTGATCAGTGCTTCATCAAAGAATTCAGCTCCACCACTCAAGCTGTGATTTTATGGTGTCTGGAGACAATCTTGGGCTTTGTCATCCCTTTAATCGTTTTAAGTGTCTGTTACTCTCTTGTCACTGCCCAGATGAGGAAAATGAGCTTCAACTCTAAACAGAAATCTATGCGTCTTGTGCACAGTGTGGTGATAGCTTTTATTCTGTGCTGGATGCCTTACCACGTCATCAATACAATTGATCTGTTTTGTATCCTAAGACCGGACACAGAGCATGAATGTGTACCAGAGGGTGTGATCTTTATGGGAGGTGCACTTGCTTTCATCAGCAGCTCAGTGAACCCTGTGTTGTACGCACTCTTCGCCAGGAACTTCCAAGGAAGTCTCGAGGAGTCTCGACTGGTCCGCTTGTTCAAGGAAATGGCCACTCACACACAAAAACTCAGGGAGGTGGTAGTGCAACATCAGGCAAGCCAGAGGGCAGCAGATACAAAAACAATGCTGGTGTCCGAGTCTGTGGAAACAAAAAACACTGACACCGGGCTGGTGTGAAGATGGGACATTTGTCATATTTGGAGTTAGCTTTATCATTAATTTAATCTGCAGGTTGAACAAATGTAGACTTACATTTGAAACAGTGCCTACAATTGTAATGTATAGTGATCAATATTAACAGTTATCTTTATCTCTCAGTTTTATTTTTCTGATGGTAATTTTTCTACCATATTCAAACGCCATTTCCCTCTGAGTGGTGCATTTAAGTTAAGAAGGTAATGTGTTCGAATGTCCAACTGAATTGCAAATTTTCAGAAAGTGACAATTTTCTTTTACATTAATACCTTCCTGCTTGATAGACAACTTGACAATGAACAATGAGAAATATAAACAAACCTAAGGTCATATCATAACAGATTAACATTTCAGATTGAAAGTATTATTACATGATAGAAAATGAAGAACTTAACCCTAAATATCAACATACGTCTTTTGTAAACTTACACTGAAGGAAAAGTCGGACCCTGCCATCTCAGGTGTAAAAGTGGCTGAAAGCTTGTGTTAGCTGTAGTCCAAAAAATTGCTAGCGTATCAGATAGCTGGCCTATATGAAGGATTATGAGGTAGTTAATAAAGGCTTATAACTTTGTGTGTTTGTAGGCAACTTTTAAGAAGTTTTAACCATGAATAATTTTCCTTTAAAGGGGCCCATTTCCCAACAGTTCACTTTAAATCTGCGCAGGGACTGTCTTTCAAGTGCAATACTGGAAAAAAGATGTTTTAAAAATATTTAGTAATTTTCAGAAGGAAAGTTGTTATGTCTGTGGCTATTCTGCACTGAATTGCCTTGAGAGCCTTATCCAGAAATACATCTCGACAGGATCCATTTGCCTTTTGGATGAAACTCTGAGAAAGTTAAGTGTTTACAAAATTGCTCCCTTTGGCTAAGAGTAAGTTCTCAGTTTTCACCACTTTAAGTACTTTCAATTGAAGATGCAACTTTTCAGTTTTTCTTGAGTGGATTGAACAATGAGATAGGTCTAGACCTGCTATTTTGGAAAGCATCTTGGGATAATGATTGTTGTGATTTTGTGCTGTATAAATAAAAATTGATTGATTGATTGATTGATTGATTGATTGATTGATTGATTGATTGATTGATTGATTGATTGATTGATTGATTGATTGATTGATTGATTGATTGATTGATTGATTGATTGATTGATTGATTGATTGAGAATATCAAAGTATTCTTTCCCCCCTGGAAATAGGAGTTGAAAAATTAATTTGGAAATATGTGAGACTAAAGTTATTAATTCACAGCATAACACTACAATGATGAAGTCTTAAATTTGTGTGACGAGAGTAACACATTTTAAAGCAGAAAGTCATAATTTAGTCTATGGGGAGCCTATGTGTTGTTTTGAAGGGGAAGATAAGAAAAACAGCAGGTCACCTGTGCTAAAAAAGAGGAACCTGAAACATCTTTTTAGGTCATACAGGGTACAAGTTTCATAAACAAATATATTTTTATTCTGTCAGCACACAAGCACCACATCGTAGAAAGTATAAGGATTATAAGTGAAAAAAAAAAAAACCTGTTTAGAAAAATGGGCTAAAAGGCTGCTTATACGCACCTCTGCAATAGCTGTGTGTCCTCGGCTCTTGAGTAAAACTCTATGGTATAGCCAAAGATGATTCCTGTTCCTCATTCTCATGCTGTTGACTTGGTGCTCTTCTGATATCCACTCATGTTATTTTACAAGATTAATCGTTACATAACCTACATTTACAATTTCTTTTGTTTATCATTACAACTTCTTGCAATGATACTTCTTTAAAATATAATACTTTTCTCCAATCAATCTAAAACTGTGTTCCTTTTACAGTTTTATTCTCCCAAACTAGAACTTTCCTCTCGTGATCCAATTTTGTTCATTCTTGATGCGACTCATATCCTCTGCTGTTTTAATATGAAGTCCTTTATAATTCATGCATCTCTGGATTTTCCCATCTTTCGCACTTCAGAGTTGGATCTAAGGATCTTTCCCAGGCGGAACATCTGAAACCTTTGGTTTTCTGAAGATCATTTCACTCTCTCTTTAAAGCTGGTTTTAAAGTCTTTTATAACTCCCTCAGACCCCACTTTTCTTTTTATACCCTAATTCGTGACCTCATGACGCATACATGAATCACCGCACTGTGTCTCTCATAGCCTGATGAGGAAACCCCTTTCCTGTGCTGTCTATTCTTAAAGGGAAGTGAAGACTTGCTTGTGCAGCACTTTGTATTTCTTTTCATGCAGACGCCACTGTCAGCACACCAACTCCAACCATGAACCTCTCACTCAAGCTGCCAACTTCAGAGGAAATGGCTCCCGAGGAGTTTGAGGGTGGGATAGCAGTGGTTTGTGTGATCTTGGGCCTGTCCTTCTTGGTCGGCGCTCCGGGGAACCTGCTGGTGATCTGGACTATTCTAAAACACGTTAAGAAGCGATCCCACACTGTGGTTCTCATCCTGCATTTAGCCGTTGCTGATCTGCTGGTCCTCATCACCCTGCCTCTTTGGATCTACTCTCTGGCTCATTCCTGGGTGTTTGGAGAGGCCTCGTGTAAGGCCATGGTGTTCATGATAAATGCCTGTATGTACAGCAGTGTTTTCCTCATCACCCTGATGAGTGTGGAGCGCTTTTTAGCTGTGCGGTATCCTTTTGCTTCCGCTGGCTGGAAGAGGAAAAAAGCATTGAATAAGGTCCTGCTGGCTCTGTGGACAACAGCGTTGTTGTTCAGCATTCCTGTCATCCCCACACAGGTGTTAGGAGAGGATTCAGGTGAGGAGCACTGTCTCTACCGGCTCTACACTTCTCCAACCCAGGAGCTGGTGTGTTTGCTCTTGGAAACACTAGTGGGGTACATTTTACCTTTTGCCATCCTGGTGATCTGCTATGGCTGCCTGTTCAGCCGGATCACTCAGATGACCTTCAAGTCGAAGCGCAAGTCCACCATCCTGATTGCCAGTGTGGTGGTGGTGTTTGCCATCTGTTGGACTCCTCACCACATCGGTAACATCCTCTCACTTGTCATCCTGGCCATGGGAGAGTCCAACCCTGAAACAGCTAATGTGGAAAGTGCCAGGAGCACCATGATCTTTATCGCTGGAGCCATGGTCTTCATCAGCAGCACCATCAACCCCATCCTCTACATGTTTGCAGCTCGCTCATTCAGGACTTCGTTACGTGACACAGGCATCCAGAAGCTGTTCAACCACATCTCCAGCACCTCCCCAGGGGAGGGCAACAGAGAGTTGTCCTTTGTGTCCAAGAGACACAGCAACCAGACCAACAGCTCACAGTGTTTGTCTACATCAAAAGACCAAATGGACATATTAGTGAAAATGTGCGAAAATAATCCGTCCTGATATTGCAAGTGTATGGACCCTCCATGTTGTGTCTCTGAGTAAATATCCATGTGTATGTAAATGTTGAATGGAGGATGTTTTGCCTGTAATGAAGCTTGTTTCTTTGAAATTCAAATATAAAGAGTATGACTTCAAATATGATTTTTCTATTAGTGTAAATGACCAGTGTCGTTTTTTGTTTTTTTCTTTTTCTTTTGGAGATTTAAATATTTTCAACCAGTAAAGATGTATTTAAGAATGTACTTTATATCATTTGGATGTGGATGTGAGATTTTGTTGACAACTTTAAGTTGAGTTTTGCCCGTTTTCACCATATTATTCTGCGGTTGAAGAGCTACTTCTTATTTTTCACACTTTTGCAACAGAGAATTTTTTCCTCAGCTGGTTTCATTTTTTGTGTCAGAGCGCTGTGAAAACAGTCCTCAGACTCTGAATGTTCATGTAACAAAACCTTTATTTAACTCATTTTAAGCATTTTTAAGCTTGTTTATATATATTAAAAAAATCTTTAAAAGAAACATTATATCTCATGATGATAAACTTATAATTTTCCTAGATTCCCAATACAGACAAGAGTCTGTCATTTAACTTCCTCTTGAAGAAAAGATTGCAAAATGAAAAAAAAAAACTGCATGTTTCCTCAGCAGAGCAGCAAAAAGAGGAATTGTGACTTAATGTTTGTCACAGTTTTATAAAACTCAAAGATAGAGGTCCAAGTCAGCTTATTTAGTGATATTTCAAAATACACAGGCCTTTATGTAAAACTTTAACTGTTATCTGTCCACAGTAAGTTTTTCACAGTTGTCTGCCCCAACATCACTGTGCTTATGAGAAGGATATAGACGTGAGCTCAGTGCGATTGTTTCACTGGCCTGTATTTATTTTTTATTACAATGTTTATGTTGAATTTCATAACCAAGATATCTTGTCAAAAGTGTGCTGTTCATATAACTGAATAAATAATTCAACTAAACCTTGATGAGTAATTATGAAAGTGTGCCTCTGTCAAATTGGTAGAAATGCATTAATTTGGTTGCTATCTCTATGCATGTATAAAGGAGGAGAAAGTTGTATCTATCTATCTATCTATCTATCTATCTATCTATCTATCTATCTATCTATCTATCTCTCTATCTATCTATCTATCTATCTATCTATCATTTAAAAAATTTTTAACAACCAAGACCCAGGACCTCCTTTTTGTGACCATTTCTCAACTGGTTGTCATGAGTATGTTGTACTGATCAACATAAGATGGCTTGATGTCTCAAAAACGTGCACTGTGGTATGAGTAAATCCACTGTGACAGCACTTGCCTCTACAGGACCTCTGAATATCATTGAGTCAGGATTATTTTAACTGTGACAGTGGAAAATTACAGAGAGCAAAGAGTGTGACAAAAAATAAGTGTCAGACGATAGCTCAGACAAAAACACAGCTGACCCTGAGACACCCTAAACCTTTTTCTCACAGTATGAGGAAGCGGCGTGTCCGTATGAAACAATATCAGCTTTGTGGTGTGTGCAGCAAGTACACATTACCTTCTGTTTTGAGAATAAATACAATACGCCCATACACCATGTACTTACATTTATCAAAAACTGTATATTTCAAGTGGTTCTTATGTCTGATATACCATGAAGTTAGACACACATACCCCTGGTATATGACATATTGGCATCACAGCAAAATGAAGCAACTTTCTGCATCTTTTTTTTACTCCAAAGAGAAACACAAAAAGCTGCAACTCATGAATCTTATTTTTACTTCTTTATGGGATCAAGATGTTTGATCAAAGTCACAATTTTAGGCACTAACAAAGGAAGTATCCAACATAACACAGCAAAGAAAGCAGCCAGTTGCAACACAGTCCAAACAGCTGATTTTAAAACACATCCTGCCTTTTAATAGACTAACCAATCTTCATGTAGGATTTTTGGTGCAGCACCTTGGTGGCCAATCAGATTCCAAGGAGGAGGGGGCAGCGTCAGCCTTTTAGACAAGCACCTGGCATCAGTGTTAAAGAATATGGAGATTTGATAGAGGTTTCATTCTCAGATTTTAGTAGTGTAAAAAATATTGTTTTGACATTTTTGTGTCATATCAGAAGAAAAACAGGCATCAGAAGAAACTCCTCTTCTAGTTGAAGACACACAAATCAAATAGGTCAAAAAACTTAGGCTGAAGCAGGATAGTAATTTTACCTTGTAATAAAATTTGTTGAGTGAACACTGATAGCACAAAAAGTTCAGTTTTTTCTTGTACCTCAAGAGTAAAAGTATGTCAGACTCACTGTTTCACTATCAGCTTGAACTTTCCCTCTCAGTTGTGCTTCTTTTTATCAATCGCACCTGCTGCAAGACTTGCTTGTCAATTTGGTGCCACAGCCAGACAGGCACGCCTACTATGAGATGTCATGGAGACAAATGCTCCTTACAGTTGTTTGGGGGAAATATCATTATGTGCTAGGATTTCAGCTTAAATGTTTCCTCATGTGTCCCCCAACTCATCAGACAGGTTCAGCTGGGAAAAAAAAGAGTCCACAGGAGGAAGGAGACACAGGGAATTAGTCATGACATTGGGGGATTTAAAAGAGTGAAAGGAGGTGAAGGGAAAAAAAAGCTTTGCATTCACAGTCTGCTGGCCCGTAGCAAGCAGAGCTGGGAGTGTCAGGGGCAACAAAACATGGCATTCTGGGAACCAGGCCAAAAACTCCAGCAGGCCAGTAAGGACCTGTGAAGTTATTGAGAACTCTACATGGTATTTTTTTGCTATTTTCAAGTTGGCTATCTTTTGTCCATATGAAAACATCTCTGTGTTTTTCTGTCTGTTCACTCTGTCCCTGTCCTCCTGCTTTCACCTCTGCATTTGAAGTTATGGAGTAGCCTACAGCTGCATGTTTCCTTATAGATTTAAGATAGAAAAAAATATCTGTTTTTGATACAAAATAACACACGGTTCGAGATTTTGATTTAACACATTCTGAAGCAAACAAACCCTGAAAACTTTCTAAACAGCTTTAAGAAATAACTTTTCACAATGCATTAAGTTACATTTCTGTATATGCAAACTACTGAACAAAAACAACTCAGACTTCATTGCTCATATATTTATTTATTTATTTATTTCGATCCCCATTAGCTACTACCTAAGTATCAGCTACTCTTCCTGGGGTCCACAAGAAGACAAGCATTCATATATATTAAAATGATAAAAGTCCAAACAGGAGAATTATACAAGATGTTAAAATCATCACTAAAACAAGAATTATGATAACATTACATTTCCAATTACAATAGACACCAATAAAGGCCAAGATAAATGTACCAGTAATCAAAATCCCATTGGCATGTATTGTATGTTGTCACAGCCTAGTCTAGGTGTTCTGTTTCTTATATCAGTGAGTCTGGGTCATTAGATATTGTTATACCTTCTTTTTAAACACATGTTTACTGGTTTGTAATGATAGAGGGAAGACTACATTCCATATTTTTATACCTCTGAACATGATAGTACGCTGTCCAGAGTTAGTATTGGTGAGTGTAAGTGTGAAATAACCATTTGATGCATGCATGTTGAAATTATGACAATTACGACTGAACAGCAATTGATTAAACAAAACATTTGGCCTTTTATACACTAAAATTTGTCTGAAGAAGGAAAGCAGAGACCCAGTAATCCTCTCTTTCACTATCGACCAGCCTAATGTCGTGCATTTTGTGGATGCCAGTTCTTCTATCGCGGTTCAGTGCTGCTCATATGGGTGCGTCTCATTTTAAGAAGCTATCTTATAAATCATTGCTCCTGTCACTGTGAGATAAAGATTTTTGGGCAGTGATGACTTACACAACCTATGGAACAACATAGCCAGAAAACCTCCTTTTGTTCAAAACATGCCCCTTACAGGCTAGACCTTGTCCTAGGGAGCAAGTTTGTCTTGTAAATTAGAGAAAAGTACTGATTTTAGTCAGAAATGCCCTGACTCTGTTCGTCTGGGTTCTGTTAATTCACTCCGTACAAGTGTCAAAGAGAAACCTCAGTCAGCCTCATGGAGGTAACTAACACAGCCCTTTCCCAGATTACTTCCTGATTCAAAAGTCCTGACCAATAGCATTACAGCTTATACACCAGCGTCCCGCCCTCACCTTTCCAGACCAGCCAATAGTCGACGCTTCTGGACCTCTCCTCGCGCAGGGGCCGGGCCACACAGGTAACTCTGAAAAAATAGAAAGGAGAGGGGAGAAAAAAAAACTCCAGGGCTTGTTATGGAGTTCGTGTGAAGGAAACACGGATTTCCACCCTTCTTTACCAGTTAAACCAGTATCTCTGGATAGAACACACTCAAGTACTTCAACAGGTAGAGTCTCTAACCGCAAACTCTTCCGTGGCTCCTCTCATAATAATCTCCCCTTCGTTTTCTCTCTCTCTACCGTTTACCTCAATTGAGTTTCTTGCCTTTTTGTTCGCTCTTCTTATCACTTGGAAAAAGGTGAACCCTCGTGTTATTTTTATTTTAATCTTTGCTTTAATTGTAGTTTTTACCCTTGTGGTCCCTGATGGCTTCGCACAGTGATACTCTGGTGGTGTTCTTTGGGGCAACAGCTGGTGCAAATGGGGGTAAACTGGGTTCGGATGAGAGGGAAATAATTCTCTTGGTGTGGCAAATTGTGGATCTACATGAGAAAAAGGTACGGACCTTCCTCACCTGTTCCTTCGATGTACGGTTTCTTGTGTAGCAACAGTGTTTGTGGCATAGTTTCTACCTGTAGTGGAACATTATGTTTGACATTTAAATCAACATGGTGTGCTCTCTGAAACCGTCTGTAGCCTGCTTTTTCTCTCGTGCTAGCCAACGCTACACCACCTCTCTGTCCACCTCACCTTTTAACAGGTGTGCGGCCAAAATTTAACCAGCCAGGTGAGGAGTGTAATATCAATACGGGAGATAACACACCTTTTTGGTTTGGCATGTCAGCTTGTGTATAAAAGAAACATCGCTTTATTGACAATTACGTGCTTTTGCAACTACATTGTCAATTGTTTGTGTGACTTTCAATGAGAGTTAATTTCCTGAACATGGCGGCTAATGCCTTCACTGTAATTAGCCATAAATGAGGAGTTGTTTTTACGCACTGTGGTCCGCCATGAAACCCTAAATCCTTTCACAGGTGGGGAAGCTTCAGAGGTGTCTTGTCAAACCAGACACTTTGGAGCTGGCAGATCAATGTAAAGAGGAGACAGGGTTGACTCTGGAGGACATCGTTGCAGCTGAGCCCCTGGACAAAGTTCTGCAGCAGGTGAGTCTTACTATAATAATAATATATTTTATTTACATTGCGCTTTACATCTGAGAAAACAGATCTCAAAGTGCATACAGTGAAAGGCAATAGTAAAAACAACAAACAAAAATAACAACATAGTAAAAAGTGTGTCACTTTAGTACTGCGGTCACAAATCTCACAAAGAAACACAGTTATTTAAAGGCAAAATTGACCTTTAAGGCTGTAAGCTTTACATACACAATCTCTCAGTGAAATATGAAGACAATCTGCTATGTGCAACAACAATATTCAATACTGTAATGGAAATATTGTAACAAAGTTGAGGTGTGCGGATAGAGCTCTCATTCTACATCCAATATAGTCATGAATCAATATTTGTCTCATTGTGTTCCCATCAAATATATCTTAGTTAATTTCTGGTTGTCTTCCAGGATCATAATCTTAGTTCTTATTTCACTTCTTGAGGCCTTTACTTGTTTCCAACACTTGTTTTCATGGTATAATATGATGATTCCAGGCAATCTAAAAAACAAAAACAACAGGCCGGTCATTGTGGTAGGCCACACTAACTGTCACGCTGCCATCGCTCAGACGATGAGAGGTGCGTTTTGCCTAATCGGTGTTTGTTTTGTGATTTGCACCACTGGGGATAACGATAAGGATCACTGATGTTAAGTCAAGATCTTTGAGAGGATATTAAGGCTAAATAAGGGTGTGGATGTCCACTTGGGGCTGCTGCAGTTCTCTATGTTTGTATCTGTGACCTGAATGGAAAATAGTACCAGAAAGCAAAAAGGTGTTTCTCTTTCACCTTCTCTTCATTGGTCATTGGTGAGTTGGCTTTACTGTTTATGTGGGTAGCTGACAGTTAGCCGGAGGTTTAGTTAATGGTAAAATTGCAAGAATGTGGGCTCCAACTGGGAGGTTCAATGGAAATATTTTGACTGTGACTGCAAAGCATGAGGAAGCAAAATTGTGTTGCGTGCTTACTGTGTCTGTGATGCTTTTGTTGTATATAACATTTCAACAACAATAAAATTAGCAGATCTATGAACCTTGTAGCACAGGAAGACTTTCTGTCACTGGGAGTGAGAAATTCAGAAGCTGATAAAACCAAGGCACCTTTCCCCTGACAGTTTTTGCCCACAGCAAGATGAGACCTAGCAAGCCTGACTTGGTATTAGGCTGTAAATGAATGTAAAGGGTGTCAAATTTCCGATGACCTTTTTAGAAAAATGGTCTTCCCCTTGGTTGAGAGATGTCATTGGCTCTTTTTGACAGTGAAACACTGCTGACAGTTTGTGGACACCCAGGGCAAGGGATAGGCTGAGCCTGAGGCATGTGGAGATAAGGAGAAGTCGCAGGTCTAGTCTTGTCCCGGCCTGATGCGTGCTGTAGACATCTGGAAGGCGGAATGTTTACCTGGGACCGCACCTCTGTTTTAGGCTGCAGGACAGACAGGGGGGGCACACAGATCATCCTCCTCCTGTATTTGGTCACAGCACGTCTTTACGACCAGGGCGTGAAATTCGGTCCCTGGTTCCTCCCTGTGAGGAGGTTTGTTTTGTGAAGAAAGTGGTTATGTGGCCAAACGAGTTTTTCCAACAAGCTACCTGACAGTGTTTGGTTTAACTGAGTGTACCTTTCTAAAACCTGCTGTGTCTTTGAGTTTTATGACTCCTTATTGTAATGATGAAACTTTGTGTTATGGTAGTATTTGAACCGTGCATGCACAAGCAGGCTGGTTGGGGTTAACAGTTTACCTAACTTTGCACCCCTTAAACTTGATTTATGGTGTCTTTCATCCCAACATGCAGATGAAAGTGCCTCAAATTGGAATAAACAGAGGGGAGATTAGAAAGCAATGATATCATGGGACAAGATTTTGCAGCATTAATTGAAGTATGTAGTTCAAAATGTTCAAAATCAATGGATAAAAATCTGTAAACAGCTGAATCAGACAAAATAAACACCAGAGATGATGCCTTAATGTAGGGATAAAAAGCTCAAGTTGAAACAAAACTCCAGATTAAAAAGATATGCCTTTAATTTTCTCTGAAAAACACTGAGAGAGCATGCCAGTTTGTACCCACAGGCAATAAGACTCAGTTCAGCAGCATAAATCAGGAGGGGTTCTTGCCAATACTTGTTCAATACATTAGGAACATATGAAGAAAAGCAGCAGAGGTCTGTCGTGATTTGAACGGGAGATAAAATAAGAGGAGCTCTCTGATGTATGGATAGGAAACTGATTCAAAGCTCTGGAACAAGGTGAAAGAACTCTAAGATAAACTTAAACAGTAAAAGTCTGTTTTCTAAAGCCTCATAAGCAGCAGATCAATGTGATTTCAGGGTTGATTGTGGCAGCAGCACTCTGAACTCGCTGTAGTTTTCTTACTGGATAAAAAAAAAAGTTTTCAGTGAAGCTTCTCATCTTGAAATCCTTTTTTTTGTGTCAGTGTTGCTTCTCGACTGATGGCTCTTAAAGCATAGCCAAAAACAATTAAAGTTTCACAGGGGTTTGGTGCCTTATACAGACCTAGTGAGACTTGAGCTCCAGTGTAGGTTACTTTGTGTGCTGAACCTTTAAATATTAACCCAAGCAATCAGTTTGTTCTTTTCATACCTTGGTCTCACCGCTTACTTTCTCTCTGTTGGTCACTCTCAGGTTAGTCTCATTCCTAAAAATTTAAGCAAGGCAATGCACATTTCCCCAGACATTTAAGATAATATAAAAGATTCAAACGCTTTGATTGGTCAGCCTTTTCCAAATTGTTGAATAATAAAGGGAAAACTTGTAGCTGCCTATTATCACTGGTGGGCTTGAAGCGTTGACCTGTGCGGTCAGAGCCCCCAAGGACATCTGTTGGGTCCCTTTGGTAAACGATTTATTAAGGAAAAGATGCCTTAGGAGATTAGAGGGCTTGGTTAACACTTGGCCTCCTACAGTCTGCCAGCTTAATGCAGCCAACTGTAAACCAATATTGTAGCTAATTTATCAGTCAAGTAATATGCTTGATATAGTTATTTTCCTAGAGACAAAACTGGCAATACAACATTATGAGGAAGGGACACTCAATACTTAACATGATGCATTTGAAGATTTGTGCAACAAACTTTGATTTTCATTGATTGAATGAAAGCTTTATTTGAACATGCAATAGATAAACAAAAGAGAATATAGGTAGTAACCAAACACAAACACATGCATACCATAAATAAAAGAAAAACAAGGATTGCTGGCAACAATCTTCATGTGTAGCCAATTTACATGTTTGAAAAGGAGTAGCAAAGAAGCTTACATTTATTTAATCCTACCCCTTTAACATTTATTTAATCCTACTCCTTTTCCTTTTATAGTTTCCTGCTTGAAAGTCATTAGATGGCAAGCAACCAAATCAAAATTCAACATTTTACATTTTATTCCTAAAAAGACATTTTTGCCACCTCCTTGTAATATACAGTTTAGTAGAGCAACAACAAAAAATCCAGTTCTCAATCCTAAAACAAGAAGATGCATTCAAGTACATGAGCATATTGGAGATGTGTGTGATTGATGAGTTACCTGTGATCAAGCTTTAGTCAGAATATAAATCCTGTGATGAGTGAGATGATAACTACAAACAGGTTTGTACTCATGTCTGTTTTGGACTGTTTTTGTGACTGTTCTATGACACTACAGAGCGTGTACGTCACATTTACAGCAAAGCGCAGCTCCTGGGTGTCCTGACAAATAGTTTCACTGTTGTCGGACAGCTGCTGACTGCACAGGTTTGCCTCCTGCCATATGACATTGGCGGCGTGTCCCAGCCTGTACATGATGGGAAACCTCACACATCTCTCTGTTGATGTTGTGAAACTGAGATTGCTTCTCCTCCTGTAATTGTTTTTATCTGTTTGGGTGCTGACTACCGGCTGCAGCTTTGTGTTGTTCACTTGTCGATTTTTAGTGCAGCCTTATTGTTGCATGGTTAGGATTATGAATTGTAAGGGTGAGACACAAAATGTGATTTATCTGAACTCACACCTGTGATGTTTGAGTTTTGGCAGCTCATTTAACTCAGCCTGCTCTTTGAGAGATCTCTACCTCTCAAATGTAAAGCTAATACCTCTAAAAAAAAGAGATTTTTAAGGTGTGGTAGATCAAAATGCTGATGTAGGTGCCTGTTGTCAGAATGATTTAACTGTATGAAATAAGAGAGGAACTGCAAGGCTACAAAGTTTGATGTTTGATAAGAGAACTTGGAAAAATATTGATAAGCAGTATGTATCAAACCCATTTATAGTCTTACGTTTAGCATTGGGATATTCCTTTTTGTCTCCAGTTTCAGACTCACTGATTTCAGCTCTAATGCACGTCCCTGTGGTTGGTTTGATGTTTAAATGCACAATGTTAAGACCTTGTTAGAAACTGTATAGAACAGGAATGAAATGAGGCTGTACAAACTGAGATCAGTCCAAAAAAGATCGACATTAAATCAAGAAAAGCTTTTCTCCCTAAACTCATCTTATTTTCTCAGGTATACATGATACCCTTCTCACAAACTACATATTTATTTAGTCAAACTTTGATAACTTTGGAGTTATTGTTGTGAATGCGAGCAGCATACAACTCCTGCGTGTCTTTAGATGTGCTCATGCTGTGTTTTTAGCTCGAGCTCCTCTCAAACATTTATTGCAGGGACTGTTCTGCTCCTGACACTCCCTGCCTCTCTTATCGGAGCTTGTTTCAGCCACCACCACCCTGCCCTCACCTCCGCATACAAACAGTCCAGCTACACTGGAGAGCAAACTCTGATAGGTACGTGTTCAAAGGCCACCTCCTCCCCCTCATCTGGAGAAATGTCTCACAGAAGGTAGGCAAGGCTGAAAGTGGGTTAAACAGAAAATAATCAGTCAAACTCATTATACACCGAACATAAACAGCTCTTTTGTTCAATAGTAAGATTGCTTTATCATGCTAAGAGAAGGACAGAGGTCAGCACGCCATAACTAATAATGATTGGCCAGTTTTTAACAGCAGAGCCAAATGTACCAGAAGGCTGGGTGATGATGACTCTGCCACCAGATTGAAACTTAAGTATCATAGCAGTCTGGCTGGAAACTTGTTGCAGTGTCTTTGGCTGCCAATCTCAAAAACTGCAGAAAAATAATCTATTGGAGGAAAATTTAGTTGGCTGTGCATTTTTATAGATCTTAAACGAACCACAGTCCCCGCTTATATTTGCTTTCAGTGTGAATTTGATCATCTGCTCTGTTTGTTTGCTCAGTTCACACTGGTTTCTAACCCAGAGGAGAAAAGAGAGGGTGTGCCGCTGCTTCTTCTGAAACATTTGCTTTTCTCTCAGTAATCCGGCTTTAATAATTGGCCCAAGGCGGAGCGGGATGCACAGCTATGAGCAAACATTAGCTCTGTTATCACTGTAAACAATGAAACGCTGCAGTATGGCTATGCTTAAAAGATGCCGTTGAGTGAATTTGCAAACTTTTCAATGCCAGAGTTTTTGGGATTTCGGCTGTCGGAACAATGAAAGCTTCAGGCATTAGGTCGGATCAAAGAGGATGCCTTTTATTGGTGTTGTGAGCTTTTATGTACAAGCAACTCCCTTACAAAAAACAAAAACATAGCAAAGACTGTCAGGTGACATTTATTAAAATTGCCCATGTAGTCAATAAAATGAGGCTATTGTTGAATTCAGGGACTTTTCATTTGCATCTGTTTCTACTGTCACTATTATTTTAACACACTCTTGAGTTCAGCTCCTGTTTGCACATGACATTGTCCCTTAAAATTGCAGAAAAGTTTACAGGGTAAAATGTCAACAGGCAGAGGAGCTGTTAAGACTGTCTGTTAGTCTTGACCAATTAAAGAGAAGTAAAGAAGATATTACAGAATGAAAATATAACTTTCATGGATTATTTTCAGCAGCTCTGTGACTTGAGCTTCACTTAGTCCACTCGTGTTCATGGATCTGCTGAAAATAACTGAGCTGTTTTTCACTATGATCCCTTTAGGGTTCAGTGGACTCATCCTGAAAGCTTTCTAATCTAACCCTGAAGCGTTTCTTCACTCGTCAGCAGCTGCTTGGTGTTGCCAAATAGCTCTGCTTTTCTCCCTGACTGTTAAAAAGCCTGCCTCAACACGCAGTTGTAATACTCTCTCACAGTCTGAGGATCTGTCATACATAGCCAGTGGCCAGGTGAAACTATAGTCAGTCCCTGGATTCAAGGTGGTCTCACGCCCAGACTGCAATTTTGCAATTACAGTGATGACTTTTAGGGTTCAGAGAAGAAGAGGGTAAAACTAATGATAATAATTTTACAAGGTGGCCAAGGAGACGGTCTCATCTTTCATACACACATGGTCAGTATATTCAGAGGGGCTTAAAGATGTTATTGTTTGAGGAGTAATCTACAGGGGACCCAGATGTCACCGCCTATCATCTATGGTTCTCTCTAGAAATGTATTTGTACGAACAACTCTGGCTTCAGTTTGATCCTCAATGTATGTTTGCAGGAGAGGACAAAGGTATTGGCCAAGGATTTATAGATCAAACTGAGTTTTAGAGGTCGTATCCCTTGTACAGTGAGGTGATGTAGATTTGTCCACGTTCCCCTTATCCAAACCCTCAAATTGCATTTTTAAAGTGTTAATATTACTTAAATTGGGCAAAAATATAGATAGATTATTCCTGACTTCATCCTCCCAAAGGACCTTGATACCGTGGTTACAAATCACCCGGTGTTTGTTTGTTCTTGTGAGTTTGTTTTTGGAGTCATTGTCTTTAAAGTTGGGCAGCTGTCACATCGGAGTGGAAGGGTTCGATCCCAGTTCAATCCTCATGCTGAGGTGTCCTTGGGCAAAACACTCAACCCCAAAACTGCAGACGGATGGGATTGGTTACTTATACTAATAGGTGCTTTACATAGCAGCCTCTGCCGTCAGTGTGAGAATGTGGTGTGAACATGACATGTAGTACAAAGATAAGAAAGTACAAAGATAAGAAAGAAGAAAGAAGAAAAATTAGAATAACGTGAAAGTGAATATCAAACGTACAATAGAGACTATGTATGTAAAATAAAATGTCATAAGTATTTTTTTTTTGTGATTTTTTTAGCTCACAGTTAAAAAAACAAACAAACAATCTCACAGTATTAGAAAATCAATTTTTAGTTTTATTGAATTAATGCAATGGTGCACTGATGCAATAATTCATGGTAAACAAGTGCCAACACCAATACTGAGTATAAACATGACACCCCCCCACCCCTGAAAGTTAGACCCATCTGTAATCTGAAACCTTGTTTTGGTTGATCCTGGGAAATACTCTAACAACTGTAGGTGCCAAATTTCAGGTTTTACAAGTTTTAAGCCAAAATCATCTCAACTGGAAAAAAAAACGAGCTTTAAAACGTAAAGAACAATATCAGAAAAATTTGAAATTAACTTTTTCACAGTATTCTGGTTTTTCAGATGGATGTAAATATAGTCGGTTTACAGTTGATATTAAACGTTTTGTTTCAATCAGTCTGTTCATCCTATAACAAGATAACTCTTACTCGACTGTTTTTGTAGATAACTTGAGCCAAATAAGAAAATTCTGTGAATCATTATCAGAATTGTGTCCTCTAGCCTCAGATGTCATTTCTAGGTTAATATTGAATGTTTACCTCTGTTGACACTTAAACGCTGCCAATAACAGGTTGGCACAACACAAAGACTGTGGCTCAGTGAATGTGATGGTTATAAATAAACATGCACATATGAGGGAGTTGCTGGTATGTAAGTTTGGGTGTTGAAGCCATCAGCGTTTATGTAAAGGTGAGACATGCAGGTCAGACTCGTATGGGTTGTTTTTCCTCATGTCTGGCTGAGTCTGTTGGTCACACTGTGAGAAAAGTGTGATCCTGGTGATTAGGAGTGTGATCATTCCCCTCCTTTTGTCCGCCTCCTTCGTCACTAAACCAACACAGGAACCTGTTCGGCGAGCTGCGTTCCCCACGAGAAACAAACACAAACAGTGACACATCAAACACAGCACCACCTTCACTTTTGTCGCTTTAGATTGGAGTCTGTTTGAGACACAGTTAAACAAAATAATGACAGTTTTATAATGAAGTCACTACATGAGTTGGCGCAAACTAGTCCAAATAAAAGCTTTTGAAAGGATTTAGATTTGATGCACCTGGAAAATCAATGAAATCTTCTCCTAATGAAATCCATGTTTTATCCTTGTCTCTTTTCTCTCTTCATATTTCCAGTTCCAGCAGTCGGTGTCATCAGAGCTCAAAAGTCTCGGCAGAAGCTCTTACACACTTTGTGTCAACAGCCCCCTCGTCATCCGACAGGCCCTCCACCCAGAAGCCTCCAAAAAGGTACGAGATGTTTGCACTGCCTCTGGGGAGAAACTAAGAGTAGCTTTGTTAAAGTCAACACTTACATTGATTGTTAGTTATTTAGCAATAAAAAGAGCCCCTTATTAAATAATAGATTGAAAACATGTTTGTAGTGTGTTTTTTGCCTACTTCTAATCAGAAATTGCTGTAGTCTCTCTTCACAAACGCATCTTTTCTTGCTCCACTTGTATGACGAATAAATGCGGCTTTAAGCTCATATAACTTAGTGTTTATAGATAACATCAAAGTATCATTTCCTTCCCTTGTAAATGTGAGCATTGATCATTTGCAAGAAGTCATGATTTGACCTAATTGATTGTTTTGCTTCTTTTTTAATATCACTTGGATATTACTCTTACACAAAACGCCTTCGTCTCTCCTCAGCCTTCTATCTCATCTCTGCGATATATGAAAATTTTATACTGTAAACTATCTTTTCTCTTCATCACTTCCTCTTCAGAACCTCGTCCTTCCTGAGTGTTTCTTTTCATTCGTGGACGTGAGGAAGGAGTTTCATAAATGCTGTCCCAATGCTGGCCCTGTGCAGAAGCTCACACTCGACTCCATGTTGGAGTGTATCCTTTTTGCCAGCCTCTGTGTTAGAGCTGCATTTTTATAATCACCTCTTATTAATATAGGATGTGATGGCTTTTGCAGAGTCCCTGATATAGAAAGTACAGGCATAAAATCCTTGCAGCCTTGAATGTCATATCAAAGTTTTACAAAGTCAAGCTAGACGAGTTCAACTTGTTGGTGTCCTTAAGTATTTATGCAGATGTGGGTCTTCCTGCTGTATCAGAGCAGATGTTTGGGGTGAAGGAGGTGAGGAGCATGGTGCAGCTGACGCTCTGCATCCTGGCTGAACCCCACAGTAAGTCACCACCACACTTTGCACCAAATTTATCTGAAAAATAATCATGTCCAAATGGTCAGGTGTTATTTGGATACTCAACTTGGTCTTAACCAATCCAGCTGCAGAAAAAAAAATTGTTTGATTGTTAACATCCTTAATCCAAAGACACCAAAATCAAATGAATGAAAGGTTGAGACTAAACTCTGAGATGTGCTGAAAGCAGAAAATGACATGTCCACATAAAGACAGTGGAGTGGCATGTGTTGTTCACAAGCAGTGATTACTGTGAACCAGCCTGCTTTGGCCACCTGATGGTTTTGGTTTCTATAATCAGCACCATGACTGCAGGAGTGACAATAACAACAACATTATCACTGACTTTTTGGTTTGTTTTTATTCAACTTAAAGGTGTGGTAGCTTCTGAATCATCAAACAATAACTTCAAAGTAAATGAGACATAAAAAGTTCGGGCATTGTTTAGTTTGATTACATTTTAAAATTTGCGTACAACGTAATCGCCACTCAGTGATGGCCTGCTGTTAGTAAGGCTGTAGAAAGAGACTCCATATATGTGACAGCACTAATAAATCAAATTTAGATTTAGTGTTTTTGAACATATCTGAGTTACAACCCGCAGGCTTTACCCTCTTATTAACAGACAAGTATGTATTTGCGTGTGATCAGAAACAGGAATTTGGAGAGCTTGAACAGACTCTGCTTGGCAGGATGAACCTGTTCACAGCAGCAGAGTCAGAGTATTGTTTTACATGCACTTTTTTTCTTTTTTCTTTTTTTCAGATCACAAGTTCTCCTGTGTTGAAACTGTGAAGTACAAATTTGATTCCGGCACGTGGTACGTATGAACTTTTGTTTAAATTTATACATATGTGTGTGTGTGTCTATGCCTCACCAGTGAGCCAGCAGTGTTTTTTACAGCCTAAAAGCCCCTCTAGACAAATTCAGACCTTTAGCATTGATTACAGCAACAAGGAAGCCAACCAGGAGAGCATGTTATTTAAGCTGTCCAACTTTGCCATCAAGTGCTTACCTGGGTTATCTTGTAGCAGAGCACCAAATCCTGCAGTCAAAAGCCTGTCACCTTGACAACCCCCCGACATTTAATCATGGGAGTGTGTTACTGTGTTGAGCACTTAGTGTGAGTGGCCTCTGTGTCTGCAGGCTGTGGGCAATTTGTTCAAATGTAACCAGAGAAGAAGTAGAGTTTTTTTTTTCTTTGCTAAGAGTTAAAGTCACCTGCAGAGATTCTCGTAGTAATTTAATGTAAACGTTCAGACTATCTAAAGAATTTCATAATGGCATTAATGTTATTTTTTTCTCAATGTTAAGCAGTAAGACAGAGCCGGTGGACAGTGAGACGGTCATCAGAGCACGAGGGCTTCCATGGCAGTCATCAGACCAAGATATTGCTCGCTTCTTTAAAGGCCTCAGTATCGCCAAGTATGTTGGACTTGATTTAAATCCTCCAGAAGCCTATTTACAACCAACAATTTCTCATAAACTCATTATAAAACAAACTGTTTTTACATTTCTTTCCATGTGTCTGCAAAATCAATTTCCTTCTTTGAATGTCTGTCAGTTTTCAAAAGGTCCAATAGGAACTCTGCAGAAATATGTAAAGGTTGATGTCCTGGTGGATCAACTGTCCTTTTGTTTCCAATTTATCAGCATCCTGTTTTCAATGTAAAACTATTCAGTTGGTTTCAGCTGAGGGTTTCAACTAACATTTGCCTGTAACATATTTAAGCAGCGCTGGCTCTGCCCAGATGTATCATAATTGGCCTTACCTTTTACTGTACTGATGGGAAAGTATTGTTGACCATTTTGTGCAGCAATTGGCAGTGGATAAATGAAAAAAATACTCCAAAAAAAAAATACTCCCCATAATGTAAAACTGTTATGTTCCTGATTGTGGCTCTTTGGGTTCATACTCACGCGTGTGTTTGTGTGCTCCTGGGTTTCAGAGGTGGCGTGGCCCTGTGTCTGAACGCTCAGGGCAGGAGGAACGGCGAGGCTTTAGTTCGATTCATCAACTCTGAGCACAGAGACCTGGCCCTGGAGCGCCACAAGCACCACATGGGCAGCCGCTACATCGAGGTCAGATTCAGTATTTGTCACTTGCTGTGATTCTATTGCGTGTTTGACATCATGCTCAGCCAAACATGATCCCCGTTTTGAGATCCATGGGTTATCGGCGTGTTCAGACTCGATTTTATTCTGCTCAAATGGATCTTAATAGTGTCCTAATTTTGTTGTAGCTAACTTTTTCCGCTTGTCAGGAAGAAAAACAAGTTTAAATTCCAATGGACGGATTAGTATTTCAAAGTTTAATCTAGTTTCCTCTTGTCTTGCAGGTCTACAAAGCCACAGGAGAGGAATTCCTCAAGATTGCTGGAGGTCAGATTTCAGATTTTTTTCTCCTCTTCTCACCACGTTTGCATAAATCTCACAGTGAAAGACTTCCTGTTTGGTCGAAGGTAGACTTCTGTTTCATGGATTTCTCGCATCTCTGAGGAAAAACAAGACCCTTCCACATCTATAAAAGAGCAGCCCTTTAGCGGGTGTAAAAGAGGAGATCTCATGTGCTCTGCTGGTCTCTCTCCTGTTACCGGTGTCTCTGCCTCATCACTCCGACTCTCCAGCAGCTTATCTCTGACTAATAAAAGGCGCTTTGTGAGGAACTTCCCCCCCCACCTCCCTCCATCTCTTTCCTCACCCCCACCAGATCCCCAGAGTAAAGCTTCAGAGCCCAGTTGGAAAGAAATTTCACCCTCTGCTAACAGCAGCTCACCTGTCCGGTTCAGCCTGGAGCTGCACTCCCCCCTGAGGGAGAGGAGGCTGACGGCCGGTAAAAGGACCGACTCAAAGCGAGTACAAAGAAAGTGTGAAGAGACAAAGCGAGGGCTTGAGGCCTCTGGACCACAGAGCAGCTGCCTGCAGCAACACAGGACAGAGATAGCGGACAAAGAAACTCAGTCACTGGCAGCAGATAACTTACAGAGGCTGCCGCTCTGACTGTGGACTTTAATCCGATGTGTCAGGATCGGCGCAGGTTGACGGCACATTGGACTTAAAGCAAATAGTTGGAGCAGACAAGAAATCAGTTACACAGTCCAAAACATTCAGAGTATTTGGCATCATCGTAGATGTTTTGTAAATTATTTAAGATTTTAAAATGAGAGGATCAATTTATTTATTTTTTTTATTTTTTTTACTGAATATTTTTTCAGATTTTTCTGTATTATGTAGAACAACAAAAAATCCCACTGTCATAGCCACAGTGGTTAAAGACTTGAATTTGGGGTGATGAAGGTAATACAAGGATCCTGTGAGAGCTCATTCAAATACTCTCTCACAGTCTGGTTATAACTTTTTGCGTAGTTACATATCAGTCAACAATAGCATACTTCTCATCATTTGAGGCCAAATGTGTTTTTACACCTTCAAATTAGGAAGGCCTATTTGCAGACTTTGGTGAGTGTGCGACACAAAAAGAAAACTGTTGAGTCAACATCCTCTTATGTGCACAGTCAGTTTTTAGCCTGTGTGAACGTCTGACTTTTGCTTTTGTTTATTCCACTTTTCTCAGTTACATTGAGGGGAAATCTTGAGTTTAGTATTTGATTCATTCTTGTTTAGGTAGGAAAGGTGCAACCAGACAAAAATACAAAATATGATTGAAAGAAGAAGCTGCTATGACCCGATTTTTTGCCCCTGTAGGTCAAAGTAATCTTGTGAAATATTTACATTATTGGAACTGGATGAGAGTATAACATTTAAAACAATAAATACAATGGTTTAATGACATCATCTATGAGTGTCTGTGAGATTGTCTCTTGTGTAACCATGCTGCTACCTGATTTCAGGTACATCCAATGAGGTGGCCCAGTTCCTGTCCAAAGAGAACCAGGTCATCATCCGTATGCGGGGGTTACCTTTCACAGCCACACCTCAGGAGGTGCTGTCCTTCCTTGGTCCAGAAAGTCCTGTTACAGATGGCGCCGAGGGTCTGCTGTTTGTCAAGTACCCAGATGGACGTCCCACTGGCGATGCCTTCGTCCTTTTTTCCTGTGAGGAGTACGCTCAGAACGCCCTGAAGAAGCACAAGCAGATCCTGGGGAAGCGGTACATAGAGCTGTTCAGGAGCACTGCAGCCGAGGTGCAACAGGTAAGTGCTCTCAGTCGAATAAGCTAGAGAGATCTTTAAACAGTGAGTTACTGAATGGCATTAAAACCTGTTCTGTTTCTTGCGTGTTCTGTGGTTCTGTCAATTCTCCATCACTCTTCTTCTTTTCCAGGTTCTGAACCGCTACATGTCCACACCTCTGATCTCCACACTGCCCCCCTCGCCCATCGTTCCTGTCCCGGTCCTCACCACGCCTCCCTACCTCCCAGCTGCTAGCAGCACGAGAGACTGTGTCCGCCTCCGTGGTCTGCCGTACACCGCCGGCATCGAAGATATCCTGGAGTTTATGGGAGAACACACAGTAGACATTAAACCTCATGGAGTACACATGGTCCTCAACCAACAGGTTAGACAGCTCAGGGCTCAGGAACATGTGTGACAGTAAAACTCAGTAAAACTCAGATCTGTAAATAAATGATCATCTTTGATATTCAAACTTGCTGCTTTTGAATGAAAAGCAGCAAGTTTATTCTTCTTAATCTAGTTATTTTACCAAAACCCACTTGATAACTTTTGGTTTTGAGAGACAACTCCTGAAACATTGTTTGTAATTTAACCTTGCATTTTTATGTCCTCACTGTTGATGATCTCTGTATCCTGCAGGGTCGGCCCTCAGGTGATGCTTTCATCCAAATGAAGTCTTCTGAGAAGGCGTTTATGGTGGCCCAGAAGTGCCATAAAAAGACCATGAAGGACCGCTATGTGGAGGTGTTTCAGTGCTCCACAGAGGAGATGAGCATCGTGCTCATGGGAGGAACCCTGAACCGCAGCGGCCTCTCCCCTCCACCCTGCAAACTCCCATGTGAGTCGAGGCTACTAAATGGTTTATCAAGGCAAAGATAGTGTTTGCTCTTCCTTTATTTACTGCACTATTTTATAATTATCTGTATTTTGTTGAGGATGTAAAGAAAATGTTGATTATAAATATTTCTATTTACACCTAGTGGAACACTGACTTACTTGATAATTCTTCCCAAGCGAGAAGCAGCTGGTTTGATTTCCACTTTGTGCTGCTGCTCTGTAGATAGATTCACGTTTTAGTGAATAGAAGCTTAATTTTTGAAAACACACTGTAGAGCTAATTTCCAGCCCTGACACCGTGATGCCTGGACTGAATGTGACACTAACTTTGCACTTTGCTCTGTCATATCCGTCTTTGGTGTTGGAGATTAGATCAAGATTGGCGATGCTAGAGAGAAGTAGGCCGTTCAGTTTTGAGTTTTCTGTGCGTTTGCACACCTACACATTTTTGGTAACGCTTTCTTTTACGGTACACTTATTACCACATAATTAACAGGTAATTACCAAGTAACAATATGAAATTATCTGGTAATTACATGATAACTACAAAGTCAATACTGTCTAGCTACCAGGCAGGTAACCTTCCATCATCATACAAATTTGAAGCCAAGTTGCTCTGGTATTTCCAGGATTTTCTCTGCTTCCTGGAACCACCACTTGCGCAGGCGGGTGAGTCACTGTGATAACGCTCGGCTCAAACAGCATACCTCTACGCAATCTTTGCACGCCCATAGGCTGTATCAAGTATCAATAATAGAAAGTAAGAACCCCAAATAGCTTTTGAAAATGGAGCTGCACAGAAAAAAAAAGAAGTTATCATGTCATTACCAGATAATTTCATATTGTTACTAGGTAATTACCTGTTAATTACCTGGTAATAAGTGTACCGTAAAAGAAAGCTTTACCCATTTTTTGAAGTAAATCTTTTTCAAATACTCGATTTTTCTTTTCACACGTCTTCACCAGAGTTTCTGCAGAGTCAGTGTAAGATCTCTTTGCACCTGGAAACACTTGCTCAAGGTCAACAGTGTTGTGTGTCAGTGTGCGCTGCTGCCCACAGCCTCACACTGATCCTGGCTGTTTGTGTGTAAATATAACCATATTGTCATGAGTGTGTTTGTGTGTTTACATTGTACAGCAGCCTGAAGGGACACACAGAGCTTTGTAAACAAAAACTTGCTGCACAGAAAGTGTTTTTGTCATTCTGTGGGTCATGTGCTTTTTAAAATCGCAGAGACTCTGTCAGACCTGCTGTTGAAGTTGACAGATTAACAAGATCACTCAAACCTGCTTTTTTGACGCTGAAAGAGGAGACTGAGGAAAGTGTCAGGACTGCATGTTCCCTGAAACCCAGCCTGTAAATGACCTGACCCTGTGGATGTGCTTGTCTTTGTGTTGCTCTGTAGGCCTGTCTCCTCCCACAGCCTACGCAGCCTTCCCAACTCCACCTGCCATCCTCTCTGAGGCCGCCCTCTACCAGCCCCCCCTGCTGGCTGCCCCCAGACCTGCCCAGACCACAGCACACACCCCGGCTCACACTCTGGCTTACTACCCCCACCAACCGCACCTGTACATGAACATGAACATGAACTACACAGCCTACTACCCCAGGTTAGTTTGCCGTTCGCCAAAGGTCACTGTTGATACAGAAAAGAGAGAGTCACACCTCTCACCTGTTTTCTCTCTTTTCTTGGTCCCTCTCCAGCCCTCCCGTCTCTCCATCCACAGTCAGCTACTTTGCAGCTCCTCCAGGAGCAGTGGCAGCAGTTGCAGCCCAACCTCACCACGCTGCAGCCGCGGCGTCCTCTGTTCTGCCTCAGCCCGGGGCCCTGGTCAGGATGCAGGGTCTACCCTATAACACTGGAGTCAAGGACATTCTCAGCTTCTTTCAGGGATACCAGGTCAGAAATGAAACAAATCCATTATATGCCTCTGTGTAGACGTGATACCTAAAATGACACCCTATAGGAGTAAATGTGTCTTGGACAGAGGGATAGAAACCTGATCAGAGGTGGTCAGGGATGATTTGTCCATGTTTATTTGGTGGTGTGTGCAATTCTGTCCACACCTTCGGCCCCCTTTGCTCTCTGCACTGGGAAATGATGAGGCTTGTTTTAATGTTCACTCCATCCAGGCTCATGCTTGTAGTTTCAAGAGCTGCATGAAAAACTGATAATTCCCCAGATGATGATTCTTACTGGGATGTCAAGAGCAGGCATGATGCTGTCTGCTGTGGATGACAGTTGTGACCCTAAAGGAGTTTATTATCGTTTTTAATAGTGCAGCACTTTAAGGGGCACAGATATCTTTTAAAGGTGGATCTTTACAAATAGAGAGTAGACTGTTTAAAACATGGACCCAGTCTCTTTTGATGAACCAAGCTTTTGAGCTCTTAGCAAACAGCCACAACACACTCACTTGTGTTACAACTAACCTCACATTTCACAATAACTTCTGTGTAACTCTGAGCTTTTACCAGCGCATCGTTTTCATTGACGATGACGTTGATGATCGTCAATGAAAACAACACTGCAGAATAAATGTTTATCGTTTGACTGACGAAATGCTCATGAATTTTGCAACTCTGTTCATCATCCACCACTAACTTTTTCATCTAGTCTCGTCTCGTCAACGTAAACGTACATTCGTCTCGTCACATTTTAGTCATCTAAGACTTATGTTTAGCTCGTCAACGTCACGTCTTCGGCGTGGGAAAAAAGGGCATTGATGAAATATTTTGTTCGTCAACGAAAACAACACTGTACCAGCCTCAAGTGCATTTCATCCCACCTCTGTATTAAAGTCATTTCCAACTCTGGGGTTTGCAGCCAACATCAGAGATTATCGTCTCATAGGAAGTTTTGATTTCATGATCCAGCGGGTCCATATTGACCGGCTTCTCTTTGCTTGTCTTAATGAGAACAGAAAAGCTTTCCACCCATGAGGATGTGTGTCAATACCAGGTGTACGCAGGCTTAAAGTTATTGAAGTGTGTTGGTGTTGGCCACAGTGAGATAATCATCTGAAAGCAGTCACAGTATTATAACAGTCCATGTGAATGTTAATCTGAATGACGACAGGCAGCCCGTGTGATTAAATTCTGTTCAACGTGAACTCTTCCCACACAGTAAAGCTGTCGGATCTCCGCGCCCCGCAGCTACTAAAGATTTACCATAGCTGCTTGTTACTGCAAACTCTCTCCACACTAGTGTCTAATTAGGGGACGTGTGTGCACTTGTGCTCTCTCTTCTCCCCTTTCTTTGTGCTTCCCATACATTTCGCTGCCAGTCCAAATTAGGTGGAGTCCTCTGAAGCAGGTATGATTCTGACAGGTGTGGCTCCAGACGGGTTGGTTTGTCGGAGGGGGAACGAGGAGGAAAGTGGGTGGGGTTTGAGGTGGAGGGGTGGCACTGTTGTTGTTGTGGAACAGATTTTGGGTCTGCTTTTTGGTCTGCGTGGGTCTGAGCAAGCGCCAAATTGATAAAGAAGAGCTCATTTTGAGTCACACATTAATGAGCTTTACCTACTGAGAGATGGGTGCATGTTACTGTGTGAAGTTTGTGTGTGTTTGTGTGTGTGTGTGTGTGTGTGTCAGAGAAGAGAGAGTAAAGCTGACCCATGTGCTGACTGTTGGCTGAACCACTGTAATTGTATCCTTAACAGGTTGTGTGTGTGTGTGTGTGTGTGTGTGTGTGTGTGTGTGTGTGTGTTTCTGGCAGCAGTAGCGTCTCTCACACTCTCCCTGGGTGAGAAACAGTTCCCACACCAGCCCGTGTGTGTGTGTGTGTGTGTGTGTGTGTGTGTGTGTGTGTGTGTGTGTGTGTGTGTGTGTGTGTGTATAAACACAATCCCATTCCCAAACTACAATACTGCGTGGGTCACATGAAGCCTGTGCAGCCTGTATTTGGTGTGTTGTGTTCATTTTACTGGTTTGGTGTGTGTTTTCAGGAGTGTGAACATACTTCTGCATCATTTGTTGTGTTTGTAACTGTGTCCTCTAATATGTTTAAAAAAACAATGTGGAAAAGCTGCCTCCCTGACTGTGCGTTCATTGTCATGCTGTCTGTAGTACGCCCCTGACGAGTACAGCGGCATGGTTCAGATGAGCGAACAGGCCAGGAGTCTGATTCAGCCCAAAGAATGGCTCTGTCTTTAGGGACTCACCCCCACAGGTAAGAAGAGGCTGCAGACCAGAGGACCAAGGTGGACTGAGAGGGCATTTCCTATTCACTCAAAACTTAGTGAAAGAAACAATGTGTGTGACAAGCATCAAACTACCCAGTGAGTGCAGGTTCAGTGACGTCATCATAGGGATGGGAATTGATAAGATTTTGTCGATATCGATGCCATTATTGATTCTGCTTATCGATTCAATTCTTTAACGATTTCCTTATCAATGCCTTTCTTTGATTTAAAAAAAAATAGACTCTGGTTTCCATCGTTAACTCAAAATTGTATTGAGTCTCTGATAACAGTAGTCTAAAAATAATTAAACAACAAACTATTAATACAGCGTTTATTCAAGTCAGTATTAAGTCAAATTAGGGTGACCATATTCTGGATCCTCAAAAAGAGGACATGACCAAGCAGTGTCGCATGCAAAATTTCGAGGGTTTTTTGGGTCAGGTCGAGTGTTTTCGGCGCGCTTCTAACTCAGTAAGTCCAAGTCTGCCATGCACTGTGTTTAGTTAACACAAGACATGCGTACCTTCCATGCCGTTGCTGAGATGGAGCAGCAGGGTCTGATGACCGGAAGAAAGGAATCATTAAGGGAATCGTTAAGATGAAATGTAAACGATGTTGATGGATTGAACCATTTGGAACCGATTCTCAACAAGAACCAGTTCTCGATTCCCATCCCTATGTCATTATTCAGACATTAAGGTTAATGTTACGACAAGTAGAGTTGAAAATGAAGGACTCAAACATGATTCAGTTCCAGCTTCACTTCAAAATCCTATCTCTACATCTGACATCAGACACCACTTTAGTCTCCACATAAATGGAAGTCCCATATGCACGTCTTGCAGAAACGTCACACCTTCCAAAAAATAACTTGCATTAGATGTAATTTGATTATTCTGTTCTGCCTACAATGAACAACAACTCCTAGGACATGAAATTCTTGGAGTTCAGCAGCAGAATGTTGTTATTTCATACACATAAAGTTTTGTTATCACATTTTTCGGCTAATAGAGATTTTTTTTTTAGCACTAATAATAAAAATAGGAATGCCCAATCTGAACCTCCAAACCCTGAGCTCCTGACCCGGCATGTCAGCCCGCTGCTTTCCAATCAGATCCGTCTCATATCTGCTGTCTGTCCCTTGGGGTCTTCCGGGAGTGCTGAGTCTGGACTTGCGACACACACAGACACACACATACACATACATGAAAAACATACTTAAGAGACTGTATGAGTTATTAGGGACATTTTTCATCCTGTGATGAAGTGACCTCAGGCCACAGCAGATGTCTAGCAGGCTAAATGTCTTTAAATAAGACTGCTGGTCTGAACTGATGAATTTTTATTGACATGGGAAAGTAAGTGAACTTCCCATAAGCTGGAGAAACATCTCAAGCTTTCACCAAGCTAAATACCTCAAATACCGAGCAGTATTCATAAAAAGTGCAAAGAAAACAGCAAAGTTTAGAGGGCCTCTGGTCAATTTTAGTCTGATTAATTCTGTAAAACAGTCTTCAGCACTCCAGCTCCTAACCCCTGATCATCGAGGGTCTACCTCCCCACTTCAATCATTCCCTGTGATGCTTTTTCGCATGCATTATCCCACTCACACTCTCTCCACCTGTTACTCTGAAGATAAGCCCTCAGAGTGTGGAGTTCATGGTTTGTTGTGTTTGTCATGCATGTCTGATTTCTACGCATCAAACAGGATCATAATGAATGCTGTGATTGCATGCAAACTTCTTTAATCTGTGTGATTCGTCTCATTTCTGCTCGTGGCGTCCAGGTCTTCTGGGAACAGCATGTGCTCTTCGTTTTTTTTCCCCTCTTTTCTCCACCCAGTAATCTCCTTTTTTTTCTCCCCCTACCTTACTGGACCGGTTTGATGAGACCTTTTCTTCCAGGGAACGGTTCATCCTTTTGCTTTGTGCGCTCCCCCTGGTGTTAAGTGTATGCGGGAACAGCGGTTATGTCATATGTTGTTTTTTTTTTTCTTTCTTTCTTCACAGCTCCAGCCAGACGCCGTTCTCCTCTTGTATAACTTTAGTGGCCAGTGCAGCGGTGAGGCCTTGATCACCTTCCCCAGCGAAGAGATCGCCAGGCGCGCTGTGGCAGAGCGCACCAACCACCCCTTCTACGGCCAACAGGTCCACTTGGCCTTCTGTAACTGACCGCCAGCCCTTCATCTCTCCTCCTCCTCCCTCATTTAAGACCTCTCTGTCCCCATACTGTGCCACTAAAAATAGCTGCTGATCCCCTCCTCTTCCTATCAACTCCTATTTATCATAAAATGAGACCTTGCTGACCCTGACACTCCTTAAGCTGCTGTCGGAGTTTGGACGTCCACCGGTGAAGTCGTTGAAGCTCTGTTTCACTTTACACCTCTGTGGAAGTTGAGCTGCAGCTTTTCTTGTGGAGATGAGATGGTGTGGAGTCTGGAAAAAAACCTGAATCGATGGCTCTGCAAAGCCAAATCTGCATGTATATTTAAATCCTCTATATACCTGAACGTGTACAGATGTTCATCCTGATATGCTTGAGGCAGTACAAACCACTTCTGCTTTACCTTTTTGTTTTCTGTTTATATTTCTGACGCTCACTTTTAACCACTATGCAAAACACATATGTGTGTGTGTGTAGCTACATGCATGATCATTTGGTTGATGGCCTCTAGCTGTGAAGTGGTGCCATTAAAAAAAAAAGAAAGAAAAAAGCCATAGAGGAATAAAAAAGAAAAACTTCACATGTGCCAGTGTACCAACTCATTAGTAACTTTATTTTTAAGGAGAAAAAAAAAAGTGAATGGTTATGTACTATGTCACCCTATTTAGACTTTTTCAGCACTATGCGTTAATTTCCCTCTCAGAGTGACAGCGTGTCTCTAACAAAGTAAAGTGACAAGTTAATTTGAATGAATAGTCTTTGAGTTGTGAAATGTAATAAGACTCAGGCGTATCCTTCTGAACCATTGGACCTCAGCTTGTAGACGTCTCCTGTTTGGTTTCCACACTATTTATAACCATCAGTCTGCAGCACTCTTTGATTCCTGCTGAAGACCGAAGTACTGTGTGAAAATTGCATGAGTTTTTTTTGTTTCTGTGACAGGCCTGCTGACAGCTATTGTAGCTTTTTTTCTTCTTTACTGTGCCTACATTACCCAGAGTGCAATACTGGCCCTGAAAACGAGGCTGTGTCAACCTCTGGTGGCAGAGGAGATATTTGTTTCTTTTGTTGCAAGTTTGAGACTTGTATGAATTTAGATCTGTGTATAAGACTGTAAACAATAAACATGTTGACAATGAGACGTTCTTTCTTTGGTCCTTTAAAAAAAAAAAAAATCACCTTACAGAAATCCAGTGATAAGTTTAGGACAGAAATATGAATTTCTTAATCTGATTATTTAACTTTTTGATGTGGGAGGTCCTCTCCACACACAGAATATCACTCAGCCTTTAACCCCGACAACCGTAAAGGAAACATCTATTTTCTTTAATTGAAATATTATTTTTTTTAAATATACAGTACAGGCCAAAAGTTTGGACACACCTTCTCATTCAATGCATTTTCTTTATTCTCATTTCTATTTAAATTGTAGATTCTCAGTGAAGGCATCAAAACTATGAATGAACACGTGGAATCATGTGCTGAAGAAAAAAGTGTGAAATAACTGAAAACATGTTTTATATTTTAGATTCTTCAAAGTAGCCACCCTTTGCTTTTTTGATAGCGCTGCAAACTTTTGCTGTTCTCTCAATGAGCTGCATGAGGTAGTCACCTGAAATGGTTTTTACTTCACAGCTGTGCTTTGTCAGGGTTACTTTAAGTACTTCTGTCATCAAGAGCAAAGGGTGGCTACTTTAAAGAAACTAGAATATAAAACATGTTTTCAGTTATTTCACACTTCTTTTATAAGTACAAAATTCTACACGTGTTCATTTATAGTTTTGATGCCTTTAGTGATAATCTACAATGTAAATAGTCATATAAATTGAATATTGAATGAGGTGTGTCCAAACCTTTGGCCTGTACTATATATGTATATTTTTCTCTTATTTTTCTTTTTTCTTTTGTTTTAAAAAATTAATTAAAACTGATTGTATTCTACCCTAATTTGCAATAAAAATAAAATATTTGATTAAAAAAAAAAAAAATCAATTTTCAATATTAAATCTTGTGTGCTGATTACATTTTTCAAATTCAAAATAACTACAACATAAACAGAATTTTATCTTTTTATAAACACAAATTAGCACCACTAATGAAACCCCTATAAATACCAAAGTAAGCTTTACAGGTGTGCCTGTGTTTACAGTTAATTGTCTTCTTAATTACTTTTTGTGTAATAAGTTGTTTGGAAAGGAAAGAACTTTTTAAAGAAATGTAAAAAAAAAAAAAAAAAAAAAAAGGTAAAAAGTAAATGACACAAAGGCATGTCTGAGTTTTCGGTTTTATTGACGTACACTACTTTAGAGCCTACATTATAAGCAAGGTATTCCCTTTGAATAATTTCAAAAAGCACTGCAGTCTTAAAAATTACAAAAAATGTAACATACAAAATATACAGGAAATGACAATACAAGGCTCGGTAAACATCGGCTAAACCTGTATTTCCCTTTTATTTTACAAAACATATATATAGATGTGTATGTATATATATGTGGGTGTGTGTGCATGAATATATAGAGATATAAAAATATCAATACATATTCAACACTCATATATGTCCCCAACTCTTTAGGAATGACATCCATTTCAAAGTATCAAAAATAGAGCGGTACAGTCTCTGTAGCTTCACCTCAATGTAAAGGGGGAACATATTGTTCGGTCTTTGGTTGTGACAGAAGAGGACGGCAGCCAGAGTTTCTATGTTGATGCTGGTTTTGTTTCCTTTCTCTCAAGTCTTTCAAGCTGCAGGAGCAACTTTTACATGAAAACAATCACCTCTCCTCCCCCACCCTGTGCCCCCCTCCCCACAAACAAACAAACAAAAGGTAATAATAATAATAATAATAATAATAATAATAGGTACTGACTTACATCTTCGTCATGGAAATAAAATCAACTCAGAACAGCAGACGGACACACTGACAAACTGGTTTCAAACAAGAGTTAAGGCATCCTAATAGTTTACAAAGTGACATGATTCTCTCTATCTGAATGTTTTTTTTTCTTTCTTTCTGCTCTGTGAAGCTCATAAGCAACATTATAACAAATACTTTATAATCTCTTTTTTTTCTTCCTGTATCTCACATTTGCTGCTGTTAAAGTTTGCATAGCCGTAATACACGTGTGTGCTTCTGTTGTTGAAAAAAAGGACTCTATAAAGTCCCGTCTTCTGTACAGCATATTTGGTACCGACACCGTCCATCCATACAAACACATCCAAACCCATAAAGATACTTGCACTGTGTTCTTAACAAGGCAGATTGGCTGATGAACACCTCCAGGATGCTAACAGAGTCAATCAACAAGTCTACAGTCTACATCTACAGGCATCAAGGTCTTTTTTTTCTTTTTTCTTTATTTTCTTTTTTAAAGGCATTAGGCAGAAGTTGAATGCATAGCAGAATCACTTTCACCTGGAAACTGACTTCAAACCATCATTTTGCAACGTGCTGTGCTCCTCACACGCAGCAGGAGCATCATTGTCAAGCTTAAGGCAAAAAAAACAAACAAACAAAACAAAACAAAAATAAAAACAGACGGAAATCTCCACACTAGAATCTGCATCTGTCTGTTCATATCCACACAAACTGACCCGAAACCTGCCTGAATACACTCGTAATCTAACGGACTGTGTTATTACTGCCGAACTACAGGCACAGCACGTCTGCCAGATCAGAAGATACCAACTACCGGGAGAAGAGGTCTCTGATTGTGAACAGCGAAAATGGATTGGCTGTAGTATTTACAAAGAGGAGGGGGAGGGGATACATAACCAAAGGATAAAGAGCTTTATGATTTAGTCCGATTTGTCTCAACATACGTCGACTCGTGCTGCTGCCATCACAGGCTGATTGGAATAAGAAGGCACACAAGGGCCCCTGGAAAATTTGGGGGAGTTATGCATAAACAAAGAAATATCCCCCATCAAGTCACGGAGCATTTCTTTGTAACATGGAAATAATTTAAAAATAATATCTTTGAATAAAACCGACAAAGAGGGACGACTCAGTCCTGAACCCACCTACCTACCTACCTACCTACCTACCTACCTACCCCTCATCAGGAGTCGTATAAAAATCTGATCCACAGGGAACTAGTCGCACGCCTATTTAAGATTAAAAAAAAAAAAATCAGTCAAACTCAAAACCAGTTGTGCAAAACAACAACCAAAAGCTTCAGCTATCATTCAAAGCTGCTAAGAGTCAATAAGGCATTTGTTCAGCTCGACGGAGGGGAAACACAGAAGGGGGGAAAAGAGAGGGAGGGGAGCGCTTGATCATATACAGATATCTACACGGCTGCAGTGTCGCGAAAACTTGTGGAATGTCGCAGGCTGCAGATCCAGGACCCCCCCTCTGCTGGGCCCCTGCACCCCGCACCTGAACACTTGATTATTTTAAAGGGAGAAAAACAAGGAGTGGACAAATTAGTCATCATCACTAATGCCACGAGCAGACTGACGCATCAGACTTTCTGCTAAGATATCAATCTGAATTTGATAATCCAATTTTTCAACCTTCTCGTCATGTCACTTGTGTTGACGCTCGCTCAGCATAACCAGAGTGTTTTATAGCATCCTGGGAGCTCGAATATCCTGACGTTTTGAAAAGATGTCGCCTGAGAAATCTCTTGGGAACATTTTATGATCCCGGTGTGGCTTCATGTGAAAGCACCAGGCGCTTTTTTAAGTCTCTCCTCTTTTTCTTGATGTCACAGATGTCCTCATTTATAAACATCAATGCTGGTGAGAAGGGTGGGGTGAGGGTGGGGGGGCGACAGCACACACTGCTGTGTTGTCTCCACTACAGAAAGTCAGCCGTTCAGTCTCAGCTCCATTTGCAGGAGAGCTGATTGATCAGGAAGACAGCGGTGCTTTGACTGGTGCATCTTCTGGCTCATCTTAATGTTCACTCTGAGTGAAGACGTGAGTTCATGAACTTTTTATCTCCAAATGAGAGAAGTGTTGGACACTGAATGAAATCACAGGAGACAGATGAGAGAGTCAGGCTGCTGGTCTGGTGGGTTAATGGGGCTTTGAACCAAATTTGACCACACTTCTTCTTTTCCCTCGTCTGCACACAGGACAAGCACCTGGACCAGGACCTAGACCAGTACCAGGGTCTGGGGTGCTGGAGCTGTAGGATAGTTGGTTAGAGGGCTGTAGCGTCGGCTGACCTATGACTGGCTGTGTGCTGATGGAGGGCAGTGGGTGCTGGGGGTCTGGGACATGTCTCTGCCGATGATTTCATTCACTGTGGAAGAAAAACAAACACACAGATTAATTATTGAACCTTTGATCGTAATTATGATTTCAATTAGCTTAGTTTTTCAGCTGCATAGACTGCATTATTACATCTGGAAATGAACTATGGAAGAACAAGTTGAGACCACGCTCAATCTCCTGGGGAGTGAACTGTTTGTATCTGCTCTGTCAAATAAACTCTGGAATCATATTTGTCAGACAAAACTACCTTTTTTTTTTTTTTAATTGCTAAATTGCCACCACAACAACTTGCATACACTTGGACACAGCATGTAACAAGTAGTGCATTAAACCCGCAGCATCCCATCATTGCAGCGGTTTGCGAAGGAACGGTGCATGTTCAGTTTGAATTCTTCTAAAAATTCAGTGAACGGATCACTCACTGACCCCAACTGAGCAGACCTGATAAATAGCATACCATAGGACAGTACACTTAAAACATCATGACTTGTAACAAGTTCATTTCTAAAAACTTGATTGCTAACACAGTCAAACACTCTTGTCTTCCAGTCCCAGATATGTGAGATCAGTTCAGTACAGATGTCTGTATGAGGGGTATACTGACAAAGAAAGGCCCAGAGGCCCACAACAAAAATATTATAATCAATATTTTCATGGATAATGAAGCCCAACAAGGTCATCTAGAGATGAGAACCAACTTGGATAGTCGAGAAATGTTTTGAGTGTAATTTACAGCTGATTTAAAACACAGGTCAGAACTGACCCTTAACATGGTGGGTGCGCAGTAAAAGCTATCAAAAGGAGGAAGGTTAAGAGTCTTCTCTCAGCCGTCACACTTCAAAATAAACTACTGTGTAAGTTCATGGATCTTTCCAGCAGGAGGCAGTGTTTCCCCATGATGAGTTCCCCACAAAACTGAAAACTCGACTCCATCCAGCCAATAGCTCAAAGTGGAAAAACTCAAACAAACTGGCAAACCCCAAAGTTCACAGAGTCACCACTCTGACGTGGGATATAATCACTCCTGACATGAGAAATGAGAGAAACTATTCCATTCACAGTTCTGACCTTTGTCTGAGTCTAACAACTGCTGAGGCAGTTACCACAGCACACTGGCTGCTATAAACACCGTCCTGCACGGGGCAGGCCTGTCCGTTACTTCATTACAGCTTTAATGGTGCTGTGGTACATTTCCTCGGGCCTGTTCATGAGGTTTGCGAGCATGGCAGAGAGGCGGTGTAAAACCAAACTAGGGTTGAGAAACCGTGTTGTTGTGCTCCGAGTGGCACTCAGGCGCAGCGAGGTTAATTACTCCTCCGACTCAGTTTGAGCCGCTTTCTAAATAAATAACAGATAAGTCTTTCTCTGCTGCTGCAGTTTTTTCAGCCAGCGTGGGTGATTGTTTTACATCTGCTGCCTCCATTCAGTATTCACACAGGGACCACATGAGACACAGCAGGGAGCTAGTAAAAGTGCAGCCGTGAAGTAAATCAACTCTGAGTGCTTTGACGTGGTGAGGAAGACACAAGAACAGACAGAGTTTTATTTGTTGGGAATTCATGGAAAATGTGATGCTTCCTTCATGACAATGTGAGTGTGTGTGTGCTTCCCCCTGTGTGTTTAAAAGCTGATGTTATAGGTGAGAAACACACACACACACACACACACACACACACACACACACACACACACACACACACACACACACACACACACACTCACACACACTCACACACACTTCAGACTGGGCTAACTGGTTTGGGAGGGTGCAGCAGAGACCTCTAGCCCAGTTTGACAGTGGGAGATTTACAAGCAGACTTGCCTGTACTCAACAGTCCAAAAAGCAGCGTGGTTTTATTCCTCTGAGCTGTAAAATCGCACATTACCCCTTTTCCTGTGATAAACAAATGTGTTACTGTAACCTGGACTCAAAAAAAAAAAAAAAAAAGCGGGTGGGGGGGTGACTCAGTAAGTGGTGAGCAGCCAAGTGTGTGTTTCGCAAGAAAAAGAAACCATATTTAAATTGGATGACACACAGACTCAAATGCACCCTTTAAATGAGAATAAGATGATCTCTTATTCGATTCCTTCACTGAGATATAACCCGCCTCACTTTGACGGTGAATCCTCACTGTATTTTAAAATTTGATCATGTTTGCGTAATGAGGTTTTTCTTCTGTGTTTGAGCACATATGAGTCAACAGAACAGTGGATTTCTGCTCGAGTCTTTACCTCGGTGCACCTTCTGTTTTATTTGTGTTTTCTGCTGCTTGCTTTTGTGTCTGGCCACCATCACTCACATCATCCTGTTAGCGTGGGAGGCTCTTCCTTTCCCATGTCATCTATGTTCACACACGCACACAATCACACTCACAGCACCACCACGAACTCGCAAGGTTACACCGTGACTATCAGAGCAAACATTTACCTTTGTGTTTAAGTAACACTCTACTGACAGATGAAGTAAACGACAACATGGCGGCTTCATCAGTTTTATTCTCTTATAATTCATAGTAAAACAAAACTATGATTGAGGTCTACTCATCTCTATTAAAGGCCGTGACCTTTAGAAAGTGAGGCGGTACAAATGTGCTACGAATAAACAGCATCGTTCAGCTCTGGAGGACAACAGAGTCGCTGTTTTACAACAAAGACTAAACTAGTTAAAAGGCCTCTTTTGTCCAAATGCCAAACCTGTTTAGAATAATACAGTGAGGGAACTTTTTTACTGTCCTGATACAGACAGCACTGAAACTGAAAAACCCCTAAAATAGACTAAGTAGTCTTTCAGCAACAATCTTAATCAAGCGTGTTAATGACACATTTCTGGGATAAACAAAGAGCGGTGTTCGAGGTCTTTACAGTCTTCTAAAATGTAATTTATAACTGCACAATTTGAACTCTGTCGCTCTGCTGATTGATGAGAGTGAATCTCTTACGCCGCAGGAATATGAACAACACACCGACATGAGTAGACGTTTGCAAATGCATATCACTTTCTGCTGTGGACTATTGCAAAGGTTAACACTCTGATTAAGACAGAAACACTAGAAGAGACACGGGGCGATCGCTACACAACTTTTTTAAAAATCAGAACATCGGGGAAAATCATGCTTGACTCGCTTAGTTCTGCAGGAAGAGGCCGCCCCACAAAGGCTTTACTCTTGCTATTCCAGCTGCACATATTTGCTAATATTTTTTATTTAATTATTGGGCTTTTCAGAGCAGAACTGGACTGGATTTATTTTGCGAGTAAATCTGCATCCAAGCCCTGAAACCCGCGTTAAAGAAGAAGATACTTCAGCCGTTCTTTGTTTGAATTTCAGTATTAAGAAAAAAAATCCCTAAATATCACAATCGTGAGTTATCTGCTAGAGCTCCTCAAAAAGAAAAAAGGTTGAAACGGTCGAGAAAGTATTACACATAAAACAGAGGGTTAATTTCCCATATTGATGAGCAACACATTCTGGTTCAGACACACTCATTCATTCGACGCTGGAGCTCCACGCATCAATAATCCAGAAGTGAAAGGCAGATTTGAGTCGAGCCTGCCTTGTGACAAGTTTCGTATGCTGATAGTGTTTTCTCGGATTTACTCGTATCGTTGATGACAGAGCAACAGAAAGCCAGTGATTCAGCGCTGCCTGTTATAGTAAGTGTGGCCCTGAATGGCTCAGCCGGAGGGAGATCCTCTGCAGATGACTAGGAGGGGGGCTCCCTAGTCAAAATATACAACTGCATTCAGCCGACTGCTACTAGAAGTGCTGCTGCTGCTGCTCACAGGTAGTCATCAGATAGAGTCCTCCCATGTGGTTTAGATGGAATTCAAACTAATAATCCTTCAACAGAGATCACAGAAGAGGAAGTAAGAGACATTTCAACAAACCACAGTGTATATTTACTGAGCCTCCAGTGTTTGTGTTTCGATGTTTTATCATAAATATTCATGCTAATCTTCAGGGCAAAGCTTCCTCGAGTTAAAGAGGATATACATGGGAAACACACTCCTTGTAAAATTGTTCATCTGCGATTATTTCTTGAATAAAGAAGAGTGAGTCAGGTATAAGTAACGATGGGAAGCAAGCCACAGCAAATTCAAGTGAAGAAGTTAAGATATAACCAAAACACTTTCAGACATAAGCTTGTATTCCCTTCAAAAGGTTCCCTCTGAAGAGACAAATGTGTATCGTCAAATCTACATCTAAATTTTAGTCAGGAATTATCCCAAAATCGAAGAGGACTGGGTCAACTCCTGTCTCTGTTTCCAAAGTTCATGTCAAAAGAGGCACTTAAAAAAAAAAGATCTCCTTAATTCAAAACAGAAGTGAAACAGGCAGATGGACAGTCTGTACAATAAACATATCATCTGTGGAAATGGAAAACGGGTGATTGTCACAAAGCTGTGACACACAGAAAAAAGTTCCCTCGACCTCGCAGGCTTAAAAAGCATTACTCTGGCAGAGCAGCTTAAGCAAATAACTGGAAGATTGACTGACTGATTCTTGAGTCCAGCAAATGAAGACAACATGCCACAGTGGAAAACATTCTGCAGAGGGAACAAAGACAGAGGCGAGACTTGGTTTTCCTGCGAGAGGGAATATCAAAGCACACTGTTTCCACTCGCAGGGCTCGGTAATGACACGCACACATCTTCACGGGGGCCTCAGGTAAGAGACACAACGTGAAGTCAAATCCACTGAGCAGTCCTACATTGGAAATAGAGGGTCAGTTAATGGAATTTGGATTGAAACCATCCAGATCTTTCTCTGCTTCACTCTTTTACTGCTGCTGCTGCTGCTGCTCTCTGATCCTCCTCTGTTTTATTTTAATTTAACTTTTGGACTCAGTGAGTGGGTGACAGCTCGCAGTAACTCCTGAGAAGCTCATTTAAAAGTCAGTTTCTCAAAGTCACGCATATCTGTGAGCTGTTGGTGGATTTCCCATTTGATCTGACGGTAAGTGATTCACAAGACTACCGCTTTCGCTCTGCAGACACAAAATCGTGGCTCCACTCAGCGGGCGGCCAAAAAAGGGCGAAGTTTCAGGAGGAAACCACTTGAGCCAAAATGATCGCCTGGGGAGATGAGCAAAGCCAACCACAATGGTTTAATAGTATTAACGGAAGGGCTTATCGGCAGAGAGCATGATGAATCTCTGCTGTGTTCCTTTTCCTGATGTTTTATGGTCATGGATCTGAAGCTGTGAACATACCCCAATTCAAAGATTTATTGATTTGTTTTGATTTGTTATGTTTCTGTTGTGATATGACAATCAGCTGCGACAATTTAGTTCTAGAAAATTGGAAAATATCCTTCAGTCCCTCGTGTTGTTTTCAAGTGTCTTGTCAATCAAAAATGGGAAAACATTTAGCGAACTGCGAGCTCGCATTCACTTTAAGGTTCGACATTTACGAGGAAGAGTGAAATCTACGTCAGCACACACTTGTCTGCCATGAGGCAACAGTCAGTACCTGCTGCTCAGAGGAACAAATCACCACTGACCCTCAGGAGCAAAGCCAACAAAAAGAATTAAAAATATTCCAGGCCGTTAATTTTCAGAATAATTTGCTCAGAGCCTGTTCATAAACACAGAGAATGAGCTCAAATGAAGCACTAATCACTGCTGAAGGATTTCCATGCTGCTCCTCCCTCTGTCTAAAGGAAAATGGCCCCATCTCAGTACCATGCTCGTCCTCTGCCAGGACTTCTGCATTAAACTCTCTAAGACCTTAATTGTATGGAAAGATGACACAGAAAGTCCTTTTCCACTCGTTTCAGGGGAAAAGACCAGCAAATCTTTGCCATTGTTTTTAATGAGCTGCAGCAGCATTTGATGGAATCGTATTTTCCTTCCATTGCTGCTGCTTCTTCATGCCACTGAATCAAGAGCTCTCTGTTAATGGCATCATTAAGCCACACACACACACACACAGACACACAGGATAACTTTCTGCACTGAATAAACTGAAGATATGTTTTTATTCAAGCTTGGCTGTTTACAGACACATAACAAGAAGTTACTTATGAGGTTAGTTTGTCTGATTCTATTCCATAAATACTAGTTTTTCATTTAAACATGATTTAGCTCTGTTTTATACTTTCACCCAATGGCAGTTGAAGATCCTTGTCATGATGAAGCAGGTGGACTTTAAAAGGGGCCCTCAATATGTTTGATATTAGCAAGACAACCAAAGGTCAACCCCAAGTTTAATTTCATTTGGTATACAGCTGGAGAAGTACTTTTCAGGTGGCAAATCCAAGTCCAATATTTACTAACCTTCTCTGCCTCATGTGGTCTGCCAACCTCTCAGAAAATACATCCAAGTTTTTTTTTGTTTTTTTCTATTTCTAGACAAAAGACTCTCCTCCACTCACTTGTTTTACTCATTTGGCTCTTTTTGCCATTTTTTGGCTGTGGTCTGAGGACAGCTGCCCGTGAGCTAAAGGGCACTCAAAGCTGAATAGACTCAGAAGTTTCAGTTGATTCTCAGTGGGATTGGCAGCACTGACAAGGTTTTAGAGTTACAAAGAACTCCTGTTAAAGCATTAGTCCCACATATTCGCTTTCTCTCTCTTTCCTTGAGTCACGTGACAAGAGCTATCAAGCTCTCATATCTGTTATTAAATCACAAGCTAACATAGCTTAGCGTTAAGACTGGAAACAGGGTGAAGCAGCTAGCCTGGATCTGTGCCTCACCCTGCTTTGTAACTTGCTAAAATGCTACAGTATAACAAGATGATGGATGCTGGACTTTCTCTTATGTGAGAGAAACTGTCAGGTTAACCAGCAAACATTTAATGAGGTGACTACTTCCCACTAAGAAGAAGTCTTTAACAAAACTCAGAGTCCTTTTATGTTTTAGTTCTGTGTTTATTTTTTCATCTTAGAAGAGTTAGCTAAAAGAATTTGTTGTCTTTCATTCTAAGTAAAGCTAACCTACTGCTGTGTTTGTCCAAAGTCTTCATAACTGAGATCTTTATTTGCAAAAATGATACAACTTTTTGACTTCCGGTACGATACCGATATTGTAGCCTTCGATATTGACACAAAATTGATAACAGACCGATAGCTGATATCAATATCGTATCGTTCATATAGTATCGAGACACCCCTAGATAGGACCATCTCCTATACTCTACAATATCAAACAAAATTGTAATTGTAACATGGCAATTGTTAATGTGGGCTCAGCTTGCTGGACTCCTACTGTAGACACCACACTTCTTCTTAACCAACACACAAGGACCAACACAAAGGACCCTCCTATGCATACTCTGAAAATAGAGGGATCGTCATGAGCTGATTAATTAGCTGAATGCACAGTTCCTGCAGCACAAAGGCTTCAGAGATGGCTGTAACCACCATCACAGGAAGGCCGGCTCATCAGGCAACGACTGTGTTCATCATGAGTAACAAATCTGACACCAATGTGGTAAACCTGGCTGGCTGTCTCACCAGGGATTAGTGAATAGAGATGCAGTTATAATATTTTAAGTCCATCAGTCATCTATACCTGCTTATCCTTAAGTCCTGAAATAGAAAGAGAGTGAAGAGCGCCTGTATTTGTGTTTCTGGTGGAGTAGCAACACACTGCAGTCTCAGTGCTGGGTGTGGAAAACATTAACAATACAAGACCTGCCTTTCAAAGCACTTCATGATAGTGGCCTTATGCTGAAACCCTTTTATCCTGAGATTTCCATATACTACACTCTGACTCCTAATACGATGCTTTGTTAAGATTTAACGGCCCATTTACAATCTACAGTCCACAAAGCATAAAATCATCTCTCATATTTGTTTACTTTCATCTGAGGTGCCAAGCACATTTCAGATTGAACGTCTCGGCTGAGTGACCCTGCAGTGGGCTTGGATCCTGACCTTGTCTGTCCATCTGTCTGTCAGTCTGTCTTCTCACCTCCTGTGTCTCCTGCCTTACACACACACACACGCACACACACACACACACACACACACACACACAGTACACTCACTCCTCCACTACATCAAACAGATACACACAAACACAATATCTCATCTAACACAAACACACACACATATCTCAAGCATGCTCTGGTGTGCGTCACACAGGCCATCTGCTTGCTAACCAGAGCAGTTTTCTACACACTCACATTCATATTCCTTCTCATGCCACTGACACAAATCTGTGATACTGCTGCAGCAGGAGGTAATTTCAGGTGAAATGCCTGTATGATATTAAATTTATGAATATATGTTACCTGCTTCTAGAAAAAAAAACATAAAAAACTCCCAAACTCAAAATATTTTACTAAAGATTTATTTTCTAAATCTGGAGAATTACAAGGTAAAGAATCGGAAGCATCATCTGACCTCTCTGTTTGTGAAACAACATACGTCTTTGAGGACAAGAGGTTCCGGTGATGCATGATGAGTACGATCCTTCATTTGTCACCACCAGCTTATATCTATTAGTACACTTCTTTTGTACAAAGAAACCACTCTCTCCCTCTCCATCTTTCAAGTGTAGCTTTACTCATGGCTATTTACTCTATACAAAAACACATTTGTCACTACTTGCTACTTTAGGAACATGGAGAGTCAAGTATGTTTTCCCTTTAAAAGGGACCCACTCTTATGTAGATAAAAAAGGCTTATTCTTAGGGAACCAAAAAGATTTATATTCAGGTCATTGTACGCTATTTTTAACATACTTATGAATACTGAATTCCATTTCTACCGAGTCTGCTCTGCAAAATACTTCACAATGCATCTTTAAAGGATTGTTCTGGAGGACACTGGAGTTTGGGCTGAACAATATATATATATTTCTCAATGTCACATGAATGTAGAATGTAAACATGCATGCAAGTCCCAATGCTGCAGATACCTGGAAATGCTTGATTTAATGAGACAGATCTTGAGGAAAGTGATGTCCTGCTTATGTCAGTGCTTGATAACATCTGGAGCAAATTAACACAAACTGATGAGCTCTGAGTTTTTACCTGAAGCCTCTACACCTGCAGTGCGAGAACATTGCAGTGATGTGAAAACCATATGCAGAAGAGTCATTAGGCTGTGACAACATACAATACATGCCAATGAGATTTTGATTACTAGTAGATTTATCTTGGCTTTTATTGGTGTCTATTGTAACCGTAAATGTAATGTCATCATAATTCTTGTTTTAGTTATGATTTTAACATCTTGAATAGTTCTCCTGTTTGGATTTTTATCATTTTAATCTATGCGATTGTTTACTGTCTTCTTGTGGACCCCAGGAAGAGTAGCCGCTACTTAGTTAGTAGCTAATAGGGATCCAAATAAATAAATTTAAAAAAAAGAAGGTGAGTTTTTGTATTTTATGTGGTAACATGCTGCTACACTTATACTTTCTACTCCCCCCAAAGCTGCTCTCAGAGGGCCGGGCTCAGTGTGATATCAGTGGGAGGGGGATTCGATCTGAAATAGGAAGGTAGACTTAAAGATCCATATTATAAATAGTATGCATGCATTTCTAAGCACTTCAACTACACTGCATTTTTCTGGTATAAATTTCTGTTTTTGTTTTTGTTTTTTTCAATATGTTTTGCAAAAAGAAATAAAAAAAATGCAAGATCAGATTTTTTCAACATCATGCAGCCCTGATGAACATTTGTAAATATATTTGCAGACTTTAAACAGCCGATATTTTTACATGTTTGCTTACACTTTTGAAATTGTTTCATTAAATAAATGTTGTGCACGTCTTACTACTCATTACCTACAAATATTTGGCCCATCCATCCATGTCAAACTTGAGTGAAAATGGTCTACTTAAGAGAGAGAGCTGCGACCTTCTAAAACTCAGAGCTGTAGTTTTAAGCCTCACAGTGCTACTCCAAAACATGGCCTACAGAGCTGGGCTGGCACAGAAAGCTATTTTTAGACACAGGCTCAAAGGGAGAGCTTACATTCTCGGCTGAACCGTGTCACTCACAAACTTTTCTTACACTTTTTTCATTAGAGCAACTCTGGCCGGCTACTTTTAGAGAAGCTGTGTGTCTAAATTTGATTTTGAGGTGAAACATTTATGATGATAAAGGTTGTCTGAGTGCAAAGATGCGACTGCATGTGAACCTGTTAAAAAAAAAGACAGAAAAGCGAAGTCGTCATATACGATTAGGTACACTGATTACATAAGTAACATGCATGGTCGTGTGTTTTACGATCTGATGGACCTCAGTGCTTGTTGGTCTTTCACACATGACTTATTGACATTGGCTCTGTGTTAATTAGGCTGACCCTTCCTAGCACACAATATCACACCTCTCTGACACAGTCTCACCAGGCTACTTATTAACCCTAAACCTTTAGGAGCCTCATTTAAATGTGGTGCTGGAGTTAACAAAACAGACCAATGCTGTGAAATCAAGATAAGGATGTTGATGACCTAGAATAGTTTTGGACACACATTTTAGATAAGGAAGCAGAGTTTATGAATGACAGAGAAAAAAAAAAAAAGCTGCTAAATACGTGCTCTGACTTCACCAGTCAATTGTTAAGTCAACAAGTTCTTCTAAACATGCTAATTAAGGCCGTTAGAACACCTACACAGCTGCTCACATACACAGAAACACACAGAGGAAGTAATTGCTGCGGCAAAACACAACGGTAGTTTTTTGTTTTCCCGCTGCAGTCCTTGCAAGTAGCACATAATGATGCAAGCCTGTCTCTCGCCCCAACACGCCACAAAATACAGAGTGTAATTAATCTCCAAACTGCTGCCAGATGTACAAAAGCATTGTGTTTACAATTAAGCACCTTAATGTGATAGCACCCTTATCAGTTCTAGTTTGTCTATGTAACATGACACCAAGTCACAGGACCCCTCAATATGTACGCCACAGCATGCTTTTATAACAGGTGAAACGCTGTCACTATTATCAGGCATCATGGTTTCAGGCAGCCCCTGAAAAATCCAACTGGAGCTCTGTGCCTTTGTATGTCACAACAAATTTATCATGACAATGACGTATGGCAGAGTGATTCTGATCTCTCAGCAGACCCTTGATTTAGACTGATAGGAGATGAATCACAGATGGGGCTGCTATACAAATAAAAATGAGAGGGAAATGTGATAATGAAAGAAAAAGACTGGACTGACCGAAAACTGAAGAGAGGAAGAGCAGAAAAAAAGAGACATGAATTAAAAAACAAAACAAAAACAGTGTAAGCATCCGACAGCATCTCTTTTAAAACATCTAAAATGTTCTGTGTGTGCAGTGTAACCTGTTTATCTCTGACCACCCTACCTGTTCTAAAGTACTCCCTCCATGAGGTTCAGGTTAACATAACCTTCTGTTGACATCCTGTGCCCCTCTGTGTGGACTAACCAGCTTTTAGAGTAAAAACAAAATCATTTTGTTGTTACAAAGGTTAGTAAGGTGAACAAATATCTTACCATCGTCCAGCGTGATGTCCTGCAGGCCGATAGAGCGGAAGGTGGGCTCCCTGTCCTCTGGCTCTTGCTTGATGTTCAGCCTTTCTCCTTCTGGTGAGAAGGACCCCTGCGGGCTCAGAGGGTGAACCAGAGGCCCCGCTGCAGCCGGGGACAGGCTGGTCATGACGGGGCTTGTGGCCTGGGGTGAAGGCTGTCCTGAATGCTGCTGCTGTAGGGGACCCAGGGGGCTGCCTCCAGAAGTGGGGGATGATGAGGTGGGGGACTGGTAGGGTAGAGAGTGGAGCTGAGGAGAAGATGGCCCAGAGTGTGGAGTGGGAATCATCCGTGGCGGCGGTGGGGCACTGGATGTTGTGGGACAGGATGCTGACCGTTGACCCACAGGGTGGTAGCCCATAGCCCTCTGCAGCTGGGAGGAGTGCTGCGCCACGAGTGGGTGGCCACCTGGAGAGGGAACCTGGGTGGGGTTTGGGTGATAGCCTCCAAGTGTGTGGAGGTGAGGGTTTGAAGGGGGAAGCAGGGGTTGCTGGCTCTGAGGAGACCCAGAAATGGAGTTGGTGGTGGAAGAGGAGGGTGCTGATGGTGAAGAACAGGGGGATGAAGGGTACACTATTCCCATGCCCATTTGGTGTGGTGCTGCACTGGGGCTGTGCTGAAAGGGCAATCGCTCGTACCCTTGAGGGGGCAAGCTAGACTGGCCGTTGAAGGGCAGACTGTGACCGTGACTGTGGCTGTGACTGTGGCTGTGGCTGTGCTGCATAGGCTGGTAGGAGGGCCGGAGAGGAGCAGGACTCGGGTGGAACGGCATGTGGCAGTCTGCGGGGGGGTGATGCAAACTGCGCCCCTGTAGGTGAGGCAGGTGCTGGAAAGACGGGGAGCCCAGGGAGGGGCAGGGGGCCTGCAAGGGTAGCAGGCCAGGTCCGGAGCCCGAGGCCAGGCCGCGAGGGGAGCTGGACAGAAGGTTGTCCGATGGGTGGCCCTGCTCAGGAGAAGGCATCTGGGTGTGCACCAAACTGGCAGCATGTGCCAGGGGCATGGACATAGGGGGTACTGCAGGAAGGTCCAGCTCATCTCTATTCTCCTGTTTTACCATGACTACAGAGAGAGAGAGAGAGAGGAACAAAGAGAAAGGGAGGAAGAGACATGTGATGAAAGAGGAAAGAGTGACAGGATGAAAGAAAAAAAAACACATTGTCAGTTAGGTCTATCAATCAAACACTGCTTATGAGTAAGAGTACGTTATCTTTTAAGTTTCTCAAGTCACTGCGTTGCAACATCGTCAGTTTCGCAGCTATTTTTGCTCCAGGTACAGTAGTACAATGACATCAAGACAGCTTTACAAATGGAGCGGTTCATTTTCTTCTGTTGTCTTTTCAACACCCACAGATTAGCCCCCTCAATTTGTGGCTTTTAAGATGAAAAAATGCTCAGCACAACCAGAAAAACTAGGTCAGAAGAATCTCGAAGCAAGTGAACTTAGTCTCTCAAATTCAAGGTTTGTGAAGTGGGTCTCCTTCCAGATGTAAAAAGCCACAAACTGATAGACATCTCGATAATAAACGGGGCCATTCCCTTTTACTGTGACAGCTAACAGCACTGCTATGCCAATCAGTAACCTATTTCTCAATCTGGTGCCTTGTGACAGTGAGTTTTATTTTTATCCAGCTCTGAATCAGAGGGAGAGCATATGTTGTCATTCTGGGTGCCATCATGTGAAATGCTGTGTGGGAAGAGGAGCTGAATGCCCCGCAGCCCAGATCAGACGGCAGACAACAGAACAAACCAGTTCACTGATCATGCCCTCTCCTCACCCCTCTCTGCTTCTGGGATTGAAAGGCGAGGGGCATGAAAAGGCCAAATGGGGTTTACTCTGGCTAAAAATGGAGTTGATGGGATTGAAGGTTACGAGAAGGGTAAAGTACAGTGTATTTGAACATAGAGTGGGATCAGGTTCAGGTTGTTTTCATATTTCATCCAGTCTTAATGCAGCTTTTAAAGGGCGCCAGGGGCCTTCTTCATGAAAATTCTCTTTTAAAAACATACTTTTTCCAGACTATTCTTTCCCTAAACAGGGACAAGCCTTCTACAACCCAGCCCACAATAAAACAGTTTTATTTTTTGCCACAATAAAGCAGGCGTTGTCCGTGGTGACACTGGTGGTGTCAGAAACCCAGCTTGCCTGACAGAGCGGGGTTACGCTACTTTGCTTTGATTGGCTGCCCTGATCTGTTAACGGTGAAAACAGGAACTGTCTGTGCCGAGTGGGCGTGCTTGCAAACAGAAAGGCTGGGTGGGTGGAGGGGCAAGGCTGCTTTATGCATACACACACTAACATACGCACTGTTGTGGTAAAACTCATGGTTTAGACATGTTGCACAAATTGTCATTATATTCCGCCAACATTGTTTTCAGTTTGACTAACTTCAAGAGAAAGAAAAACAATAACAATATCAGATAGCAAGGAAGGAATTTAGCTTTAATGAGGGAAATGAAGGAAACTTTCTGATCAAAATGTTAAAAAAAAGGGATTTTTTTAATGCTGGGATAATTATATGAAACCAAAATTCAAAGTTTACTGTACAATTATGAAAGTTTCCTGGACAGCAAAGGATTTGCATCATAGAAGCGTGCATGGGAGTAAGCTTTAGTAAACAAACAGTTGGCAGGTGTTAATGTTAATGTTCATGGAAGACCCTCTTCTGAACCACAGTAGTGTTTTCTTTGGGGAGGGGAGCAGAAAAAAGGGGTCAGCAAAGCCCTGTGGAGAAGGGTGCGACATGAAAAGTATGTTACAACTGTCTCGGTCTGTCTTTTTGTCATGACTTTGAGAGATTGACTACAGCTGGGAACAATACACATACCTAAAAATTCAAAGAAGAGCTTCAGAGACTCTCAGCAAAATGACTTTTGAAGCATTGGTTTCAGCAATTTGTCGTAAGGTCTGAAATACTTACAGTAAGTAACAAAGCGGTTTTCTTTTCTAGCCTAGGAGCTGAAATGTTGGGGGAAAAACTATGAACAAAAAAATCCTCTTAAGATTCAGGAAACTCTCCTTACCTGAGAGGTAAGTGAAGCGTTGTGATTGGCTCCTTTTCCGCTTTCCATTGCAGACATAAAACTGCACCTGCACAGCTGAGCCCACAGTCTTACTATGGTAGGGAGGGACCTCCACCACGATGCATGACTACAAATGAAAAACCATTGAACATTATTTCCATCCACCCATTACAGAGAAAACATTAAACTATTTGCATGCTATTTGAACACCATAAAATGCAAAAATCATTTCACAACTTACAGCAGAAAAGTTTATTGAAGTGCAAATATAACAGACAGAATGGCGAGGAACACCTGTGTTGTTAAAAAGAGAGAGTACTTACTCCTTGAGATTTTTCACGAATTATTTTTGCTTCAACTTCCCACTGTGGTCGCCCATCTGGAGAGAATGAGAAAATATGATTTTATTACTGTTTATACTGTATGAAACCACAACAGTTGATGAGCATTAAAATAATCTGTGGAAGGACCCATTCTGGTCTGTTATCACTGGAATTGTAAAATTAAGAGAATTAAAAATAGTTCAAGTTTTGGATAAAAATATAAACATTATATTTAAATAATTTTATTCACGTATAAGCAATGACCAAAAACGGCTACCAACATATAGTGATGGCCATGGTTTCACAAGTTCCCTTTTGACATGTAGTCTGCAATATTTTTTTTAAAAGCAACTGTCCTCATCTGGTGTCTTTCTCTGTTTTTTTCCCCCCATTTTAATGATGATGTCAGAGTACAGTGCTTTCTCAAACAGACAGAGATTAAGACCCACATGAGGCATCAGAAAGCACAAGATTTCACTTTATTCCGCAGAACCAGGAGACATGAAAAATGAGGTCATTTTAAGAGGTCCAGACGCCCCATGGAGAAAATCTTAGCAGCTATTAAATAGTAATCAAATGTCCAAATATTCTGCTGTTTGTCTAGTCTGGTTAGAATTATGGAAGGGCCAGTGGAATAATTGTATTCATTTTAAAATGCCTCTGCGCAATGCCAGATTTCTGGCTAGAAAACATCCTTTCCAGTTTCCCTTAGAAAGATCTAATTATTTGGCCAGACATCTTAAGGGCAGATGCTTGGAGGAAGCAGTCAGGATAAAAACACTGACAGACCTACAGTGTGGTTAGAGGGAGATCTGGTTATCACTGCTGCAATAGCATCAAAACTTTGACCATAAAAAAAACAGCATGATGAGATCTTTAGAAAACAAACATGCAGTCTGCTGCTTTTTTGTGTTTACATGATGCAATCTCACTCTGCACCTGCATGACCTCTCCCAAGAACCCAAAAGGATTCCCTCAGATACCGCTGTTAGGCATCTGCAACATTTCTGCAGAGAGGAGTAGCCCATATTTTCAAAGTAAACACTCAACCGTAAGCCTGGTTACTTTAGCTTCATCAGCGTCCTACCCAAATCCACACTCTTCTGTTGCTTAAAGACAGCACTTTACCCATTTGAATCTCCCTATCATTAGCTCTCAGTAATCCACTGGAACATTAACCAGTCACAACACCACACAGACCGAGAGGAGAGGGCTTCACTTTTAAATGACAGGTAAATGACCTCAAATGTCTTTGCAGCTGACAGCGGTGCATTATTGCAGCGCAGCATGTTGACATTCAACAGGCAGAAGCAAGGGCCCCTCATGCTCTGTCAGACAACAAGCACCGACAGGAACCTCATACCACCTAAAACAATGACTCCCATCCTCAAAACACCCAGTCAGAGGGGAACGCAAGTGTGCACCCATTGTGCTAGAAGATAGAAATGAAATGATGAGGGTGATTGCTGTTTACGTTGCAGTCTCTTTGTAAAAGCCTGCAGCTGTTTGGCTTTTGCAACCAAAACTATCTGGTGACTGCAGAATGCACACGCTGGTTTAACCGCTAGTCAAAGCAGGTAGTGTTTCAGCCCGCCGAGTTTACTCCTTTACATAAACAGTCAGCCCTGTAAAATTGAAAAACTCATACTCATTATGGACCTAATTCTACATTTATTAACTCGCTTGTTCTGTCATCCTTTTACTCTCATTTTATCCTGATCTTCCCCTAAATATCAAAAAAGGAAAAATAAATAGATGTGATTCAAGACTGTTTTAATTTTACCTTGAAAGCCTGAATGGAACCACTGCTAAAACCAGAAAGGAAAAACAGACATCTGTTTCATGTTTCTAAAAGTCTTATACCTGCTCTACAGATTATATCAGCTTAAAATTAGATGATTTGAACAAAGATTTAATTAAGGGAGTAAAGGAACAGCAATCAAACCAAAGAACTGCATAACAATGGGCAGTGAAGGTTAACATATTTAATGTTATCCTGCTTCAAAAAAGAAACAGATCACAGATAAACAAATGGCATCACAACACAGATGTAGAACGTTTATAGTACAAATTCATAATCTGTCTGTGTGCACTGGAAACTATAGGCCAGTCTCTGCACTTCTTTATGATCCCACTGCTGTCTTTCAATTATGAGAGATGGTGGAAAAATGTCTGTCACTGCCTCCAGTTCATTCTTTTCTTCCACTTCTGTACTTACTCCAATCAGTGTCTTTCTGCGCTAAAGCGGACGGATTAGTCATGATGAAGGGGATGATTTACAAAAACCTAATCAACATCATCTTCCCCTCCCCTTTCATGCTCTTTCTGTCTCCTTCCACAGTCCGCTGCCTTCCTGCACCAAGGGGCCCAGCTTCATCCAAGATGCACCTCTCGAAGGTTCTCTCTTATTTAACTGTCAGTGAGTTGTTTGAGCCACGCTTCGTTTTTATGCCATGCTTCACCTGAAGGAGCTAAAGGCATTCCTACAGGCTGTTTTTTACCCTGACAAAGTCTTAGAGAAAGAATGGTTCTTCTCACTTGCAAAGACAACACTGTTCACTCTCTGCCATGTGTGAACTTGACTCTGTTGCTCTGCATGACAAAGGTTTCTCGGGCAGGCAGGGACTGGCTCAACAAATGCTACCTATTTAAAATTTCCATCTGAGGGATTCCAGCTATTACACGTGTTGTGATTGCACAGAGGAAAGGCAGAGAAAGTGCAGTGATAGAAAACAAACAGGATGAATGGCATGGAGAATTCAACTCAATTATCTCCCCAGAGGAGACTTTTGCTGATAACACTGGAACAACATTTAAAGTCATACATTTTTACAAGGTGGAGACTTCCTCCATATCATTTCAAAACTCTATTCTGTCAACAGGAGTTGCACCAAAGGTGTTACTGCAGTGCGTGTTCTTCTCGGCATATATAAACTGGAACTGTAAATGCAGCACACCTCCCCCTTGTTTTTCAGTTAATGCAAAGCAAAAATTGTGAGTAACATTTTCACAACACAAACCAGTGTTGACACACAGCGTGCCTCTGTTTTGCGTATTACATTCATTTTATTCAAAGGAAATGACTGCACCAGCCCAAGGTATAAGATTGGGTAATGGCTGTTTGAGCTTCATTGTAATTTCATTTTTTGACAGTAACTTTCTCTCAATTTTTAACTATTTTCAACAAATAAATCTGTCTTACTTCCAGTTTTTAAATGTAATATATTGCTATTTTGCTATCATCCTCACATCCATACCTGTTTTTTGTTGGCACTGATCTTTTTCTCTTTTTATATTTTTCATATACTTGTCTTTAATACTGTCCTTCCCTTGCACTGCTCTTTCTTTTTTACACTTGTTCTTTTATCTTATTCATTAGTTTTTTGTATGTTGTGTGTACTGCTGCTGTTCACAATTTTAATTTCCCCACTGAGGGATGAATAAAGGGAAATCTAATCTAATCTAATCAAAGCTACGCTGACATACGTGCTGTTTATTCTATCATCTTGTAGTTACATAGGCAGTGCAAAGCAGGTTAGACAGACTCATCTTCTAGCATCAAATTTCCATGTCTCAGGCCTTTAAAGTAATATCTTCCTTTAATGTATTTTAATATTTTTCTTCCAGTGTAAGTGTATTTCATTTACATCAAGATAGAGAAAGAGAAAAACATCTTCAGCACACCTGTCAGCCATGACTCCTTCAAAAACTTCTATAACCGTCTGCAGAGTTCCTGCTCATTTACAAATCTATGTCAGTGTATAAGCAATACTCACACTAACTTGCAGCCTAAATATATCATTGACCAACTCCCCCTCCAGTAAATGACACATGAACTATTTACTCTGGTGGCCTCTGTGATAAAATCCGTCAGCAACCATAAAACATGACTTTTTTTTAAACGCTCATAATTGGCACAAGCTGTTTCTTCTGTGCTGTTTTAAGGTTGAGCTGCTGTGCAAACATCAAACATACCAGGGCCTTTCTCCAGGAATATGACCTTGGACTCCGGGAAGAAGTTAGAGCCAGTGATGACCATCTCTTCTCCCCCGCTGACCAGACAGCTGGTCAGGCTGGCTTTCTCCACCTGGGGCAGCTCTTGAGCTGAACGCTGGGCTGAGTTGAGGATAAAAGAGGAGGATTATACACGGAGAATAGGGTCATTTTTTTCTAGCATAGACAAGAGAACATATATCAGTACAGGCAGACACAGTAAAAGGAACACATCTGATTATTTTGCAGTCTAGGACAGTTGAGTACGGTACAGTTTTTGTGTGTATTCTTGTCTGTTTATTTGGCAAATTTTCTGAATGAGCTTGTTTGGCTGTGTAAGTGCGTGTGTTTCTGGACACTTACAGCACTCTACAGGAATAGAGGAGGCCTGCAGTGACAGCACTTTCCCGTTTGGTTGAGGGATGTGCACTCTGAACACAACACGTACTCTTGTGTTCTTTCTTCCTATATCCGTCTCCCCTTTTCGCAGCTCGATGTCGGAGTTCCGCAGCTTCAGGATGCCAGCACAGTCGATACTACGAGGTAGAGGGAAAATATTTGGCCCCATAAGGCACCACAGGGATTGCAATCATCTACGGCACATTTAAGTAGCGAAGGTCTGGGGGTTATAAAACCAACCACATGCCCAGCAGGGGACGGGCATTGAGAGGAGAACTCAGTGTTGAATCATAAAATAAAAATGCCTGTAAATATGACTTATTACAACTGTTAAGAATAAACCCCAAAGCAAACCCCTTCCTATGAATTCCAGTGTAAATGAAACCAGACCCTATATAAATACAACTATAGGAGTAATCAGAATCATAAATATTTTTATTAAGTTTGTTTTTACTGCTTAATGGGAAACCCTCAAGTTTTCCCTCTCTATTTAGGTTTCCCATTAATCTAAATTCAGAAATCTATCAAATCTGCTCTGGACCATGTTTCTGTCCCGTATGATCATAAATGTGGTCTCCGTTTGATCAGACTGTTATTTCTTGATGGTGATAATCACATGACTGATTTTTATAACCCTGAGGTGTTTATGACACCTACCTGGCTGACATGTTGTTCTCAGGCAAGAGAGGAATTTCAAGAACTTTGGTGCTGGAAACTATGATTTCTTGGCTGGCTGTGGCTACGGTTTTCCCGGTGATCCGATGCACCTGGTAGAAGGCATGCGGTCTCAGGTAACGGTCGTCTGCCGTTCCAATGAACATCTGCAAGTTGACAGGCTTCTCGCTGTAGCCGATGAGCTGAGACATGACAGAGAAAAAGAGAATTGAAAACAGATGTGAGTTTTTTGGGTCTAGATGAGAGGTGTGAACAAAAGAATACGCTCCTCATTTCCACTGCCAGCAGAGGGCAACCATTTTTGGAGGGAATCTAAATGTCAGGTCAATAGTGTTATGACTTTTCTGGAAGAGCCGCTGGAGATTCATCTGGAGCTTTGGCTTCAAACTAGTTTGGCTGAATGTTTTTAACTCTTAAGACTTGTAATTTTTTCCCTTGCATGCCTTCCTCTCTGCTGGGCACAGTTTTCTCCAAAAACCCTACCAGAGCCATAGAACCTGGCCAGAATAATCTCTTCAAGACCAGACAGGGGTTGTTAGCACCTATAGTGACTGTAAAAAGCATTTAAAAACCAAAAGGGCAGCACTGGATTGGCTTAAAAAAATATGAAAAAACTACTGGTTTGCTGGAACATGAAAATAATGGGTTATGCCTTAAAGACAAAATATAAGATGATAAAGTTGTGGAATTAAATGAGTTCAAATATTAAATTTGGCACAAAGTTGTACAAAAGCACTATCTGTGACACATTCAACCAAGTGTGTGTGGTCTCAGACATAAAAAAAACACACTTAAAAGTTACAATGCGGTTTTAATTTCCTTGAGGAGATCTTCCCAAAAAGATCAAAAAAGTTTCATCTAGTCAGTCTAATCTAATCTAATCTAATCTAATCTTAAAAAGGGGGGAAAAAGGCCTGCAAAAATGTCAACATTTTCAATCCAGCGGTTTATGCATGCCAGTCTGGTTGGCACACATGGGAAAGCAGCTGCCTCCTCAGTAAGAGCTAGAGCACTGCTGGCATCCTGGTTTCTATACAAGCAGGTGAGATGTTCTATGAAGGAGAAGTGTTGCGTGTTGGGGAGAGACAAGGGAAAGATGGAGAGGAGAGCAGGACCTTTCCTCCTCAGAGGGACAGAACAAACACTCAGGCCACACAATCCCACTACTGTTGTAATGTTGTACTTGGCAGACTGATAGCTGCAAGATGGCAGCCCCCCTCACACACACACATACACATACACTCCCGGCGTACTGCCCTCGCAGTCCACACCTCCAGCTCTGATGGAGGGCAGCCCATTGAAGGGAACTGAGAAGAACAAGACCATTCATTGCTGTTTCACCCCAGGAACTGCCAAACCTCAACCCTGCCACAGCTGGCTCCTGACCCTTTCCTGCCTGCAGGTCTGCGTCACACACCGCTGTGTCAATGTTTGGTGCAAATGTGGGGAGGGGTCGGTGGAAGGAGAAAAAGTGGGTGCAGCTTGGGATTTGTCGTGAACTGTTCCAAAACCAGCTAAAATATAAAAAAGGATTAAATTAGTCACAGTGAGAACCTGGAAACATACAGTATGTACTCGACGAGAAACTGTGAGCTAGCACTTCCAGAGAAAAGCATGCTTTGTTTCAAAATATTGTCTTTCTTGCCAATTAATTGTACTGGTTTTTCTGTGGAATTATTAAACACTGCTTTTTTCCAGCATTAGTGTGAGGTGTCCTCCTGGAACCAGTGGTGGCACTGGTGTTTATTGGAACTGTTGTCATTGGATCAACAGGTAGCCTTCTGACTCTCACTCTTGCTTTTGCTACTTTCAAAACAGCCCTCTGTGGTGAAAGAAGTCAAGGTGTACTGGAGCCAATGATGAGCTGAACTGTGGAAAAACTGAAAATCTATGCCGTGTTAGAAGAGGGTCATGTGAGAGTGCAGGGCCCCAGAGGCAGATATTAAGCAGGCAGGATGGTAAAGCCTAAATCTTTCTGATGCTTTACTGTTCTTAGCTGTTTAAGTCTTGCAGGGTTTTGCTACTGAATTCAATAAAGACATTGCTTCACCAAACAGAACTGAACTGAAAATAGTACAAGAGGAAATCTTTTTTGGTAAGTTAACAAAATGAAAAAAAAAAAAAAACACCAAGAACTTACGAAGCACTTTGGTCATCTCAACCCCAGTTTGACTAACGCATCATTTTAGATATTTACATAAAAAATTCAACATCCAAAATCAACCCTGTATGACTAGCCTCATGTCTCAGGTGGTTTAAAAGGAAGACAGGGCCAAAGGCTATAAAGAAGGCTTGGCTAAGGGGTGCAGGTCCAGGCTGGTAGACAAATACAGTCTCAAACTTACAGCTCAGGACCTGTAGGGTTCAGACGGGTCTTTGACATACTTGATATTAATTTATTCTTTTGAAAAAGAGCGAAGGAATAAAAAGAAAAGGTCTTTTTCTCACTCTAACCAGGACCATGTGCAAAATGTCATACCTGTCAAAATATCACTCTTACCTCACCTTGACAAAAAACAACTGTATTAATATAAAAAGTCACTTCTAATGCCATGTATAATTATGCTATCAGGAAAGCAGTTGTTTTTCATGTGGTCATAAATCAATCATTCCTTTGACAAATGCTGATTTATTTCTGGCTTATAAATTCTCAAACCCGGCAGCTCTGTCTGCGGGGAAAACTACCCGCCCCGAGGTATGTTGTTACTCCTCTACCACATCCTCCATGTGTTTCAGCTGCTCACTGATGGAGGCATGTCTCCCTCAGAATGAGTAAACAGATGAGTAACCTGTGCTCGTTTTGGGTGTGTGCGCTTCCTACCTAAACTTGATTGCTGCTGTTGCTTTTTTCGGTGCTGCAGTAAACTGTTACCTGCTGCATGTACTGAGAAATTTTCCAACACCAGCGCCAAAGTGGAAGCGACCTAACCGATGCTCAAAACTGCTGTATGTGGCACATGAAATGTATTCGGAAGGAAGAAGTACCAAGGCAGCATGAGGCCCCTTTAATAACCAGTAATAGGTTCATCTTTGAAAACCACATGAGATCTCAAAAGCCACATGAAAGTCCAAATCGTATGCATCCTAGTCTGAATGAAATCCATGGTTGTAAATGACACCATTATTCCCGATTCAAAGAAAAAACATGGAGTCACAGGGATCAACAGTCTTGTGGTTTGTGTTGCTTGTTTTTATGGTCATGTCTGCACCCTGTGGAAGTGAGGACAGACAGGCAGAGCTTGCACGGGTGTATATGTGTGCATGTGACTGTTTGCATGCCTGTAGTGCACTTTGAAAGGGTGTGTGTGTGTGTGTGTGTGTGTGTGTGTGTGTGTGTGTGTGTGTGTGCCTGTGTGCATCCATAAATCAGGGCATGTTTATTTGCAGCACCATGTGTGTTCCAGACAGCATAAAATGAGTTAAAAGTGTCGGAGGAATGTATCTAAGGAAGAAGTAGACCAATGGAAAAAAAAAAAAAAAAACACTGAAAAGTACTTCTTAGATAACAGCACTGCAAAAAAGCTCACAAAATGGAATTGGATTATTCTAAAATCAACCACAAGCAACCTAAAAGCCAAGGATTTACTCTACATTGTCAGTTCTATTCAGCACCGCAAGCCGACACCTCCAAATAGAAAAGGTCTGCGTTTACTCCTTCCCTTTATTTACACCCTTTTAATCTCGACCTCTCTAAGTCCTCTTGTATTTTCTCTATTACTCTGTCTCTGTACATGAGGGATTTGGTGTTGAGCCAGAGTGTTGACAAACATACACTTAGCAGGCCAGGAGTTCTCTCCAAATCAAATAATCGACCAGGAAAACCTGATTAGAGGGCCAGAAAGAAGGGCTCACTTCAGCAGTCGCAGTGAATCAACGCCCCTGGCCAAACAGAAACTCGCCACACAGATAAACTGATTCAGTCACTCTGCTGCAGACGCAACTCTCATAAAAACAGTGATTTTCTCTTCAGTGTTTCCCTTGAATGAGTTCAATTTTGTTTATGTAGATCACTGGAAAACGTGGAGCAGCTTTATAAAGGTAAGTCAACAATTATTAAACTTATGCCAACATTAGAAAACAGGAGCTTGTACTAAGACAGTGGTTCTCAAGTCCAGTCTTCGAGCCCCCCCTGTCCTGCATGTTTTGGATGTTTGCCTGCTCCAACACACCTGATTCAAATGATCAGCTCGTTATTAAGCCATTTCAGAGCTTGATAACGAGCTGATCATTTGAATCAGGTGTGTTAGAGCAGGGAAACATCCAAAACATGCAGGACAGTGGGCCTCGAGGACTGGACTTGAGAACCACTGTACTAAGAGGAACGTTTACTTTACAAGTATTATTCTTACATACAAGATTATGGTTGAGAAAGAAACATGTCAGAATAGGTGGTGAGTTTTTAGCTCTGGGTTTTAAAAACCTCTGTAAAATATTGAAAGATGTTACTTGAAATGTGCTGTTGGCATTATTATTATTTTTTACTCTTTTTTGTTTGTTTTAATTTTTTTCTCCTCTGTATTTCCTCTATATGGTTATTTTATTTTATTTAATTTGCAATGTTTTTACTTTGATATTTACAGATTTAGTCATCTAAATTATATATTTATTACTATCATATATATTTTTTTCTTTTTAGGTGTTGAAGTAAATCCCTTGTGCCTTGACATTCGCTATTGAAAAAACATTCAAGGAAAACTCAATAAAAAGAATTTTGAAAGAAAGTGCTGGTGGCTGTCCAACATAAAAGCATTGTTTAACATCTCCAGGAAAAGCCATGGCCACAGCCCTGTGATAGGAGTACTAGCGGGTTTTAGGCGCCTATTTACACATTTAAAGTAAAAATCCATAAAACACCACCGGACATATAAACAAGCACGCAGAGAAGATACTACTGTCTAGGTGTAGGATGCTTTGCCACTGTGAAGTGCACACGACACACAAACACCCTTGACTTGTTTCACATTCCTAAGTCACCCCTCCACCACCACCACCCTAAATCCATGCTCGAGTGAGAAATACCACAGGAAGGTGGTCTCTGCACTTTTAACTCTTCACCTTTTTGCCTGTCAGCTGGTCAGTCAGCAAGTAACTGAGGCCTGATAGAGATCAGTTCTTATATTAAACCGCACTGACATTAAACCCAGTCACATGCTGCTGGGCCTGCGCTCGTCGGAGCCTGTAACTAACTTACGGCTGCCGCTGCTGCTGTCGCTTCTGCCTGTGGATCAAATTTAGGATGAACCCTCTCCCCTAAAATAAAACAGCTGGATACAGTTACACACTCAGCTCCCACTAAATAAAGTCGCCATTTATTTTTGGCTTTCATCTGTTCCACTGATCCAGTAATAAGGCTCACAAGCAGAGGGGGGAAACATCTCCAATCACTGCATACGCACGCAAACAGCCCCCAGACAAACATAAACCAGAGTGTTTAACCTTTAGCTCAAAATGTGAAAATGACAGCAATATGAAGACCTATTTTGGGCTCTGTGGCTTTTAAAAATGGTATGTTTACATGGTCACAGCAAAGAGAGAGAGCGAGAGTTCATCACCTGCTCCCTGGCTCTCTTCAAACACTGTGTCTCAACAACTACCACTTAGAATTCACTCACTTTCTGACGGTACCCTGTTTTCCCCCTTTCTCCTCTACTTGCTCTTTACGTCTTGTTTTCATCCCTCCATTCCCCTCCTCCTCCTTGTCCCACTTCTTTTCCCTTTGTCACTCTCCCCTCTCCGTCCCTGTCCTCGCCTCTCACCTACCTCTGCTCTAGCCTTCTGCCGTAACTCGACACTTTCTCACAGCGAGCGCCTGACTCTGCCAAGTTGTTTCCCTGTGTTGCTCCACGGTTGCCATGGTGAGACTGTGTGTGTGTATGTGTGTGTGTGAGTGAGTGAATGAGCAGCTACATACAGTCAGCCTGTAAGCTACAGCCTGAAGCTTGTGACAGAGGGTGTGTGGAGTTAAGCACAAAAACTTAGGTGTAAACTGGAAACTTTTGTGATGCGTGTGTGTACGAGAAAAAGAGGTGTGTGTGTGTGTGTGTGTGTGTGTGTGTGTGTAACAGCTTGGCTAGCATGTGTCTACAACAGATGTAAAAATCGGCGCGTGATGGTCAAGGTCACAAGTGGGTTCGTTTTATCTGGCAGTGGTTTCCCTACTGTGGCACTGTGGCATCAGATTGTAGAATCTATGGACATTCTCACTCACACACACACACACACACACACACACACACACACACACACACACACACACACACACACACACACACACACACACACACACACATACATACACAAGAGGACAACACTCACACAGGCTTGCTGTTTGCCCAACACACGAGGGAGGGCAGAGAGAGCCAGGGGGCCGGTTGACTGTTTGTTTAAACAAGGTCAATACATGCACGCACATGCACGCACACGTACACATACACAGGAGCGTGTACTGTATACTGCATGAGGTCTGTATATGGCCTTGCTACACTAGTCCACGCTCAGTTCCTCTTATTACCCATTTTATCTTCCCCCAGTCGCCCTCTCTCCCTTCTTTCTCCCCTTCACACACACACCTCACCCCTCTCCTCCCCTTCTAGTGACTGTTTTCGAACTGAGCGCGAAGCCTGATTACAACAAATGAGAGCCAAGCCTCCAACATGTTTACATCAAATACAGCCCTAAGGCACTACTGTACCGCATACAGCCAGATCACACAGCGCACTGTAATCCACACAGCTCTATACTGTGAGTGTGTCCCTGTATTATGACAGACAGCGTGTATTGAGAGAGCCATGCTGAGTGAGAGATAAGAGTGACCAGGAAAGGTATGGCTGACGCTACACTACAGAGAGAGAGAGAGTTGATCAGACAAAGGTTGAATGTATTAGAAAGAAAAAAGAAAGAGGTTAAAAGCATTCAAATGTGAGAGTGAATGACAGAAACAGGCAGTAATGGGGTCATGGCCTTGCATTCAATCACTGGGATCAAAATCACTAAATGCATCCAAGCCAGTGGAAATACAAGGCTGTCTTGGACAGCTTCTGGCATATTCTATTACAAATCCTTGATACCAGACACCATGGCTTCATTTAGATTTATGAACTGTCGCAACAAGTTTAAAGATGGGCATCATATTTTTTTCCAACTGTCTGTTTTCCATCTAGACTTCAACACAATGAGGCAGTCCTAAGTAGTGTTTGTGCAGACTCATTCGGCTCTCTAATACTGTGTACTGTATCTATTACTGTATCTGGCAGCTTTTCTTTGTTGTGTCTGCCTGTGGCAGAGGTAATACCAGTGGGGCTTCTTATATTTGTGTGGGTGCTGCAGCACTCAATTAAGCTGGTTAAATACGCACAAGGATACCTCAGCCAGGCAGAGAGGCTTTGGACTTACATGTCTCCTAGCAACAGGTGTACCGATTATGGTCTGCAGTGAGCCCCAAAGGAATGGCTAAAACAGCCAGTCAGACAGCCAGAGACGAGGCTGTCCTACAATGCATTATGTGCAATTATTTTTCAAAAAGTCAGGAGGTTAAAAGTATGGAGAACCATCTGGTGCACATTTTTGAATAACCTCTGAAATTCTAAAACATTTGAATGTTATTAATATATCTGCGTAATACATATTGTATAAACAGAAGTCTAAAATGTGTGAATGTTATAAGTTACTTCAACCATCAGAGTGCACAAGATTTTCTCGTCTCACTTTCAGCTACTATAATGAGAAGGATTACTGTCTCATACTTTAATTACACTTAACTCAAAGAGAAGCTGTTAGTGTTTAGTCAGATAAAATACCACAAACATTGCTGACAATTGGACTGTCAAATGCTCCACTGTGGCGAATGATGATATCATGAGCCCTGAGGACCATACTTTGCATAGAAATACAGAGCATTCCCTGCAGAACCCAGTGCAATGAATCATGTCTGTCAAAACAATTCAAAGTAAACACTCTCACGTGTCGTGGTCTTTGTCTGGCTACTGTGCAATCAGACAGAAATTGAGATGTCTGCTTCGGCTGTTGCAGGACTGTTTAACAGGGTGAACACCTTCACACTGGTCTTTTTGAGTATTAGCAGTTAAGGTTGCTGTCTAGTCTTACCACCCTGTAGCTTTGTTTTTTTTTTTTCTTGGTGTAGCAAGATGTTGTTATTCTAGTTGAATACTTCTTTTTAATACCTCTGTAAAAATTACCCCATGCCGTACTCTACAAATAAAGTAAACACAAAGTACACAGACTCTTCAACAAATCAATACAGTTCTTAACTTCTGGATATGAATCCGAAGTCTTACAAGTATAAGGAACTTTAAGTTTTCATACTCAAGCGAGTAGACTACCAAATCCACAGTACAGTAGCTTCAGAGCTTATTTGACTGTAGTTTAAAAGGTTTAACATATAGTGGGACACACAGCTGAAGATGATTTGGCGGTTAACACCTGTAGCAAAATACAAAAACTGAGTAATGTTGCAAAAGTTTGCAACTCCTTGCTGGGTACAGATAATGTTCCTGTGAGGCAATACTTGCAGCCAAAGCTTCATCTGCTAAAAGAGAGAGTGCTTTGATTGTCAAAGTGCAACCTTTCAAAACAGCATATACAAGTCACAGTAACAAGAATTGTTGAGAAAATATCGATACTGAAGACCAGACACATCCAATCAGGTAGAAGACCTACATTCTCACCCTGACTACATTAAGGCCGCAGTCGCACAGTAGGCTTCAAACTCATGCTGTCCCAAAACCCAAAAGAGTATATTAAATAATCAAAGTCTGGAGAAATCCTCAAGAGACATCAGACAAAGTCCTAATTCTGACTAATCATAATAGTGTTTGACAGACAGACCTGATGAAAAACAGTGCAAAAGACTCTAGGGTTGATACAACAATACAAAGACACAGTTTTCCCACTTCTTTCTCTTACATGCTTACGTACAATATTTCAGATCTTAAACACAAGTCAACTAGACCAGCAGGCACACAGCTCCTTTCCCAGACATCCTCTTGTTTTCTGTTGACACAGCAGCTCAGTGGTGCATTGATCTGAGCAACAGCATGGTAACAAAAGGAAGTCATCACCATGTCCAGATGGCAGCTATGCCGTCATCTGATGACATCACACCACCAGAGTCAAGACCCAAGAAAAAGGAGAAGTCCCACAGGGTGCAAGCGACATTGAAGTACACTATATAAACAGGGCAGTTACTGGTGCACTGTGGTGTTTTAGTTTTAAATATACAAGCTTACAAATGAAGCTTTCTTTAAATATACAATTGGGAGAAAAACAACATTCAAATGTTTGTTGCAGTGGATTATAATCATCAAAGTACAACATGTATTTCATGCTATACAAACTATCTTTCACCATCATTTCATAAAACAGCTACTTGTTCATGTCTGCTGCCAAATCCATAATAATAATATATACCATAAAAACATCATCTACACTGAAATTTGACAAAGCTGCAGTCATACATGCTGGCACTAGTGTTATTCTGCCTCCAGAGAATAGCTTACTTCACACCTGCAGTGCACCTGGGAAACATAATATGTGCAAGCTTGTTCACACAGCCGAATGATTGGCTGAATGACTTTGACATCTACTCCAATTTCAGCTTTTAGCTCGAACCTTTTTACCGTAAATTTTGCATTTTTCTGATCACAGAATGGTAATCTCAATGCAACTTCTACTGATTGGGTCAAACAATGGTAGAAAGCACACTTGTGTTGCTTTTGAGTTAAATGTATTTGTTGTGCAGAGTGAATAAACTGCATTAACAAGGTTAATTTTTGCACAGTCCATCAAAAACAGGCTTTGAATACCAACAGTCAAGAAGTAGGTGTTTAGTAAACACACTGTCTCTGTTACACCGGCTGGACAACTGCTGATACTATCTATCCACACATAGCACAAGCCAGCTGTTGGTGTTATGTCAACTGTCAGTGTTTTTTTTAAGCATCCACTTCAAAAAAGGACCCAGTATAGAATGTTTACTTCCAGCTTTCAATTATTCTGGTGTATAAACTTTTCAGTCAGGGGTAAAAAAAAAAAAGTACATTTATGTGGATTCATTAAAAATTAAATTTTTTCAGGTCCATGGAACTGGCACTAAACAATTTAATCCAATATACAAAAAACAGGTGCTCAGTGATCCTCTCAGTTTCTCTTGGTGCACAAAGCCCTGCAAACCAGCGCTCATCATAGGCAAATGTTGTCTGTGTGCCTCTCTAACTCTACATCCCTCTTTATCCATCCCTTTTGTGTCAATGAGATTGTGAACATGCACACAAATTAATAAATTTTTATTGCAGTACTGGAAGTTAGTGGTAGTATCATATGCTGGGATGTTTGTACAATTGGAAACTCACAATAATTTTTCCAGACAGGCATAGGAGCCCCGTCAGATCATTGTCTAGGGATTTATTGTACAGTATTTGTCAGGAAGAGGAACTGTGATTTGTGAAATCTGTTATTGGAATTGCTTCCAGTTTTTATTCTTAGTTTAAAAGATTCCGCCAAACAAAATCAGACAATCACAATAAAAGAGAAAGCTCCAAACTAACCTTTGTAAATACTATATTCTTCAAATATTCTTCAAATATTGCTATCATGTCTTGTTACTTTGTTCCAGGTTGTAAGTCGCATAAATGACCACTGAGCTGGTGACTAGATAGGGTGGCATAAAACATACACCAACATAAACACTAATACTCCAAACTAGTCATCTCTATAATATTTTTTTTTCATTGTTTTTGTTTTAAAAGTATACGCTTAGCTGTGTTCTGATGAAAGCTAATGGAGGGTAAAAATGTTAGTCAACTTCAATCCTGGTTTGATCTCTCTCTCCGTATTTTCACTATCCATTGCTCTTATGGCTGCTTATCAACAGGGCACTGTGGAATGATCACAATTTATCAGATTAAAGAACACAGAGGTAACACGTGAACAATTTTGGAGCCTCCCACCCTGAGTGTGACAGCGCAAGATGATGGCCATTGTGGGAGTATGGTCTATTTATATCTGAGCTAAGCCAGAAGATCTTGTAAACCAAGTTGCAGATGAAACAACTTTGAATTCACCTTGTCTGACCTGCTGAGACATAAACTCTTCCCTCACAAGCCCCTGCAAGGAAACTGCTATAATCAAACATTTCCCTCTGGGGATGGGGAATGAGGGCAAGTGTGGCAAACGCTTGGTTGAGAAAATTTGGCAGATAAATTATGCATCGTCACATATGGCAGGATAGAATCTTGGTCTAACTGAGGTTGAAATGGTTAATGATTGGCCGGAAGGGAGCCTGCATGACTGAATGTGTGAGGACATGGGCTGTTTCTAAAGCAACAAATGGCAGTGAATTAGCCCTTTTTAATGTGACACATTTTTTGTCCACAGCTGTTGAATGTAATTTCTTCAACTGTTAAACCTGTGTGAATTATTGGAAGTGACTGAAGTAGCGTGTTGACTAAACTACCTCAAATGCGTAGCAATAAGTACAATACAACCAAAACAAGACACACAAATCTGGGAATGCTTCTCCCACCACAGACAGAGTATACTATGTTAAGCTATTCATCACACCTACAGACCTGGTGTGTAAAATATGTGGACCTGGCAACAATTATTCATTTTTTAAATCATTGGCGGATGACATAAAAGCTTATAAGATCTCAGGACAACTACAATACTCATGGAATGGAAGAAAATGTGAAAGATAAATTCAGGACAGTAAATTCTGTGTGGCAATGCAACTTGATTGGCTGACTGAGTTGGTTTGAACTGAACGCAGCCACTGTTGTCATGGCCCAGCTCTTAATCATACACACAAAGGAAGCTTTTCACTGGGGTTTTGAAATATTAATAGGACTGATATCCTCCGCTCTTGCTCTCTCTATCTTTCTCTCTCGGCAGCCCTAGTTTTATGCAGGCTCACCCTCTCTCTCACAGGTGCTATCAAATGACGGAGCAGCTGACTGAGCTGCAGGGACAGCATCCTTGCCTGGTTGCTTGCTTGTCTTCCTGCCTAAACAGGTTGACTGACAGTCTTGCCATGGGAGAGGATCCGTGAGACAATTGACACATGCAAATCTGTAAAATGAAACCCTCAATGTACTGCTCTTATTCACAGCAGCCAGTTAATGTACGACATGTATAGTTGATCAATAACTTATTTATAGTCTAATCATTTATTCATGTTTTCGTTCAGATGTTGCTCTCTGTACAATGAGTATTTAAAATAACTTTCAGTTTAAATAGTGGCGAATAATACGAGTTTTACTCATATGCAAAAGGAAATCCCTGCATCTGGAAACCTCTCAGATTGTCATTGCTCAATTCGCGTAAATATGTTTTAGTTTTATTTCATCCTTCTATTTCTGACAAAATCACTAAAAGCTTCAAGAGTTGAATCATTTGACTTTTTTTGCATGTAGTTAATTGTGGAAACAGATTTAAAAAATGCCAGACATCAGGGGACTTAAGTATATATACATGGACAACACCATGAAAACACTGGCAATACATTAATTTGGTTACACTTTCTTTTACAGTACACTTATTACCAGGTAAATAACAGGTAATTACCGAGTAACAACATGAAATTATCTGGTACTTACATGATAAGTACTAAGTCAATACTGTCTAGCTACCAGGTAGGTAACCTTCCATCATCATACAAATTTGAAGCCGAATTGCTCTGGTATTTCCAGGATTTTCTCCGCTTCCTGGAACCACCACTTGCGCAGTAGCATGTGAGTCTGACTCGGCGGCTGAGTCACTGTGATAATGCTCAGCTCCAACAGCGTATCGCTACGCAATCTTTGCATGCCCATAGGCTGTATCAAGTGTCAATCATAGAAAATAAGAACCCCATATAGCTTTTGAAAATGGAGCTGCACAGAAAAAGAAAAAAAGAAAAACTAGACAGTATCGACTTAGTAGTTATCATGTAAGTACCAGATAATTTCATGTTGTTACTTAGTAAATACCTGCTAATTACCTGGTAATAAGTGTACCGTAAAAGAAAGCGGCAAAGACATTGGTGCAAATCATTTTATTAATGTTCTCTGAAAAAGACCTAGAATTTTCATGTAAATTAAATGTCAAAAAAGTGTTATCTACCACTAAACATGTTAGTATTTAAGTGTTAGTCTAACCTGTTTAAAAACTGCTCATTTTAAGACATTGTGATGCACATCATGTGGAGGTGAAATGTCCAATTTTGTTACCTTAATGATTGGGTGACCTCCAGATGCCGCCTTGACAGCTCCTCTGCTGCCTTCGGTTTCATAGTGCGCTCGGTGGTGCGCTTTAGGTTGCACCTCTATCTTCAGATCATACTGGCCAAACTGGCTTGGCAGCGGCCAATCAAGAGGTGGCAGCGAGGAGGTCCTGAGGAGGGGAAGAAAAACAAGCATGTTCACAAAGTGTCAGTGTACGACAAGTATTTTATAGTTTTAGTAGACATCATTTCTTCATTTAAAATAACTGTAGAAATATATTTATGAATGCAACACCTTAGGGGGTCAACCAGCTTTTCCTCTATTCACAGCTGATGACAAGACCCTGACTGAAAACATTCAAAAGCTGCGGTATTCCCCTTTCATGGTTGGTAGACAGTGTTGTAAGTGTTAAATGGGGGTAAACCATGCAGTGTATTTAGCCCCAGCAGACAGTGAATCACTGGAAAGCCCGCATGCATTACTCCTGTTCTTAAACTTAACACTCGTAATAGGCCCTGTTAAGCCTTTTAGGGTGAATCACTTTCTCAAGGGGCTTTACTTTTGTGAGTCTTCAGTGTGGGTCATTGAATGGCTGGTGGGATGAGAGAGTGTGTGTCAGACAGTGGGTAAATTACTGTGTGTGAGTCTGTGTGAACACTGTTCAAGTGTATAATACAAATGCAGTCCACCACAGGAGCTGGTATTGTGTGTTTTTCCTCCATGCCTCTTTTTTTATCTGTGTAGACCACAATCATATTTGAACAGCTGCACTCGAAAATAAAAAGCTCTCTGGCCTTCTCCGCAGAGAAACCAGGTCTCTACATCTGAGTGCATTAGAGGAGTTTTTCCCAAAAATCATTTTGTAAACACCGGCATCAACCATTAGCATCAATAAATCCTCATCTTTTCTAAACGTTGTTGATCACATTCTATTTCATCATACAACCCCTCGAATCCTAATGTCTCATTATCTTATGTACTAAAAAAAGGGTTCAGAGCAATTTTAACTTTGGTCAATGCTAAGTCTACCCTACACATGAAGTGTAGTTCAGTTTGAGCAGTGAGGTATTTGGAATGTAGTTAAAGCTCAAGTATAAAACTTTGTCACACCTTGGGAGTGTACACAATAAATAATTCATAATGAAAGTGGCCTTCAAAAAAGGACAACACAAGCTGTATGTGCCTCTTCCAGGTGTTTCTTTTTTTCTGGCAGCTTGCCTCTTCTTTGTGGGTTCTCATATTTTCATAGACTGTGCTCCGTGACCCCCCCTCTGTATGCCTGTGGATGTGTACGTATGACTTGATTTGGTAAACAAACTGTACTGGAGGCAGCTTCAGGCGCGTGCTGTCTAATGGGCCCACCCAATGCCCTGTCCACCCTTTTACATGGTGTCCTGAACTTTCATTTGGTTCCGTCCAAAGCCGTATAGTCTCCTAGCATGCAAGCGTACTGCATGACAGATATTTGACAGTACGGATAATTTTTAAGGGAAAGTTTGTAAACTTCGAGTCGGCATGACTGACTCTCTTAATTCTTCCTTTTCCAACTGCCTGTCAAAGTGCTGGCTACATGCAGACAAATTTGATCATGCCGAATCAAAAACATGTGAGTCAGCCTTTCAGTGGAGGCTTTCATTTCACATTCTGCCTCAGAGACTGGCATCAAATCCAGAGGAAAGACTGCACTTTGGAATAAAGATGGATGATAGTTTTTTTGTTTTGATTAACTTAATGTAGTCTTGAGGTCACAAAACTCACTGAGATCAACTCTACAGATTCTCCCACCACAGCTATAAAAGAGAAAGTTCTCTTAAAATCCTTTAGGTTGTGTATGGTGTGTTTGTGTGGGCACACAACCAAAACACTTGTCCTATTCTTTTTTTGAATGTCTGTGGAAATATTTAAAACACAAGCAAAGACATGCTATCAACATTTCAGATTTTCAGATGTTTCACCTATCGAATATAACACAGCTCAATCGAAGCATCTTGACCTTTATGTTTCCTTTTAGCAGCTACGAGATTACAGGCCTGCAAGTGTGGGTTTGTGTGGCTGCCAAAGTAGCAGACGTGGAAGAGAACAGAAGACATATGAGCTTAGTGACAGAGCAGAGCAGGAACAATGATCTCTGTCTTCACATAGCATAACTTTCCTTAAATGACTGTCCAGGGCGCCAAGGTCCCCACTCCGATAAAATCTCCACAACCCATACACTTCTCCATTGACCAATTCCACAAACTACCAGAAATGGGGTCTCTCCAAAACACCGAGTACGAGCTTCAATGCAAGTCCATTTCCATCTCTCCATATGTAATTAGGCTATTGTTAAAAATAATGTTGAATATGAAACCTCTAAAGATCATCTGATTGAGGCTCCTTCATGAGCAGCAACTGTCAAATGTTTTCTATCCAACCATCCATACTGATGTTAAAGTCAACAGGCAGCAGTAGTAGATAATATCTGCCACACAGGATAGGAACACACAAACCACTTGCCAGATAAAAAGCATTTGATTTCTTCCACTGCATTACGTCCTCTGCATCCACACCAATTTCATGAATTTGAGAATCATCTGTCGCTGCCGGTAAAGGCTAACAAATTTCTCATTCCAAAACCTGTCCAACTCATATAAAGCAAAACACTGACTTCACAGAAGGCACTTAGATACCACCATTTCAAGGCCAGGTATTTACACCCCTGATACACCTCATCTTTAATGTGTAACAACAACCAAAGGTGGGTTGAAGTTGCTCCGCCTCAGATCCTCTTTCAGAGGCAGTAACAGAGGCAAAATGGGGTAAGGAGACTGTGATGTGTAGCACTGAAGCCATCAGGGCAGAACAGTGCTGTATGTGTGTACATGTCTGAGCGTGTGACTGAGTATGTATGTAGAGCTCCTGCTGTGTGCTAACAAGCTGTACCTCTCACTCTACCGCAACGACATGATGCAATGCGATGTGTAATGACACACTGGGACACCAATGTTACACCTTTTTGGGGGTGCAATGTGTAAGTACAAAGGCGTATTTACGGCAGAGCTCTGTTCCAGCACTGTTGCGGAATTGCAGTGTGTATGAGGCTAGTGATGCATTGGCAACCTGCTGGCCCTTTGTTTTCAAACTCCAGTCACAGCTCAGCTTAATGACTTAAACCCTCAATAATGTACTTAACTATCAGTAATACTGGCCCATTGTGTTTACCAACTCATGACTGTTTATAAAACACCTCACTGTGAACAGCTCAGAGGATAAGATGCGAAAAGATTGAAGAAAATGTCTGAATACCCGACCAATTTTTAATACTACTCCATCACTCTCCACCCATGAGGTCCATCAGTTTAAAACACGACTAAGACACATGCACACAGGCAACTCCACAACCTTATATTTCATGACAGGGATTAGCTCAGATCTCATAACTAATTTCTGAAAACCAAGAATTCAGTTCTGTCTGACGAACATTTATCCTGCCACAGTGGTTAACTGTCTGAAGCAGGTTAGCATCACTAGTAGAAGTATTGTAAGAAAATACTTGTAGGTCAAGGTAAAGATAAACAGCTGAGTTTAAAAAAGGAGTGGCTGCTGTGTTTGTTGTGTTTGAAAATCCAACTCTAGAGCAATGTAGACACTCTTCTGTCACTGTCTTAGGAAATTTCACAAACAAGGGACAAAATGTAAAGATCAAATGAAGACTCTAACCCCAGAGCTGACAATGTATCCCAGTTATTGTCTGGAGAGTGTTAGATCTATGTGAGCGAGCATTAGTGTTATGTCCATACTTGTGTTTCTGTGTGTGTGCAAGTGTGTGTGAGTGAGTGTGCGTGAGTGTGCGCAGTGGTCCCCTTGCCATATGTGCCCTGTGCTGATTTACAGTGCTAGGGGCCAGTGAATACAAACAAGGCCATGCCTTCATCTGCTGCACACATTGGAGAACAGACAGCACAGCAGACTCCTCTCCCCCCAAAACTCTGCTATGAGTTTGCGATTGGATCTGTCACCTTTTGATGTGGAGGCTGCTGTGTGTCTACACATGTCTATGATTTAGCAAGCTGCTGTTGTGTGTATGTATGCCCCTTGTTTTCATGCACAAATTCACAAACTTGCATTACCCTATGGTGTAACTAAGCCAGATTGTACGGCTGATATAAAGCTCAAAGTTCCCGATCACTGAACATTGATCTGCTGTTTAATCAACAGCCACATTAATAATCCATCTTGCAGCTTGATAAACGTTTATTACATCATAATACTTAGAATATTTTGCCTGGATCAAAAGTGTTTTCAAGCTTTATAACAGTCCATAAATATTTTCATCACTGTTGTCTATTGTTAAGCACGACTCTGCAAATTGTTTTTAAGACTGACGGCATGAGCTGTATGAATCATTACAGCATTATTGCCTTAATAAATCTTGAATATACTGATAAAGTGACAGTTATTGCTGAACTATCTTTACTTTCTGGCACTATATCAGAAAAATTCTAGGTTTTATGATATGGCACATCATGAATCTATTCAGCACTGATACTGCAGACACAAAGTCTTGCTCAAATACAAACAGGAACTACAAAAGGACATTGTGATTACAACAGATTTTTGTTGTTGTTGTTGCTGCTGCAGAAGAACAAGAAAGTCCTCCCTGACATTTAAAAGATAAAAAAAGGCAGAATTTCCAGACACTTCCTGTCCCTGAGGGTCTTCTACATCTGCTTAAATCTTTTGCTGGGTTACTTGGCTGACTGAATCTGGCAATTTCCCTTTTGTGCGTTTAATCTCCCAAATATCGGCAAACTTACCTGAATATTGGTGTGTGGCCTGGCTTGGGTTTATTCCATGAGAAGTGAGAGGGCACAGAGAGGAACTGTTCCCCTGGGCCATCCTTCTTCAGGCTGTGTAAGGCCTCCTCTGAAGGCGAGTCAAGATTAGGGGACATGCTTCCTTGATCGTCCAGCCCTAGTTCCCCTTTCCCACTCTGCATTGTTGTCCTGTCCTGCGAGGTCTTCCTCGTCTTGGATGGGATGTCGACTTCAGATGGGCAACACTGAAAAGGTGACATGCCTACTGAAGGACTACCAGCCCAGGTGTCCTCTGTTATGCTGCCCCTGGGTGAGGGTCCTGGTGTAGGTGTTGGTGAGTGGTGAGGAGACAAAGAACTAGAGTAGCAGATGTCAGCGCTAGAATGGCGTCTCTTCCCACAGGGTGAGGTGGGGCGCGAGGAGGGTCTGGATGGTGGTCGGGGGCTAAGCCAGTTCTCATCTGTGACACTGGTGCGTGGCGAGTGGCAGGGGGACTGCCTGGGTGACAGGCTGATGGAGTGTGAGTGGTGCACAAAGGCAGGGTGGTGGTGCTGCCAGTGTGGCTGCTCCTCCAAAACTCCACCACTTGTTTGAGGGGAGGCACAGCCCGGGGAAGTGAGTGGGGAGCCCAGGGTGAAGCGAGCAGCCGCTTCATTTAGCTCTGAGTCAACATCATCATACACGTGTGAGAATGATTCACACGAGGAGGCGTCAGAGAACCAGCTCCTTGAAGACAGGCTGCTGCAGGGGCTTGGGCTGAGTGAAGAGTCCCGGTATGAGTGATCTAGGGGCAAATACAGGTGGTCTCTGGACAGGGGTCTGTCGCCATGGTAGTCTCCATCAGGCCCATTAGCCCTGAGATCCTCCTCATTGCCATCCATCTCCTGCTGGCAGCTGGGGGAGATGGAGGTGATCTGGATACTGGGGCACTCAAAAGCCTTGGGTGCCTCCACAGGAGCAGAGGGGAGCAAAGGAGAGGTGCCATACTTGGAGTCTTGTGCCTCATAACTGGGAGGCTCAGGTCCTGGTTTGTGTGGCTGAAAGCGTTGGGAGGTGCTGATGACCTGGGAGTGGGACTGCATGCCATGACGAGGCAAGCCAATCGACTGGTGGTTGGTGACCATAGATTGGGGCTGGCCCACATTTAAGATATAGAAGGATGTGTTGTCGTCAGGCTCCAGATCTGGGAGAAAAAAAAGAAGAAAATATCAATATCTAATGGTAATACTTGACAGATCTAATAAAGCTCAGGTTATTAACAAATACTGCAGGTTGGAATGGCATGAGTCCAAAGACTGCTGTGTCAAAGCCCTCTGAGCAACATTTTTTGTGATGGTGTAGTGACACATGTTATCTTAACCAAATCAAAACATTCATAGACACACCACTGACATCTGACCTGCATCCCTCGTATTACAACTGCATTCATCCTGTTGCATCCTTGTTTTTATACAAGCTACAGCGTTTTTTGTTGACAAAATTTCATTATGTCATTAACCAGTGTGCAGATGCACCTTGAGTTCATGCCTACAACTGACCCAAGTTTTAAGAAATGAGGAGTCACACTGTTGCTGGGTAGCAGGCACTCATACAGGCAGCGTTCCAAGAGGGATAACCGATGAACAGCACTACTCAGGAAACAAATTCACACAACGATGCGTGCTGTCGGCTGTCACCACAGCTAGCGCCGGCAGGCTATTTATACCAAAGGTCATCCGGCACAGGCAGTAAGTACACACACAAACACACACCCACACACAAACAAATAGACAAGAGCCCATTGTCCGCATTGGCACTACTCTGTTAGAGGTTATTGATAAACTCTCAGTGGATATGCTCTGCTGCTCTGGGAGTAACCCTCCCTCATAGTGTTTCACATGTGAGATGTTAATTTTATACCCACAGACATTTTCAGGCTGGAACACATAATGAGGATTTTATATTTCTGATATGAAAACAAATATTGGCTTATAAACTCTGAAGGAAATCTTCACATAGATTTGACAATAAAAGCTAAAAACATAATAAATTAAATCATAAAAGAACTCAATTTAAAACTCATAGTTTGCTTTTGTCCAGTGCCGCTCACCAAACCAAAACTAAGCTTTATGAAAACAGCACAGCACCTGCCATAATCCACTGTAAACAGAAAGATACAAGTAAAGGCAAAACAAGCACCATGTAACAAAAAAAAAGCCTTCTTGCCATGTCTATCTTCAGCCTTGTGATTCTTGCTTCATTATTTAGAGGAAAGGAAAATCCTTTAGAAAATTGCAAAATGACCAAAGCAAATAAAAGCCATTACAAAATAATAGCCAGCTGAAATTACACCACAGTGTAGCATGAACAGGATAAGACTGTGAAATCCTTTCAAAACAATGCCATTTTTCTTTGACTTCACTGACCTAAATATGGACATATTTACATTCTAATCTAAAGTACAAATAGGTTGAGTTCACATGTGGGTTTCCTCTGACTGGAGACCACCACAAGTAACATGACAGTGTTTTAAAATCAAAACTAAGAGGACATAACACATTTTTTTAGACAAGGAAAAGGGTTTTGGTTTCTGTCCCTCTAACCTCTTTACTCAACAGCGGCAGTAAAGACAGAAGCAGCAAGCTCTTTATTTATAGCTGCTCAGCTTCCACTGGCCCTGCCTGCTTGTCACAAGACCGAGCAGTGGATCCTCTGACGACAGCATCTGACTGACTGACACGGAGCTTGAGAAGGACAGCAAAGTGAAGAGGAAGGAGAATAGCCTGATTTAGGAGACAGTATGAAGGGAACAGAGGAAGAAAGGAGAGTAAAAATAAGACAATCATTTGACTGCACAAGTAAAGACACAGATATATCATTAGAGAGGGAAACGCATCAAGAAACTGAACAAGTATCACCATTTTCACTTTAACTATATTGTGTAATACAAAGTACACCATCAAAGGAAGTAGTTGCTTACCTACTGCTATTAGGGGCTTGTGGCTTATTTTATGAATCAAAATGTGTCCTGTTGATTGAAATAAAACAAAAACAAAAACTGTAATTTAGCTAATTGGGACTGAAACCATTTCTAAATATCTAGATCATTAGAAAAAGGTTTTCAACAATGCCCATAATAAATTTAGTGAGCTACACATGAATGAACCTGTAATTACCAAATTCAAAGGCCACTGTCTATCTTTCCTTCAAGAGATCCTCTTTAAAAGCTGTGGGCTCCTTGATTCTGAGTGCTTTTGAAAATGTGTTTTATTGAGGTGCTTCCTCTGTGACTGATAATACACCTGATTTGAAGAACAAAAGATAGAGTGAAGAGTGAGAACACCATGTGAGATCAACCAAGGTAACCTGCTCAGTTACTCTTGCCTCACTTGACTAAGAAACTGTTTCCACTTACAGTTACATTTATAGGAGTCTTATCTTTATCTAAATAAGAATTCAACTGACATATTTTGTCTTCTAAAGTTTTTGGATTCCCACTTTCTGCTTTGTTAATGACCAAACTTGATGTACTTAATTAAACTCTGTTGGATCACTTGAAGAAAACATGAATCACAGATGATTCAGGGCACAGCAGGGCAGTCCCAGGTGCTGACTGAGTAATGAGCTGCTACCCTAGAAAATTAGGTGGTAATTACATTCAAATAGGGAGCACAAATTGAATGAAAGTCGCTGTGAAATTTGTGCTTCTTAGGAGGTAAATCTGGCACTGCTCTTTTTGTGACATATTTCTCATTTTGTGATTTGTTATCAGCAATGCATTAAAATGTTACACAACAATGATAGTTAATTTTGATAAACATGTAACTTAATAAGATCATAAAACTCATTTTACAGAATAAAAAGTCTGAAGCTTTGTGTTATATGATAGTGCCAGTATTTAGTTATTGTGTTTAAAGCAGTAACTTGCCTCCAGGCTGTCTCTTCCTCAGTCTGCTCAAATTAGAAATCCTCATGCTAAGTTGTCCTGCATCTGAAATTCTAAGTCGAATTATCAATTCCAATATCTTATTTGCCCCATTAGTTTAGAGTTGAAATGGTAGATTTAAAATGCAAGATGTCACAAGCAATCCATCTGTGTTGGCATATTCCTATCCATCATCAAGCAGATGAGTGGTTACACAGATGAGGGTGAGACAGGGGACGACCATGTTACCTGGCCCACAGCCCTCTTCTTGCTCTGAGATAAGATTAGCCTGCCACCTTAAACCCTCCGGTGTGAAAGAAGGGGTGGGTTTCGGGAAACCCCCTGGTCTGAGCCAAACACAAGTCACCTTAGGAGAGGTCAGGGAGAAGAGGAGAAGAGGGGAGGAAAGAGGAGGTGAGGAAAGGAAAGGAAAGGAAAGGAAAGCAGAGGAGAGAACAGAAGAGAAGAGAAGCAGCGGTACTGTTGTTTTATGAATGGGCACACTCCTCAAGTGTCCATACATCAGACAGCCAATCTAGTTAAATAAAGATCTCTAAGAGGCTTTGCTGTACCTAAGCTAATAATAGATCCTCCTCACTGGGAGATGCTTCTGTGAAGTGTAGATTGTTTGACGTCCGTAACACACACACACACACACACCACGGAGAACCTTTGTGTTCTCACAGTAACCACATGAAACAGCCTGACCCACCGGTGAAGGTAGCATCCACCTTGGCTCTTTGGCACAAAACCAGCAAGCCTCTCTGGGTGGACGGTTGCACTTGCTTTGGGGATAATCCGCACAGACTTTGTTCCTCCCTCCTCCTACTCTCACTGCACACAAACTGTGTCAGGGTCCTCTGACCGACAATGACACACAGGCACACATTCCAAGAACGTGCACTTTAACACTGAGGAAGGGAAGGATTTCTCTCTCCGAGGTGGATGACGAGCTCAATGATGTGGCGAGTTCCTGCTGGTGCCCCCGAACTTTTTGTGTTAATGTGCATGTATACTAGACTGTGTCAATATTTTTGTGTTCCTGTGTGCCTTCCTGTAAGTTTCTGCACCCACCTATGGCAACATATGAGTGTTACTTTGTGTGTGTGTGTGCGAGTGGGCGAGTGTTTGTGTTTGTACAACCCAACACATATTATTGTCTTAGGTTACCCACCAGCACCAACACCATGCAGTGCTGGATGTAACCTTAGCTAGGGTTCCCTTTGTGGTGGTCAAGCAGATTGATTAGAGCGGGCTCTGCTTACATCCCCTGCTTTGTGTTCAGTCCGGTCTCCTCTTTCAGCTTTCCTCAAGGGCTGCTGACCAACAGACCACAACAACAGTGTGCCGACACATCATGTACCATAAGCCTCCTGGGATACACAGCTTCAACCTAGTTAGTTTATGCCAGGGGTGTCAAACTCAACCACAGCATGGGCCATAATCTGGATTTAGGTCTAACCTGAGGGCCAAACAGGGTCAACATTTCACCAAAACTGCCAACCTCCTTTTCAAAAAATATGCAAAACAAAAACAGCAACGATTATAAATCATTTGGAAATTCAAAAAAGATAAAAAAGATAAGTTTAAAGGCAATCTGAGATAGAAACATTTATTTTATTTTTTATTCTATTTTTATTTATTAGTTCAAAAGATCAGAGCATGATATTAAAAATAGAAAAATAACGCTTTTAACGAGCAAATACACGAGGAGAATGTTGAAATCAGGTATAAAAGGTCAAAATATGACTTCAAATTGGAATCTAAAGTATAAACATGACACAAGTCTAAATACTGAGTTGAACGAAATCAAAGCATGAAATAAAAAAATCCAATCATGTTTGACTCATAATCTTGAAATGCAAAATTGAAAACATGAAATAAAACACCAAATATTTTTTCCCCCACATTCTTGACTATTTATCAAATCTTCCTTACTCTTTAATTTCCCAGATTTTCATGGTTTATTAAGGATATTTTAAATAATGGCGCTAAAGTTTACATTATTATACTGCAGACTTCGTTCTGGTGGGCCAATAATAATACAAATATGATATGATCTTGTATGATCTTGTATAATTGTTCCACAGGCCAGATTTGGGCCCCGGGCCATGAGTTTGACACCTGTGGTTTATGCGAACAAAGATGCATCAGTCCATCCTATTTACTCGGAGGGGCACATATTTCCATTATCTTTATGTTTGAGGATGGGAAAGTGATTCAAATTATCTTAGTGATACAACTGTTCCACATTTTTTATCTGCACACATCACTGAGTTCATTAAGTTTTGATTTGTATGTATGGAAAAAAGGGCAGGGATTACTGTGGCACAAAAACCTAGGGAGTGATGAGCTGTAACTGATTCTGAAGACATGACCTTGAGTAATGCTCTTAATAACAATCACTAAATCAACAAAAACTCCATTCATACTGAAAAACAAAAAGAACATTTCTTCAAGCATGAAGGAGCTTCCAGATTAAAATATCATGCTTTTTGGGATTTAAACATTTCATTTCCTATTTTTAACTTTTGGGTTGGTATAGATAGTCGCAGGGATTCCCAGGAGCCCTGACATAAGCAAATCTAATTCCTTCCTCCTGGGTTTTCCAGGAACTCTGCAGCTGGCAGGTTGCCTACACTAAACACAGACTCTGTGACGCACATGCACACACATATTGTTAGGGTTGGCCTACCTGTGGCTTTAAACCTTCCTGGCTGGGTTTGTGCCAAAACTTCATGGTGATCCCTGTAAGTGTGGGTAGTTGGGTCTGAGTTCTTAAAGCGTTCATTAAGAATGAGTGCAACTGTCATCCAAATGTAGGGGACAGTACAGCAGAATAAATGAATCATGAATTGAACGCCATAAAGGACAATCAAATCACGAAGTAGAGTTGTTTTGGTGTTTCAAAAGCTTTTCTATTTCTTTTCCTGTGATGTTATGTTAGTGTTACATCAAAAAGCCTTTCTGTGCCATCACTGAAGATTCACCAGCCAGCAGAGGCTTAACAATGGTAGCCTAAGCCAATGTTAACATATGCCGGCAGCTAAATTAAGCTCCTAATTAACAATCTCATGTGGAGATAACATTATGGGATAAACAGAGTGCCAAATAACCACCTGAACTAAATAGCCACCAACGCAAAGATCCTTTTCTAACAAACCACTAATTGCCTTTCGGATGTATCAATTTGGTAGTGCGCAGAGGATCTCAGAAAAGGTTAATGAAATCAGGTAAATTGAGGGGTTTGAAGACAGAAGCCCAAGTTAACCTTACGCTGAACCTTACTCTGTCTACTCTACTGCCTGTAACCTACAAGCAGCATGTCAGCAAAGTGGCCACAGCAGTTTAATCCTTAGTTACGATGCATCCATCGAATCAGGAAGAAATCTCTCAAATGAAAAAGTATGAATAGTCACACTTTGCAGTAAAATACAGAGGAAAAAGAGATGATTTCCAGTGCACTGTCCTCTCCTTCACACACACAGATAGCAGAGTGACTGCTCCCCTTTGAGTACAGCTTTAGTTGTGTCCACTCAGCAGTGTTTTAAAAGCCCTCTGACCTGGACAAACAAACGGTAAATACTAAATGGACTGTGTTTATATAGTGTTTTCTTGTCTTCCGACCACTCAAAGCACTTTTATATTACATTCATTCATTTATTCATTCACACTGAAACCAGATTCTGATAGCAGAGGCTATGAGATAAAGCACCCATCAGTATTACCTTGTCCTATTCACACACAGCCATTAGGTACAGTTTGATGTCTTTCCCAAGGATAGTGTTATATGGACAGTGGGACCTGGGATCAAACCTCCGAACTCCCAATTGACAAGGGACCCATTCAACCACCAAGTCCCAGCCACCCTGATACCAAAAATTGTGTTCTGTACATTAAAACAGCAGAAAATGATAACAGAAAAAAAACGTTTTATCATAACAAGGTTACGGTCAAAAAACTCGATTATATTTGAACTACAACAGTTTCACTCGAGATCATTCTTGTACATCAAGCACCAGAAAAGAAAAGAAAGGTTTAATCAGCCCTTACAAATGAATGTCAAACAATTAAATTCAATTAAGTGTCTTTCAATTCTATGAGTCATGAGAGAGAAAGAAATGGACCCACTACAGAGCCCTGGGAGACCTCTAAGGGTAGAAGAAGCTTGTCTTACTTGATGACGCTGATGATGATTGACGCTCAAAGTTGTCCATTATAACCAAAAGCAAACTAGAGTCCTGCAGCTGAAGGAGACAAAGCTTTCCATAAAATGAAGTGATCCACTATCAGCCAAAGACAAGCCTTATTTCAACAAGTACAGATGATTATGTAGTCCACACCGTACATTTAAACTGCATCAGAAAATTTAAATCAAACTCACTTATTAAAGATGAATGGTTAGGGAGAAGAGGATGCTCTTCTCCCTAGCAGATCCTCTCAGCGTTTTGACCTCACACATATCATGAATTCATTTTAAGGTCTCAGTTGTAGTCGAATTGGAAGTAAATACTGATTTCAACTTCCACTCCAATCTTGCCAACGCCCAATAACCTAGTTGATGTTTTGCATATAAGCACAAAAAGTGTAACGCAGTTCATGTCTGTATCATTCTTCATTAGAGCAGGAGAGCTACAGTGCATTAGAAAATTGGCCTCCGAGCTAATACAAGCGGCATGATGGCCTATAATAACCTAGAACAGATAACATCAGAGGCTACTGCTAGCAGCGGTGACATTTAAACAATCTGTCAGAGCTGACTGTGCATGTGCCTGAAAAAAAGACAAGCGGAGAGAGGGAGAGGGGAGAAAGAGCAAGGTAAAAGGAGCAGACAGTAAGTATTGTTTGTGCACTTGAGTGAAAGAAAAAAGAGACAGTGTGAACGGAGAAAGATGGAGATAAAAGCTTTGATATTCACACACAGTTTCACAAAAGACCATCCTGCAAGTGAGCCATCCAAAAGCCTTACACTAAATTCAGTCTAGAGTTTAAGTAATAGTTCATTAGTTTATTTAAGATGGACCATGCACATCACAACTGTAACATCCCAAACATAAAAACTATATTTCACATTCTCTCTAGGACTGCTGTATACAAAGGTTCAATCAGTGATCACATGATTAATTTCTCTTGGGCCATGATCCAAATTTAGTTTCAAAAACACTGAAACTTGTGCAGTCTCTAATACAGATCAAAATTGAGTCCCACTTTAGTTCAGCTCTCACAAAAAAATTATGGTTTTCCAAAACTAGTTGTCTTAAATTTAGCAGAACTGCCATATGAAGCAGTTGCCCTGGTTTCCTTAGCATTGTTTCTGAAGAGTGACACACACTGTTATTAAGCTCGTTATTAAGCCATTACAGAGCTTGATAACGAGCTGATCATTTGAATCAGGTGTGTTGGAGCAGGGAAACATCCAAAACATGCAGGACAGTGGGCCTCGAGGACTGGACTTGAGAACCACTGGTCTAAGTTAAGGTGGTTCCTGATCATAAATTAATGTTTCATGCAAAACAAAGTCTGTCAAATGTTGATAAATTGCACTTCTAAATAATGTCTCAATGACAATAACCTATTGCTTTTTAAAAGGAGAGGGGTTTTTTTATGTATGTGACATCTTCTTGCAGACCATCGCTTCAACCACGAACAAAGATATTGTGATAATATGAGGTTATAAATCCAGTGCAAAATAAAGTCTTTGTTCATCCTTCCAGATCTCCACATGTCAGTGACAGCCAGTCCAACCCTTTGACTTTGGCCCATCCTCATAAATTCAACAACACACTATGAGCAGAACCACTTCCCATCCTCTGTGTGGCAGAATGAATGATGAGGACAAGGTGAGGTGGTAAAAAAGGAATGCTGTGTCCTCAAGTGAAGGGTCAATGTGCTGTGCTCAGGGAACCCTCATGATACTCTTTATTTTTTTTTTATCAGGGCAACACAGAATGGGAGGAAAGCTAACAGGGAACATACGAAAGTACGAAATACCCAGAGGCGAATTTTGACGCGCCTGACTATACACATCAAGCCAGATGCGATTTTGCGACTTTCCGCGGGGGTGGGATGCATCCCGGGGAAGACTTTTGCCGGGGAAAGTCCCGCCTCCTTCGCCTCTGATTGGCTAGAAAAGCTGGAAACGTCATCACACACTCAAGCCAAATGGTCAGCACTTATAGCCAATCAGAGGCAATAAGATAAGCACATGAAACTATGGTAACAACCGTTAGCATACGTTAGCACAGATGAAAGTTAAAACAAAGACGTTTAGCAAACTGTTAAAGCACACAAACTATTCTCATATGAGAGAGATCTTTGTAATGTTTGTGTCTTTTATCAAAAAGCATTCTGTTCTCCGACACGTAAACAATCAGCTGGTCGGCCATGTTGGATATACCGGTGAATCTGACGTCGTGACAACACGCAATCTGATTGGTCAGAAGTGGACACACAGTATGAGAAACTTTTTTTAAAAATCGACCGTGATCCGAAAAAATAAGTGCGGCAATATCGCAGAACGGGAAAACGTCGCTGATGTGAACGCTTGTATTGACAGGATAAAGGTTCGAAAAAAATACTGACGTCCGAAATGGAGATTATATCAACAAAAATCCCTCCCTTACATTTCTCCACATCTCGACACCCATCCAAGAAGATGACTGGAATATTTCTGATTTACAGGCAAAACTATCATTTCAATTCTTTGAGCAAGATGTGCAGAAAATGATTCAAGGCCTCTATCCTTTTGTGTAATGCCACTGTTTCCAGAGACATGGGCCCCAATAACAAAAGGTACCATCAGTCACTCAATAGTGCATCAAATTTTTACTGTGACCTTTACAGCCTCCTTTTCTCTGAGTATTTCTATTAAAAAATTTCATCAATCCATCTTGAACCTCCAATTACTGCAGAAGGTCAGCAAAAGGACCCAAAACAATCAACATTCTTGATATCTCATTTTAGAATATGTCACGCCTGATCAGTGGACACATAGTGGGACATAGGGTGGGACAAGAAAAAACTGCATGGGGTAGAGGTGCCAATACCGAGCATTAGCCTGGCTGAAATATGGCTTTGAGGGGCAGCCTAAAATAAAATAGGATTCAAACCACCCTAATCCCTGTGAGGCAAGCCCTACCTTGCAGTAAAAGAGGACCAAGGGAAAAAAAGAAAAAAGAAACTAGACGCAGGAGTTCAACAGCTTTCTCTCTGGTGTAATGCAGTCTCTGACATGTTGATACAGCGCAGCCAGCGGTAGCTTCAGTTACACTAAATTTAAACTAGACAGATGCCACACATAGTTACTCATGCCTCGCCCCGGGAAACAAACGTCTCATTCATCACACTGGGTGCTGGGACCCCTTTCGGTTCAGCAGGGTTATGGGGCAACCTCATGGTGATCTAGCCCCACATGTGGACCCCATGCATGACTGTCTGACCTTTGACCTCTCTGTCTTTTACATTTTCATAGAAGTGTAGGAGCCTTAGAGTCCCTAAACTCTCTCCTCTGGACACACAAAGCCTTTAATTTGATTTACCAAATAGAACATTGCTTATCGAACCATCCAACATTTGATTCACTTAAAATTATCCAAACTTTGTATTGCTGGCTTCTTTGGCATTCTTTTGTACCTTTAGTGCACTTTTGTGCTTAAGATATAAATATGATGGTTGCGGGGCTATGAAGCTGTTGCAAATTAAGAATTTCAGTTTCCTACGTATCTGACATGACTAACATCAAAAAGCATCACAACGATGATACTAAAACCTGAAACAAATGAAGACTCAAGGTAGCTGCACAATGGCGAAGTGAGAGTCAAGAGTAGCATGGATTGAAATTTACAAAACTCCCCTTTTGCATTTACATTTGCACGGTTAAACATCACTCTGAGGCTGTCTTGCAAAATCGGCGATAAGGAAGTCAATGAAGCTTTTAAGTCTTCAGTCATCATTCTTGAGAAGAATGAATATCACGTCTGACAGACTTGAGGACAGCTTGTACTCTAATGACAGCTGCCTGTCTGAGTGGCGGCACCCGACCCTCATCATAAAAATCTAGACAACGCAAAACACACCTGGCCAGAGCTGGGAGTGCCAACACACTCACCTGGGGATGTAGTGCAAAGCATTCTTCCACTCCTCTCCCCGTTACGATCGCAAAGCGCTCGTGCAGTAAAAAGTTGAGGGCTGCCGACGTGCTGGGACCAGAGGGGTTCTCCTGCACTGAGTACAAACGAGTCACTAGAACCTGCCTCCTGCCCTCTGCCACTCTCTTTGGGAGCTCAAAATAGTCCACCATGAGAGCGATGTAATTTCAGTCTTTCAGTCTTTCCCACGACGAGGACTGAGAGGATCGTGCTCATGGTTGAGAGGAGGAAAGAAATTACAACAACAAAGACAAGGGTATCATTTCTTTCTTGACTTGCTTGCCGTCTGTTTGATTACTTCATTATAAAAAATGTGCTTTGACATATTCTCATATCATGGCATGGCAAAGGTAATCTCACGGCTACAGGAAATGTCAAAGCACAAGAACAGAATGAAAAATCAAACCTGACTAGTCACAAAGTGGTTGTAGTGGATGCTAGCATCTGGAGATTTCATTAGCCTACATCAGTCTCTCTGATGTCACTCGTGGTCTCTTTCATATCCTGAGACGGCAGTGAGAAAGGAAAGAAACCTCAGCCGTCCCGGTAGTGAGTCCAAAATGTTCAGCGCTGATTCTGCAGCAACCAACAAACCACAAAGACTTTTCAGTTTGAGCAAAAAAAAAAAAGGAAAGAAGTCACAGAATTTGGGTTGTATCGCAAAAAAATAGAAGAGGATAAAAATGAGGTCAAGATATAAGGAGGGCTGGTGAGCAAATATCTACCACGTTCCTCCCATCAACAGCTAGAGAGCGGTGTGTCCCCCCTCTCCTTCAATTCCGCTCTGCCATCTGAACCCCAAATGGCATGTCTGGGCAGAGATCCAGACACCTCGGCTATGGATCCACAACTCTACCGCCCATAAAGGGCACTTCTTTTGCCCCTGCATCATACCACCTTCAACACCCAATGAGACCATGACCTGCATAACTTCAACCATCCCAATCTCTATTTCCACCACTTTACATTAGACACTTTGTCACAAAAAGGGTGAATGGTATTCAAAGGGGAAAAGAACAAGTTTTAATTTATTGCATCATGGTTTGAGCCATTTTCATTTATATCTGTGAAGAAAAAATTACCGTCTATGATTGGTATCTACAGTACAACCAATAAATCCAGTTCAATAATGTAGACCACACCCAGTAAGATTCCACTGTGTAAACGAAGAAAACCAAAACATCTTGAAATCAAGGCCAACATGCTTCTCAAGTCTGACCCTTTTTTTGTTTTCACTCTGCCTATTTTGATCTAAGGTACGGGAGCCTACAGCCTACAGTAGCACATGATATGCACATGTAATACTTTGACTCAAAAATAGTCAAAGTCCATTCACCAAAACAAAAAAATATACTACTGTTGAGCGCAGAAGGATGCAAGCTGGACCAGTCAAATACTGATACTTTTAGCAGCATTTCTCAAAAAACATGATGCCTGAGATACCAGTGGGACCTTTCTTCAAGATTTTACAAACAGTATGTGTTTCCTTTGGTGTAAAGTAGTAGTAGTGGAGTCTTTCATGGATGGCAAACTTTTTAATCACCTTCTGAATGCTTAAGGTATGATTGCTTTATGAACAAAACTTCAAACTTAGTCTATTTAAAACAAAATGAGTCAAACTCACACCCTGGTGATCATGTAGGATGGTGTAAGTTGAGGAAAAGGTCAATTCTTCACGTCAAGACTTGACAGTGAACTTTTGAAAAGCAGTGATGGATTTATTAGTCTGTATGAATGATATCACCTGACTGTCCTTACTTTTCATAACAATGGTTTTCTGTGGTTGTCAAGTGATAGACATACACCTTGTTCAGAAGAGATGGACAGTGAGCAAGTCCATGCTGCTGCCTTTGCATACTGGACCATGACTAAAAACTATGAAAGGTATGGATTAGGTTGGATCACCTTTTTTATTATTATGTCAACAAAAAATCTGGAAGGATAAATGCTGCCATTTGGGTTTATTTACTCACACAATGGGAGGTCTGAATGAAAGCAATGGTAAGAAAAAGAGATAAAGGAAGTGAACAGAGGGAGATATGATCTAAGGACCTATTACAAAGTCGACAGGGAAGCCAGAGGAAAAACAGAGTTCCTGGTATAATCATTTTTCTCTGGGCTGTCATACTTGACAACAACTGGTTGCCACAGTAAACATTGATTGGAGAACTTGTCAACCGTCTGTTCAGGTCAAAAACCAAAGCCATAAATTGGGTTCATATTTTCATTGACACTGTTAATCAAAGGCAAAATCTATGAAAACTTGATTATCCATCAACCATTAATCTTTTATTCCTACTAACACTGAAATAGATGGTAACTAACTTTGCCCTGTTACTATGAGGAAGTAGTGTCTGCCTCAAGATACAGATCGTTTGACATCATCCATTTATTACACAATTTTTGCAAAACAGCAGAGTCGACTTAGACCTCTTCATCATCCTAATAATTACATTTTCAACAAAAAAAATATCATGCCCATAAACTGGCCTTTGTTCATCCAAAACAAAATATATAACTAGAGAATATTTTAGATAAAAATTTTGTTAAAACTTAGATGATCAAACCAGGCTAAAGATATGCACCAGTTGATTTTACAGCTGGAAAACAAATAATATGAACAGTAAAATATTTTATATAGCACTGTTACTAGGTGGGCAACATCTACTGCATTAGCCAAGTGAGCTGCAGGAACTACACAGTATCAAATGAATACCAACAACAATGAAATCCCTTTTTTTCAGTGATGTAACCACAGTGCAAACCTAAAGAAATCACAATGGACAGAGTTTGCATACGAGTGTCTCTGGAGAACATTCAATCAATTTAAAGATTGAGATGTTTCAGATATTGTAAATGGTTAGCCTTGATCTAAAAGTCATTCAATATGTCAAACTGCGAATTTTAAATCACTTTCAATCTCTTGCTTTAGTTAAGCTACTTCCAAGAGGGTCTTGTTCTCTTATTCAGCTGGCACCATACATAATCAGGGGGAAACCCTTACAGTAAGCTTGCCTAATGCTTCTGGAAAGAACAGTGGAGTAGTTCACCTCAAAGGGTTGACTGTTTCCTGAGCAACAGTCAGACTGAGTGAAAAAAGGAAGAGACAGACATCTATTCAGATGGCCACAATAAAAGTGAAAGAGCTCAAACGTATTAACATGAAAATGTGGAAAAACTGCAAAAAATTGGACAAGGAGAGATGTCTATGTGATCAGTACTTTGAAACAAGTAGAAGTCATCACCATCCACTTTCTTTTTCTCAGCACTTCGACTTAAAAGTTTTGAAACTAGCTGCATAGTTCTAAAAGGTTTCAAGCGATATTCAACAATCGGGGGCTCAGTGAAGTGAATACCTGCCAGATATTCACTGTAGAGGTTTTCCTGGCTGTTGCAAAAACAAGCCCTGACTTGATCCTTGCATTCAGAGAAGGAGACTTAGAAGTGTGCAACTCCCTGTAACTCCGGCAGTGTGATCCTGTATTACACTCAAGTTATTAATTCAGACAAGCTCCCCCCTGTTAGACCAAGTCACACAGTCAGAAACAGATTAGAACCACTTGCTCAGTGGTGCTTTTATTCCTACTCTAATTCCAACCTTGTTTTTTGTCCTCATACCATCTCCAATTTAAACTTCATTTTTAACAGAAAAATTAAGATTTCACAGGCAGAAACTTCAAGAAGTGAATACTTTCCAAGTCTTTCATGCAAAGGACTCAACTCAAAAATTCACTGATTCAAACAGTTTTGGGCAAAGGACAAATCTAACCAATGAACGTTAACTTCACGGTAATATTTAGACCAACACAAGTGCTATTGATTTATATATGTGTGCCATTCAAAACAGCTGCTTACTTGGTCTATTACTCAAATCCAAGAAACAGCTATTTTCATTTGCAGGGTAACTTTTGTATTTAGCAATATTAAATAACTTATTCACAGACACTAGAGCCACTTCTGTTTATTTATACACTGCGACGCCACCACAACATCAGCATAATAACCAACCAGTGAATATTTTTGGTGTCAGTCCTCTGTTGACATGTACGACATCATTTTAAGCAATTTGGTGCCAAAGCCAGTTACCTGATGGGTGATATAATACATACCTAAGATCCCAGGCAACGACTTTGAGCTGTTTTCAAATGATGTTGTCAGTAAATGTCCATCAGTGATACTATTTTAGGTCAATTTAAAGACATGTTAAAATTAAGCAAAACTATTTTACTGGCGTAAAATTACACCAACTGGAAAAACTTTGCAATGTCCTCTTCATGACTTTAAATTTCAGTCATGCTTTCAGTCATTCCTTTATAGTTTTACGGTTAAGTTTCCATTAAAACTGTTTTCCAGAATGTACTGCTCAATACAGTCACGGCATATTACATTTATTGACTTAATACTATGTTCTTTATACTGATAGCTGACCTCATTCCTGCTGTCATGCTAAAACAACTATGACCATCTGTAATGTCTTCATTAATCATAAACACAGACGTTGCTTTATCAATTTTTTTGCTTCTTCTGATTTAGTTTGCTATAAAGATGTCGAGAAGTTCAATGTAAAAAGTTAAGCCTGAGGTGGGTGGGTGGGAGAGCAGAGAAAATCCCCATTTAGATCCACGCATCAAGACTATTAAAATGTTCTTTTTGTTCCCATGTCTTTCAAAGTGCAGCTTTCTCAGTATTGAAAGTGCTGCATTCATCTGCTAATTTAAACAAAAAATATAGACGCCTCCCTTTCTTCAAGTCCCTTAAGTTTGTAAAATCTATTAGAGCAAACTTTTCACTGTACTACCGAAAACGGAGACTCAGTCATTTCCAAAGCAAACTTGACTTAATCGGTTGAAAATGTTTCTGGAGATGGACATGCACTGCTACTTGTTAAACAGGTGAAAATCTTAAAACAATTTAAATTTGCATTAACTTCAACTCCAGGTATCAGGCCTTGAATGGAGACATTGCTTCATCCAATTTTTTGCTTCTTCTGATTTATTTTGCTATATAGATGTCTAGAAGTTCAAAGTACAAAATTTAGCCTGAGGTGGGTGGGTGGGAGAGCAGAGAAAATCCCCTTTTAGATCCACGCATCAAAACTATTAAAAAGTTCATTTTGTTCCCATGTCTTTCAAAGTGCAGCTTTCTCAGTATTGAAAGTGCCGCATTCATCTGCTGATTTAAACAAAATTTATATATTTCTCCCTCTCTTCAAGTCCCTTAAATTTGTAAAATCTTTCACCTAGAGCAAATGTTTCAATGTACAACCAAAAACCGAGACTCAGTCATTTTCAAAGCAAACTTGACTTAATGGGTTGAAAATGTTTCTGGAGGTGACAGCCTTGATAACATGCTCTGCTACGTGTCAAACATGTGAAAATATTAAAACAATTAAAATTTGCATTAACTTCAACCCCAGGTATCAGGCCTAGAATGGAGTAAAATTTGTATCTCGGGAGATACTATTCGAGCAGGATACTAAAGACATTCAATTAATCTTTAGATTTATTCCTTTTGGTCACACCCAGAATAAAAGAAATAATTAGTTGTTGATGTTTGTTATTTTCACTGTGGTGATTTTTTTTTATTGCCATTATCACTATGAGCATAGATATTATTATATAATGATATATATATATATATATATATATATATATATATATATATATATATATGATATATATTTAAACCATTAGTGTAGATGAGGGGTTGGACTAGATAAGTCTCGACTTCTTCCCACTCCTTTTTGAACTTGAATAACTTTTTGTCATTTGTTGTTGTATTCTTTACTTTTTTATTGTTATTTCTTTTTTACATGTTCAAAATAAACTTCAATCAATCAATCAATCAATCAATCAATCAAAATTTAAAAACAAATAATCTTGTCTGTGTTTATATTGTAATATCTAACTCTTAAGTTATTTGTACAAATTCTTACATCACTGCTGTTTATTTTATTCAGTAATAAACAATATATTTAAAGCACATTTCACTTTCATCAGCTGCTGTTTACTGTAAAGATTGTGTATTATAAGTTGATTAAAACTACTGGTATTACTACTAAAACATTACAACACTACGATTCACTCATTTTGTCAACAGAGGATGAAGAAAAGTTTTGTCAACATTAGCATGTGCTACTACTTTGCAGAAATGTGCCTCAGAGGGGGGACCAGTGTGAATGTCTCTCTCAGCCATACTTCACTTACACCATATTAACCAAACTACCTGCTGCTGCCGTCCCGCCAAACTTTCAAAGCTTTCAGTGTAAAAGCCGACGAGCCGACTGCTGCTCAAACTATAGGAAGTGTTTTCAAACGTGTAGCTGTGTTCAAACTCTATTTAATTAGCATATGGCAATAACAGCAGTAGTGCTACCCCTGCTAGCATGTCAAGCTAATGACAGCTGGTGTTGTGGATATTAGCTAGGCGACCACGATAGAAAGGTCGCGTGATATTTTAATATCTCCATTCTCAAATAAAAACTCTTGCAGGCGCCGGTTCCTCTTTCACACTGTGTGGAAATGCTGGGTTTTGAGGCGGGGAAATTCAGCCGAATTAAGCGAACTAAACAGAGTAAGTGACAGTATGTGAAGCATATTATGCATATAATGTTTTGAAGTGCCATGAGAGACAGGTTGGTATGAAACATTACACTGAGGGAAGAAGAAGAACGGAAACAAACTGACCTGCGGGGCCTAACGGCTGCTGCTGCCCGTCCTCTCCGAATATCAGTCTGAAGTCCAGCTCCTCATTCCCGGGGCAGTTTGCAGTAGTCATCGGGTTTGACAGCTCGGGTTTTACCCCGCTACTCGACCGACTGTCGACCGCTGGAGCACTTTATGCTCTCCTTTAAGGATGTCACAACATTTACCGAGTACACCGACGCCGAAGTTCAACTTTAGTTCAGTTTAACTCATTGAGCACACGAGCTTGTTGACAAATCCAAAATATAAACGACTCTTCCTTCCTTCCGTCCGTCCTTCCTCCGGCGGCGGCAGTCAACTGGAGAAATACTGGCGTCAACTTCAGAGAAAGTCGCCTCCTGCAACCCTCTCTGCTTCTGCCTTCTCTCTCTTGGTCTTCCGAAGTGGTTTTACAACAAAGAAGCGCTTTCTGTAGAAGTGATAAACATTCGCTTTAAAACAAAAATTAGTCCCGTGTCTGCCTCTCTCTCTCTCTCTCTCCGCCGGGTCTCTTTCACTATCTCTCTCCCTCTCTCCGGAGCTCCTATCCCAACTTTTACTAACCCCGCGTGACAAGGCAGTTCCAGCGGTGACGTCAGCAGACACAACACAGGGCACGCACACAAACACAAGGAGACAAGCACGCATCTACACACGCACGCACACACGCACGCACTCCCCCCAGTCTATGGAGTTAATAAACAGTCTATAAAAGACCACAAGATCATTCAGGCTTGTGCTGTTAAACATATTTTGGATGTAGAGTGAAAGTAAAAAAAATAAACAACTTCAGTTTAAATATCCGAATATTTCCAATTTTCGATTATGTCTCACTGGCCTACTATAGTGTTACACTGTTGAGGCTTACTGTTTTTGTGAGTTATCATAGCAAACCTTTTGACCTTGCGGTAACCAGGTCTTACAGGCACTTTGCTCTATTTAATTGGCCCTCCATTCTATCCCAACCACCCACCATTAGATTACATCCGATTGCGCCTGGCTCTTAACCCTACCTCTTTGTTTGGTTCCAGTCCAAGCCAGGATTGGTAGGCATAATGACATGATGCACTTTTTACCTTTACATCCCTTGAGCCTTTCAGCACAGAGGCCCATTAATTTGTAATCAGCTAATTTAGGCTTGTAGATGGAGCTATATTGGGGATGAAAAGACAGCTCCATTCAATGGTTTCTGTTATTAATGGACATTGTGCATCTTAAAACAAAGGTGCTTTTGTCCCCAGAGCATGTGGTTTGTGTACTTGAAGTATTGGGGTTTGAAAGTGTTTTTTATTTTAATTTTTTATATATTTTTTTCTGGTTTTATACCAGAAAACTAAACTAAAAAGTTAACCAGATCAATATCTCGCAACCATGTTAAAGAAAATACAGTTACCAAAATGAGTATTTATACAAAAAGGTGCTTGCTTAAATGTAATCTATTGGCAGATCAATGAGTGGACTTATTGTGCAGGTTTGGTACCAATGGTCTATAATCCTGGGGAATTCTTTCCTACCACTGGTTTATTTAAATCACGATTCAACTTTTTTTTTTTTAACCAGGGTGGAAAAAAGATACTGTCCAACTAGATAAAGTAATAGTAAATCTGTCTTGTGTGTGGGCTGTCCCCATCTCTTTAACCCCAGAGTCACTTTCCAACCCATCAAGCTCCTGAGGTTAATCTTTGTTGGGTAAGCACAACAGAGGTTGTTGCCCTCTAAAAGCTTTAATGTGTTGCAGCTTGAATGGTCATCTTGTCTCTGTATTAATATTTGGTTGTTTTCCATTTTCTCTATTTGGAATACTAGTCAAAACTACTGGCATTGAGGCTTTGTGTAAAACGTCTTTTTTTTGTTGTTGTTGTTGTTGCATCAGGTTTATCCAGTGTAAACCCACACATTTGCAGCTGTTCGTATTGCCTCTATTGAGTCAGTTTTTAATGTTTCACCTAAGGCCTGATAAGCAAAGTAATAAAACATCTAAACTTTTATTATGAGTAACTCTGCTATTACTCTTTCCATCCTTAAAACAGATCAATGACTGAAAGATTTATTTGGACTTTTATGATCAATTTGAAAGGAAAAAATTGCACATTCTGCAATTCACTGAAAAAATCCAACAATCCTTTCATTGTTTCCACATTTAAGTGAGTAATGAATAAAACCCTCTGAGACCATTAGTTTTGTTATTCAAAGCAATTTCTACCTACACATATTTAAACATATATCAGTCCATCCCCAGCACAAAGTGCATGCACAGCAGACAGCAGCCTCTTATTTTTCTGACACAGCCACAATACATATACCTATGCTAGAAGCATGTGGGCGTACAGACAGGCGCTCAGCTCTAAAATGCATCTGAAAGCATCAATATCACATTTCCTGTGGTCTTTATTTCCAAGCAAAAGCACAAAGTTTAACCCTTTTTGACTTTTATGCCATCTTAAAGCAGCTCTCTGCAGACAGACATTTCCTTGCAGTGCTTTAGAAGTCGGTGTCCTGCATTCAAAATTCCAGGTCCTTGATATAAAGCCACAGCTTCACTCGGTGTGATGCTATTTCTAACACTCAAAGACTGATTTACAAAAACAATGACAAATGAATATTGTGTTTCATTTATTTTCTGTATATGGTGCAGAAGCGTGCTTCTTTAACACTTAGAAAACTGAAGTTAATTCTACAGTCAGACATAATTTACCCTTTAAAATGCTTCACAAGCAAATTGTTTATTTAAGGTTGACTATGTGCAACAGCTTTCAGTCAGTTACACACGATATTTTTTTTATCAAATAATTCTATACAAACACATTACACAAATCTTGGTTAGTATACAGTTTAAAAAGCTGTTTATGTAACTGTTTATTCCCAGATTTTCTATAAGTTTGACGTAAATCTTTGGAAAATACAAAGTAATTTCTTTGGAATATCTTTCTGAGAGATTAGTGCCATGTTGTGTTATATATTTGTTTCAAAAAAGAAAAGGAAAATAAACTATTCACAGTTTCAAAATGTTCCTTTAGCACAATAAATATTAGGTTTTCCAAATCATAATTTTCAAAGTGCACAAAAAGAAAAGACTAAAAAGAACGCAAAGTTTTAGTTTAAAACAAACCACATCAATTTTAACTCACTGCATTATTGTCAATGCTGTAAATAAATCATACATTTTTATTACAAAGAAATCATTAAAATAATATGTGGCAGTCACATGACATGCCTGAACTTTCTCCTGTGTAGACCCACCCATGTCTAATTGAGGTTACCTGTGCCTCTTATCTGTGCAGATGACCTTTGAAGGGAGAAGATAAAGAGAACAAATTGTGTGGGAGGCCGTAGATGTGGTTGTGATATTATGTTCTTGTCAAGAGAGTTATGAGGGAAGAAAAAAGAATAGCATCTGCCCCCACACTGGTCCTGTTTGAGAGAGGTGTCACTCTTTCAAGGATTTTAGTTTGCACACACTGCAGAAATGCAACACAGCACCTTGGCAACACACGCAATGTTCACTAAATGTCAACAAAGATCAAATTGCACGCAGCTCTGTATCAGAACGTCAGCTTATAAAGAATTAAAGAGTTGTGCAACCGTTGCACTGTTGAGCAGAGAGTTTTTAATGTGTGCATTTCTACAACATTTCAAATTCATGTAAAAAAAAAAAAAAAAACTAATTTGTTTGTTGTTTCACACTCTGATTTTCCTGTTGTGACTAAAAGGTAGCAGTAGGACTGTCTTCATTTGGTGGCGACAATTTGTATATGAATTCATTCTCCAGGATAATTAATCCAATATAAACAATGTGTTTTTGGGAGGGAAAATACATGACAGAGACACTATAGACTTGGGAGTCAGTGAAAAGTCTCTACCACAACTCAGATGAAGATTTCAGTGGACTTAAAATGTTCCTGGTTGATTTATACTGCCCTCTATTGTTCACACTATGGAACTGAATATTTACATGGATGACTTACAGTTGAGCATATGCCCTCTTTTAGAAAATCACAAGCCATAATCATGTTGTCCGGAATATCTGTAATTATGATGCGTTTAATAAATATGAAGATTCCAATCTATAAAGGTAAGCAGTGTATGTTTATCTTGTTCATGTCAAGAGATGGTAAACAGACCCAGTTCCAGCTGCCGCAGCATTTTTTGCCCAACATGTGATGGGCAGAGTCTATTACTGAAAATGTGTGTAATGTATTAAAGCCACAGTAAATCAATCAATGGGCTTGTTCATTCATCACATGGGAAGGGAAGATCAATGCAAGCACTGATGCAGACAGCTGATTTTGCCCTCATGCTGGTTGTAAATATAATGTGATTTTCAAAGAATGATATAATAGGATTATAAAATATTTTAACCAAGCTAAATGAAGGACAGCCCTCCATGCAGGCAGGGCCAAACAGAGAGACTTGTCCCCATTTGGTCCCCTCCCTGGATGCATGCCTGGTTAGATTAGTCTCTTTTTTATTAGTTTTCATTCCCAGTGGCAAAATAGCAACACTGGATTATCTCCCCTCAGTACCCCAGGAAAGAAAAAAAAAAACATAAAAAGAGGCCCTGTCTCTAGCCTTAATTGGGAACTCATACACATAGACCACATGCTGTGAGCCAAAAGAAAAAAATATTCTACCATCAAGAAAAAATATGTATCTTACATTTGTCTTAGCTACCATTTCCAAACAAATAAAAAAATGTATTTATGGTGCCTTAAGGCTGGGTTCTTCCGAAAAGGATTGACCAGATCTCAAAGTCATGTGGGCAGATATCGATGGTCACTGTTGTGTCGATGACTGGGCTCTTTCTCACCCCTCTCTAATCCATTACAATCTCTGGCAGTACTGCACTGCAGGCAGTGCTGATTCATAGGGTTAGTGATCAGGTGATTGATTGAGTGTTAAAGCATGCATGGACTATACAAGACTTTAATAATAAGTTTAAAAGAAAAGATCATACTTCATTCCTTTTGTATTTAATTGAAACTCTAAGCCTGGGATAAGCCACCTCGAGATCTTGAACAATAATTAGCTATTTGCTTCATCATAGGCAGTGCTTTAGTTAAATATACTGTTTGGGCTGTGTTGAAACAGGCTGTTTACAATCTTTACATTTCAAAGCACATTCCCTTTTTAATATAGAGTCATGACAAGCAGTCCTTAGAGATTCAAGTTGAGACAAATTGGATGTAGCCTCTAAGTTGAATTATTTTTTAAGGTGAAAAATATTAACTAAAATAGTTAATAGATACTTAAATATCAATAGTCAAACTATGAGAGGTCCTAGAAAGGGTAGAGAAATGCTTTTCATCATACTATATGTGTGCACACATATTTCATACCACTCTTGCAAAAAAAGCTCCAGCTGGGCCATTTTAAGTCTGTCTCTGTGCCCTGTTCAGGACACGAAAATAGACAGATGGACAAAAAGAAAAAAGAGACAGAAAGAAACCTCAAGCGCTAAATTTTGAACTTCTATGATTTTGGTTGGTTTGCTTTTGTAACAAGCTGCATATACCCTTTTCAGATAATTTGTTATGTTAAAGTAGGCCCTATAACCTCCCCTTAGTTTGTAAAATTTATAAGTAACACTTTCATGTAAATTAAAAAATTTTTTTACCCCACTCTCCCCTATAGGAGCCTTTTAAAAATGATTAAATCATAATTATGAGGTACTAAGTCACAATAATAACGTACTATCTCATAATTATGAGATAGTATCTTATTATTGTGACTTAGTATAATAAGACTTTTTTTTTTTAACTTGTCACCTTTTTAACAGGCGGAAACGGCATTCCAAGACATGACAAAGGCAAACCTCGAAATGATATTTTGATAAATATAATGAATAAATAGATGAAATTTTTTATGTCTCTGAGCCTAAAACTACAAAAAACTACAAAACTTTCAACATAAACGTCAAAGTCCACACCCACTGACGTCATCAATAGTCGCCGAAGAAGCATGGCGAGACAGTTGTCAAGAGCAGCAACATGCTAACATATTACCTGTGATTCAATACTTGAAGACCTGTCCTACGCTTGCCGGTGTGTTACGGGTGACGTCTTCTCTTCTTTTTTCTTTTCTTCATTTTTTGCCAGAAGATCTATAACCCCTGACAAACCAGAAAAAGAGGAAAATGCAGTCCGTGAAGGTCGGTTTTGCGACACTGGCTTCGTCAAGAGCTATGTGCTCAAGTGGACTTTTCAGTCCTGGTTTCACGAACTTATCCGCCATCTGCCGTGTTCAATGTTCTTTATATCAGTCACGTTTCTGTCAAACAGCTTCAAAACCAGAAGAGACTCCAGTTATTCGCATCCCTCGCTACATGCAGCAGAAGATTGAAAACGTGAAACAGACTCGAGGCAAAAACAAGATACCCACTGTCAAGGCTGGCAAACTTCTGATTCAGAGCAAGAACCCGGTCCTAAACCAGTCTGCGGGATACATACTCGGTAAGTTTGAGCAGCCAGTTCTCAGCTCCAAAGGATGGAAACATAACAAATCATTTGGGGACTATTTCACCATCAACAACATCAAGGATGTGGCACCTTTTGTTGCTGAAAGTCAGACGGAAGACAGCACTGAACAGACGACGACAACAACAACAGAGGCTTTCAGTAAACTCCGCATCTGTAAGGAGCTGTTGGAAGTGTTAAACAGCATGAACATTACCAACCCCACCACTGTGCAGCTACAGACCATCCCAAAGATTATGAGTAGGCGCAACATTCTGTGTGCTGCAGAGACAGGCAGCGGGAAGACGCTGAGCTACCTCCTACCCATAATTCAAAGACTGCAGGCTGAGAAGAAGTCAGAGATGGATGCTGTGGAGGGACACAGGATTCATGCTGTGGTTATCGTGCCTTCCAGAGAGCTGGCCGAGCAGGTGGCAGCTGTGTCCAGAGCTCTCTGTGCTCCTTTTGGGTTTCTGACAAAGACTGTTGGTGGTGGGAGAGGCGTAGGACACATCAAGAGTGTATTTAAACACAGTCAGCCTGATATTTTAGTGGCCACACCAGGCGCTCTGATCAAGGCTTTGCGGAGACGCTGCCTGGACTTAAGCGAGCTGAGCTTCTTTGTGGTAGATGAGGCTGACACCATGTTTGACCCAAGCTTTGCTGATATGCTGCAAGACATTCTGCAACGCACAAACATTGCAAGAGATCCCAAGGAAACACAAGGCCTGTCCCGTAAAGCTCAGCTGCTGGTGGTGGGGGCTACCTTTCCTGGTGGTGTTGGGGAAGTGCTCAGCCAGGTGACAGACCTGGGCAGCATGGTGGTTATAAAGAGCAAGATGCTGCACTACCTCATGCCTCATGTGAAGCAGACTTTCCTGAAGGTGAAGGGTGTTGACAAAGTCCTTGAGCTCCACCAAGCGCTGAAGATGCTCCAGCATGAAAAAGGGGGAGGTCCTGCAGTAGTGTTCTGCAACAAGTCCTCCACCGTCAACTGGCTGGGGTACTCCCTGGATGAAATCGGGATCAAGCACGCACGGCTGCAAGGGGAGATGCCCGCTGTTGTGCGCACAGGAATCTTCCGTGGCTTCCAGAAAGGAACGGTGGATGTGCTGGTATGCACAGATATTGCTTCACGGGGTCTGGACACATCTCAAGTTCGCTTGGTTGTCAATTATGACTTCCCTGAATCTCACACAGACTACATTCACAGGGCAGGGAGAGTGGGGAGAGCAGGAGGGGTGGAGGATGGTGAGGTGCTTAGCTTTGTTTCTTATGCGTGGGATGTGGAACTGGTGCAGAAGATCGAGACGGCTGCACGTAGGAGAACAAGTCTGCCAGGGATGGAATCGGAGATACAGAAACCACAACCCAAAGTAGAAGATGCTGAGGAGTAAAAGAGATTCTGTGTAATTAAACCAGGAACGACTCTGGTCTGATGGGTTTTTGCATTTGTATTGCACAGGATTTCTATTAAAATGTGCATTTTATCATCATGACATTTTAATAGAAGTCAATGTGAGAAAGACAAAAAAGAGGTGTAAGGTCTTACTGAAGCTAAAAGCGCAGGTTGCTTAGGTCTGCTTGAAACGCCTGTGTTCCGGTCTTGACAAAGCACTTAGGACAGAGTGAGTTCATCAAGTCAGAAATATACACAGCACTAACAGTCTTCTGTGTTTTTGCAATATTGAAAAAGTATGTAGTTGCCAACCACTGATGTGAATGATGTTTGTATGTACAAATGTAATTATGTCTGCAAAATCATTGTTAGTGTTTTAATAGCTGTTACTTTTTGCTCAGCTTTAAAGAAAAACAAAACTTTATATTCTCTTCTTGTTGTTCTTTAATAAAAACTAATCAATTGAGCTTTTTCAAATTGTGTGTGTGTGTGTGTGTATTTGAAACTAATTTGAAGCAATGGCCTGAGTTTACTTTTCATGCTTATTTGAAGGTTGGTGAAGGTCTTTTGAGAGCTCATTTGAGTTGAAAAATAAAAAAGAATTTTTTCTCTCTCAAAAAAAAAAAAGACCTTCAACTTTTGGCTAATGATGTGTTTTCATGTATGCGCAGGACATGATTTTAAAATCTGCTGTGGACACATAGACACTGACAATTCATTATGAAATCACAGTTTTTGGGAAGAACTAGTCCAAAAGGTCCACTTGATCTGACTATGCACTACATTATTAATACTTTTATCCAGAGCAGTGTTTTTTTTTTTTACCTTGACAAACTTCCTGTATTCTTCCTCAGAGGGGTCATGAGATGTTGTGATGTTGTCTGACAGCTGATTTATAGAGGTTTGGTTCTCTTACCTGAAGCAGCAGGGCGACCACACCCCATTATTTGACAGTCTCAGGACAGCATCCCAGGTATGTGATAGTAAGTCAGCCCCTCATCCTGGTTTACTGTCCTCTAGGCTGGCTTCTGGATCTCCACTGCCTCTCTTATCCAGCATAGGTATCTGTCGCTCTCTGAGTGGATTATCTCTGCCTTTTCCCAGTCTGTGATGTGATTTCTCTCTCACACAGTGGTCTGAGATTTCTAATTTTAAATTTTACTTGGTCTCCTTTTATTCTATTTGGTATGAGCACACATCTTTTAATCAAAATACAAAATTACAAGTAATCTGTTATGCATTCTTACACATGTACTGCATATCTCTCACCACAAGGTGGTGACATTGGCTTGTTTTCAGTTTATACATGTGCGCTGCAGGTTTGCCAGTTATGGCATAGCCCAACTATTGCGCTCTTTTGATAATTAACTTGCTGAACTGGTAGAACTCTCAACCCCACCTCCTCTTTTCTGAAATCTTTTCTTGATTCCAGAACATTTTATATTTGTACTTAACAAATTTTAATCTTGACTGAAGTTTGAAACAGGCCAAAACTTGATGCTACTTCTCTGTTGATGCATTAGGTCTGCTGTGTTGGGTTGTTTTTGCTTCTATTGTAGGTGGTGCTTGTTGAAATAAAACAACAAAAGTGTCTACATGGAAATTTACCATGTTGAAGTCCATTAAATGTTGTTTAAACATTTCTGTTTTTTTAGGAATCCCCGAAAGATAACAATAGCCTCTTTGTGAATACTTTTTCCAGGAAACACTGCACGCTCTTATTTTGAAGATGCTTGGTTTGTTACTGATGCTTCACACTCAGTGATTTATGCTTGAGTGTTTGTGGAGATGATGGTGGTTAATGGACCTGAGTGTGAGGCGGAAGGATAGACGCGTTAACAGCTCTGACAGTAACAAGGGGCTTCCATCCGAATGTCTGGAATCTAGCTGGGATTGTCCTGCTGAAGCTCAGGTCAACATATTTAAGCTTTGCCCCTTTGTAGGGTTCACATTTCACCCAACTATACCCTGACAACAAGGACCCTGTGTCCAATTATAGCATGTGGAGCAAATTCCTCCAATCCCTGCATTTATATTTTTGTCCTGACTCAACTCAACTGACCCTCACAAAAAAGGCCGTAATAAACCCTCTCAGATGTCTTACTTTCAGTAAGTTGTGAGCTAAATGTTAAGTATTTTATATTTGTAATATTTATAGACAACAGATCTATAGGGCCACACCCCAACTTCACACATGATCAGTTTACTGAAAGTACTTCACCGGCTGTGAAAACAGTTGTTCATGTTTTTTGTGGCTCCTGCGGGGCTTTATCAGGTCTGAGGAAGTAATCCCTTGGTGATGTCTTAAGGGTTATCTAAGCTTAGGTTTTAGGAAAATACATTTGACGGTAAAGAGCTTACTTTAAAAACAATAGGAAGGAAGTCAGAAAGATTCTGCATTTCCAACAGATTGCTAATAGTTTACTTGTTCTCTTTAATACCTCACTAATTTAAAAATACACAGGTCTTATCTATATTTTATTTTATCCTCATCCCGTCATTTAATGTATAAATAGAAGTATGATATTTGAAATCATAACTTCTAGGCCAAATATGGTCTTAGTTTTTGGACTGCCTTTAAAAAGCACTCCTGTGTCATGGAAGTTCAATAGTAAATTGCTGGAGTGCCTCTTGAGATGCTCCTCTTCACTACCCAGCCAGAAGTAAAACAAACAGAGAGCATTTCTGAGCTTCCTCTCAAATATTTGAGCAGGTGGTGCTGTTTGGTTGTCTCTCACAGGGGAATTTCCCCTTTCCTTGCCTTGTGTTTTGTCTTGAAACCATCAGGTCCCTTGGAAAGAATTTTTTTTATATTACCTTAAGACCCTGCAACCTTTTAACTTTGTTAAGAAAGTCATGTTGATGCCACTTAATGAGCAACAAAAGCAAACAAGATGATTAGTGATAAGACTGTTTATATATATACATTTAAATATATATATAAACCATAATGCCAGAAACTGTTGCTGTAGACCGGGGGATGTTTGAAAGAATGGCGGTGGCATGGACCCCATGATGAGCCATCCCAAAATCTGAAACACATATTCTCTATTATTGCAATGTGCATTTTGACTAACATATCATTAAATTCTTGGTAAAAAAAAAAAGGTATTACAACCAGTAAAGGGAGTTGGAGCATGACTTTAGTGCAGGTGTGGGATGATGAAAATAAAAACATATGTGACAATGTACGGTGGCCGAGAACTGCCACTGCTGCAATAAAAAAAAAAAGCCACAATGGAAGTTATTGATGCAAAAGAAAAAGAAAAAGAAACCGAAGCCCGCTACAAATTAAAAAAAAAAAAAAAACAGTGCAGACTAAAAACAACAACAACAAAAAAAAAAAAACAAATCGGAAGTTAACAAAAAAAAAAAAAAAAAGGAAGGGGGGGGGGGGGGGTTTAACCACCGCTAAAACAAAAGAATGCAAATAAAAAAGCCACAACAGAAGTGAGCTGCTGGGAACCAATAATGATGATGCACCGGTGTTTTACGATCTAGGCACAGAAGATGACGGCGAGAAGACAAGCAAAGAAGTAAGTGGAAAAGGTTATTGTTAAATTTCGCTTTGTGTGCTTTTCAGTGTGTCATTTGGTTAGGCCATGTTGCGCCTGAGTCGATATGAAGTTGAACTAAAGCTAACACTACACAATCATCCTCCAGTTCAACTTCATATCGACTCAGGCCACAACACCGGTGCATTATCATTAATGCATTGGTCCCCAGCAGCTTTTTTTTTCCATCGCCACTTTGTTTTTGCATCGTTAACTTCTGTTGTGGCTTCTTAAAAAGTCTGCACTGCTGTTTTTTACTTGCAGCGGGCTTTGGTTTGTTTTTATTTTCCATTTTGACTTTTTTTTCTTTTTGCATTGTTTTTTTATTTGCAGCAGTGGCGGTTCTCAGCCGCCGTAACAAAACAAGTGAAGACAATGCTCTCTTATCCACAGAGTTCTTCAATGAACCCGATCGATAAAATGTATTTCCCGCCCTAAAGTAAAACTCCACACACGGCAAAAAAGTAATATGTTTTCTTGTAACGTCAACAGCAACTTCGTGGAGTACAAATGAATGTCTAGTAACGCACCCCCCAGCTGTAGTCCTAGTGGACGACGAAGGTGTGTGAATGGACTACAAAGTATCCTGTCCATTAATAATGACGCATTTCCTCTCTGCCCCACCGTGGGATTATCTCCCCCTCCCCTTTTACACATACACGCTTACACACACTCACAAACACACGCACCGTGCCGCTGTTCACACACCATCCGGCCACTTAGAAATTTTCCCTGAGCACGGAGGATATTGTAGGTGCTGAGAAGCGGGACTGTCGGCGTCTGTGCATCTTCCTTGAAATGCTCCAACAGTGGATGTGAAGGTAGGTCTACAACCTCCGTAATCGGCTTAATCCGCTGCCCATCTCCCCCTTTTCGCAGACGGGGGGGATCTGTCTGACCTTCTCCCCCGACCAAAAGCTCCAGAAGAAACCCGCACATACACGCAGCGTGAGCCCCTGCTTATTGCTGCTGTTGGATGGGAGGCTCTCCGTGCTTGTGTGTGAGTGTCTGTGACTACATTACATTAGAGTCTCCTTTGAATGGATCGCTGCTGTAAATTGCATTTTAGACACTACGATGCTCATTTGAAGCACCGTAACTTGTGGAGCCTTTGATAGTCGACTTCTCCAGTTGATTCGCCGTGGGGTTTTTTTTTTCCGGCGACTTTACTGCAGGGCTGCAGCAGGGGGTCGCCTGGTGAGGATTTTCTGTGGGTAGAGATCTGCTGTATGCCGAAGCTGCAGGATTGAGCATGTGGACGACGGAGGTTTGTTGCTTGGCTTGGTCAAAGAGGCATTGAGAGTTCATAGAGGTTACATTGCACTGGCCAGAGAGAAAGCAGCCTCCGCCATGTTAAGTTACTATCTGAGAGAAGCTTCCACTTTAATGCCAATGTTTGCAATTGTTTCCAACTTTTATAAATTCCTGTTATCGTGAATTAAACACTGGAGACGTCCACGTTAAAGGGCGGCCACCTGTGCTGAGCATGTGGTGACTATCTTCACCTCAACACATCAGAGCTTTTGCATGCTGCCGGTATACCCACACAAAATAAAAAATGAAGGGGGACGTGGGTTTTTTTTTGGTCATGAGTGGGCTTTTCACGCCTAGGTGAATGTGGTTGCCTAACCTGCGCGCATGCTTAACAGAGCCAAGGTGATCACATGGGGGAAAATGCAAAGTGCGACATGTAGGATAACGAATAGGCTCTCTGCAGCAGGTTATATTCTTTGAATGGTGTGGATGGCTGGCTTGTGTCTGCTCTGTTGCCA